CCCTAACCCTAACCCTAACCCTAACCCTAACCCTAACCCTAACCCTAACCCTAACCCTAACCCTAACCCTAACCCTAACCCTAACCCTAACCCTAGCTCCAGCGGTGCTCGGCACCGCATTAACTCTTCCTCCTCTCGATATTTGGCGCGCTTGCTGCTCATGTGCTTCGCGTGCATCACAGAGTGACATTGCGGGGTCATGAGTCGTGGCTCGGCACGCAGGTGCGCGCTGACAGAGCCGGAACATAAGATGGGCGTCATACAGGTGCGAGACGAAACGGGGCCGGCGAGGCGCGGTACGCCGGCGACGACGGGCTCTGCTGCCGCTGCGCGAGCCCTTCGGCGATGATGCCTGGTGGCGCGGCGTCAGCTCCGTCCGCAGCACATCTTCACGGCACTCACTGTTCACGGCACTCATCGCAGCCACACGGCGCTCCTCGCGCTCGCGCGGCGTGCCGAGGCGCGCGCCGGACTGGCTGCCGGCCTCGCTGCCTGCTCGCGATCGGCCCGGCACGGGAGAGGCGCAAGAGCTGGCGACGGACGACGCGCCAAGGCTGCGGGTGCGCACTAGCGACTCCGATCGCTCGGATCCATCGCCGCTGGCAAGCGCCGCCTGGTACCGCTTCGGCGGGCGACGCGCGACGGCGGCGCGCCGCTTGGGCGAGGCAAGGCCGACGCTGGGCGAAGCCACGGAATCCGGGGCGTCGTCGGCCGCATCGACGAGACTCGACGCCGTGCGGCCCTCCTGCAGTGCCAGCCTCGGAGTGTCGCGAGTGCGGCTCGGTGAGGCCATAAAGAGGTTGCTGTGCTGCCGCACCGCTGTTCGCGGAGGGCTGGACAGACACGCGGCAAGACTGGCCGGCGAGCTCGGCGACGCAACGAGCGGCGATGCCTGCGCTCGGCGCACAGGCGAGCCGCGCGAGACCGGCGGCGTGGGCAGCGGCCGGGGCGAGGCGATTAGAGGCGAGGCGACCGCAGGCGCAGTAGGTGTAGACGGCTGACTGGCTGCGGCGTCTTCGAGGCACTGCCAGCGCCCGCCAGTCTTGGTCCACGTCTTGCTGCGGCCGAGCGGCGTGGCCGGCGACTGCGGCGTCGGCGTGGTGTGCACGGCAGGCTTGCCGCGCCCCTGAGGCGTCGCCGGGGACTGCACCGCCGAGTGGCTTTGCTTGACGGGCGGGGTCGCGACCTTGCTCGTGCGCACCGTGCCCCGGCGCGGCGTGACGTGGACGGCCGGTGCGCCGACGAGCGACACTTCCACGATGGCAGGATCGACCCGGCTCGCATCGAGCACAGCGAGGGCGGTGAGAAAGTCCTCGCCGACAAGCTCTGCGCCATGCAGGCTCTTGAAGCTCTCGGCGCGGTGGAGAGCGCCTCGCGCACGGCTCAGCGTGTCAGTATCGATCGGCGCGGCGTCGGACGGCACGCCCGAGCTCTCCTCCGACGAGCTGTTGCCGCAGCTGACGAGGGAGGGCACGTCGCTCGAAGAGCTGCCGCGCCGCGTGTCGTATGAGCCCGTCGAAGAGTCGCTCTGCCAGCGTGTGTGGCCGGGAGCCTCCAGCAAGGGCTCCTCGCGCGCTTCGGCTGCCGGCTCCACCGCCTGGTCCTGCAGCTTGAGCGTGCGCTTGCGCGCCAGCACACGGCTGTCCAGCCTCGGGAGGGTGCACGGCGACAGGGGCTCGTCATCGGGCACACTCTCCTCCTCGTCCTCGTCGCCAGCATCGTTCTCGGCCTCGGCAGCAAAGTCGAGCAGGTCGGCGTAGCTCGGATTCGGCGCGCGCAGCTGAATGGGGCTGATGACGGGGCTGCCCTGCGCCGGTGCGCGGCGCCGTGTCGGCGTGCGGCGTTGCGACTGAATCGTGCGCAGGCGTTGCAGCGAGTGGTCGCGCGGCGATCGAGTCTCTTGAGGCGATCGTGCTTGCGCCCCGTCGTCGCTTTCGCTGTCTATCGCTGCCGCAGCAGGCTCGTTATTCCCGCCGCTGGGCATTGCGGACCGCACGGAGCGCGACCGCTCAATCACAGGCGAATCTGGCTCTCCGTCGGTGAGGACGAAGCGCTGCACCGAGGCGTCATTCACGCTCATCGGCGTGTCAAAGACGGGGAGCGCCGGAAGCGTCTCGGCCCGCGTGAGGCTCGCCGGGGCGGGCGATGCGGTCCGGTCAAAGATGGACGTGTGGAAGCGCGGCAGTGGCGCCGGTCGAAAGGCCGGCTGGCTGGCCTTTGTCGGCGAGTGGCGCACAGCACTGGGAACATCCGGCAGCGCCGTGTCCACTGCGACCGAGACAGGCTGCGGCGGCGTGCGGTTGCTCTGCACAGCTGGCAGATGCTGCGGCTCGTCGAGCGAGCAGCGACGCCCGTTTGCGTGCGTGTGCAGGGGCGGCGTGTGCAAGGGCGGCGCGTGCAGGGGCGGTGCGTCGTCGCCAAGCGCCTCCTCGTCGTCCGTGCGCAGCCGCTGATGCTGGCCCCGGCCGCCGCGCTTCCGGCCGCTGACTGCGTCGTACACCTGGTTGCCCACCCGGCCCACCGAGGCGACAATCTGGCGCAGCGTGTTCGGCGGGGCACGCAGCGCTGGCGGGCTAAACGACCGCGACCGGTTGCGTGCGCGGGCTGGCAGAGGTCCGTCGCTCGGTCGCAGCGCTGGCCGCCCGCTGAGCGTGCCCGGCAGCTGCGGAGGCAGCAGGAGGCCAGACTGCACGTGTGGCAGCACCGGCGGCGCCATCGACGTAAATGGAATGCGCGTCCAGTAGTGCGTCTCGTCCTCGGACGCGGCCTGGGCGACGATCCTGCGACGGGTGGAGATGCCCGGCGCCTTGCCGCTGTAGCCCCACCCGATGTTGCTCGTGAAGTGCTTCTTGATGCGCTCCCATGTGCCGCGGAAGCGCGTCGAGTTGAGCAGCGTGGCGGCGCCACCGGCGTAGAGCTGGCCGTCTTCCCCTGTGGGCGCGGCTGCGCTCGAGAGGCCAGACGCCTGGTGCCGGCCCGCCGTGGGTCCACTCCGGGTCGCGGCAGAGTCAAAGTCGTCCTGCACAGACACGCCCTGCCAGCCCGTCAGGTGCTTGAGCGAGCTGCTGAGCCATCCGCCCCGGACGGCCTGGCGCGCTGCCGGCGCGTCGCCGCGCTCAAAGTGCCCCAGACTGGCACGCAGCACATGCAACGGCCCCGCCAACTTTTCGTCCTCGCTGTGGTCGTCCGAGCCGAGCATGGGACTGGCTCCGCCTGGAAAGTCGCCGTAGCCATCGCGGGCCCACGCCTCGCGCATGCGTCGCCGAGTCGCTGCGCGCTCCCGCTCCAGCTCGCGCCGCGCACGGCGCTCGTCCTTGCGCTGCTTGCGCTTGTGTGCGGCCTCGCGCGTGTGCCACACTCGGCTCCACGCTCGTCCGCCCAGCGCGAAGCAGAGCAAGAGGCCAACGATGACGAAGAGCGGCACCAGATAGAGGATGTGAAAGTGGCCGCCATCTGACTTCGCTGCGGGCGCTCCCGGTACCGCTGGGTCTGCTGCAGCAGCGCTCGTCTCGGCTGCAGGTGGGTCGGACATCGACGCTACCGCAGACGGCTCGATGCCCCCCATGCCCTGGTCGCCGACAGCGAGCGCTGGAACGGGAGCTGGCAGAGCCGAGACAGCTGGCGAGGCACCCGCAGCAGGAGCGACTTCTGTGCGCAGCGGGCTGGCCCCGGCGTCCAGGCCGCCGATCGGCAGGTCATCGACGAGGGTCTGCCGCGAGGAGAGGAGAGGAAAGTAGGACGCCGGCGCGCCGGCATGCGGCATCGCGGTCGGCGTAGTCGGAGAGGCGCGTGCAAGTAGGGCAAGCGAGAAGTGTGGTGTCCGTCGAGAGGGAATTTGCAGCTGCGATGGTGTAGAGGGAAGCGTGCAAGGCCGGCCTGACGATGAGAAAGCCGTGCGCCCATCGCGGCTCGGTCCACGCTGATGTGCAGCTGCCGCGGCGCTGGCGGGAGTGAGCTGCCGTTGCGAGACGCAGAGATCATCGGGGCGATGGTGCGGATGCCGGCGGCGTGTAGATCATGAGGCAACCGGTAACGGTCGACTAGCATGGATACGCGCAGTCGCTGGCCGAGCGAGCCGGGCGCGCGGCGCCCTGCCGCGGCCTCGGTGCTTGACGCTTGAGGCGTCGCTGTGGAGCGTACAGCGCTAGCAATCGTGCGTCCATGTCGCCCTGCAGCAGCGCCTTGCGACGGGGCGAGGAGCGAGAGAGCAGAGGCAGGCGCAGCCGTTGGCGTCTGCGATGCTGCAGGTGGAGACGTTAGTGCGAGCCGGCGCCCGGTAAGGCAACATGGCGGCTCGCGCTGCGTCACGGCGCGCTGGGCACCGCGGAATGTTCGAGGCAGTCGCGCGCCCAGCGCACCCAGCAGCTTGCTGGAGCTCCTGCAGCGGGTGTCCCTCGCCGTTCCGCCTCTCTTCCATCGACCAGGCGACGCAGCAAAGACGAGAAGCTCGCAGCGAACACAGCTGTGGATCTGGCGCTGCTGAGCGCTCCTCGCAGCAAAAATAGCAGGCTTTCACAATCTTAGTCGCGAGCGACAGCGCGAGGTCCTCCTGCACACTTGAGACGCGCTTGTGCTCTCTCGCGCCGTTCCACACTCGATTGGCCTCGTCGGCGCCGCACAAGGGACTCACACGCACGAATCCTCGTTGACTATCGCACCCGCGGAATATCAAGGCAATTTGTCGCCAGCCTGGTGGCCTCATGTCCGGGTGACGCCGTCGCAGGTGCTCGCTCGCCCACGCGCCCTGACGCACAATGCCCTCACGACGCCCACGGCGAGCACCCGGCCCGGCCTCGCACAAGAAACGCGCCGCTGCCACCGAAGCTGCAGCACCTTCATCCGAAGACGTACCTCGTTTCACTCCACTCGATGCGCTCGCAGGCCCGTCGGCGCCCCTCATCGCGCTGCGCTACCGCACGGCAGCCTCGCAGCACGCCGCCCTCGCACGCCTCGAGGCCTTCTACGAGGGCGCAGGCGCCCCTCGCAACGAGTACGTGACGCTCGCCGGCGTCAAAGAGCTCCGCGGTGGGCTCTGCCGCAACTACGAGGCCTTCAACCTGCCGCTTGACGCCGTGCATCGCTGGTTGGCGGCGCTGCGAACCGTCGAGGCGATAGCAGACGAGCCGCAGTGGTGGCGGCCGTTTTGCAACGACGAGGAGAATGAGCTGCTCGCCCATCTCGACGGCGCCGGTGCGCTTCACTCATTGTCTGGAGCGGGTGCCGGCGGCGACGATGACGTTGCGCCAGGAGCGGTGTCTCCAGCCGCAGACGCCAGCGCGTCACCTTCGCCCGCACAAGGTCCGGCTCGGCCGCTGTACGTGATCTCCGTCCTCTCGCTGGCTGCGCTGCCGCACGAGCTCTCGCACGCGCTCTTCTATCTCTCGCCGGTGTTCGCCCGTGCGGCAGGCGCGGCGTGGGACGGCCTGCCGCGCAAGAGTCGCAGCATCATCGAGCACGACTTGCGCCTGCGCGGCTATGCGCCCGAGGTGTGGGTCGACGAGTTCCAGGCGTACATCGCCGAGAACGATGCGGAGTTCGGTCAAGCCGCGCGCGCTGCCTGTGCCGAGGCAGAGCAAGAGCTGTCCGCGGCCCGGCGGCAAGCCAAGATCGACATCGGTGTGCCTTAAAGCGCCGCAACTACCTGCCGGCGCATCCCGACACACACCGTGCCACAACACGATTGCTCGACGAGCACGCGGCATGCGAGACGTGGTCCTCCAGCCGCAGCCACGGCTCCAGTCATCAGCGCGTCGAATGTGCGGCTCCGCGCCGCAGCGCGAGGTCAGCGACGCTGCAGCGCTGGGCGCTGGACCTCGAGTCAGCTTCAGGCTCGGAGTATCGGCGATGCGTACACAGCGCGTCCCCGTGCACAGCCCTGCACAACCCAACAGCTTCGAGAAGCAAGCAGTGTATTGAAGCGCCCGATGAGAGCCGCGGCGCCAGAGAGAAATCTACGAGTTGGTGCCAAACGTCGAGAAGCGCCGCACGATGCTCGGCCCGTACTCTGCGAGTGCACCGTCAGCGTGTGTCGGCCATGTGCGGCGTGACAGCGTGCTCACCTTCGTAGTCCTGCTTGGAGAAGCATGCAGACTGGAAGTCTGGGCGAGAGCGGCGCGTGAGCTATCAGCAGCGCCGAGTCACCTTGCCGGTGCTCACCAGGCAGGCTGCCGAGCAGCGAGCCACCGTACCAGACGCTGTAGAGATGCGTGAGCAGCAGTCGCGCGCACGGGTCCAGTCTACTCACGCGTAGCGCTGCATCTTGTGGCTGATGACGTTCACCTCCATGCCGGAGCTGCGCATGTGCGAGCCGCTGGCAAGCTCCGATGCCGCCAGGCGGCCGTCCACAATCGTGCGCAGGTCCTTCTTCAGCCGCTGTCCGAAGTGCGCAAACATGGTCGAGCCGCCCGAGAGCACGATGTTCTGTGCGCACGGGCGTGAGCTGGGAGGGCAGCCAGCCACTGCGCCGAGCACTCACCTTGTACAGGCCGCGGCGCACGTCGATCGGCGACTGCTGGATCACGGAGTCGACAACCTCGGGCAGCGGCGTGAGGAAGTCCGACGAGGCAATCTCCGGGTTGAAGAAGATTTCGGGAGCGAGGAAGCGCTCGTAGCCGACGTCGACACCGTACTTCTGCTCGCGAGGCGGGGCGTCAGCGCCAGTGCCGGCACGCAGGGTGTCTACTCACGCGGCCCGTGACGGCGTGCTCGCCCTCGAAGCGCTCAAAGTACTTGAGCGGGTCCTCGTCGTACCGCCTGAATTCGCGCACGATGTCCTGGCAGACGTAGCTGCGCGCCGGCCAGGGTCAGGACGGGCCACACGCGCCGGCCGCGCGACGCACCTGTAGTCCTCCTTGATCTTCTCCGCCACGCGCCGCGAGTCCTCCGGCGGGATGTTTGCCGCCTCGCCGCGCTCGCGCAGCAGCTGCTGCACAAAGTAGGTGATGTCGCGGCCGGCAATGGGAATGTGCTTGATGGCAGAGCCAATTACGTAGCCCTCGGCCTATGGAGGCGCGCCAGAGGCGATCAGCATGCGCCGCAGTCGCAAGGCGGTGGCCAGCACGCACCACCGGAATGACGTGCGTCACACCGTCGCCCGAGTCGATGACCGTGCCGGTGAGCGTGCGGTCGGTCACCTTGTTGCTGCTCCAGCTGGCCGCAAGCGCGAGCACGGCCTGCACGGCAATGTACAGGCCCTTGACGTTGAACGACTCGAACATGATCTCGGCGGTCGCCTCGCGGTTCTCCGGCGGGTTGAGCGGCGGCTCGGTCTGCAGGCGAGCGCGTCAGCGGCTGGCGCGAGCAGCGAACACGGCCACGTGCGATGCGGAGCAGGCAGTCAGAGACGGCCTGGGAGCCGCACCCAGCGCTCGCACCCAACGCTCGAAGCACAGGCCCCACTCACGAGCATGCAGTAGTGGTCTTCCGGCTCGGCGCGCAGATACTTGAAGAAGCACTGCTCCCAGAAGCGCTCCATCAGGTCCCAGTTCTCGACGAGGCCGTGCTTGATGGGCTGCTCCACTGCGGTGCGGATGCATGTCAGCCAGCGCTCCGGCGGATGCATCCTGCACCGCCCCTACTCACGCTGGTAGGTCTTCGAGTTCGCCACGGCCTCGTCGCCGATGAAAAAGTCGAGATCCTGCGGATGCGGCGCCCGCGCGTCAGCCAAGCATCGTCCACAGCTGTCGCGCGCCGCGACACACCTCGATGCCGCGCTTGCTCGCGAGGTTGCTGCCCGTCGTGCCTGCACCCTTGGAGGCACCCGTGGTGCGCGTGGCCGCCGAGGGGCCGCTGCCCGCTGCCGTTGAGCGCGTGGCGATGGCCGTCGGGAAGACGAAGGACGGCTCGGAGTTGCCTGCCCAGCCGGCCTTGGTGTAGCCCGTGCCATTGTCGAGCACGATGACGTTTGAGCGCGACATGGTGAGAGAGGGCCGCAGGGGCGTCGATCCGCAGCGGTATCAAAGGGATAGCCGACTCGGGCTTGGTCGCTGCGCAGAGAGCGAGACGCTGGGCGAGGGGTGCGAGCGGATGGTGGAGGGCAGTGGATGCGAGAGGCCGCACGGCGCGGCGCGGGGTTGGCGGGCGCGGCTCGGCGGCGATGGCTGGGCCGTGCGCCAGCGGCGGGCTGGGCGCCTGGGAAATGTCACGTGCAGCGCCGCGGCACTTGGGCCGCGGCACGGCGCCGCGAAATTTGAGGCCGGCGGCGTCTCTGCGGCGCTGGTTCTTCGCGCGACACCTGTCCTCCACTCCCCCACCCCATCACACACCATGCCGGAGCCCATCGGTGAGTGCGCGTGCGGCATGGTGCGGCGGCCTGCATGCTCACCAGCGCCTCTGCAGCCTTCTTTGGCCAGCGCATCGAGCCGGGCGAGGTCGTGCCCATCGACGCGCTCTCCGCGTTCTGCATTACGAACATCGCCTTTGCCGACGGCGTCAAGGGCAGCGCCCGCGCCGTCGTCAAGGTGCACCACACACAGCTGCCGCAGCTGCCCGATGACAGCGAGGACGAGGAGGATGAGGAGGAGGACGAGGAGGAGGGAGAGGGAGATTTCGAGGAGCAGGTGCTCACCGTGTGCCACCTGCACCCCGGCAAGGTGAGCCCGCCTGGCGCAATGCCGTGGCACGACGCTGTGGCGCGCTGCGCTTCGTGGCACGGCGCTGTGGAACGCTGTACTGACACCACATCGGCGCACAGATCGAGCAGGCACAGGTGAACCTGCACTTCTCCGCACACGCGCTCATCGGAGTCTCCGTCACTGGAGATAACGCTGTGGACCTCATTGGCAGCTACACGACATCTGCGGACGACGATTACGACAGCGACCCGGATTCGGACGAGGAGGGCTACAGCTCGTTCGACGAGTCGGACGAGGAGATCGATAGCGATGCCGTCGGCTCGCTGCCCGACCTCAAGCGCCGCATTGGCGGCAAGGTCGATGCCGCCGGAAGCGATGAGGAAGAATCGCTCGACGAGGACGAGCTCGACATTGCAGACCTCATGGACGAGAGCGAGGAGGATGAGAGTGCAGAGGAGGCCGAGGCTGCGCCGACGAAGAGCAAGAAGCGCAGCATCGCCGAGGTCGACGCCGACGCCTCGATGATGACCACGGCCTCCACCGCCGATGTCAGCGACTCTGAGCTGGCTGCTGCCGCCGCTGCCGAGGGCCTGGACATCAGCTCGCTGTCCAAGAACCAGCGCAAGCGCCTCAACAAGAAGCTCCGCACCGAGTCTGGCGAGGCGGCCAGCCCTGCCGTCGCCGAGCCCGCGCAGGACAAGAAGGCTGCTGCTGCCGAGAAGAAGGCCGCGGCTGCCGCCGACAAGAAGAAGGCCGCCGACGAGAAGGCCAAGGCTGCCGCAGCCAAGGAGGCCAAGGTGCGCCGGCCCCGGACGGGCATTGCGCGCGTGAGCTGACACACGCCGCAGTCCAAGAAGCAGAAGCTGCCGTCTGGCGTCGAGATCGAGGACAAGAAGATCGGCACGGGCCCGATCGCCAAGGCCGGCCAGCGCGTCGGCATGCGCTACATCGGCCGCCTTGTGAGCGGCAAGCAGTTCGACGCCAACACCAGCGGCAAGCCGTTCAGCTTCAAGCTCGGCCGCGGCGAGGTGATCAAGGGCTGGGACGAGGGCATCAAGGTGAGTAGCCGCGTGTGCAGCCGGCGGGCGGTGCAGCGGCTGATCCGTCTCTCTTCACGCAGGGCATGCAGGTCGGCGGCGAGCGCCGCCTGACGATCCCGCCGGCGAGCGGCTACGGGCGCAGCGGCGCACCGCCCGCCATCCCGGGCAACGCGACGCTCGTCTTTGACATCAAGATGGTGGACCTGAAGTAGAGCGGAGCGGCCCTCGTGTGAATGACAGCATTATAATGGTGCGGCTCACAGAGCGGAGACGTGATTCGGCGGCCGAGGAGTGATTGAGCGTCCCGGCCTGCTCGTGTGACGGGAGTGACACGTCGGGTTCGCTGCGAGCCTGCTTCGCCGTGTGCGCTTACGCGGCTTGAGCGTCGATACCACGTGTTCAGCGCAACGCACTAAGACTCTCGATGCTCAGCCTTTGTTCTGCTACAGGCGTATGGGGAGGCACGGACGTAGCCGAGCAAAACCACTGCGTGCGATGGAGAGAACGACGAGCGAACGTCCAGGCGCGCGCCGCGCACTTTACGCCGCGCGGCGCGTGCGCGAGAGAGCACGGCGCACAGCGTGCGCCTTGCACCTCTCTTCCACTCCGCATCACGGCCTGCTCCGCTAGCGACTCGCCAGCATGCGACCTCGAGCTCCGCATCTCGATGCATCTCAGCCTGGCACCCTTTGTGCTGGCCGCAGACCTCGCGCCTACCAGTGCCGCCGCCGCGCCGCCGCCACCGCCCGCGCCAGAGCGGCTGCTCACCAGCCGCGCGCTGCCGACCCCTCGGACCGACGACGCGGGCGGCCTGCGCTGCTCACCCCATGCTCGTCTTGATCTCGTCGACCCGGTGCTGTAGGGCACGAGAAACTCGTCACCGTGACCCGCCTCGCAGGCAGGCTGCAGCGCGTGTGCGCGGACCGGTCAGCAGACCAGCTCACGGCGCTGGCGCTGCTCGAGCTGCTGCATCTGCTGCACTCGACCCCCGCTGCACGCCCGGCGGCCTGAGCCGCCATCCGCCGCCGACGCCTTGCGTACGCTTCGCCGGCAGACGCTGCGAGCGCGACCGACACGATTTGCCTCGGCCTCGGTGAGTGAGTTGCACGACTCCACGCCGAGACGAGCTGCTGCAGAGGGTGCTGTGTGGAGGTTCTGCTCTCTCTCAACGCTTTGACACATGTGCCAGCACAACCGCGAGGTGCTGCGCCGTCCGTTCCACGTCGCGCAAGGCAGGGTGCATGCATGTCGACGCGAGCTGCGCGTGCCCGCCGTCTGGACGCTGCTGCTGTCGCTCGCCAGCCATGTCGCCGTGCAAGACCGCATGCGAGCGTGAGCTGTCTGCGTCGCGCCTGCCCATCAGTTTCTCGCGCGCTGTGTCCATGGTCGTCGGATTGCTCGACGGACGCACCGCGCACCTCACGCCAGTCTGCCAAATCGAGGACGCGGCGGCACCCTGCGCGGCCTCCCGCCTCTCCGGCGAGGTCTTCGAGACGCAGGTGGCAGTAGACGCCAGCGAGCTGGTGACCGAGGTCATGGACGTGTCCCGTCGCCGCGAAGTTCTTGCGACGAAATCATCGAGCTGAGCAGCGAGTAGCGGCCCTCGTTGCCGTCGCCCAAGACGGCATACTGTACAGCGACGCCGCGTGCGCCTTCGCTGCAAAGGCCGCCGCGCAATGCCTTTGCAGCCTCTGCGTCGCTGCCCCTGGCGCTGCCGCTGCCGTCCGTGCGCTATTTCGGGAGCGGGTGCCGAGCGTCGAGCGCCAAGAGCGCCGAACGTCGGCACCCCGGCCGGGCAAAGATGCAGGCGAGGCCGCGGGTCTTCCGCCGGATGCTTTCTCCACGGCGACTTGAGGGGAGATGCGTGGGAAGCGCCTCGGATGCCGGTGCCGCGCCACCTCGACACGCGGCTTGGTGGCGAACGCCTCCACGCAGAACAGGTGGCTGCCGCGCCGAGGACGCCGCAACCGCGCCGCCGCGCTGGGCCGCAGTGCGTCGTCGTCCGAGCAGGGCCGAACAGCCATGGGCTGCTGTCACTCGCACTCAGAAGCAGCGGCCGCCAAGATGGAAGAGCTGCCGAGCTTAGCTCGAGCCGCCGGCAGCGCCGCTCCGCACAAGCGCACGGGCGGCAGCCGCAGCGCTGGTGCCGTGGAAGCCAGCAGGAAGCGTCAAGCACCTCACGCCGAGCCTTTCCTCGGCACGACCGGCCGGACTTAGCAGCAATGAGGCGCACTCATGCGCACCCTCACCTCTTGCCTCCCCGTCACGGCGCGGCGACCACGCCGGAGATAGCAGGCCGCCGAGAGAGCAAGACGCAGCCGCAGCGGCACATGGGCGAGGGTCCCATCGGTACCGCCGTGCTGCCGAGCACGGCGCCGCGGCAAGGGGCCGCGGATGCAGCCCAGGGCCGCTCAAGGGCACCGCCGCAAGCCAAGCACGCAACAGCAGCGCAGCCACGCTCCCCCTTGGTGCTGGGCCCTGTGCCGCGGCTACGGCTCTGCCAGTCCGATGTCGACGTCGCCCACGTTGGCCCCTGGACGTCCGCGGATCCGTTGCGCCTCGGGCCGACCCCAGAGTGGCACCGACTCGACGTGCACCCCTTGACCATCACCTCGCCACGCCGCCGCCATGGACTAGAGAGTCACCTCCAGAGCCCGCCCTCTCCACCACTCCATCACCACCCCTGACACCGCCGTGCGAAGCTCTGCGCGTGCCGCCTCGTCTCGCCACGCTGAGGTGCACCACGACTTCGACACGCCCCGCACGCACCGCCGCCTCTTTCGCCACCTTCTCATCGCTGTACGACTGTCCTACTGAGCACCGACGGCGGCTGCGGTATCGTCCTTCGATGCGACAGCCGACGTCCGCCCAGGGCGAGCTGGGCGGAGATTTCCGCGAGACGCCGTCGCGAGAGCAGGTGGCGCGCGCCGCGCTGCGCTCGCTCGGCGCACCTTCCTTCTCCCAGCCACCAGCTGCGCGTGGCAGCCGCAGCTTCCATGCCGGCAGCAATGCTGCATCAGGATCCGGCATGGTCCGACCGACGGACCTGTCGCAGCCGGAAACGCACAGCCAGCCGCGCTACGCAACGTATTCGCAGAGCGCTCCGAAGCAGGCTTACCACCAAGACGCGCCGGCCTTCTCACCCTCGCCTTCGCCGGGGTATCCCTTCCACGCTTCTTCGTCGCACTATGAGATCGGCGAGCAGAGCTCGAGCAGGCAGGACCGCCTACAGAACGACTCTCCAGCCAGCCGCATGCCCAGCCTGAGCTTCTCGTGCAGCAGTCGCGGCTCGGCGCCGCTGGTGTCGCCTCCAGAGCCAGGCGCCCCATCTGGGACATCCGCCACCGAGCGCTCCGAAGCATCCATCGAGCGCGTCGCTGCTGCCCTGCGACTGCGCCCGTGCGACGTGCGCGGCGCTCTGCGTGAAGAAGACGAGCAGCGCTCCGGTCCGCCGGCCACAGCCGCAGCAAGAACCGCAGCATCACAGCCCACGGACGAGCCTGCGCAGAGGTCGCCTCCTGGAAGTCCCAAGCTTGACCGGGACACGTTGCGTCTCGTGCTGGAGGCGATGCGAGCAGAAGACCAGGTGAGCGGCCGTGTGTTGTCGCAGGATTCGTCCTGCTTCACCTCGTTTGCTGACGCACCTCTGCAGCGTGTCGCCCAGCTCGCCTTGTATCGCACAGAATACCTGCGCGCCGAGTCGTTGCGCATGGAGATCGAGCTACAGCAGCAGCGACAGCACGCAGCTGCCTGGCAGAACGATGGGGCGCTCAGCCCGCGCCATCGCTTCCGACTCTCCTCCTCGCCGCCGCCACCGTACGCCGCACTCCCCGTCGACGAGGTTTCGTCGCGGACGTTTGACGACCGAGATGCCCATCAAGATTACGCCATGTATGCTGGGTCCAGGCTTTGGCCAAGACCGTCACCCAGTGGCGCAGTGATGCCACCGCCCGACGTGCCTAGCGAGCAACGGAGGCTCTCTCAGCGACAGTCCGAGACGCTCCCAGGCACCGGAGCGGCGGGCCAAACTGCTTTCACTGGCGCCGCATCTCATAGGCAGACGCACTTCTCTAGCCCGATGCGGAGCCCGCTCCCCAGCCTTCCGCCGCCTGCTCAGCAGAGCCTGCGCCACAGCTTCTCCTCGGCGCCCACACGCACGCATCGGTCCATGGACGACTATGCGCTGGCGCGTCCGCCCTTGCCTGGGAGCGGCTCTGGCCATGGCATGGCCGGGCCAGACTCCTTCGCTTTGCGCCCTCGCAGCGTCTCACATGCGCAAGATCTCTACCAACAGTCGGCAGCGCAGCTTCCCATTCGCGGTCTGCCTCACAGACAGATCCGCGCAGCTGCGCCAACGCTGCGCGACGACTTGTCGCACATAATGCGCTCGCCGGAACTGCTGTCTGCGAGTTCACTTTCGCTGGCCGACAGCTTTCCCTCGGAGCGAAGGCGCGACAGCATCGATTCGCTCGCCGGCTCGAAGCGGCCACGTTCTCCCGACGGCGAACATGCCGAAGAGCGGCTCTGCGGACGAGAGCGGCACACTGGAGGACCGTGCGCCAGTCCAGAGACCTGCTCCAGCTTGGCTGAGGAGACCAACGAGCTCGCCGAGTCGGATGGCCTTGGCGCGGCCCAGTCTCCGCGCCCCATGCCCAGTCACCTCGAGATCATGGCGCGCCTCAAGCACAAGGTCACTGCTCGACTTGCGGCGAAGGAGCAAGCTAGCCGAACGGCTCAAGGCGGCGAGTATGCCGTCAGGGCTGACTCTGGCCGGAAGCGCACGGCTCCGCCAGCGCCCTCGTCGGCCCCTGGGTCCCCGCCACAGCAGCCAGGCGGCACGACTCGTCCAAGTAGCGCTGCGGCACGCCGTCGTGCTGCTAGCCACAGTCAAGCTCTCGAGACACCCATCCCCGCCGCCGGATCCGCCAGCACGCAGAAGGAGTCGCCAGGTGTGCTCGCCGCTCTGCACTCCGCGGGCGCGGCATCGAGTGGTGGCATTGAGGCACTCCTCACAGCTGCATCGCTGCAATCGCCCGGAGCGGGGTCAGTGCGCGGTGGCGGTGCGCTCGCCGAGCCCGCCAGTTGATTCTCCGAGGGCCGAGCTGAACTGACGCACGCCACATGACATCCGCTGTGCCCTGTTGCGGCAACGCATCGCTCGCGTCGTAGCCTGACCGCTTATGTGCTTCTCGACGTGCCCTAATGTCATCGATCCAGATTGCAGCTGGGGGCCAAGACACAGCGGCCCTCCTTGCCTGACAGCGGACTGGCGGGTATCGTCGATCTGGGATAGATGGCTCGGCTGCACGCGCCCGCGCGCGCTGCTCTGCGGCTCCGCTACGTGTGCTCGGCGGCATCGCTTGGAGCGAGCGGTGGCGAGGTGGCTATGCCGAGCCCTAAGTAGGACCCTCGAGCGCGGCCCGCGCGATGCTCGAGCGCTGCAGCAGCATAGGCGGGAAAGAGTGGATGCTGTTCGTGTAGATGGGGTCAGTGTGTGACATGAGCGAGCCACTGGCGGACTCACGGTGATGCGGCCGCCTCGTCTGGCGCCGCCCGAGCCGGCAGCTCCGTTCTCAAGCGCAGGAGACTGCCTCGGACTGCCCTCCGAGCCAGGAGAGAAGCCATTGTTCTGCAAGACCTCGCCGATGGGCAGGGCCGGCGAGGCTTCGTCTGTGCCTGGTGTGCGCAGGTGCTGTGCCTGGCTGGGTGGCGACGCAACCGGTGTGCGAGACAGGTTGAGCAGCGTCTTGCCGGGCCGCAGGGCCCGGAGGAAGCTGTGCTGTGCCAGGCCCGCGAGGTTGTACACCGCTGCCGGGTGTATCAGCGCAGGCGCGAGGATGCGCACGTCTGCTGAGACTCACTGCCGTATCTTGCATCGCCCTGAGCCTGCATGTCCACGTAGTGCTTCCAGAGGCCGTGCAGGTCTCCCTCGGCCCTGGCATCTGGCCCAGCTACAGTGTCCCACGGCGGCGGGGGCATGCTCCAGTCGTCTACCTCCTCGCCGTTGTCCTGTCGCACGCGCACGCGCATGTGGCTGCGATCGCTGGAAAAGAAGCGCAGGAAGAGAGACGCTGGCACAGCGCGGAGAAGCGGTCGCAGCGTTGCGGCCGTTGCTGGCGTGTCCATCAGCTCGGGGTGGAATGTCTCTTGGAGGTAATGCGCCAGGGGCACGGCGTGCGGCGTCTCCTGTGGCCCCGACAGCGTCGAGTCGTAGTCGTACACCCAGGAGAACGACTCGGTCACTGGTGCTTCAGCAGCATCTGGCCCCGTAGAGGGCGCCACCGGTGGGCTGGCAGTGGCGCTCGCATCGCCAGAGGCGCGCGGTGACTGCACGGAGCGTCGGAAGAACGAGGAGGGATGAGACTTGCGCGGCAGAGGCGGCGAAGAGGCCTTCTCAGGCGGCAGCATGGTCCCCTCTCCTGAGTGAGCCTGCTGCGCAGTACTCTGCGGCGGGTCAGCCTGCGCTTGCGGCACCCCTCGGGCCTACTCACTGCTCGATGGCGCGTGCAGCTGACCAGAAGAAAGACGTGGTAGTCCCACATGACGCGCCCGTAGGGGTCCGAGCTGGCTCTCTGATGCCAGAGCATCGCCTGGCCGCGCATGTGCATCAGCAACCAGTGCTGTCCCACCTATCAAGCGCCAGACTCACCCGCTGGTCAATGCTGCTGACGACCACGGCCCAAGCATCCCAGCGCTGTGAATCGCCGCTGGCCCTGGCCGCTGCGTTGCGCTGTGCCAGCTCGACGCTGAGCTCGGCGCACAGGCGATACACGTTCTCCTCGCAGTAGCACGCCGCATAGCGCTCGGCGCAGGCAGCCGGGAATGCAGGCGGCAAGGGCGCGGCGGGCCCGCTGCTGGCGGAGCCCGCGGCCGTGCCGTGCGGCGAAGATAGGCCCGGCACGGGCGGCCGATCGGCCTCGCTGGCGCGTGAGGGTGATCCCGTGGCGGAGCGAGCACGGAGCCTGCGCAGGGAGAACGAGCGGGCGCGTGACGTCGACGCTGGTGCGCCTGGCACTGACGCGCCGAGCTCGCCAGGCTGCGCCGACATGGCCGGGGCAGCGATAGGTGCGGTCCTGCAGCGCGGCGTAGATGCGCCGTCGACCGTGCGCTGGGGCGGGCCGGACAGCGGCTCCAGCGCGGACGGGACGTAGTGCGGGGTGCCAGCTGCGCCTGCAGCGCCTTGGACTGGATGTGGTGGTGCGGACGATGGAGGCTGCCGGCGTCTCTGCTGCTGCTTGTTCCCGCGCCGGCACGGCTCGCTCCCGAGGCGTTCATCTATTCAGCCGGCGTGCTGCTGTGGCGCGCCGCGCCGCGTCGCGCGCTGCCGCGGCGCGGGGCGCGCGTCTGATCAGCCGCGGCCGGCGCAGCGTGCGGTACGGCTGCCGTGGCGCCGCGTGTGCGTGCCGTCCCCACGTTCGGCGACGCTCGCCGCGCGCGCGCGCGCACGGGCGCTGCGGCTCGCGGACTGCATGCTCTCCTCTCTCCATCACCCTCGACGCCCGGCACGCGCTCCACACCTCCGACCGCAGCTGCGTATCGCCTCGTCCAAGCTCCATTCGCCATGCCGCCGCGCCGCGCAGCCGCGACCGACAGCGTCGAGGCGCTGCTGTCTTCGCTCGACGGCCTGCCCTCCTCGCCCGCGCCCTCGAGCGCCGCTGCTGCGCCAGGCTCCGCTGCGCCGGCAGCCACTGGCGGCGATGCGCGCAAGGATGCGCAGAGCCTGCTCGACGAGATGGACGACCTCGTGCAGCGGCGGGCGCCCACGCCGCGCTCCGCAAGCAGCGCCGCGCCGCGCACAGCGTCGCCGGCCCAGACCACGCCGCTCAGATCCTCCCTCGCCAGCGGCGCCTCTGCCGCGCCGACGGCAACTGCCGGCTCGGTCGCGCAGCCGCCCGCACCTCTGGCGTCTCAACCAGCGCCGCCGCCGCCTGCCGCCGCTGCGCCGGCACAATCCAGCAGCTGGTCTCCCTGGGCCAGTGCATGGTCCAGTGCCACCAAGCTCGCCGAGTCTGCCCGCGCAGAGCTGGAGAAGCTCGAGAAGCACGCGCCGGAGCAGGCGCGTGGCCTGGGCGCCAAGGGCTGGGGCATTGCCCAGGGCGTCAAGGGCCTGGTGCAGGAGGGCAACTGGGAGAAGATCGGTGAGCCCTTGCCCGCCCGACGCGGCCCTGCAGCGGCTGCTGGTGGACCACCGCTGTGGCCAAGCCGCGCGCAAGAAGCAAGAACTGACGTTGCGCTGCTCCAGGCGGCGATCTTACCGCAGCGTCGCGGCGCGGTTTGGAGGAGATCATCAACGCCGTGGCGCCGCCCATCGCGGCACACGAGGTGATCCAGGTCGCACTGAGCCACGGTCAGTCGTCCCGCGCTGAGCTCCTGCGGACGGGCTGCTGAACTAGCGCGCGCCTTGCAGACATGGTCGGCTACGACGGCATCTCCGACGTCGTCTTCCAGGTGCTGCAGCGTGTCATGGAGACGCAGCACGTCGCGGCCCGGTCCGGCGGCGGCAGCGAGCAGCAGCTCGTCGTGAACCGCGCGCCGGGCGCGGTGCGGCACAGCAGTGATGGCGGCGTCGTGGCGCTGGAGGGCGAGAACGAGGAGCGGGCCTTCCATGCGGTGCGCGGCTGGGACGCTGCCGCGAAGCGCGCCAGGGTGAGCACTGCTGTGGGCCGTGCCATGCGTCAGACAAGCAGCTGACTCCGCATGCGCAGGCTGCGATTGCCGAGCTCGTCGAGGGCCATGAGGCGCCGGCACCCTCAAGCTCGAGCGTCGCGCTACCCATCACACACTGTCCCGTCTTTGTGCGGATCCAGCCGGTGCTTGCGCCGCTGCCCTTCGGCGCAGAGCCCACAGCATCGAGCAGCGCAGCGGCCGAGCAGTTCTCGTTCATCGTGATGCTGCACGATCCGACGCACGCATGCACACACGAGACGCTGTCGCAGAGCGTGCCCGCCGCCTGGCGTGAGTGCTGCGGTGGTCTGTGCCCGTCCAGATCTGACACGGGGCGCACGCGCAGTGCAGATCCCCTTCGAGGAGAATGCGTGGGTGGAGCAGGCGCTCGTCGACGTGCTGCAGGGCGCGCTGAGCGCCATCGGACAGGTGCGTGGGCTGGAGTACGTCTCGGATGCTGCTGGTGCATCACATGCTGACGAGTGTGCGGCCAGGACTACGTGTACGCCCGCCAGACCGGGCGCACACGGCGCGAGGCCGAGCTGCGCAGTGCTGAGGCCGGAGCCACACAGCCAGGGCCCGCCCAGCCGGCGCCGGCGTGAATGCATACGTACCCGCGCATCTGCCTGTCTGGCAGCGACCCTGAGTAGGGAAGAAAGGATGCTCGCTGCGATTTCAGAACCGGTGTGCGCAGCCGCCAGGCGCGGGATCCGAGAGAGGAGCAGGGAAGCGGAGCATCGTTCGGTCACCTTCGAGACGATAGCACAGCCACGCTTCGACGGCGTGGGAACAACCAGCAGGATGCAGCGGGCCTCGGCCGCCGCGCCGCGCCGCGGGTGACGACTGACGACGTGCCGGCGTGCCGCGCCACGAGCCACCGCGCCGCCGCGGCGTTGCGCAGCAGACTGCTGCGCAGCACGCGCGACAGTCGTTTAGACTGATGATGCGCCTGAGGGTCCATACTCGCGCCGTGGCGCGGCCGACGGTGAGCTCATCCCTGGCCCCACGCCGCAGCAGACCCTGCGTCACACCACCACCTCACCTACCATCCCGCCGCACGCGCTGCACCCCCGCACCTACACCCTGATGGACCCACTCCCGCTCTACGGCGCGCCGCCGCTGCTGCCGCACAGCGCAAAGGCCACATCGGCGTCGCCCACGCTCGCCGCGCTCACACGCCACCCGTCGCCGTTCGACTCGCCGTGGGACGCGAGCGTCTCGTCGCCGGCATCGTCGCGCGACTTTGGCTCGCCGGCCCTCTTCGACTTCGACGCCGCGCCCGGCTCGCCCAACGGCACCGCGACGCTGCCGGGCTCTGACGCCGCCGCGGCCGACGACTTCGCCTGGCTTGCCGGCGTCGATCTGTTCGGCGCCGCCGGCGCAGACGTCCCTGCCACGCTGCAGGCATCTGCCGCCGCGCCTGCCGACCGCCAGAGCGAGCTGTCGCACGAAGTTCAGAGCCTGCTCTCCGCGCAGTGCGGCCTGCCGCAGGACTTCTCGTTCGACACCACCCTCTCGACGCGCGGACACAACGCTCTGCTCACCGTCGCATCGCGTGGCGTCAGCCGCAGCAGCAGCGCCTCGTCGCTCCTTGCTCCGACGCCCACGTCGACTGCACCGCGCTCGCCGTCGCCGGCCAACTCGCAGGACTCCACCATCGCGTCCCTCGCAGCGGCCTTCGTGCGCGAGTACGCGCGCACGCACGAGAGCGCCGATACGGCCGTACTGCTGCGCGCCCTGGCAGTGGCCGGCATCGAAGTGAGCATGCACACCGTCGAGGACATCCTCTCGGCCTACGCCGCCGGTGCGCCGTCCCCGACCCTGCGCTCGGCGACGCAGTCGCGCTCGCCCTCGGTTGCCTCGTTCAGCAGCTCCAAGGCCGACTCGCTGTCGGCATCCGTCACCGACTGGCCCGCTCCGCAGAGCTGGACGACGCTCGACGCTCAGTCCGTGCTGTCCTCTTCGGCGCACTCTCCGCTCGGCGATGATGCGGCGGCTGCCGTGACGACAATCGGTGGCGAGCGCGCCCCCGCCTCGGGCAAGGCTCGATCTTCTCTTCACACGACGCACAAGGACATCACGGTCGGCGGTCGCTCGTCGCAGCCGCTGCTCTCGACCCGCGGCTCCGGCGCAGCCCGTCGCTTCACCTGCTCCGTCTGCTCAAAGGTCTTCGAGCGTGCATACAACGCACGCACGCACATGACGACGCACCTCTCGGCCGACGCGCGCGAGCGCCCCTTCGTCTGCCCGTGCGCGTGCGGCAAGGACTTCGCACGCAAGCACGACGCCATGCGTCACTACCGCAGCGTTCACCTGCGCAAGGGCGAGGCCGTCGACGAGGAAGCAGTCTCCCGCGCCGTGCAGGGCCACGCCAATCCGACGGCCGGCGAGATGATGGAGGAGACCTAGTCTTTCCGTCCACCACCCGTTTGCAAGCGTACAACGTGAGTCGCCTCGCTCGCCACTCTCTCCTCTCTGTCTCTGACTCTGGCTCCCAGCGCACTCCACCTCTCATCGGCCTCCGGCCCTTGTGCTCCGTGCCCGACGTCCGCGTCGCGCCACGCACTCGCGCTCAAGCTCGGCCTCGCTGTCTCCGCCTCTGCCCGGACGACCTGCGCCAGCTGCGCCTCGCGCCCTCGAGTCTCCGCCCCGCGTGCCTTCGCCGCACGTGCAGCGCAAGACCCGAGTGTCCGCGATCCCACCCCTCCAAGCCTGCTCAGCTGTCAGCCTCCGCCTCGAACGTTCTCACCCCATCCCGCCGCCTCCCTCCCACCACCCCACCACCCGAGATTCGCTCCCGCGACTTGTAATGAGTCGGGAGCCGTCGGGCGTCGAGCCTGCTGAGCCCCATCCTTCCCTTGTTCCCTTCCCGTCGTCAATGTCCATGCTCTGACCGTCCCACCGTGTGATGCCCGTCGCGGCTATGTGTCCGCGCCGTGACTCTCTGCTCGTCTGTATGCTGCGCCGCGCTGTCGCCGCGCGACCCCGGACTGGCCGCGTGTCTTATCGACCTCAGCTGGCTCTGTGCTCCATCATTCCATTCCGCTCACGCCTATCTGGCCTCGGACGCCAGAAAGGGCTGCTGGCTCTGCGCTCAGTGCGCCGTCGACTGACTAGCCGCCGCAGAGCGCGCTGGCGGTCATGTTCGCAAGCTCATGACGAGATGTCAGCCAGAGCAATGACTCGGTGCCTGTGGTGGTCCTGCTGCCTTTGCTCGCTCTTGGGGCCCACTCAGGGGCGAGAAAGCCAGTCTGCCAGTAGCTTTGGACGGCTGCTGGGTGCAAGGCTCTGCCATGGCGAAAAGTATGCGCGACAAAGCGCATGCTCGCCTCGGCGCAGATAATGCGCGGCGCTCGCGCGGCCGCTGCGCCGCTCATTTCTTGTCTCGGCCGCGCCGCCGCGCGACAGTTTTGGCAGGAGGCCGAGCTCGCCCCAGTGCGAACGCCGAGCTGTTTGGCATGCGTTGAGCTGGGCATCCATCGGCCTTGCATTCAGTCTGCGCCCATCTGCCACAGACGCACATGGCCACAGTGGCTGCACGGAATCAGAGGTGCGTGAGCAGGCTCCCGATGTGACAGTCGAGGTGAAGAACCGAGACAACCTTTGCAACCCCCCGCAGCGACGCCAGCTACATGCGCTGCACACAGGATGACGACAGGCTCTATTCGTGCGGACGTCAGCGTCGCAACTCATGCAATGCCATCGGTCTGAGATTGAGAGGTGCAGCGCTTGAGTGCGCGAGCTCGATGCGTCTAGGCGGAGGCAGCCCCTGACGAGAGCAGGCAAAGCAGCCGTGACCTGGCGAGACTGCAAAGCAGAGAGCACTAGAGCTACAGTCCTAAGACAAGGTCTGATTGCTGCATGACTGCAGTCAGGGCCTCTCGAGCGCGCCGCTGAGGTCATGCTGCGCTTCCGGGTCTCGTGAGAGGGCGCTCGCAGACGTTGTGACGTCCGGATGCAACAGGCGGAATCAGGGGGCTTCAGATGCAGTGCAGACCGGAGCAGGAAGAACAGCGCGTCTCGACGGGCCGGCAGCGGCCATATAAGGGGGGCGGCGTGAGAGCGCCGCCGCGGTGTTTTTGGAAGCAACGCCCGCAGACAAGAATATTCTCGAACGTTGCTGCGAGGCGCCGCGCGGAGAGACGCGCGGCGCGCACGGACTCGATGGCTGCTGACACGCGCGGCCAGGATCCACCTGAAAGTGACTGGGCTGGTTGCGCCGTCTCGCCACGACCTTCCCTTTCCTCCCCCGCTTGCGCAGCCCGCCGTTCATCCCGCCTCGTCGGAGACAGTCCTTCTCAGCATGCGCGTCGCCGTCATCGGCTCTGGCGTCACGGGCATTGGCGCCGCGTGGGCGCTGAACGAGCACTCCGCACACGATGTCGTGGTCTTCGAGTCTGCGTCGCGCGTGGGCGGACACAGCAACACGGTGCGCTTCGAGCCTCCCTCTGGCGCGCCAGCATGCGACGTGGACACGTGAGTGCGACATGGGGGCTGTGCATGCCGCCAGACTGTGGCGTCGGCGGGAGAGCGAGGTGGAGCTCTCACATCGGGCCGGTGCTGCCGCGTGCCCAGGCGACGCGTGAGTGGAGCGAGGCTGATCAACCTCTCTCAGAGGCTTCATCGTGTTCAACGAGGTGAGGCCGACTCTCTCGGCCATGCCGATGGAGTGTCGCTCACCCGGCTGCGGCAGGTCACGTATCCGAACTTTCTGCGCTTCCTTAAGCACCTCGAGGTTCCAATCCTCTCCTCCGACATGTCCTTTGCCGTCTCGCGGTCGTTTCCTCTGACGGCAGCCCCGCCTCTGCCATCCGCGACGAAGGGCAGCGGCCGGTCAGCAGCACTGCAGCGTGGCGCATTTGAGTGGGCCGGCTCAAGCCCAGCGGCACTCTTCGCACAGGGGGCGAACCTGCTGGACCCAAGCCACTGGCGCATGATCTGGGACATCATCCGCTTCAACTACCAGAGCCTAGACACGCTGCGAGCCACTGCGCAGCGTGCCGATGCCAAGGCGGGCGGCGCCGGACAGAGCATCGGCGCTTGGCTCGACGAGCGGGGCTACGGCGACTCGTTCCGCAACAACTACCTCATCGTGCGTAGAGCCAGCGCACATCGCGCGGCTATTGACTCACGCGCCTCACTCGCAGCCGATGACGGCGTCGATCTGGAGCACGCCGCCAGGCCTGGCCTTCTCTGCCTTCCCGGCCTTGACCCTGCTGCGCTTCATGCACAACCACCACCTGCTGCAGCTGCTCGATCGACCGACGTGGCTCACCATCGCGGGCGGCTCGCACAACTACGTGCGCCGCGTCGTGTCCAAGCTGCCCGACGGCGCCCTGCGCCTGGGAGACGCCGGCAACGTGCACAAGGTGCGCAGGGATGGCGAAAGGTGGATCGTCCACGTCGGCGACCACTCGGAGCACTTCGACCGCGTCATCTTCGCCTGCCACGCCGACACGGCCTTGGCTCTCCTCGATGAGTCCTCCGATCCCGACGCCTCTGCCGCGCTTGCAAAGTTCAAGTTCAGCGAGAACGAGGCGGTCCTGCACGCCGACGAGCAGGTGAGTGCGCCGGTTTCGCCCTCTACAGCGCAGCACTGACGGCCCGTGCGCCAGCTCATGCCTGTGCGCCGCATTGCATGGTCCGCATGGAACTTCCTCGCCACGTCTAAGTCGCGGCGCTCGACCGACGAGGACCGCGTGACGCTGACGTACTGGATGAACCTGCTGCAGTCGCTGCCCGAGGAGAAGCACGGCCACGTCCTCGTCACGCTCAACCCTGCGCCCGGCGCCGAGCCGCGCGAGCACCTCGTGCGCGGGCGCTTCAAGTACACGCACCCGCTCTACACGCCCGACTCGGTCGCCGCACAGGCGCGCCTGCGCACGCTGCAGGGCCGGCACGGCGCACACTACGCGGGTGCCTGGACGGCGTACGGCTTCCACGAAGACGGATTCAGCTCTGGCCTGCGCGCTGCATGCGCGCTCGGCGCCAACGTGCCGTTCAAGCCGCAGCCTGCCGAGCGCCCTCTGCCAGCCGTCAGCACTCTTGCTTGGCTGCTCATCGCCTCCTTCGAGGCACTGCGGAGACGTGCCGCGCCTTGGCTCGCACTCGCCATCGCTCCGTCGATCATCGTCTTCGCACTGCTCGTCGAGCTGGCCTCGGTGCCTGCCGGCCTTGTCCTGCCGGGACTGAGGCAGTCGCCAAGACTGCAGGAGGTGAGAGAGGTGCGCCGCTGGTGGGTCGAAGAAGTGCAGGGCAAGTGGCTGTGAAGCAGCTCCTGCTGGGCGATCGCGACCATCGCCTCCTTCTAGAGACAGGTCCGAGCAATGCAATTGTATTAGACCTTCCCTTGACTTGACGCACTTGCGGCTGCGCAGTGCGCCTATGCCGTGCGGCGAGGCATGCGGCGAGGCATCATGCCGTCTGCTCGTCGGGCTGTGCGCGTCCGAGGACGTCGTTGCGCCCATCGACGAGCATGCGAGCGCCCTCGGCGTCGCCCGCCTGCACCAGCTGCGCCTCCTTCAGGCGCAGAATGTGCGCATTGAGGAAGTAGCGTGCGAGCTTCTTGGCATCGATGTGCTGGGCGCCGGAGATCATGCCGAGACATTGCTGAGCACGCGTAGACCGGTCAGTCAGCGCCGCGGAGCATGGGGCACACCCGCAGAAGCACGCACCGACGAGCCGCAGTTGCACTGGAACGGCTGCGACATGTGCCACTCGGTCGAGGGGTAGACTGTGGAGGAGGTCAGCAGGCCAGAGGCGCAGAGGCGGAGGCTCGAGACTCACAGAACGTCAGCACGTCGCCCTTGGCAATGTCTTGCTCCGCGCGCGCGGCCCAGGCTCCACGTCCCGATGCCTCGGAGGCGGGCGTCGAAACGTCGAAGCGCACTGATGGCGAGCAGGAGTGGTTGCAGTACAGCAGGCTGAGAAGCAGAGGCGTGCAAGGTCAGCGAGGCCGGAAGCAGGTTGTGCACGCCTTCCCGCAGCGATGGTCTGCACAGCTGGCCTGGCATGCTCCCGGACTCACTCGCTGTTTAGCTCGATGTGGCTCTGCTCGCTGACCTGCACTGTCGAGTAGCGGATCTGCGAGCTTGGCGTGGCCGCTGTCATGGCTGCGATGACCTCGTCCTTCTTGAAGCTCTGCATCGCGTGGGGCGTCAGAGGAGAGTCGCCTGAGGAGGCGCGAGGGCACAGCAGCAGTGGCAGCTGCGGCAGCCGTGCGGTCTGCTGCCGACAGAGCGGTCCAGGGCGCTCCACTCACCCGCAGCGCGACGAGGCTCGAGTTGTACGCGCCTTCCTCGAAGCGCACCTCGAAGAGCTCGGGGTGCGTGGGGCGGTAGGCGCGCGACGCGGCCATGCCGTCGCCGTTGGAGAGGTGTCCGGCGTATGTGCTCGGCGAGCTGGCGACGTCTGCGGACGACATGCTGGGCAGGAGACGTGGACGGCGGGGCGAGAGGTCGGGCGGTGGTGGTGGTCGTGCGCGGGAAGAAGTGCGGCGTGCGGCGCCCCGCATGACGGCGTGCGCGCGCCGCGCGCCTCGCGCGACACCGCTGCCGCGCTTGCTGCCCGGCACCGGCCCTCCGCGGCGCCGTGCCTGCTGGTGCTGAATGGTGCGCCACGCAGGCTGCGCGCCTGTGCGGCGATGCCGATCCCGTGCGCGCTGCACCCTCGAGATGGCGTCGGCCGGGTCGGGCGCTAAATCCGGCGGCGCCGCGCGCGATGTGGAGCACAGCCTCCAGCACTGACGCCGCCTCGAGCCTCCTCCTGTCTTCTCGCCGCTCGTCTCCTCTCCGCAAGCGCCGCCCGGGCTTCGTCTCGCCGCACACACGCAAGCAAGACAGCTGCCGATCAACCGCATCGCAACCGCCAGCATCTTGCGCAGTCCAATTGCTTAGAGCAACGGGCGGTGCCGAGGGGCTCTCCGACACACGCGTCCCTCAGCTGCCACGTTGCCGCCTCGCCAGCCAGCGTCGTTCCTGGTGCGGCCTGTTTGCCTGCACATTTGAGTCACACGCACGTCCAGGGGCACGTCACTCGCTATGCCCGCTGCCACTCTTCCCCTGCGGGTGCTGCTGGCCGTGCTGCTGACGGGAGTGTGGTGAGTTGCACTTGAGCGACACACCTCTCGAGCAGAGCGCAAGGCGCTTGCTGATGACCCGCCGGGCACAGCTTCGTGTACCTGCGCGCACCTGCAACGTCTAGGCACGCGCCCGCGGCGCTTTCTGGCGGGATCCATGAGCGACTGCACCGCAGGGTGGTGGCGGTCGCAGACCTGCACGGCGACCTCGCACACGCACACAATGTCCTGCGCATGGCCGGGCTCATCGATGCGCAGGCGCACTGGCGCGGCGGCTCGGCCGTGCTCGCTAGCACCGGCGACATCGTTGATCGCGGCGATGACACAATCGCCCTCTACCGCATGTTCGACCGCCTGCGCAGCGAAGCGCAGGCGGTCGGCGGCGAGGTCCACAACTGCGTGAGTGTCCCCAAGCGCAACGGCATGCGGCCAGCTAGGCTGAGGTCCCTTCGCCGCGATGGCAGGTGGGCAACCACGAGATGATGAACGCTCTGCACGACTGGCGCTTCGTGACACCCGGCGACCTCGCGTCCTTTGGTGGGGCCCAAGCCCGTCGCCGAGCCATGTCCGAGAAGGGCTGGATCGGTCAGACCTGGCTCGCCAACTACAGCATCACAAACACGGTGCCCCTGCTGCCGCCGGAGCAGGTCGCTCGGGCGAAGCTACCAGAGTCCTACCAGGTGCCGCATGCAAACTTTGTGCACGGCGGCATCACACCGGCGTGGGCAGCACGGGGTACAGCCCACATCAACGCCGTCGGCCGCAGCTTGCTGCTCAAGGCGTACAAAAACGAAGACGGCACGTACCTCCCACCAGGGACGACGCCAGAAGAGCGGAGCCTGTACTCGGAGGACGGTCCGCTGTGGTACCGTGGCTATGCGACAGACTCGGAGCGGCTCGTCTGCAGGCACGCCGAAGAGGCTGCGCGCTTGCTGGGCGCGAAGCATCTCGTCATGGGACAGTGCGTAGCAGGCTGCGTCGCCGGCAGTCGCACTGCTGACACCTCTTCGTAAGCACGCCTCACTTCTCGGGCTTCGTCGTGCGCTGCGACGCGAGCGTGCTCCTCATCGACACGGGCATCTCGCGCGTGAGTCGTCGTGCCAGTTCATGCGCTTCCACGCCTGGCTGACGCTCGTGCGCTGCAGGCCTACGGCGGCGAGCAGTCTGCGCTGATCATCGACACAGAGCTGCAGCACCTCGGCAAAGGCCGCTGGCGTGAGAAGGAGGTTCTGCAGGCGCTATACAAGGGGCGCCTGCCACGCATCATTGCCGAGACTGAGCGCGTCATCGAATGAGCGCTGCAGGCTCCTCACCGTCGCGGCGTAATAGATAATGCGATTGCAGCAGACGGTGACACGGTGAGCAGAGACAGGTGACGTCGAAAGGAGCGCGAGCGAGGGTCATGAGCCGGCGAGCTGTCACTCGCTGTCAATCGCGGCGCGCACGCGGCGGTGCGTCTTGACCCCCTCGAAGGGCTTGCCGCGGGACTGCCGTGCGCGTGCGCGTATCGCACGCACGGGGCGCTCGAGCAGGCGTGCGGCTCTGTCGACGAGCAGGGCCTCGGACAGGAACGCGAGACTGGCCGGACACCAGCGTTAGAGCGAGCACGATGTGCGGCAGACACCCGGACTCACCTGCCCTGAACGAGCACGATGCCAAAGATAGTGCCAAGGAAGGGGCGCTCGAGGACATGGTACTGCGGACAGAGGCGCGTCAGCAAGCTGTCGAGACAGAGCACGACAGGCGCAGACTGACGCCGAACAGGTTGAAGAAGGCGCCCTCTGAGTTGATGAAGAGGAATGCGATGTCTGAGGCGGGAGCATGAGATATGTGAGGCCACGACAGCGTGGCCTGGGCATCTCACTGAAGGCCGTCAGGATGACGATGGACGCGGCGAGGATGAAGTTGTTCCAGATCGGCTTCCGGTGCGGTGGGCCGTAGCTCCAGCAAATGGCAGCAATGATGTACGTGAAGGCTGTGCATCGGCAGAGAGTCAGCCGAGCAGCAAGCTCGAGACACACGGACACGCACTCGACTGTTTGAAGAGCGCCGTGTTGTCCTGCGAGGACAGCTCGAGGTTGTCGGGGTCGAGGAGCGGTGACTCGTACGTGCCTTGCTTGTGCAGGAGCAGGTACGTCGTTGCTTGAGCCAGCAGCAGCAGGACCATCTGCGACAGGACGGACAGCACGACGCGGCGCGACATGAGGCGCGACGGCGGCGCCGAGCGCGCCAGGCGATCGGCGGGGCGGTTCGACGCCATGCCGATGGCGATCGGGAGCACAATGCAGACGTCGATGTACAGGTACCTGGGCAGCACATGTCAGCGTGGTGAGCGCTTCGCCTAGGGTGGGCCTGACGCACTCTGCGTTCGAAAGAGAGGTGGCGACAGTGTAGAGCAGCAGCACGGTCCAGTACTCGCTCAGCGAGTAGATGAGCATCTACGGCAGGATGCGTGAGTACAGTGTCTGAGCGTGTGCATGCGTAATGCTCACCCAGCTGAAGAGATTGAAGCTCGTAGTGATCGAGTTGCGCCCCTCGCGCAGGAGGTGGCTGATGCACTCGATGTCCTCGTCGCGAGAGGTGAAGGGCGCTGCCACGGACTGAAGGTCGGCGAGATCAGAACGAGTCTCTTCTGGGTGTCCTGCGCCTGTCCGGACACTCACCGCCTCTGCTTCCGACAGCGACAAGCCAACGTCAGCAGCACGGAGGGCACCGCAGTCATTCGCACCATCGCCAGTGAAGGCGACGGTGTACTGCAATGCCTGGAGCTGCTCGCACAGCTGCTGCTTCTGCTCTGGCGAGAAGCGCGCAAAGATCTGGGCATGCACCAGGGCGCGCTCGATCGTCTCCTGCGCACCATGCTGCAACAGATGTGCGAATGTCTCTCCCGTCATAGCCAAGCCGCAGTCGGCCAGACGCAGGGCCTTTGACCTGGGCCGGAGGCTGTAGGGGTCGAGCGTATCTTGCTCGGAGTTGACATCGATCCACTCGAGCTCGCCCTGCGCGGCACCTTTAGCGTCCTCTCCGCTTGCACCCGAGATGCGCGCTGCAAAGACGGGTGCGCCGTTGGGAATCACTTCGGCTTCGCGTGCGACGGCAATGGCCGTCAGGGGATTGTCTCCCGTGCAGATCTTGGTCGGGATCCCTGCTTGGTGCAGCGAGTCAAGCGCAGCGTGGCTGCCTGCCTTGAGCTTGTTCTCGAAGATGATCAGGCCGAGGAACGTGAGGCCAGACTCGACGGACGATCGCTCCATACGGCGCGCGTCGGCCCAGCTCAGCGACGGCAGCTCTTTGCCGGCGATTGCAAGCACGCGGAAGCCGCGGTGCGTGTAGTGGTCGAGAGTGGACACGTAGTCGTTGGGCAGCGACGCAGCATTGCACAGCGGCAGCACGGCTTCCGGGGCACCCTTGGTGTAGGCGCGTCCGCTGCTCTCGTTCTCGGCCTTGACGATGACAGTCATGCGGCGCAGGGCCGAGACGAAGTCATGCTTGGCCACCACGGCACGCTTGCTGCCGTCTGGCATGTGGACCAGAGGCACGCGCGCCACGACGCCGTCATTGTCGAGCGCAGTGCCTTGGCTGCGGCCCTGACTCTGCAAGTCGACCTCGGTCCCTTCGTCGTCCAGCAAGCCCTTGGCGCCGGCAGCCCAGGCGAACATTGTGACCTCGATGGGCTCGCCGATCATCTCTCCATCAAGCATGTTGAGATCGTGCGCGACCATGAGAGCCTCAGTCAGGTCCGTGGCCCCAGTGGCGCTCGTCTTGAGCTGTCCGTGCTCCTCAATCGTGCTGCAGAGCTTCGCGAAGTTGCCGTCGGGTCCGACGCTGCGCACCCCCTGCACGTCGAGGCCAGCCTCGGTGATCGTGCCAGTCTTGTCGAACACGCACACCGACACCTTGCCTGCGACGTTGATACGCTGCGGGCTGGTGCAGAAGATCGCGGCGCGCCGCAGCCGTGCGATAGCCAGGGTGGTGCAGACGCTCATGCTGTAAGAGGAGCGTTAGTGGAGCTCAGGCCCAGTGATGCCAAAGAGCTCACGCAGCAGGAAGCGCTGGCGGAATCGTGATGGTGAAGAGATCCAAGGCACGCAGGGCAATCTCCGTGCGGTCCACGCCGAGCTGGATGAAGCGCACGAGCGAGCCAACGAAGCCAAGCACCGCAACGACGCAGAGAATGCCGATGAACCTGAAGGCGTCACCTGCACAGGACGGTGTGTTAGCTATGCCGCATCTCGCCGGGTGCAGACGGCGCGACTCGCCGTAGAAGTGGTGCTGCAGGGGCTTGGGAAAGAGTACGAGACGCACGACGGAGCCCTTGGCGGTGTTGAAGCCAGTCTGCACAACGAGCGCGCGGGTCGTGCCACTGGGCCCCGGGCGCGAGCGGATCAGCTTGGTGCCGCCCCAGGCGACGTGCTTGTCGAGCTTGGCCAGCGGCTCGGCAGCTGCAAGTACATCACTAAAGGCTGCGCTGGGACAGGCCGTCTTGACGACCGGCACCGACTCGCCGGTCAGCATGGCCTCGCCTGCGATCATCTCGCCTTCGAGCAGGACGCAGTCGCAGGGCAGCAGGTCGAGCTTGCTGGCGCCACTGGCCGAGAGGTCGATCACGTCGCCTGGCACAAGCTCCACACTGCTCGTCTCCACCCAGCGGGGCTCCGCGGGCTCGCTGCCTGCGCTGCGCAGCACGCGCACTGTACATTCGTAGCGAGACTGCGCCTGCAGGCGGACGAGTGCGCGGCGTGTCGTGATGACCGAGGCGCCGATGCCGACCAGCGAAATGATGCCGATGACGAGCGCGTACCACTGGTACTCGTCGTACGACCACAGCGCAATCGAGCAGAGACTGAAGATGTAGAAGGGGTGCAGGGCCTGGCAAAGTATGTGAGCAGAGAGGCGCAACGGTACGGAGGCAGGACTGACCTCATCTACCGTGAGGCGGCCCCATCCCTTGATCTCGACCTCCACCTCGTTGCGCCCGAAGATGAAGGCACGCACACCGCTGGCCTGCTCCTCCGTCAGACCGCTCTCCACTGCCGAGCGGGAGCTCCATTCCGGGTCACGCCAGCTGCCCATGGGCACAAAGCCGCGCGGCGTGAGCAGCAGCGACGTGCTGCGGTAGTTGAGCAGCGTAACGTGGCCCATGGATGCATCCGAAGCCGGCGCGTCGTCAGCAGGAAGACGCTCCTCGCCACTGGCGAAGGCCGCGGCCGAGACTGCGGGCACGAGCAAAGACGTCGGAAAGATCCAGCTACGGGAGACAGGCGTCGGCAGCGTGCTATACTGCGGCTCGACTAGAGCCACCGGCTCGTGGCGCGTCTGAGCAGAGCATGGTCAGCGCATTACACCGCGAGACGTAGGCCGTCAGTCAGCCAAAGCACTCACCTTGATGCCGATCCACACCTTGCCCCCAGTCCTGCGCTTCTGCCCTTCGTCCGTGAGGTCTATGTGCTCGCAGTTGAAGCGCGCCCACGAGCGCGGCGAGTAGAAGTGCCAGAGGAACACAACGCCGGCACTGGCGATGCAGGCGAGCCACCAGAGCACGCGGCGCCACGTCGGGCGGAAGAAGAAGTCGAGCTCGAGCTGCAGGTCGTCTTCGGCAAGGTAGAGGCTCTGGTGCCAGGGCACGCGGTGCTGCTGCGCATCGAGCGTCGGCAGGGCCACGCGGGCATCGCGGCTCTTCTCGCACGACGGCGAGCTGGCCTCCGCCGACGAGTGGCGCGTGGCCGCCTCGTGCTCCGACGCAGCGGCACGCTGCACGTCGATCTCGTGCACCGCGCCCGGCGCGTGGTGCTTCTCGTCCAGCCAGCTGTCCTGGGCCGAGCTGGCGGCCGGCGGCACCGCGGATGCTGCTGGCGGGCCGGGCGCGGCCGCAGCCTGAGTGCTGCTGCCGGAGGCCACGTCGCTCGGCGCTGGCTGCGCGAAGCGGAAGCGCGCCACGGGAGTGCCGTCCATGGTGAGCAGCAAGGGCGCGCTGAGGGAGTGTTGCGCAGATGGTGGTGAGGGGGCGAGATGAGGAGCCGGCCTTCGACGGCGAGCAGGACGAGATACGCTCCCGCGTGCCGCTGCTCTTCTGCGCACTTGCCGCCGGGCTGCACGACTCGGCCGCCGGCGCAGCGAGGAACAGCCGCCGCTCGGTCCGTCGCAGCGCTGCCCTGCCTCCGTCTTGCCTGCTCTTGAGGCGCATGAACAGTCGAGGGAGCAGGCCCAGGTCACACGACTCCGCTGCCGCCGCAAGCGCGCCGCCGGAAACGCCGCTCGCTCGAGCTTCCCGCGCCATTCGAGGGCTCTGCCGCCAGCGCCGCCGCGCCGCCGCGCCACGCCGACCCATCCTTTTTGCACGCGGTCGCGCCGTGCCGCGGCACATCTCGCGCCGTCAAGGGGGTCCACGTGCGAGAGACGTGAATCTGCTCGGCGTCCAGGGGCGGCGCGCGCAGGAGCAGCGCGGGGTGACGTTTGGTGCAGCAGAGAGCGGCAGCTGCCTGTCGACCTGCGCAGAGCCGTGCTCGGTGTGATGGGAGCGACCTGACCGCTGCGCTGCAGCGAGCTCGACTGGCAGTGCGCACGCCGCCCCGTCTTGGCGTCGGGTGCGCCTTTTGTGCGGCGCGGCGGGCGGTGCGGCGTGGGCGCCGTGATGCTCTCCTCGCGGCGTGGCGCGCCTCGGCGTGCAGCAGCGGTCGCGCCCCTGCCGCCGCGCGCCGCGCCTGCGAACGCGAGCATCACGGCGCGCACGATCGACACCTCCATCATCCGCGCCCTCTCCTCCCGCACGCCGCACACATACGTCGCCCGCTCACTCCTGCCACGCCCTCTCACGCCATCGCATCCATCATACCCCGCGCGTCTGCTCTACCCTGGACAGCCTGCCCCGCCGCCCGTGCGCCGTCCGCCATCGCCTCCGCCTGGCGCGGAGCTACCTGTCCCGCCCGCCTCGTCTAGCACCGCCGTCTCGCATCCCACTGCGCCGCCGTCGAGCTTCTCGCGCGCAGCACTCCAGACGCACGTGCTCCCGTCCCAGGCAGGCCCGAGCCGCTGCCCATCCTGACTGCCGCAGCCTCGCACCGCCGCGGCCTGTCGCGCCGCGGCTTCGGCTCGCAGGGCGCAGCGGATGTCGCCGGCCTCGGCGCAGAGGCGCGTGCCCTCGGCCGCACCCACGGCGGCAGCTCCGCCGTGCGTGAGTCGCCCTACGTGGCGCACGCCGACGGCGAGCGCTACGCCGCAGCCAGTGCCCGCGAGGGCTACGAGCCGCGCTCGCGCCCGCTGTACGAGGACAGCTTCACGCACTACGGCGACAGCCGCGCCTTGCCGGGCGCGGCCGTGTCCGACATCGACCTGAGCCAGTCCTCCACCGAGTACAGCCACGCCTCGCACCAGTCCGGGCGGCACCACGTGTACGGCGCCGGGCCATCCAGTCCCAAGGGCGCGCAGAGCTGGGACGCGCTGCAGCACAACGGCGCCCTGTCGCCGCCGCTGCCGGGCCGCGGCTACGGCCTGCGGGGCGGGGACGCGGGCAAGCCGGGCGTGACGTACGTCTCTGGCGCGGCACGGCCGCCGACGACGATCAGCATGGACGACTCGGAGTGGGCCTCGCAGTACCGCCAGCCGCACGCCGTGACGTCGCCCACGCGGCCGACGCCATCGCGCGCCGGTGCGTCCGGCCTGCGTGCGGCGCCGAGCGTCCTGACACGGCATACGCTGCGCGGCGTCAAGGCCCCGCCGGCGCATGGCGTGCGGCGCCTCTGGGCCTGGGTGCCGGCGTCGATACCCATCCGCCTCTTTCTGCTCGTCACGCTGCTCGAGTCGGGCGTCGACATTGCCATCGAGGTGGTGCTGCTCTCGCGCTTCCGCACGCAGGAGGGCGGCATCCTCGGCTCCAACTTCGAGGGCGTGCAGCCGGCGCTGCCCGTCTTTGTGATGGTGTTCTGCCTGGCGCACGTCTACCAGTGCGCGCTGGCCGTCGACGCCGTCATCAACCGCAACACCATTCTGATCTTCGGCCTTGTCATCTTCAACATTGCATTGTGAGTGTGAACGACGGGTACGGGAGTGGATAGCAGAGCGCCGAATCAGCCTCCCAGCGCTAACGTGCCCGCATCAGCTTTGTCTACTCTGTGATCCAAATATCGGAGATCCGCCTCGTGCTGGGCACCGGCGTGGCGGAGGGCACCGGGCAGCATGTGCCTGTCCAGGTGCTCACCGCGCTGATCCCGGCGGTGATCGGCGTGTCAAGCGCCATCTTCTCCGTGCTGAGCTGGTGGATCTACCGCGACTTTGGCTGGGACGTGTACCGCTCCATCGTCGGTGCCGACCGCGACCTCAAGCGCGCGCACATGCACTACCAGGTCTTCGTCGCTCTGCTCAGTGAGTGCGGCATCGACGCATGAGCAGTGCGGCGCGCTCATGCATTCTGTGCCGCCTCAGAGGCCGACTTCTTCGTCTTCATCGCGTACTGCCTGTGAGCAATCGACGACCCGCGGGTGATGCTTTGTGCACAGCTGACAGCCCGGGGCAGGCAACTCGTCCTCATCGTGCTGCAAGGTGGGTCTTGGTAGTGCCTCTAGGCACCATTTTCTTGCTGAGCCTCGTCCTTTCTCAGGGCACAATGCCGAGTATTGGCTCACCGTCGTCGCCGCGCCATTCGCGCTCATCATCCTCGGCTTCGCATGGTACTCGGTGCGGCGCGAGCTCAGGTATGGCATGATGGCCTTCATGACGCTGCTGCTAGGCGCGGGCGCCTACTTGTGAGTGCCTGCGGCTCCTCTCGCCTCCTCGTCGTGCTGACGAAGTTACCGCCTCGCTTTGAAAAGCTGCTACAAGTGAGTGGAGCGCCCGCGGGTCTGCAGAGCTGAACAAAGCGCTGACCACCACGGCAGGCTGTATCGCATCTGGGCGGAGCACGAGCAGGCCTACTCGGAGGTCTACAAGTCCCTGACGGTCTTCTGTGAGTCACACCGGTCCTGCGCGTCCAGCCCGGCGACTGAGCGCGCCGCCTGCAGCCGTGCTCGCCATCGCCCTCGTGCTCGCCACAATGTGGTTCTCCGTGCGCTGCCTGCTCAACTTCGACCGCGGGCTCAAGGCCGCGATGGACCGGGCGCACGCCGAGCGCGCACAGATCAAGCGCAACGAGCGCTCGACGCGCGCGGGCGGCGCCGGCGGCGTCGACGGCATCCCGATGGAGTACGACGGCAAGGGCATGCTGCCGCTCGGGAGCGCCAGCACGCTGAACCTGCCGGGCAACCGACTCAGTCTGGACTAGGCGGCGCGCGCTGCTGCTGTGCAGCAACGGTCTCGCGCTCGTGTCTCCCCATAATGTGATCCTCCTAGTGACGCTCAGCTCTTGGCCGCGTGAAAGAGTCAGAAGACGACGATTGCATCTCGGACGCAGCAGTGTGAGGCAAGTGCGTTTTATTAAGAGAGCAGAGGCTGGAAGGAGTCATCCGGCCACGGCCCTCCCGTCAGAGTGGCTCGCATCGAGACCGTGCAGTCAGGATGCGGCTGCCGCCGGTTCGTGCGGAGCGAGACCGGAGCATGACGAAGCAGATTGCACGTCTGCTTGGGCGCGCACCGAGATGTGGGTGGTGCGTGTGGGTGAGAAGGGACCGCGGGAACAGGGCATGAGGATGTGTATGTGCGAGATGATGACGAGAGGCTGAGACGAAGGAACCAAGGCGGCTACGAGAGCCGCTTAGTTGCCCTTGCGCCGGAAGGAGCAGCCTGGCAGGAAGGGTCAGCGTGACGGTCTTGGGAACGACATCAAGGCAGCAGGCGAGACAGCGGGCATTCGCGCAATGCGAACGTCCTGCCACTGCAGAGTGCGATCCGCATCGCACGCCATGTCGCATCAACCACTCGGGAGGCGTGCAGGCCGACAGTGATCAGGAGCGCAAAACCCTGGCCAATCAACGCGCACCCCAGGTGTCGACCAACCCGCGCCAGTCCCGTCCAGCTCTGGCCCGCTCAATCATCGACGACGCCACTCACCCTCGGTCAGGCGGGCCTTGCCGCCGGTGGGCTGGCTCAGCACGGTGGCGCAGCTGCCGCAGAGCACGACGGTCTGGGCGTGGCTGAAGACCGTGGTGATGGCGAAGCAGCCGGGGCACTTGACGTCCATGAAGAACGAGTTGGGGTTCTGTACCAGCCGCTTCAGCTTGTGCGAGCGGGCCTGGTTCTCGGCAGTGGGGTTGAGGAGGTCGACGGCGAGAGTCTGCAGTGATAGCGTCAGCATAAAGGGCGCGATACTAGTGGTGGCGGGCCAGAAGCGGCTGCGCAGTCGCATCAGGCGTGCGACCAAGCCGGCCTTCGTCGGCGCGGCGGCGTACACAGCGGCACAGCGACATGCCGGATGGCGGACTACGATGCGTCCCGCAGCAGACTGCGATACAGCCGGCAGCAGCGTGCGCAGGCGCCGCGCTTGGCCCGACCGCCCGTCATCGCGGCCATCACTGCGCCACCGGCCGTGTCATGCGGTAGGCCTCGAAGCTGCACAAGTGCGCAAAGACGACGAGGAGGGCTGCGCGGCGCAGTGCGATGCTGTGCGCGCACAGCTGTGCCGGGCGCCACGCAGCGTGCTGCGCTGAAGGAGCGTCTATCGCGCGCCGCCGCTGCGACCCGGCAAAGCGCACGTCTGGCGCTCGCAGCCGCATGTGCCGTGTGCATGCGATGGGAGGATGCGTGCGCGGGCGGTGCGACTAACCATGGTGGCTGAGGTCGAGGGATGGGGTGGTGTGGAAGGGAGATGGGAGCGAAGGGTTAAGCGGAGCAGGTGGCGGCACGGCGCGCAGCGCGGCGGGCTGGCGAAAAGGGCGCGCGGGCGGCGGCAGCAGGCGCGCGCAGCACGCAGGCAGAGCAGGCAGGCCGGCAGCGACTGCGCGGCGCACGCGGCGGCGGCCACCGTCGCGGTCGCCCCTCGCGCCGCCTCGCCTCACCCGCCGAGCGCGGCCCAATCCGCGTGCGCAGCAGCAGCCCCGCCAGCGAGCCCCACCGCCACCGCCAGGCGCAGCACTCGTCTGCGCAGCGGGTGCATCATTCAGCCAGGCCGTCTTTCGTTGGGGCAGCACTGCGGGCCGTGCTTGCTCCATGACGCGCGCAGCAGCCGCTCCCGGCGCTGCTGTGTGGGTGCGGCGCGCCAATTCGGCGACGGCGCAAAGGCGGCGCGGCACCCGTGCGGGAGCTCGCCGCAGCAGCGTTCCCGCGCTCGCCGCCGCGCCGGCTGCACCTCGGCTAGCCGCGCTGCTGCCGTGCCCGGCGCGGCGCGGCAGGCGCGGCGGCACGCGAGCAGTGTGTGTGCCGCGTGCCGCGTCTTGTCAGCAGCATTTTTGCGGAGGGGGAGGCGGCACGGGTTGTGCAGCAGTCGCACGCGCGGGCTGCCGGCTGCTGGCTGGCGCTGCTGCTGGCTGCGTGCCGCCTGGGCGACGCGGCCGCCCGCTGCGCTGCCCCTGCGGCGTGCGGCGCGGCGGGCTGCCTTGCCTGCGCCGCCCGCGCCTGGCCCTTTCCCACCACCAACCGTCTCCCCCTCCCTCAGTGAGTGTCCTGCTCGCTGTGTCGCAGCCGTACCTCCTTCGCAGCCCGCAGTCGTTCGCGAGGACACACTCGTCGTACAGAAGCAGAGCGCATGTGCCGCCCGGCCCCCGGCGCCCTGGCGTCGCAGATAGGGCGCAAAGTGCAGAAAGCCGGGCGCATGCAGAGGCCGCAGCATGGCCAGCAGGAGGGCGAAGGAGAAGCGTAGCAGAGGCGTGCTCACGCTCAGGAGAAGGAGGACTTGGACGGTGCAGACGGCGACTGGCGGACATGGGAGAAGCCTAAAGCGAAGGCACGGCGGACGGGCGTGCGGAGTCGGGCCTGTCCGCGCGGCTGCTTGTCCTCGCACCACCACACCCGTCTCGCCCAGCACACCCGCTGACCGCCGCTGCAGTCCTCAAGAATGGTCAACCTCCGCTCCCAGAAGCGCCTCGCCGCGTCCGTGCTCGGCGTCGGCCAGCGCAAGATCTGGCTCGACCCCGCCGAGCAGACCGACATCGCCAACGCCAACTCGCGCGCCAACGTGCGCAAGCTGATCAAGGACGGCCAGATCATCAAGAAGCCCGTCGTCGGCCACTCGCGTGCCCGCGCGCGTGAGCTCCTCGCCGCCAAGCGCATGGGCCGCCACACTGGCACCGGAAAGAGGAAGGGCTCCAACGAGGCGCGCATGCCGACCAAGGTCATGTGGATGCGCCGCCAGCGTGTCCTGCGTCGCCTGCTGCGGAAGTACCGTGAGGCTGGCAAGATCGACAAGCACCTGTGAGTACGCAGCGGCGGGCATGGAGCTGTGCTGGTGCAGTGGCCGTGGCGAGATAGGGTGTGACGCCGTCGGCTTTGGGCATGGCGACGCACGGTCACCGTGGCAGGGACTGCTTTCGGCGTCGGTGAGAAGCACGGCAGGTTCGGTCACGGTGGTTGGTTATGGTACTCTGAACGGGTCGTCGGTCTTGCCTCGCCGCATGCCACTCAACGGTCACGCACGGCTCGGAGCGCGTACGACGAGCCGACCTTTGCTGCATCGCCGCCGAACCCTTCGCTCTGCCATCTTTGCGTCGCGCCTGTGCTCACGCGCCTTGCCACCGTGCAGCTACCACGAGCTGTACATGAAGTCGAAGGGTAACGTGTTCAAGAACAAGCGCGTCCTGATGGAGCACATCCACAAGGCCAAGGCCGAGAAGGCTCGCTCGAAGCACCTGTCCGACCAGATGGAGGCTCGCCGTCTGCGCAACAAGAACATGCGCGAGCGCCGTGCCAACCGCATCGCCGAGAAGCGGGCCGCCATCACGGCCGTCGAGCTCGAGGCCGAGGAGCAGAAGTAATCGCATCTCTGCTCGCCTCGTCTTCGTCTCTCGTCGTCTTTGCATCTCGCGTTACCAGCCCCTCTCACCCTCATCGTCCGCTTCCCGTTCCGGCTTCCGCTCTGTTCACGCTGCCCAAAAAATCACATCGACGCACGGCCCGGCTCGCGCCGTCGAGCTCGCGCCTGCGCACGGCGGGCCTTGGCTGCGCCACGCGGGGCGGCTGTCGCCGAGGGGCACGCGACACACACTCTGGCCGTCTCCGCATCCCCCACCCCACCCTCCGCTCACAGCGGTGCCGTGCAGCACCGTGTGTCTAGCATCCCTCCCCCGCGTGTGTGACCGCGCGGCCCTGTATTCATCAGCCTCACGCCCACACATCAAACACCTGCGCCACGGCGCGCCACAATACGCACATATACGCATGTCGTGACTTGCTCGCGTGTGTCTCTCTCGTTCGCTGGTGGCGCGGTCTATGGTACATCGTGACATGGGGTGGGGAACAGGGGCTCAGGCGAGACACTCGGGCAGGCGGTCGGACGCCATGAAGTAGTTGTCCGCCGTCTTGACGCTGCACGGCGTCGACGACTGCAGCTCCTGGCTCTCCGCCGGCGACATGCGCGGCTGCTCGTCGGCGCGCAGGCCGCGGTTGCCCATGATCCACACGACGTACGTGCCCCACACCTGCGTCGCTGCGAGGCCGACCTGCTCGACGGCAGCATCAGCCGCTGGACATGGGCTCGTTCTGCCGACACGGAGCACTCACCGTCGCCACGAAGAAGATGACGTCGAAGGCGCGGTAGCGGCTGCCCGTGGCAGTGCGCTGCCACTGTGGGCGGTGGTGCGTCAGCGATGGTGTCGGCAGTGCACGGACTGTGCACGCCTCACCTTGGCCCACACGTAGACCGTGCCGGCGATGGAGGCGGCTTTGCAGGCAAATGCCTGCACGGCAGAGACGCGGAACAGGATGCGCAGGGTGCGTGGGTTGATCTTGAGGCGATACAGGAACAGCGACACTGAGCCGAGTCGAGATCAGCCGCCGTGTGACATCGCCGCCGCCGTCGAAAGCCTCACCGAACGTCAGCTGCTCCGTCGTGGCCTGGAAGAGCCACAGCCAGCCGGTGAGCGCAAACGACGGGTCGCGCTCGGTGTACACGAGCGTCATGGCCAGAGACATGATGAACACCGTGATGATCTGGGCGCAGTGCGTCAGTCTGCCGTCCAGCTGCTGGCCTCCGAGCGGTGCTCACGTGGTGGGCGATCATCGGGCCGCGCATCGAGTCGCGATAGACGAGCTCGAAGACGTAGAGCATCGCGACGAGCGTCACGCCTGCCCGCTCCATCTCCAGCGTGCGTGCAGTGAACTCGAACTTGGCCAGCGACGCCGATGCCATCTGCAGTGCGAACGCAGCGAGCGTGACTGTCTGGAAGGGGGCATGGTGTCAGCCCAGACGCAGCGTACTCCTTGGCTGTGACGCACGATCTGAAGCACGTAGATGACCATGGTCTTGCGGTTCGTCGGCGAGACAGCCTCCCATCGCCGCCGCCCGCACGCTCGCGGAAGCACGAGGTGCAGCAGCTTTGCCAGGGCATACAGGATCAGCATGCCCGCAAACGTGCTGCAGAGCGGAGGGTCAGCCGGGCACACGCAGGCTGGAGGAGCAGTGAGCGCACTTGATGGAGAACCATGTCGGGTGCTGCGGCTGCACATGCTCATCCAGCTTGGTCATGAGCTCGAGCAGCGTGCTGAACGGCAGCGACGCGTAGGAGGGCGGCGAGGCAGACATGATGGGTGCACTGCAGAGGGGGAAACAAGGATGGCGAGCCGGCGACGCACCTCTCACAGCGCACGACTTAAGAAGCGGTCCCGCCCAGCGTCTCTCAGCATGCACAGAGTCTGAGTCCAGCGAGCCTGCGCAGAGGCTCGGCATGTCCTGCACCACACCTTGCTGAGCGGGCGCAGGGGAGCATGCACGGCGGTATCGCCGCCAGCCACGGCATCGGCCTCGTGCAGAGTCGGAGGGCTCGAGCCTCTGCAGGGCACGGCAGCACGAGGAGCTTTGTCTTTGCTGCAGCTGCGTGCGCATGTGCGCAGCGGTGCAGGCCTGAGGTCTCGCTCAGCGGCGGGCTGATCGGCAAGGGTCGGCGCGACGACGCGTGCGCTCGCATCCAGCGGCGCGCACGCGGGAGCATCGCGGTGTGGCGCCGGCACGCCCGGCAGCGGCGCTCTTCTCGCTCTCTGCAGCGCCAGCCGTCCTGAGCGGCTGCTGCTGCTGGGCGCTGCCGGCTGCGTATCGCAGTCCCGGAGCGGAGCGAGGCGGGCGGTGTGTGTCTGCAGCGCTGCGTCCCGTGATCTCATGCGCAGGCGCGCGCGATGCTCAGCACCAGCGCAGGGGGCGAGCAGAGGCTCGCGAGCGGTGTGTGATCCCATCAGGAAGGCTGCACGCCGCTCCCGCGTGCGTCGGACCTGCATCGCCGTGCGCCCGCCGCTCGGCCCGACGCACCGACGACCTCGTCGGCGCCCGTCCAGGCACCGCAGCAGCAACCATCTCCAGGCCGCCGGCACATCGGGAAGGGCCGCAGGAGGCGCGGCGTGCGAGGGCAAGAAGTGGCGTCGAGCGAGGCTGAGCGGCTGCTTGGCTCGCGCCGTGTCTGTGTGCTGCGCTGCGCACCGCTGCCGGGCAGCCGTTGCTGCACCCTGAGCGGGGTGAGCGGACCGCAGCAGCGCAGCAGGCAGGCAGGATGCAGCTGCAGGTCTCAGATGGCAGAGTAAGCTTTCGAGCGCAGCATTCAGGTGCAGGAGCTCTGCCCTGCAGACGGACGCTGACCCGACACAGCTCGAGATTGCACTGTCGCGGCGCTCGGAAGGGCAACGTCGATGCCATTGCTCTCGGGCACCCACAAACGGTGCAGTTATGCCACGGGCAGCCCGCATTCCCGCAACAGCAGCGTGGGGGACGGGCATCGCAGCATGAGCGAGCTCGGCGTCATGCTCCTCGGCGGCCGGAATGGCTGAGGCGGCGCAGGCGTGTGCGCTACGTGTCCTGGCCTGGCGGTGTGCAGGTATCCATCGTCGAAGGCGCGGCATCGCTCCAGCCGTCCTGCTCTCGGCCATCTCGCCGCTCGTCCAGTCGGCCCGGCGCCGCAGCTGTCATGGCGCTCTCGGCACTCCAGCGCGGCGGTGTCGGCGCCATCTCGTGGGCCGACTCTCCCGTCGCCGGCACTTCCGGCTCTGCCGCCGCGCACAGCTCCACCCAGCGCGTCCAGCGCCGGGCGAAGCGCAGGCTCACGTGTGCCAGGCCCGTCGTCGGGCTCGAGATGCGGCCCGAAGCCATGCCGGCGTGCTTGGCGGCACGCTCGAGGGCCCGCACGGCGTAGAAGTGCGGCAGGCGCACGGGCATGCGGCGCACCCGCACCACCTTGGGCGGGCCGGACGCCTTGCGAGGCGCTGCGGTCGCGCGCGCTGACCGCTGGTGCGCCGAGGAAGTGGTGCGTGCGGCCGATAGTGGAGGGCCCATGGCGGTCGAGCGGCTGTCCTCTCCGCCGTGAGCAGCAGCGCTGGCGTGCTTCGATGGGCGGTGGCTCGGCGCGCTCGCCGGTCTTGCAGCCTCGCTGGTCACGCCGAGCGCCTGGCGAGACAGCACAGCCAGCACATGGCGCCATGGCGGATGCGGTGCAGCGGCTGGTCCGACGGCGGTGGTGGGCGTGCGCGCATACTGTGCCAGGTGGTGGCGCAAATGGACGCGCTCGGCTCGGAGATGTGCGGCGGGCGTCCAGGAGGAGCGGCAGTGCAGGCAGTGCAGCGAGGTCGAGGTGCAGTGCGAATCAGGTTCAGGCGACGACGTCGAACATGTCGGGCTCTTGAGCAGCGCCACGCCGCCGGGCGACGACGTGCGGCAGCGGAAGAAGTCCGCGGGCTGCGGCAGCTCGGCGAGCGCCAGGCGCGGCGACACCGTCGAGAGCGTCAGGAGCGGCGGCGAGGTGCTGCTGTGGCGGGAGGAATGGCGGGCCATGGCACCTCGCCGCACGCTCTCGCCGACGCTGCGGCGCACGAGGAGACTTCAGCGAGCCGGCGACGCTCGCGCCAAGAGGAGGAGGAGGCAGCGGCGCAGACAGGGGATGAAGTCCTTGCGCCGCTGATGGAGTGGGTCGCTGGGCCATGGTATCGCGTGTGCTTGGCGTCGAGCAGCCATGGTGGCAGAGGACCTGCGAAAGTGCTCATAACGAAACAAAGTGGTGGTGCAGTGTCATTTATAGAAGCGCCCAGGAGCAAGTGCGGCTTACGCGAACAAGCAAACAAGCTTTGGCACGCGAAGCCGGCAGCGGCCGTCTCTCTCACCTGATGCGCCTCTCACTCTTACTTCCTTGGCGAAGGCTGCGATCTCTGCCGAAGCAGATATCGGTGGCAACAGCGAGTTGGCAGTGTGCTGCCAGGCTGCGCCGTGCCTCTGGACGGTGGGCAGAGCAAGGCTGCCCAATGCGCGCTTGGGAGGCGTGGGAGCGCGGCGCGGTGACCGGCTGCGCGCGGTGGAGGCCGGCGAAGGCGGTGAGCCGGCGGCCGAGTGCGGGGGAGGCGAGGGAAGCCCGCTCCTGCCAGCCTCGCCTCGCTGCCTCACACCACCACCACACCATCACCACGCCATGTCGCTCGTCCTGCTCACCGGCATCACCGGCTTCCTCGCCGCACACGTCCTCGACGCGCTCCTCGCGCACCCGGCCGGCTACCGCGTGCGCGGCACGCTGCGCTCGCTCAGCAAGAAGGACGCGCTGCTGGCACGCCTGGCGCCGGCAGACCGCGAGCGCGTCGAGCTCGTCGTCGTCGAGGACACGGCGAGCAGCGATCTGACCGAGGCACTGCAGGGCGTCGAGTACGTGGCGCATGTCGCCAGCCCGTACCAGCTGGTGAGCTATGGCGCATCAGGGCTTCGCAGGCATGAGAGGGCCAAGCATGGCGAAGGCGAAGGACCCAGCTCAGCGTCAGCAGAGGCTTCGGATAGGCGAGTGCGCGTTGAGTGCCCAACTGTCACTCTGACATCGCGACAGTCCTGTCGTGCTGGCCAAGCTGCACGCCTCCACTTGCTGACGCCCGCACTGCCAGAACGTGCAAGACGCCGAGCGCGACCTGCTCAAGCCGGCCATCGAGGGCACGCTCAACGTGCTGCGGCACGCGGCGCGCACGCCGTCGGTGCGGCGCATTGCGTTGACCAGCTCCTTCGCCGCGGTGACGGACTTGTGAGTATGGTGCTTGCATTTGCTGCGGCCTTGCCACTGATCTTCGCCCGCTCAGCTCCAAGGGCGGCCCCAACCGGCCCGGCTACACCTACACGCCCGAGGACTGGAACCCCAGCACGTACGAGGATGCCGTCAAGGCCGGTGGCGAGGGCGCATTTGCGTACAGCGCGAGCAAGAAGCTGGTGAGCGCCTGGACCCTCATCTTCGGCTGCAAGCGGCATGCTCATGCACTTGCGGCAGGCGGAGAAGGCGGCCTTCGACTTCATCGAGCAGGAGAAGCCACAGTTTGAGCTTGCGAGCTTCTGCCCGCCCATGAGTACGTGCCGGCTTGCGCTTCGAGATCGCCGCCGTGCTGACGTCGCGCCACAGTCTACGGCCAGACGCTGCAGCCGGGCGTGACGAAGTCGAACCTCAACACGAGCAGCAAGACGATCTACGGGGTGCGCCGCTACGGAGAGTCGGACATTTGGGCGACGCTGACACGCCTCGCAGCTGCTCACGAACGCGGAGAAGGTGCCGGACAACCGGCTGCCGCTCTTCTGCCACGCACGCGATGTGGCCGATGCGCACGCCAACTACTTTGCCGTGCAGGACGTGCCGAAGACGCGGCGCTACCTCCTGTGCAGTCCCGAGCGTGTGTCTGAGTGTGATGTCGTGCCCCTCGCACCGCGCAGCTCACACCCTCGCGGACAGCCTACACGTGGGAGCTCGCCGTTGGCCTGCTGGCGCAGGACCCGGCGCTGGAGCCGCGCCTGCCCAAGAACTACAAGGACGTTGCGCACACCGACGCCGAGTCGCTCAAGGCCAAGTACGCGCGCCTCGACACGAGCCTGGCGCAGAAGGAGCTCGGCCTGCAGTTCTGCGGCTTCAAGCAGACGCTCGACGAGTCGGTGCAGAGCCTGCTTGAGCTTGAGAAGGGCGCGGACTGGTAATGCCGAGCGTCGATAGACCAATTGCATCTCATTGAGGTGGCGGTGGCGGTGCATTGTACACTGGCAGAGGCTCAGTCTGCCGCGGGAGCGGCCGCATGTGCCGCATCTCCTCGACCTCGAGCGGCCCTTCGTAGTGCTCGGCTTCGAGCGCAGCGCACACTGCACGCGCGACTGTCTCGGCGTGCAGCGGGCTACTCTCGAGTGCGTTCGCCAGTGGCCGCACATCAGGGCCCAGCATGGATGCTGCACGCAGCAGGCCGGCAGGCGTCGGCACGCCCAGAGCGCCGAGACGCTTGTGCACCGAGGCGGAGAGGTCCAGCAACGCGGCCGGCAGCGTCGTCGCCGGCTTCAGCGCAGGATGGTACATCAGCCCTGCGAGCAGTGCCAGCGTCAGTGGAGCAGGCGTTTCTAGCTGGCTGTGCGCTCTCACCTGGCCGCATGAAGATGCCGCGCAGCGAGGGGATCTGTGCGATGGCGGCCTCGGCTTGCCGCTTCGTCTCGATGTACGCGCGCGGCACGAGCGGTGCCGAGTGGTCGGCCGCCGAAATGAACACGAACGGAGCACGGCGAGGTGTGTTGGGCTGCGATGCTGGTGATGACGGCGTTGCAGAGCCGCTAGACGGGGCCCTTGACGCCGCGAACGTCTCTGCTACCGTGATGGCTGGAAGAAATGTGCGTGAGCGAAAAGCCGCTCCAGCGGCGTGCAAGCTAGAGCCACTTCAGCGATCTGCAGGACAACAACTCTCCTGCAGTCGCCCAAGACGTCGCCAGCTTCATCAGAAGGCCCACTCACCCATGTCGCGGTTCATCACGCCGTAGTTCTTCCTCCGCATCGGGTCGCCGCCGCCGATCTTGCCGCCGCTCCACGCGTACGCCAGGCTGCCGGCGGCGCCCACGACGCCGCCCGTCTTGTACTCGCCCTCGAGCAGCACGCCGATGGTGTGCACGCAGGCGTCGGCGCGCGCCGCCAGCGCCGCATACTCGTCGGGCTGGTCGGCACGCGCCTTGTGCCAGCCCATCTGCTTCGACGCCGACCACGCCGGCTGGTGCCCGGCGGGCGAGACAAACGGCCGCCCGCTGGCGCTGTGGAAGTGAATGCGCAGCAAGGTCAGTGAGCTGAGCTACTGCTGGCCAGGCCCGTCTGCACGCACGAGATCGAGTCTACCGCCCAGCCGCGGGCCAGGGCCGCCTTGCAGATGCACGAGCCGAGGAAGCCGTTGCCGCCGACGACGAGGAGACGCATGGCTGGTGACAAGTGGAGCGGCTGGATGTGTGCGTGCAGGCGATGCGTGCTCAAGCAGTGCCGGAGATGCGAAGGCGTGCGAGAGAGTGTGGTCGGGAGGCAGCCTGCACGAGGCTGACGCAGCGCGAATCTGAATGCGCCGCGCGCCTGCTCCACCTCGCAAAGCCGCGGAATTCTGGCACCAGCCTGGGACCCTCGGCCGTAGACAGAGACGTCCTCTTCGTCCGCCGCCGCCTCGAAACGCCCAGCGCTCAGCTCATCAGGCATGCCATCGCCGCCGCAAGACACAATGCACAGGATGAAATACAAGCTCATACGGTGCGTCACTATGCTGACAAGATCCGAGGCGAGGGAAGGGGAGCAAGGATGGTTGCTGCGGTGCATGCCGTTGCCGCTCAGAGGCCGCGGGTCGAGGCGAGCTGGATGTCGGCGCGGCTGATGTTGGCACGCTCGGCCATTCTGTGGGGAGAGCTACGTCAGCAAAGCACTCAGCTCGAGCATCGGCACTACTCACTCGTGGAAGATGCCGCCCTGGTCGAAGAGCTCCAGCGGCGAGGCGTACTCGGCCACGCGGCCCGAGTCGACGACGCAGACGAGGTCGTAGTTGAGAATCGTGCGCAGGCGGTGCGCAATGCACAGCAGCGTGCGGTCGCCGAACGCCTCGTTGAGCGTCGTCTGGATCTTGGCGTCCGTCTCGACGTCGACCGACGCCGTCGCCTCGTCGAGCAGGATCACGCGCGAGTCCTTGACGAGCGCGCGCGCCAGCGACACGAGCGAGCGCTGGCCGAGCGACAGGTTGTTGCCCTCCTCCTCGATCGTCGTGTCGAGCGTGAAGCGCGACACTTTCGACTCGTCGGCCGCGTCGGGCTCGATGCCGGTCGGCGTGGCGCGGCCGCTCGGCGCAGGCGTGCCGCCGTGTGCGGGCGTGCCGCCGGCGCTGTCGCTGTCGACGAGGTGGGCGCGCCGCAGGGCGTCCCACAGGCGCGCGTCGTCGTACTGCCCGAAGGGGTCGAGGTTCGAGCGCAGCGTGCCGCTGAACAGCGTCGGGTCCTGCGGCAGGATGGCGATGCGCTGGCGCAGGTCGCGCAGCCCGATCTTCGACACGTCGACGCCGTCGATGACGATGCTGCCAGCCTCGAGCTCGACGAGACGCAGCAGCGCCGTGAGCAGCGTGCTCTTGCCGCTGCCTGTGCGGCCGACAATGCCGACCTTCTGCCCGGCCTTGACGTCGAGCGAGATGCCCTTGAGGACGATGGGCAGCTCGGGCCGGTAGCGCAGCTGCACGTCGCGGATCGCGATGGCACCCGCCTGCGGCCACTCGGCGGGCAGGTGCGCGTCGGGGATCTCCTGCGGCGCCTCCTCGTCGATCTCCGTCGCGTAGTGGTTCAGCCGCTCGACCGACGACATCTCGTTCTCGACCTCAGCGATCTGGCGCGTCATCCAGCTGAAGCTCTGCGAGACCTGGAGAATGTAGCTGAGCGCGAGACCGGTCGAGGCGGGCGAGATGCCCTGGCTCGCGCCGGCCGTCGTGAGCAGCGCGACGATGAAGACGAGGAGCGCGCCGAGGAAGTCGAGCCGGATGCCGAGCCAGCGCTGGTTCGTGATCGTCATGAAGTAGGCGCGGTTCTCGTAGTCCATGAGGCGGAAGTGGTCGCGCAGGAAGCGCTGCGTCTCGCCGTACGCCTTGACCGTGCTGACGCCGTGCAGCGTCTCGGAGATGTGGGCGTAGAGCGAGCCGCGCAGTGTGCCGTCGATGCGCTTCACCTCGCGCGCCGAGCGGCGGTAGATGGCGGCGCCGATGAAGTAGAACACGAGGATGCCCGCGACGGCCGGGGCAAAGTAGTGCGCCAGGATCGAGATCAGGATGCACGCGCCGATGACCTGTGCGATGGTGCTGGCGGCCATGCGGAACGAGTCGGCGAGCTGGTTGTCGAGCGAGTCGGCGTCCTTGGAGAAGCGGTTCGCGATGCGGCCCTTGGGCGTGACGTTGAAGAACGAGAGCGGCGCGTAGAGCACGCGCGTGATCGACTGCCGGTGGATCTCGGCGGCGGCGTAGTACGAGAACATGCCCGTCGAGATGCCCATGAGGCCCGTGAAGAACGCAGTGGCGACACCGAGGCCCGCGTACAGGCCCATGTACTGGCCCTGCGTCCAGGCGAGGTCGTCGCTGAGCCACCAGCGCAGCGTGTACGAGCCCATGACGACGGCGCCCTGCATGAGCACGAGGCCGATGAGCACGAGCGGCACCATGATCCAGCCGCGGCCGGCGTGGAAGTACGCCTTGTACACGCTGAGCGCGATGGAGCCCGTGTTGCGCTCCTCCTGCGTCTGCATGGCCTTGGTGCCGTCGGCGTCCGTCATGGCGGCGCGTGCAATGGTCTTCTTGTCGTGGCGCAGCGCAGCCGCCGCCTCGTCGATCGCCTCCTCCTCGTCCTCCTTGTGCTCCTCCTCTTCCTCCTGCGCGTCGCCGCCGAAGTCCTGCACGAGCTTCTGGAACGGCCCGCCGGCGTGGACGAGCGTCTCGTAGCGGCCGTCCTCGGCGACGTGGCCGTCGACGAGCGTGATGATGCGGTCGCACTGCGGCAGCACGTGGATCGCGTGCGTGACGAGCAGGACCGTCTTGCCGCGGGCGCGCAGGCCGAGGATGAGGTTCTGGAAGAGCGCCTTGCCGACGTGCGGGTCCACGGCGCTGAGCGGGTCGTCGAGCATGTAGATCTCGGCGTCGAAGTAGAGGGCACGCGCGAGGTTCACGCGCGCCTTCTGGCCACCGCTGAGCGTCGTGCCCTTCTCGCCGATCTCCGTCATGTCGCCCTGCGGCAGCATGCGCAGGTCCGCCTCGAGCTCGCACGTCTTGACGACCTCCCAGTAGCGCTCCTCCTCGAAGGCCAGGCCGAAGGTGATGTTGTCGCGCACGCTGGCCGCCTGGATCCACGGCTGCTGCGCCGAGTACGCGGCGAGGCCGTTGCCGCCCCAGATGATGCGGCCGCTCTCCATGCGCATCTCGCCGGTGAGGCCCGAGAAGATCGACGTCTTGCCGCTGCCGACGGGGCCGACGATGGCGACGAGCTCGCCGGGCGTGAAGCGCAGGTTGATGTTGCGCAGCGAGAACGGCACCTCCTCGGCCGGCTCGTGCTTCTCGTCGAACTCCTCGGGTGCGTCGGTGAGCTCGGTCTCGGCCGCCTTGTTGGCGGTGACGGGCTTGGGCAGGCCAGTCTCGGACGACGGGGCGACGGCGATGCTCTGCTTGGGCTTGAAGAGGCGCTGCATGAAGGATGGCGGCTTGGCGTTGCCCTGCTCGGCGGCGACGACGGGCTTGGCCGCGTGCGTGTCCTTGGCGTGGCCCTTCTTGTGCTTCTTCTTCTTCTCGTCGTCCTTGCTCGGGTCGACCTCGTCGTACTTGAAGCAGGCGTCGATGAGCTCGAGCGAGAACTTGGCCTCGGGCGCGCGCTCGCTCTTGTCCTCGAGCAGCTCGGCGGTGAAGACGTTGCTGAGGCGCGAGATGGCGGCGTAGGCGTCGGCCGCCGACGAGAAGGAGAGCGGCAGGAACATGAGCGGCATGCGCAGCAGCTGGAACAGCGTCAGCGCGATGAAAACGCGGCTCGTCGTGTTGGCGCCGCCCTCGAGCAGGCTGTTGCCGAGCGCCGCATAGACGAGGAAGCCGACGACGGAGGCCAGCGTCGGCAGACTGAACGCGAGCGCGATCATCGCCGAGCGCACGATGATGAGCTTGCGGATGCCCTGCAGCTCCTTGCGGCGGATCGCGCCGATCTTCTCGAGGAACTTGCGCTCGAAGGCAAACGACTTGACAATCTGGATCGACGAGAGCAGCTCGTTGATGAGCTTGGCGCGCTTGTCGGTGAACTTCATGCTCTCGCGGCGCGTCATGAAAAGCGACTTCATAACCCAGCCCTGTGCCGGGATGGCGACGACGAGGATGGCAAAGCCGGCCAGCGCCGAGACGCCAATCTGCCAGATGAGCAGGCCGAGGCAGAGTGCGAGGGCGAATGGCGAGGTGAACCTGCAGGATCGAGGGGTCAGCAGGCTGCGGCACGTACAAGCGGGCGAGCGACTCACATCAGCAGGGCCCACTGCATCGCAAAGTCGATGCGCGAGACGTCCGTCGAGGCGTGATTGAGCAGCGCGCCGGGCGAGCGGTCCTTGGGGTTGAGGCTGAGGGCGCGCGTGTACATGGCCGAGATGACGGCCGTGCGCGCATCGACGCCCATCGACATGGAGCGGAAGAAGAAGGCGTGCTGCGCGACCGAGTTGAGCAGCTGCATGGCGAACAGCGCGATGGCGTAGCCAACGCCGACGCCGACATTGGGCCCGGGGATGGCAGGGTTGATGTAGTGCACGTACGCCTCGGCGGCGAACTGCACGATGACACGGATGAGGAGTGGCGAGAGCATTTGGGCTGCGAAGTGTCAGCAAAAACGGCGCGCCAAGGTCAGAGCCGCCACTCACCGGCGTCGGCGACGAGCTTGATGACGATGGCCGCAGCCATTTCACGGCGGAAGAGGTCGATGACGGCCGACGCCAGGCTCGGCTGCTGGTGGCCGCTCCAGTTGACGGGCTTCTTTGCGCCCTTGGCAGTCGCCTTTGCGGCGGCAGCGCGCTGGCTGGCGCCCTTGGGCTCGGCCGGCGGAGGCAGGCGCCAGAGCCGCTCCCGCTCCCGCACGCCGCCCTTGGGGCCCTTGCCGAGCGCCGACGCCGCGGCCCACCGGAGCTTCAGCATCGCGCCCGGCTGCAGCTCGCCGCTCTCGAGGCTGGCGTTGTGTGCCTTGGCGGCCTGCACGCGGCGGTCCCAGCGCTCGAGGAGGCGCGTGCTGAGCTCGCGCGCCTGCCGGTCCTTGCCGAGCTTCCACAGGTCCGTCGCTTCGAGCGCGCGCTCGTAGCCGAGGATCATGATGGGCCCGGCCCACGTGAACGTCATCTGGCTCAGCACGCCGGCGTGCTCGAGCGGGATGAGCTCGGCGTCCTCCATCGAGGCACGCGGCGGCGGCGGCAGCTCGCGCGGCCGCCAGAGCTGCCAGAACTTCTCGCGCTTCTGCACATGCACGAGGTTGCGCTGTCCGGGGTTGTAGGCGAAGCCGGCGGGCTCCTTGCCCTTGCCCTTGGCGGCGCTGGACGACGAGGCGCTGGACGATGCGTTCTCGAGGTGGGCCGCCGGATCGCTGTCGCTGCTGCTGCTGCTGATCTTCTTCTCGATGGCCGGCGCGGCGAGTGCGGGTGCCGGTGCAGCCGAGGTGCCGGCCGTGTTAGGAGCGGACGCCATGGCGGGCCGAGCGGGCTGACGGCGCGCGGCTCAGGTAAGGCGAGCGCGTAGGGTACGCGTCAGTGCTTGGTTGAGGGACGCAGAGGATGGCCTGAGGTGCGCGGTGGTGGTAGTGGTCGGGAGCGAAGGTGTCGGACGGTGTGGCTTAACAGTTGGGTCCAGGTTTGCAGGCGAGAGGGAGGCGGGAAGGGCAGGGGGCCGCGTCATCGTGGCCCCGCGGTCAGAGCAGCCGCGCGGTCGATGTCAGCACCGCAGCTCAGCGGCGCGCAGCAGCGGGAGAGAGGCGCTTGCGGCCGAGAGGCGGCGGCACGGATGCCGATGCAGGGCAGCAGCATGCAGCGCAGACATGACCGAGTGCGAGTCCGCGGAAGGCGAAGCGCGGCCCCGCAGCCTGCAGCCGAGAAAGGCGAGCGGGCACCTGCGGCTGCTGCCGTGCGTGCTGGGGCTGCGTGAGCGGCTGAACCCTGCCTTGCACTCCTCGAAAGTCGAGTGCTGTGCTGCCTCGGCACCGAATTCAGGTCCCAGAGTGACGCGCGGCCTGCAGCGTTCTACAAACGGTCAAGGCGCGAGGCAGAGGGCGGCAGCGTGCGCGCAGAAATTGGCAGATCGGCTGCAGCTGAAGGCGCGGCGCTCGGCGTGCGGTGCGGGCGGCGGCGCGGGCCTGATGCTGGCGGCTGACGCTGCTGACGCGTCCCTCACTCGGCTCCGTCGCGGCCGCGCGTCCCTCACCTCGTGCCCCCTCTCGCATCTCCTCGCGCTCCGCTCCCCGCCCGCGGACGCAGCTCGGCCCGGCGCAGGAGATTCCGCGGAGCAGCATGCGGCCGCGGCGTTGTGCGGCATGTGCGGCATGCCAACGCCGCCTCATGCCGATGCATCATGCAGCGTGGCAGAAAGACAGCGCGCAGAACACGCAGCGAAGTCTCCCTTCCACGCCTTTGCAGAGCGGCAGGCAGATACGGCTCGCACCGCGAGCCTCTTCGACTCGACGTCGTGGTCGGCGCCTCGGCCGCAGCCGCGAGGGCAGCAACGGCGCTGCGGCCGCGGACGCAGCCCCGACGTGCTGCCGCCGCTGCGTTCTGCTGCTGCAAAGTAGACTCAGCCTCTGCGCTGGATGCAGCCCCAGACCACAACGTTGAGGCGCAGAGATGCTTCGGTCGCTCGCACGGCGCGCAATTCTCTCAGATGCTCGCATGCACCGCATGGCTCGAGGGCCCCCTGCAGCGCTGAGCGTTGATGCTGCGCACCATGTGCCGAGGAGCGGCAGGGCCCCGTGCACGTTCTTGCTGCCCCTGGCTAGACCTCAGCGCTGCAGCGCCGCCTCGTCCACTCTGCACGCTCATGGTGCAGCGGCAGTCATGCCTTTCGAGCTGAGCGCAAAACGCTGGACTGGCGGCACCTGTCTGCGCAACGCGCAGAGGTCAGACACCGCGAGTCGTGCGTGAGCGTAGGAGCGCAGAGCTTGCGCCCGTACGGCCGTAAGCGCCTGAGGCGACTTCGCCTCGACTCCGCTGCGCTGCGCCGCGCTGCGCATCGCAAGCTGGCGAGGCCTGGGCGTGGCTGAGCTGAGCTGCATCTCGACCTGCTGCGCACTAGACTGAATGCCATGGCGGTGATGGCGCTGCAACGCAGTCCCTGCCGTGCGCTTGCCGCAGCGTGGTTGCGCCTGTCGGCCGGATCGCGACGTCCTTCGACGTGTCCAAGTCGCGCGTCTTGAGCTGTGTGCTGTGTGAGGGCGGCAAGGCCTCGTGTCCGTGCGAGACTTCGGTGGAAAGCACCCGATTTGTCGTTCGAGGATATCGCAAGCAAACTGTCGGCCTCACGGACCCCGCTGCGGCCGGCAGCTTCGGCGGAGCGCTCTCTCGCAGGTGGCCCTAGCGCATCTGAGAGCGTGCCGCGTGCGCGCCTTGGCGGATGCACACTTTCCTGGCCGCCTGATCAGGGATGACTCTGACGCAGCTGAGCACGGAGCGACGTCTGCTGGGAGATGCCATCAGGCTCTATCAATGAGAGCATCAAGCAATGAGAGACGCCGAGCGAGCGGCCTGATGGTTCAGCCAGCCCCGATGCTCAGCTCGCACGGGCCCCTGACGCTCCCGGTCCCTGAGTCGCGCTGGCAGCCTTGCCGCAGCTCTCACTCGGACAGATTCGGTCTGGATGAGCAGCAGATGGAAGTTGATTTTGTCGTCTTTCTCGTGTCAAGATCTGAGTGTTGCCTCGTGGCTTGCTACTGGAGCCATATCTCTGACTACGCTGCAGACGAAGCTAAGGGCTCAGCCGGCGCGCGCCAGCGCTGCGAGGCCGAAGATGTCGCGGCGCGGCATGGTGCCACGCGCGATGCGCTCGGGCAGGCGCGCCTCGAGCTCTCCTTCGCTCCACTCACACCCGGCCACCTCGCACCCGCTCTCTCGCCGGCTGGTGCTTCATCTCCGCGTACAGCGCCTCGCGCGCCGCACCTCACAGCGCTCGGGCCGGCGTCTGCCTGTCTCAGTACTGGACAGCTCCCTCGCACGCGCCGAGAGCCGCCATGGCCTCGACGGCGCGGCACGACGAGCGCTCGGGCGCAGAGGCGCCGCTGCTGCCGCAGCGCGACAGGATGGTGCACAGCGAGGCCTCGCACGATGCCTCGGACAGCGAGAGCAGCCTCACTGCCGAGCTCGCCGACGAGCAGCGTGCGCCGCTGCAGCTCAACGAGAAGCTTTGGTGAGTGCGCCAAGCTGGACTGCTGCGCCCGAGGCGAAACCTTCGTGTATGCCCTGCATGTGTTGACCTGTCTTTCCACAGGGTCACTGGCACGCTCTCCTTGATCCTGTTTCTGATCCTCAGCGGCCAGATCATCCTCGTGCTCTATCAGCGCGACACGCCGACGATGTCGCTCGGCACGCTGCTGCTCGTGCTCGGGCCGTTCAATGTGCTCTCGCTGCACCTGCTCGCCAACTACTACCTCTCCGCGCTGCGCTCGCCGGGCCGTGTGCCGCCGCGCTGGGTGCCGGCCATCCCGGATACGCCGGCGTTCCAGGTCGGCGCCCCGACGACGCAGCGCCCCGTCGAGGTCAAGAAGAGCGGCGCGCCACGCTGGTGCAAGGTGTGCCGCGCACCCAAGCCGCCGCGTGCGCACCACTGCAAGGCGTGCCAGCGCTGCACGCTGCGCATGGACCACCACTGCCCGTGGATCGCCAACTGTGTGGGGCATCGTAACTACTCGGCCTTCCTGCGCTTCCTCGCGGCCGTCGATGTGACGTGCACCTACCACCTCGTCATGGTCAGCGCGCGCGTGGCCGACTACTGGGGCGACGGCGAGTGGGTGAGTGCCTGTCTCTCATGATGCGGTATGCGGCGGCGCCTGCCGAGCGCGATGAGCTAGCCGTGGAAATCTGTCCGCATACTGACGCTGGCTACCTCAGCGGCCGCCAACGACGCCCGTGATGGTGCTCATGGTCGTCAACTACGCGCTGTGCATTCCGGTGCTCCTCCTCGTGGGCATGTTCAGCCTCTACCACTTCTACTGCGCCATGTGCAACTCGACGACCATCGAGGGCTGGGAGAAGGACCGCGTGGCCACCATGGTGCGGCGCGGGCGCGTGCGCGAGGTGAGTCTGACCAGGCAGAGCAGCGCGAGACGAGGCTGACGTCCTGCGCAGATCCAGTACCCCTACGACCTGGGCGCCTGGCGCAACCTGCAGGCGGCGCTGGGCCGCAACCCGCTGCTCTGGTGCTGGCCCGCCACGACGCCCGGCGACGGCCTGCACTACCCGCTGCGCGAGGGTGCAGGTGAGTTTGGCGGCAGCGCGGCAGATCGCGAGTGGGAGGAGCACGGCTGGCAGTGGGACGTGCGACACCTCGAGACGATGCGCAGGTGGGCAGAGAGCAGCACCGCGCCGACCGCGCAGGAGAATGAGGAGTGGGGCGAGGGCAGCGCTCGCCCACGCCGTCTCGGCATCGGCGGCAGTGCCTGGGATGCATTGACGCGGGTGCAGGGTTCCAGGCGCAAGCACTCGGAGGAGCTGCAGCGTCTGGTATGAGCCGGCATGTGTATGACTCTGGTCTGGAGGGCCGCCGCGCGCGGCGTGCCGCTCTCTAAGGGCACGCTCGGCGGTGAGTTCCGCTCTGTGGCTCGACTCCCGAACCAAAGGAGTGCGTTCCTGGGCAGCGTGCTGACGCCTATCTCTCCAGACTACCGTGATGCATTCGCCTGGCCGCCACGCGATCCCACCAAGCAGAAGCGCATGAAGGCACACGAGCCGGGCACTGCCTTCCAGCTCGCAGAGAAGAGCCCCTTCACCTATGGCGATAGCCTCAACCCTGCCCTTCGTCCGACGAATGGCCTACGGCGGCGTGCCACGGGTGCTGGCAACGGCGAAGAGAATGCCTCTCAGCGCAACACGTTCGCTGCAAACCCAGACGAGGATCCGATGGTGCACGACGCCGCTCCGCCCTGGCATCCCGCCTCGCACTCGGCGTCGCACGACTCAGACGTGCCGATCGACACAGATGCCGAGGCTGCGGGCCTGACTGAGCCAGGATGCATTCCTCCGACGGCTCGCAGCCGGCCCAAGGAGACCTTCGCCACGCTCTGGGCCAACTCTTCCGGCTCGTCGATCGGCTCTGAGGGCGGCTCTGAGGGCGGCTCGAGCCAAGGCGGCGCCGTCTCCCGAGTGCGCCGCGGCAGCGAGGGCTACGAGGTGCGGCCGAAGCGCTTCGACATCGCCTTTGCCCGCGACGAGGACGAGTGGCCGACCGGTGCCGACGGCGGCGGCGTCGGCTACCTCGAGGACGAGGAGGGCGAGTACAGCGACTACAACGAGCACGGCGAGCAGGTCTTGACCGGCGGCTCGCGCGGCGACGACGCCGAGAGCGACGACGACTGGGGCTCGCGGCCCGGCAGCGAGGACGAGGGCGACTGGGCGGCGCGCGACAAGCGCGAGGAGGAGATCCGGCGGCGGCTCTTCAAGGAAGGCAGTCCGGCCGAACGCACCGCCTACGACCCGCCGCCAGACTGGCGGCCTGCAGAGGGCGACAGCGCTAGCGCCGGCAGCCTCACGGCCTCAGCAGTCCAAGACGCGCGGCCCATGCTTCCCTCCGAGATCATGCGCCGCCGCGTCGAGTGGCATGCGCATCTCAGCGCTCAACTCGCGACAGGCGCTCCCGGCGACGGGCCGCCGCGGTAGCCTCGGCCTCGGGCAGCGTTGGGTCTGCACCAGGCACGGCGGCGGTACAGACGGAAGTGCCCGGGCCATCACTTCCTGGACGCGCTAGGGCTAGGTGACACGAATACTTATTGCTTATTAGCTCCACCCGAGCGTGGGATGTGGAAGTTGGGATGCTCCGCGTGATGAGCTTGATGAGCCGCCGACGGGCGGTGGGTCCCACTTCTCGTCCATCACACCGTGCCTCCCACGCAGGACCAAGATGCCCGAACATCTCTTCAACGCTTCCAGCAGCCGCGCTCCGCTGACGCCGCCTCTGTCTAATCCTCCCGACTCGCCGCAGCGCACGCACGGCGGCTTTGGCGCGCTTGAAGGGCTCGTTCACTCGATCGCGCAGAGTGCCGCATCGACCAAGCTGGAGCCCGTCGCCAAACGATTCGAGGAGTCGATCAGCCATGCAAACGAGCGCATCGAAGTACACGAACAGGGCCTCACGGACGTCAGGAAGCGCACCGCCGCGGTCGAGAAGGACACCGCAGTGCTGCGCGATCAGCAGGCCAGTCTCTACACTAAACAGCAAGCGTCAGAGAAGCTCGCCGCCAAGACTGAGGAGCGGATGGAGGAGCTCGAGGCCGCAGCACAGACGCTACTCGACTCGTCGACACAACGCTTTGAGGCACACGACAAGCACATCGCGCGGCTTCAAAAAGGCTTGGAGGCTGCGCGTGGCCTGAGCAGCGGAGCCGTCGCTCCGCTCGAGGCGGCTGTGGCCAAGCTCGAGGAGGACGTGCCTGCGCAGCTGCTGCTCTTCGCAAAGGAGCTCAAGACGAGGAAAGAGCAGATCGAGAAGTATGAGCAGCAGGAAGCTTTGCGGCACCAAGAGCTGCTCGGCAAGCTGCGAACGAGCATCTGGGCGGAGTTCAGAGACTTCATCAGGGAGGCAGTCGGCTGCGAGGTCAAGATGCTCAACGGCGAGACGGGCGGCGCGCCCGTCGGCCGGCAGCCGGCCAAGATGTCGCTGCACTTCATCAACGCCGGAGCAGCTGCATCTCGAGCTGACCGCGCTGGCGCCGACAACGGTTCGCTCGATCCTCATCAAGCGTGCACGCGGGCAATCGATGCGCTCGCGACCAGATGCGATGACCTTCAACTTCGGATGAAGCAGCTCGAGGCGGCCAAGCGTCCTGCTCTTCAGAACGCCAGCGATGAGAACGCCAACGACGAGAACATCCCCGACGAGAACGCCGGGGCAGTCGATTCGCAGAAGCCCGAGCCTGATGCAACAAAGCTCCTGCTTGGCGAGCTGGCCGAGGCCATCAAGCAGCTGAACACCCGACTCGAGGAGCTCGAAGAGATCCATGACTCCGTGCCTCAGCTCCTCGAGGATGTGGTCATGATGCAGAATCTCATCAAGGTGCAGGAACAGTCGGACCGTCGTCTCAACGTGACGCTGTCGGAGCTTCGAGGAGACTTGGACGAAGGACAGCGTGTCTTCGAGCGGCAGCTCAAGGTCGCCGAGGAAAAGCTCAAGGCCATCGAGACGAAGTTCGACGCGCTCGACGGCGCCGCTGCGCAGCCGTCTTCCGGCAACGCTGCCAGTGTCAGCCAGCAGGACCTCATCGACGCCTGCAACAAGGTGCGCGAGTCTACGTCGGCAGAGTGCGGCGCCGTCAATGCACAGCTCATCGAGCTCAGAGCATCGACCGACGGGCTGCCGAAAGCTTCGGAGTGCCACGACAAAGCGTTGCGTCAGCTTCACAAGCGGCTGGAGATCGTGGAGAAGAGAATGGACAAGCTTGCCGAGGCACGACGGCAGAGGCGCAGCAAGCGTGCCCAGAGCCAAGCAGGCAGCGTGCGCGCTCCGTCGTCGTCGGCGTCGCGCAGCGGGCAGGCCATGGAGCAAGACACAGACGACGGCGAGGCGCAGGCCAGCGCACCGAGGCCGGCGCGGAAGCGCAGAGCGCCGGCACGCACGCAAGACTCCGAGGGGCCTGCTGCGCAAGGCGACGCCAGCCGCAAGCGCAAACGCCCGGCTGCCAACGTCGAGGACTCGGAGTACGAGCCCGAGCCCGGCGAGTCGTCACGCGAGCAGGAGTCTGACGACCCTCTCTCGCCCGACGCCGACGCCGGCCCTATGCTGCCCGACGACGACGAAGACGATGACGCCGCCGCAGAAGACGAAGATGACGAGGAGCAAGAGGGAGAGCAAGAGGGAGAGCAAGAGGAGGACGAGGAGCCAGAGCAGCAGCCAGCGTTCCCGATGGACGCCTCGAGCGGCGACGAATACGACGACGAGGCCGAGCGCGCAGCACGCCGTGCAGACGTGCCCCGCGATGAGCACGGCCGCTTCATCGGCCAGAGTCGTAAGCACGCACCCGCTCCTCGTTCGGACGCAGCGCTCAACCGGCGACACTCGCAGAGCAGCAGCAAGCGCCTCCGCCTCCGGAGCCGGCAGCGGCGCGTGCGGCGGCGGCACTCCTCTTCAACCCGCTCTGGGCACAGCGTCGCGGAGGAGAGCAGCCCGTCGCCGCGCGCGGCCAGCCCAGCTTCCTCGAGATTCAGGAGCGCATGCTCGGCCGCGGCAATGCGCCGCGCCTCCGCGAGCCGTAGCGACCAGGAGAGCAGCGACGAGCTCGAGGTGCCGCTCGTGCAGCAGGTGCCTGCGGCGGCCGGCTCCTACCGCGACCCTATCACCATCGACTCCTCCGACGGCGAGTAGCAAGAACCGTGCGACGAACCACCGCGTGACCAGTTCCCGTCCATGTACGACAGCGTCTCTGCTGTGGCCCGAATGCGATGCGTGACGATTCTTGATTTGAAAATACAGCGAGGCTCTGAGGGTACGGTACAGTGAGGGTGCAGGTCATGGCGAGGGTCGTGAACGGAGATGGCGGCGCACGCGCGCGTGGTATGATGGTGGAGCTACGGCAAGCGTGTCCGGTGCTCGAGGTCGAGCTTGGGGAAATCGAGCTTGCCGGGGCCGTGCGGGCCAAGCAGCTCCTCGCCGGCCGTCATCATGGTGAGGAGGCGCGGCAGCTTGGGCTCCTTGCCCTGGCTCTGGCTCGCGAGGATGGCGGCGTTGAGCTCGGTGGCGGTGCGCAGGCGCTGCGCCGGGCTCAGCAGCGCACTGAGGTCTGCCGGCGCCGCGCCCGCCAACCGGCCCTGGAACGCCAGCAGGCCCATGGTGCGCTCCAGCTCGGGCAGCAGGTCCGGATGCTCCTCGCCGCGCGGCGCCAGCTCCTCGGATGCAAACGCCAGCGCCTCGAGCACGTCGCCGCGGCGGATGAGCTCGATGAGGCGCAGCTGCTGCAGGTGGAAGAAGAGCAGCGGGTTCGTGTCGAGAATCTGTGCGTGCGGTGTCAGCGGTGCTGCCGTGCGATGCGCAATGTCGAATCCCACGCCGCAGTCCTAGAGTCAGAAATGTATGGTGTAATCGTGTCCTCCGCAACGGGCCCTCAGAGAGCGCCCTCAGCGTGGTGCATGATGTGTGTCATCCTTCTAGTCGCCGTCGCCTGTCCCGCCTGTCGCCCAGCCGCTCGAATCCGCCATCCTGCCGCAGCACTCACCTCTGGGTCAAGCTCGTTGACGCGCCCGATGGCGTCTTCAACGTCGCCGCGCTGAATGGCGCTGCGAATCTGCATGCGATTCTCAATCGATGCCAGCTCGACATCGGGGTCGAGGCCAGTCTCGTCCGCGAAGCACTCGGCCGCATCCTTGTAGCCCTCGATGACCAGGTAGTCCATGATGAGGCGGTTCATGTCACTGCGCAGAGGCCAAAAGGCGTCAGCGATACGGTCCAGGCAGCAGACAGGAGGTGTGCGCCGAGCAGCATGCGCCATGCGTGGAGGAATCAGAGAGCAAAGTAATATGGTGTCCATCAGGAGATGTCGGAGAGATTCCCACTTGCGTAGAGTATCATCATTCCACACGGCGCCGCAGCAGCGGCACAGAGACACGGCCCACTCACTCGCGGCTGACGTGCACGTCGTTGAGCTTGCGCTCCCACTCGGGAAAGGCGAGGTGCAGCTTCTTGGCCTGCGGCAAGCCACGGCATCAGCGTCGCCGCGCGGGCACGCCAGCGAGCGAGGCAATGCGCACCATGCTGTCCAGCGAAGGGAGCAACGGCGAGGGTGTTGAGGACGCAGGAGGAGCCACGCGGCGCCAGTGCGGGATGGGGAGGAGAGGCAAGCTGCAGCGTTGCGCGCCAGAGGCCTCGAGGCGCTGCGGTGCGCGAGGCGCGACGGCCGGCCGAGCGGCGCAGAGAGCAGCGCCCGCCGCCGCACGTGACGCGCGCGTACCACAGGTGGAGCGGCCGGCTCGGAGGCCGAGCTGCGAGATTCGCTGCTTGTGCGCTTCTCCAGAGAGGCAGCAGCGGCTCCGGCCTGCTCCGCTCTCTTCACGTCCACCTCCTCGATCGCAGATATACCCCATTCTTGGCCTGCCATGTCTGCGCCGCCGCGCCGGGCCCTCTTCTCGGCCACGCCGCCGCGCGTCTGCGCCATCGCCGGCAGCGACTCGGGCGGCGGCGCCGGCATCCAGGCCGACCTCAAGACGGCACAGGCGCTCGGCGCCTACGGCCTCAGCGTCGTGACGGCACTGACGGCGCAGAACACGCGCGGCGTCAGCGCCATCCACGCCGTGCCGCCGGCGTTTGTGAGCCAGCAGCTCGCCGCCGTGCGCAGCGACATTGCCGTCGATGCGTGGAAGATCGGCATGCTGGCCGACGCGGCCATCATCGCGGCGCTGGGCGAGGAGCTGCGCAGCGGCGATGGACTCGGCGGTGAGTCATGCTAGGATTGTGCTGTGATGCGGTGTAGCATTCTGCACTGCCTGCGCCTTGAAAAGCGCTCACGCCGCCCATGCAGCGCCGCTCGTGCTCGACCCCGTCATGGTCTCGACGTCCGGCTCGCTGCTGCTCACGCACGACTCGATTGCCGTGCTCGTCGAGTCGCTGCTGCCGCTGTGCACCGTCCTCACGCCGAATCTGCCCGAGGCACGGCAGCTGCTGCGTCACGCACGCTCGAGCACGAGCACAGCACAGGCCTCTTCCTCCACAGCCACGCCTGATGACCCGCTGTCCACGCTGCGCTCGCTCATCGACGCCGCACGCGAGCTGTGCGCCCTCGGCCCGGCAGCAACGCTCGTCAAGGGCGGCCACCACGTCATGCGCCGTGCGCAGATTGAGGAGGGCCTGCGCGAGCTGGGCGTGAGGCTGAAGCCAGGCTTTGCCGCCTCCGAAGGGCCCGCACACGCAGGGCCCTTTGCGCCGGCATCGGCCCTCACCGGCGCCGAGGTGTCGCACGGCAGTCTTGCGCTCGAGGGCGCGCCTGCTGCGGACCTGACGCTTGTGCGCACAGATGGGCAGCCGTGGTCCGACGTGCTGCGCCGCTGGTACGCCACGGGCGCGCAGAGCGCCAAGGATGACCCGGACGCCGTGGTGGTCGACGTGCTGTACGAGACGGCACACGAGCAGCCGCGCTACACGCTCTTCATCAAGCCACACATCGACTCGTCGGCCACGCACGGCACCGGCTGCACGCTCTCGTCTGCCATCGCCACGTACCTGGCAGCTGGGCTGAGCGTGCGCGAGGCGACAGGCCTGGGCATCGCGTACGTGCAGGCTTCGCTGGCACGCGGCCTGCCCGACCTCGGCTCAGGGCCGGGCCCGCTGAACCACGCCAGCAACGTCTGCCCTCGCGGCGTGCTGGCTCCGTCAGCGCTGGGCAGCGCCACCGACCGCGTGCCCTTCTGTGCGCGCCTCATCGCCAACTCGCTGCGCGACTGGCAGGGCTACACGCAGCACGAGTTTGTGCGGCAGATCGCCTCGCGCATGCTGCCGCGCGAGGCCTTCGTCTGGTTCCTCAAGCAGGACTACATCTTCCTGCGGCATTACGCGCGCGTGTGGGCGCGCGGTGCCGCCTCGGCCGTCGTTGGGCGCACCTTCGCCGACATTGCGCTCTTTGCCGGCATGGCAGGCGCCATGGCCAACGAGGCGCAGACACACGTGCGCCTGTGCGAGCGTTGGGGCATCTCGCTGCAGGAGCTCGAGCTCGGCACGCGCGAGAGCGCCGCGACGCTGGCGTACACGCGCTACGTGCTCGACGTCGCCAACGGCGGCGATGCGCTCGACCTGCTCGCGGCCACGGCGCCGTGCGTGCTGGGTTATGCCGAGGTCGGGCTCTGGCTTGCGTCGCAGCGCAGCGCGCCTAAGCAGGCCTCCGAGGACGAGGCTGCGTACGAGGAATGGGTGGAGACTTACGCAGGCGATGAGTTCCAGGAGGTGGTGCGCAAGTCCATCGGTGAGCAGCTCCATCCTCAACAGCTGTGCGCCCTCGCTCACACATCTGATTCGGCAGAGAGCATGGAGCAGCGCGCCGCCGCCGACACGCTGTCCCCCATGCGAGTTGCACGTCTGCAGCAGATCTGGAATGCGTGAGTGTGCCGAAGTGCGGCGTCACCTAGCGACATCCTGACTGACGCGCACATCCGACAGCGCCACACGGCTCGAGATCGGCATGTGGGACGAGGCGCTCGACCCGCGGTTACGGCGCGAGATCGTCGACGCCGAGCAATGAACGCAACAGCCTGCACGTCCTCGCATCGCAATCATGCACCCGGCACCCCATAGAACTATAGATGCTCGCCTTCGGGCCACCGCGGTAATGCAATGCCGCTCGTCACCGCCTTGATGCGACTGATCTCACGCTGGCTAACCTTGATGTTGTCTCATTTGGCGTGCAGGCAGGCAGATACGCGAGTGCAGCGGTACAGAGTAGGAAGGGAGGCATCTGCGAAGCGGGTAAGAGGGTGTAGCGCAGCAAGGAGCGGACTGTGGGGCTAGGAAGGTCATGAGAGACGGAGGCGCTCATTGCAAAGCGCAGAGGCGACCTTCCGTCGAGAAAGAGAGGCGAATCTCCGCAGTAAATGCGGCGCCTTTACTCGTGCGTGCCGGAGCGCGAGCTGGCGTTGTCGGCCTCTCGCCGGGCGTCGCCGTCGTGCGAGCTGGCGCGGTCGTCGGACGCCGGGCTCTTCTCCGTGAGCGCGCCGGGGCTCTTCTCGGCGAGCGCGCGCGAGGGCATGCGCTGCATGTGCTCGTCGCCAAAGTGCTTGGCGAGCTCGGCGTCGAGCTCCTCGGAGGTGAGGTGCTTCTTGTGGATCGAGAGGTAGCACGCCTGCGTCATCATGTGCTTGGTGTTCCACCACTGGCCCTCGTGCGACTCGGCGAAGATGACTGTGAGGCGTGTGTCAGTGGCCGAGAGGTGCAGGTGAAGCTTCTGCGCTGCTCACGATCCATTTCCTCGAGCCCTCGGCGCTTCGTCTCTGGGAAGAAGCAGTAGATGACGGGGAGGAAGGCCATGTTGAGGACGCTGCGAGTGGGAGCGGTCAGCAGAGGCGAATGCGGCTTGCGGAGGCGTCGGAGGCTCACGCGAAGATGATGCTGGGCGACGCGGGCCAATGTCAATGGAGAGCGAGAGAGCGCAGAGACTGGGCTGCTCACTAGGTCTGATAGCCGATCGAGGCGAACGAGGGGGGTGTGATCATCACTGCGAGGGACGGGTCAGTCTCGCTGCCTCAGGAAAAGAGAGCATGCGTCTGCGCACCGATCAGGAAGTTGAACCTAGAACGAGCACAAGTCAGCAGCCGCATGGCACTTTTTCGCTCAAGCACACTCACAGCCAGTTCGACGACGTCGCGATAGCGGAAGCTGGGGCACGGATGCGGATCGGCGTGATCTCCGGCGGGTAGAGCCACGTCATGCCGAGCCATCCGAATGCTGCACCAGAGTCAGCAGCGGGCAAAGGGCGGCGCTGTGGCGCGACGCACCAAACATGGTGTTGAAGAGGTAGAGGCACACGGCGGCGACGTAGCTCTCCGGGATGCCCGTGATGCCGAGGGCCTTCTGCGAGTTGACGCGGCTCACCGTGCCGGCGAGGATGGCCATGCATGCGCTCATCATGAACGCCGTGCTGAGCATCAGCTTGCGCCGCCCGAGCGTGTCGATGAGGAAGAGCGCCACGATCGACGCCGCGAAGTACTCGGTGCCGTTGCCGCACGTCAGCAGGCGCGCCGTCGTGCGGTCGGGCACGATGGAGAGGAAGAGCGTCGTGGCGTAGTACGTAATCAAGTTGATGCCGGACAGCTGCTGGAAGGCCTGCGCGATGAAGGCAATGGAGGTGCGGTAGAAGTTCTGCTCGGGCCCGTTGGTGAAGAGCTCGCGGTAGCTGAACTGGCCGAGGAGCGTCTCGCTCGCCTCGATCGACTCGCGCAGCTGGCGCACCGTCGTCATGATCGCCGGGTCGTCGACGGTCGTGTCGTCCATCTGCGCCAGCACGCGCGCCGCCTGCTCGTGCTTGCCCTTCTTGACCAGCCAGCGCGGCGACTCGGGAAGGCAAAGGATGCCGATGAGCAGGACGATGGCGAAGAAGGCCTGGAATGCAATGGGGAAGCGCCACTGCACGCTGGTGTTGTCGAGGTAGAAGAAGCCAAAGTCGATCCTGCGCGGGGGTCAGCAGAGCACGGGCGAGCAGCAGCGGAGGCCTCACCAGTACTGCGAGGAGATGCGTCAGTGACCGGAGGCAGCCAGCGGCCTCGCGCGACTCACGGAGATCATGATGCCGCCGGCAATTAGGGCGCCCTCGATGAGCACGAGCAGGCCGCGATTGTGCGCCTTGGACAGCTCCGACTGCCACATGGGAATGGTCGACGTGTTCATGCCGTTTCTGCTGACGTGTCAGGCGCGGCAGCGGGCCGCCTCGCACCTCTCCTGCTCACCCAATGCCCGTGATGATGCGGCCGGCCGTGAACTGGCCGATCTCGTACGAGGCCGTCATGATTGTTGCGCCCACAATCATTGTCACGGCGCCAATGGCAATGGAGAGCCGGCGGCCGATGAGGTCACCCTTCCACAGCACGATGAGCGAGCCGATCAGGGCACCGATCTCGTAGATCTGGAGAAGGCGTGAGCACGTGTCGCCGGGCGTAGCCTGTCTCTGCACTCACGGCAGTCACGGCGCCCTGCACGGCCGAGTCAAACGGCGACGGCGCACCATCGGCGTACGGCATGCCCAGGCTGTTCACCTCGGCGAGCTTGGGGAACGTCGCCGAGAACTGCCCGGCCACAAAGAGGCCGGACATGACGCCCTGGTCATAGCCGAAGAGCAGGAAGCCTGTGCGCGGAGACGGGCGTCAGCGCCTGCGCTGCCGGAGGCCCAGCACGGCACATGCGCCAACGAGACGCGCTGCATGCTGCGTGGCACTCACCAACGCCGGAGATGAGGGCGACCGAGGCTGTCAGGGCCTTGCCCTTGATGCGCTCGCCGCCGAGCACTGGCAACTGGTAGACCATCGCGGCGGATGTGCGCCAGCGAGGACGTAGACGAGCAGGCGCGCTCGCAGATGTGGGGAGCTAGGTAGATGGAGGCACGTCTTGCAGAGACGGAGCAGAGGCAGAGACAGGAAGCAGAGGTGGTGGAGAAGCAGACGCCGAACAAGGCGAGGGCGGGGCAGATAGAAGGGAAGGCCGACGATAGTGTGCCGAGGCTGCTCTTTAAGGGGCGCGCTCGTGAGGTGCACTTTGGCCTGACTGCAGCGCCGCCAACGTCACTGCACGACGAACGAGGATGAGCGACGGGCCATGTGACACGGACAGCCAGCCCGGTGCCGGACATGCACGGAGCGGCGAGCACCCGTCAGGGCGGCCGCTGAGGGGCAGCGCCATGCTAGCCTAGCGCAGCGAGCTGAGGGGCCGTGAGGCAGCAGCAGCGTCAGAGCGGGTGCGATGCCGTGCAGCTGCTCGCTGTGCTCGTACCGCTGCCTGTGCTGCCTGCACCTCGCACCCACCACCCCACTCTCGAGGTCTGTGCCTGTGCTCGGAGTTCCTGACGCTTTTCGGCGTGTGCGGCGAAGCGCGGACGAACGCCTTGGTGCTGCAGCGAAAAAGTGGGGAGCGTCGCTCGCTCTGACGTCGTGCCGGCGGACGGCCCTAGGCAGTGCACCAGGCGTGCGATGCGTCGTCTCTCGCCGTGCCCGAGCGACAAACGGCCGCTGCGTGCAGAGCGACCGCGGCATGCGAGGAAGGAGGGCGACGGACGATCGCTGAAGCTCGAGCTGGAGGAGCGAGGAGGCGGGCAGCAGCGCAGCAGATCCGTGCAGCAGCGGCACGCTTTCCTGCTCAACGTCAAACGGCGGCAAGACAGGCCGGCCGCCGGCGGGTGCGGCAGCGTCAACACCAGATCCGCACAGCGTCATCTCACAGAGAGTGCGGCACAAGTCACCGACGCCGCGATCTGCCGTGGTGCGTGGCGGTTGGCGTGCGGCTGGCGTGCGGCGTGCGGCACATGGCAGGCCGCCCGAGCCGCCGGCGCGCCGGAGCGGCGACCGGCCGTCCGCGCTCCGACTTCGGCACGCGGGTGCGGCCATCCTGCCGCGGCAGCCAGCCGCAGATCGCCGAAGTGCACCCGAGCATCTGCGCTGCGGACAAGGCCTCTGCGATATCCAAGCTGCGGCGCGCTGCAAAAGCTCTTGTCGCGAGCTGGACGCAAGTATCTGTGTGTTCGCTGCGAGGTGTTCGAGGAGAAGAAGGATCGTGGATTCCATCGCAGAGCGCCGGCGCAGCGGCGCGCAACGGACGCAGCGTCGCAGCAGGCGCGGTGCATGCAGCGGGCGCGTGGAGCGCGCGGCGAGGCGCGGCGCTGCAGCGAGCAGGAGCGCCTCTCAGCCTCACCTAGACCCGCGCCAGTCCAGGGGGCGGCTCAGGATCTCGTAGTCGTAGTCCGAGAGGCTCTCGCCAGGGCCCAGGGTGCGGGCCGGCGTGATGGCGTCCTCGCCGTACCTGGGCAGGTTGTCAGCACAGCTGCGGCGCGGCGAGGGACGCTGCGACGCACCCGATGTGCCGGTAGAAGCGCCTTGCGCACTCGTTGCTCGTGAACACGGTGAGCATCGTCTTGCGCATGCCGGCGTGCAGTGCCAGCGCCTCGAAGTGCCGCATCAGCACCTTGCCAAGCCCGGCGCCGCGAGAGGCTGCGTCGACTTGCAGCTCGTAGCTGCCGGACGAACGGGTCAGGCGCAGCCAGCAAGGCTTCCGCTGCCGCATGCGCACCAGTAGCCGACTTCCACGAGCCCGCCAGCGCGCCCATCGGGATCGGCTATGGCGCAGCGCTCCGTATCGAAGCGGAAGAGCAGGAAGCCGCCAAGCGTCGAGGCAACGCCCGCGTCGCGAGGACGCAGCAGCAGGAAGCGACTTGCTGGGTCGTACATCTCGCCGCGCTTCTCGGCCGCATCCCAGCCGCTCTTCGACGTCTCGTACCTGGCTGACGTGTGAGCTGCGGTTGTAAAGAGGGCGCAAAGGCACGCACAGAGCTCGCATGTTCGTCTCGAGCAGCGCGAAGAGTGCGTCCTGCTCCTCGAACGAGAGCTCGGACGGGCGCGCGATGCTCAGTCTCCTGCAGCGCAACGTTGAGCAGCAGCGCCTTTGCCGGGTCAGAGAACGCACAGCTCGGGCAGCAGCAAGCTGCGTCCATCGCCGCCATCGTCCTCGAGCAGCGACGAATCAGCAGTACGCAGCAGTGCACACAAGGCCCGCGACGTCAGCTGTGCGCGGGCAGACGTCAGAACACGCGCGCGAGGGACGCTGAGCGTGCATTGGGCGCACCTGCGACGCCTGAGCAACGGCCGCCTTGGCACCGCTGGGCCGTGCGGCTGCTGGGCGGGCAGCACGGCGCTTGTGCATGCAGCTTGCGGCTCAGCGAGATGAGAGAGGTACGGCAAGCGGCGAGGCGAGCGGCATGGCTCCAGACGAGGCCGCATCACGTGCGCCGCCGCGTAAACCTCCACCTCCAGCGGCACCGGGCCGCCAGCCGAGCCGAGGCGGTGTTGCTTCGCTCGTTCTCTCTCACGGACCCTGGCTCACACCACCACCTCGCAATTCTCACCATGCCGCCGTCGCTCCGCATCTCCATCGGCCCCGACGCCGAGCATCTCGAGCTGTACAGCGTCAACTCCGAGGCGAGTCGGCTGTGCGCTGCGTCTCGCGCCCGACGCTGACTCCCGCGCGCAAGCAGAAGCCGCACGTCGTGTCCACAGACCTGTTCCACGGCCGCATCACCGTGCGCATCAAGGACTTCACCGGACAGGTGCCCGAGGGCCAGGAGCGCCAGAGCGAGACAAAGTACTTTGACGCGGGTCATGCGCACGGCTGCACGTGGAGCATCCAGATCCAGGGTGAGCGCACGAGAGGGCACAGGGGCATCGGAGGCAGCGTGTCGTGGAGCGCTGCTCTGCCGCGTAGGCCAGAGCAGCTGGGCTGATGCGCTCGCGGCAGGCCGCTTCCTTAAGGAGGTCAGCGCCGACGACCTGGTGTGGGGCAACCAGTTTGAGAAGCCGATCCGCGTGAGTCTGGCGTCAAAGTCTTGCGGCCGGTGCTGAGGCCGTGATCAGGACCGCCTGCCGTGGGGCACGTCGACGGCACTGAAGGCCATCTCGTATCTGGATCCCAGCCTCAAGCAGGACATCTATGCCGACCGCCCTTGGGCCTTCTCGTGAGCTGCCCCGCCCCTGCTAGCCAGCTCGCCGCTCACCCTGCGCAGGCCCCTCATCGCCACAATGACACGCATCAACTACAAGCGCGTGCCGGATGCTGCGTCGGCGTCATCCGCCGAGGAGGCATTCAAGAAACCAGATTGGCCTGCGTTCCCGTCCGGCGCGGCAGGAGACGGTAGCTATGTGCACGACGACACGTCGCCGCTGCTGCTCAAGGCCGGCACGAACGAGGTGGACCCGAAGGTGGAGCATGCGGCAGACCTCAGCATTGTTCGCGAGCTGCGCGGCGGTGACGACGGCAATGCACACGCACACACCAAGCGTGTATCATTCTGGAAGGAGGAGCACCGGGAGCTCGTCTCGGTCGGCGGCGGCGACCTGGTGACGACGGCGTGCTTCGACCAGGGCTACCTGGACTTCAACAGTGAGTGCCGCAGCGTGTCACTTGATTCGCATCCGGCTGACACGACTCTGCAGCACTGCGACTGGAGCTGCCGTACACTGGCGGCATGGGCTTCGACCTCAAGAAGTACTGGGACGGACAGCCTGTGCGCTTCTACTGTGCGTCTGGCTCGTGTGCAGCGAGACGACGTCATGCTGATGAGCTTCTTGCTCCGCAGGCAAGAACAACAAAACCGACGAGGTCGCCTTTGTCGTCGAGTTCCAGATCGAGTCGCTCGACGCCTAAATTTCATGAAAGATACCACATCCCACACCCTGCGCACGCGCCACTGGCTCGCCTGCAATGCATCTCATAGAGGAAGCTGCGGCTCGACGCACCGCAACGACGGCGTAGGGCCAATTGCAGACGGAGTAGCCGAGGTCGGCAGCACCGCTTGCGCGTGGCCGGCAAAGGTCACAGACAGGCGTCGCTGCTGCTGCTAGCAGCCGGTGACTGCTGAGGACACAGTGACGCCTTGCTCTGGGTGCGCACGCGCTGTCCGACGCCCTGAGAGGCCGCGGCCATGAACACAGCGTCACGCCATGCTTGTGCTTGAGTCGTATGAATTACAACGAGGCGTCGTGCGCCTCGTAGCTCCCTCTTCGCTGGAGCCTTGCCATCCCTCTCAAATGCCCCTCCGTCCCGCCGCCCGTCAACCCTCTCCCACACTCCCCGACCCCCTCGCTCCCTCACAGCACCGTCGGGTCCGCATGCAGCTGGCTCCACATGCCGCGCGGCGACTCGGTGGCCGAGACGACGGTGCGGCGCTTCAGCGGCACAATCTTGCGTCCCGAGGCATCGGCCAGCAGCGTCACCTTGGAGGCCACGCCGCCGGCGCCCAGGTTCGACACGGGCACGACCTTCTCGCGGCCGTTCACTGGAGCGTGCCGTCAGCAAGGATGAGGTGACGCAAGCGCTAAGAGGTGGCGCAGGTACTGAAGCGATGGCGCACTGCGTCACAGAAGGACGAGATGCAGCCCCAGATCTTCATCCGGCACGCAGCGCAAGCCTTGTATCAAGTGGAGTGTGACGCAGCTCCAGAGTTGGCTCGGACATATATGTCTCTGCTCAATGGCACGGCCGCCTTCAAGAAGAGTGCGCGAAAAGTCGCGCCGTCTTTCCAGATAGGGCATACCTGTCTTCTGCCAGCGCCATATCTGCTGCCCATCCTTTGCTCGCGGCCCACTCCCGACTGCCCACTGCCCTGCCTGGGCTTCGCCTTTGCCATCTTCACACACGCCACTCACAGTAGAAGCCCTTGGCCAGCGGCTGCTTGTGCGGCACCTCCTGCACGACGACCTCGACGCTGCGGCGCGCACGCGCAAAGGCCTCGGCCTCGCGCGCGACCCAGGCGCGCATGCCGGCGCTGGCGGCGTCGGCGGGGCAGTAGGAGAGGACGAGCTTGCGGAGCGGGAGCACGAAGGAGCCCGGTGCGCCGGCGGGGCCGGGCAGCGCGCGCAGGAGCGTGCGCGGCGGCGGCATGGTGGGAGATGGTGATGGTGGTGAGGAGCAGAGGCGGCTGCTCTGGCTGAGGCTTCCTCTAGCGGCGCCGCACGTGACGCGAGCTCCGATGCCCGACTGCCGCTGCGAAGCTTGTCCGCTGCGCCCGTGCTCCGCGACGCTTCCTTCATGCCTCCGCTCCATCATCCTTCACATCAAGCAGCCGCTCGCAGCCTGGCCGCCAGCATGCCGCCGCTGCTGCACCCGCTCCTCTTCGCCGGCCCCGGCGCCGCGCTCTACCCGCTGCTCGAGGCGCGGCACGGCGCGTCCAAGTGCACGCTGCCGCTGCTCAACCGGCCGCTCGTGGCGCATGCGCTGCAGGCGCTGTGCACCGCCGGCCTGCGCGAGGCGTCGCTCTTTGTGCGCGCCGCAGAGCACGAGAGCGTCAAGAAGGCGCTTGGTGCAGTGCAGCTTGTCGGCAGCGAGGGCCTCGTGGCGGTGCAGACGCACGACGGCGCGGCAGCGCGCGGCGGCGCAGACGTCTTCAGCGTCGAGCTGCTGCCGCTCGGTCCGCACGACAAGGCGTCCGGCGTCGCGGCTGTGGAAGGAGAAATGCGCGAGACGGAGACGCCCGGCACGGCCGAGCTGGTGCGGTGGTACGGCAGTCTGGGCCGGATCCAGGTGCGTCTCCTTGCCGTCCCCCAAGTCTTCTCACACTGACGCCCGGGCAGGCGGACCTGCTGATCCTTCCGATCGACTTCCTTGCGCCCTCGAGCACGATCTTGGAGCTCATCTCGGCGCACCTGAATGCGAGTGCCGCGACCGAGGGCGCGCCGAGCGCCAGCGTAGTGCTGTACGAGCGCGGAGCGGGCGAAGGGCTGGGCAAGGACCGGGAGAAGGAAGGTGCGTTGCTTCGTGCCGCTGCGACTTACCACGGTAGTCACGCCTTAGGACAGGGCCGCACAAGCTTCTTTCTGCGTACTCCTCCGCCGCCTTCTCGACGAGCCAAGGGCTGCACCTCTCTACCGCCTCCACCTCTGCATCTTCCTCCTCGCACTCTCTCCTCCTGCTCTCCGACGCCGCTCAAGTCGACACGCTCACGCTGCGGCGCTCCTTGCTGGCACACTCGCCGCGCGTCAAGCTCAGCACCAATATGCTCGACGCACACGTCTACATCCTCGCACCCGAGCCGCTGCTGCAGCTGCTGCAGGCGCGGCACGAGCTGACGTCGCTGCGGGAACATGTGCTGCCGCTGCTGGCGCGCACCAGCTGGCAGACTGGGCTGCTGGAGAAGGCGCTGGGCGCTGAACAGGCAGATAAGGCAGCCCCAGCCGAGACAGAAGAAGACATGAGCGCCAAGTGGCGCGACGAGGCCGTGTCGAGAAGCACCGTGCTGCTCGTCGATGCCAAGGAGCGATTGGCCGCGGGCGCACCTGCGTCTGCCGGCAAGAAGACAGAAACGAAGCTGCGGATACAGGCTCTCGTGCTCCGCCTCGCAAAAGAGGCCTCGAGCGAGTCGGGCGCAGCAGCGAAGGAGGGCACCGAGTTCGTCGCGAGAGCCAACACCGTGCCGACGTTCTTGGAGTGCACGCGCTTCGTGAGTCATTTGCTGTGCCCGCTCCAGACTGCGCTGACCCTCTCGACAGCTGCAACGCCAGCAAGCGACGCCGAGCTCCTCATTCGTGCTGCCGTATCTGCCCTCGTCCGCCTCGACACAAGCATCAGCGCAAGTCTCGCCCGACACACACCTCGCCGCCAACGTGACGCTGGGCGAGCGATGCGCCATCAAGCGCTCTGTGATCGGCGCCGGATGCATCATCGGCCGAGGCGCCCGTCTCACGGGCTGCGTGCTGTTCGACGGCGTCGAGATCGGCGAGAAGTGAGTGCCTGCGTGACCCATTGCGCTCCCACAACGCTGACCCTTCGTACAGCGCACGCCTGGAGAACACAATCGTGGCGGCGCGTGCCAAGATCGGCGACCGAGCCACGCTGAAGGACTGCGACGTGGCGCCGGACGCTATCGTCGCGGCCGACGCGAGCAAGAAGGTGGAGAAGATCCTGCATGAGGAGGAGGAGGGCGAGGAGGAGGGTGACGGCGAGCAATGATCACACCTTGCCAGACTCTGCTGCCACACGAGAGGATCATGACGGTGTCTCATTTTGAGCTGCACAATACAGGAAGACCGAGCGCAGCTGCTCGCGCGAGATCGGCGCACGCGTGAGCGCTCCGTTGAGAGTGTGGCAAGATGGGAGAGGCGGATGAAGTGCATGCGATGCTGCGCGCAGAGATGGCGGCGACGGGGCTCAAGAAAGTTGAGGGTGCGACAGAGCGAAGAGAGATCCGGTCCGGTCCGGTCCAGAATGGAAGGCCAAGAGAGGCCGAAACGAGGGCGGCCGATGAGGTGCGGAAAGGGGAATGCGAGGGTTCACAGCAGAGACTCCGGGGGGCCAGGATGAAGTGAATAATGTCCTGAGAGGCTGAAAGTCGTAATGCGAGGAGTGCTCGGCGTGCGTGTCGGGGTCGTTGAGAGGGTGCCGATGTGGAAGGTCGGGGAGAAGGAGAAGGATACGGTCGGCGGCGCGCATCAGGTGCGGTCACAGTCGGCCAGACACTACTCAGCGAGCAGTGTAGTAGCTGTTCGTCGGGAAGACGATGCCGTCGTGCCGCACGAAGAGAATCGGCACCTTGCCTCGCGCCGTGCCCGCCTCGGGGTCGAGCACCGGCGGAGGCGCACAGAGGATGGTCGTCGACGACTGCACCTCGACCTGCTCGCTGCGCCAGTCGCCGAAGTACACGAAGAGGTCCTTGCTGAAGTTCTCGCCGAAGAGCGTCACGAAGTTCGCGCCGCCCGCCGCGGCGGATGCTGCAGCCGCGGACGACGGCACCTTGCCACTGCCAGCACCGCCGGGCGCGCTGCTGCCGAACACGGCAGTTGTGGGAGTGCCGCGCGAGGTCATCGCGCCTGTCACCTCGCTGCTTGCGTTGGCGGCGATGAAACTGGTGAGCACTGGCAGCGGCGAGAGCGAGGTGCGAGGTGCAGGCACGGTGATGAGGTGCGTCACGCTGCTGTCCATGGCCGGCGCCTTGGGGCGCGAGCCTCCGACGATGCGCGGCGGGATGTAGAAGGTGTGGCGTGCGACGTCTGTGATGAGGCGATCAGCATGGACCTGGACGGCGCACTGTCAGCGAGACTCACCGGTGCCGACGACGGTCCAGACGTCTGAGTCGGACACGTCCACAGACCACGTAGCGCTGAGCGGCACGCCACCCGTGGACGACTCCGAGTTGGAGATCGAATGCGCGAATGAGCCGGTGCGACGCAGCATCTCTGCCTCGAGGCCGCTGGCGGGCACGTGAGCCGACGAGCTTGCGCTGCCAGCCAGCTGTTGCATCTGTGCGACCGTCGACATCGACTGTCCGCGGCGGCGGTTCTTCGCTGCAGCAGTGTTGGCAGCCAGGCGCTCCTTCTGCTGGTGCACCACTGATGACGAGACTCGACGCGGACGCTTCACTTTGCCGCCATCAGACGACGGCGGCGGCTCCATCGCGCCTCCTGCCGAGGAGCCAGACGTCGAGCCGGAAGGCACGTTGGAGTAGTGCCGCGCCTGCTGCATTGAGTGCTGCGTCTGAGCTGCGGCGTACGCAGCAGCCATGCTCATCGGACTCGTCGGCGGCGTGCCGAGCACGTGCATCTTGCTGTCCTCCAGCGGCGCGACGTCGGGCGCAGGGTAGAGCATCGGCGTCAGAGGCGTCGAGGGCGTCGAGTAGCCTGCGTTAGGCACCCAGCGGCGCGGCTCGTCGGCCTTGCGCATGCCGACGCTCTCATTGAGGCATGCCAGGAACGGTCCGCTCTGGCCTGGTGGCAGCATCTCACCCATGGCACCGCGCGCGCCCGCGACAGGCGCCGGCGCATTGGCATCCTCCAGCACCTCAAGAGCGATCTTGTGCAGCTGCGACACCGGATCACCCGGAGCTTCTCGGCTCGCGTTCGGCGCACCATGCGGGCCAGGCGGCGCCTGGCTGCCGCCCATCACTGTCGTGCCCTTGTCGACGCGCCTGATGACCATGATCGGGCTAACGACGGCAGTGTGCAGACACTGCAGGACCACCGGTTGGTTGTAGTAGATCGGCGTCGCTGCGCTGCCTTGCGGGCCACACGGCAGCGCGTTCGAAGGCGGCGGAGGGTAGCCTGGCACGGGCGGCGGCAGATCGCTGTCCGTCGAGGCGTCGCTGCTCTTCGTCGGATCGACCAGGTAGATGACGAAGGGATCCCACGAGGACATCTTGGCCACGAACTGCGACGGCGGGTCGAGGCGGTCCGGCAGGTATGCGTCTTGCGCCTGGGTGACGAAGGGCTGCCCGTCCGATCCCTTGAACCACGTCGGCGCGCCTGACACGCAGAGGTAGCGCGTCGAGACCGTCTGCGAGCGCAGGCGATGGAATAGCGAAATCGTTGTGCCGTGGTTGACACACACTGTGAAGCGAAAGTCAGCACAGCCGCGGTGCAGCAGCATCCGTGGCACTCACAATCAGCGTTGCGCGAGCTCTGCCGCTTCTTGCTCGGCTTGCTGATGACCTTGATCGGCTTGCTCGCAAACGAGCCCAGCAGATGGCGCTCGGAGACTGTGTTGCCAGGCACCGAGACGTTGACGACGGCCTCGCAGTAGCGGCGCTTCTCGTCGAGGTCGGTGATGTACAGCTGCCGGCCGATGCAGCGGCCGCTGATGGCCATCTCCGAGGACGGGTTGCCGACGTCGATCAGCCTGCCGCTGCTCGAGCCCCATTCGAGCGCACCCTCTTGCGAGTGCGACTCGCCACTGATGGCAATCTGCAGGCGCGGCGGCGCCAGAGAGGTGGGCGCCTGATCCGACTGGCCCTCGATGAAGCCGAACGGCGCGGGCGCGTCGTTCTTGCACGCACTCCACCAGCTGCTGCCGATGAGGAGCACCATCGGCGGCGGGCAGAGGAAGCGCTTCTCGACGCCGTAGCTCTTCTGCGCCACCTTGCTCGTCATGATGAGCACCGTGCGCTCACCGAGGCCCAGGCGGCTGACAGCCGTCAGGTAGTTCTCGAGCGGACGCCTGATGAACGACGTGCAGTCGGCGAGCTCCGGCTGCGTGCCACCCGGCGTCGGCGAGTTGACGTCGTCGCCCATGCGCAGGAACGATGCTTGCAGGAATGTCGACGGCCGCACCGCCGGCCGATATGGGCGCTGGACCTCGGTCGAGCCGGTGGGCGTCGCGTCGCTGCTTGCTCGATCACGGCCTGCAGCGGCGCCACTGCCATGCTGTGCGCTCGAGTCTCGCTGCGACGTCGGTGCTGCGTGCGGTCCAGTCGGCGAGCTGTACGGCCCGTGCTGCTGCTGCAGTAGCTGCTGCTGGGAGACGACGTGCGTCTGATCCGACGTGGACCGCAGAAAGGCGGGCGCAGTCGCTTGCTGCTGCTGCGACGCCGGTATCTGAGAATGCATCTGCGAGCCTTCGAAGCCCAGTCCGTGATGTGCCGACGGGCCGAGCTGGAAGATGCTCTGATGAGCCGGTCGCGGGAACGCCTGCTGCTGCGCCTGTTGCTGCGGCGCGACGTCGAAGCCAGGCTGCTGCTGGAAGCTCAGCAGCGGCTCGTCCTCCTCCATGATCGTGGGCGTGCTGCTGCCGCCGACGGACGGACCTATGGCAGCAGCGGCGCTGCCTGCACGCTCGCGCTGGCCCTGGCCGGCGCTGATGTGAGCGCCGGCAGCCATACTGGCGGCAAGGGCATGGTCTGCGTACGACAGCTCGCGCTGCGCGTCAGAGCCGTTGCTGAATGCAGACAGGCCATGGGCGACACCAGGTGCATGCTGACGCGCGGCGTCGACCCAGTGCACGTTGCCAGCGGCTGGAGTGGTGCCGAGGCTCTGCCACTGTGGCTCCTCAGTCTGCAGCGCTCTGGTGTTGAAGTCGGGCGACGAGTAGTGCGAAGGCATGCCGCGCGGCTCGGAAGCTGCTGCTCCGGCACTCATCCTCGGACCAGCCTGGACGCCGAGGCCCTGCACAGGCATGCCGCCGGCCTCGCCGGGCTTGGCGCCACGGCGCTGCGGCTCAGCCCTGTTCGGCGTGAAGGCCGTCAAGGCTGGCTGTGGGCCGCTTTGGCTGCTGGAGCGGCTCGTGCGCTGCGAGAAGGCGCCAGAGAGCGACGATGCGCTCGGGCTGGCGTCGAACCTCGCCGTAGCCACTGACAATGGCGACACGGACTGCTGACTCGGCAGACCGACGCCGAGAGACTGGGCGTCGTCGAGATGCGCAGCGTGCGCGTTCATCGACGAGGTGCCGTTGGTATGCTGGCCGAAGCTGGCTCCGGCGCCGGCGTCCACGTGGCCCTGGAAAGAAGGCGCGCCGTTGTGCGCCTCGAAGTGATACACTTGCGGCACAGCAGACGACGAGCTGCTCGCACGCATAGATTGCGGGCGCGAGGACCCGGCCGGTGACGAGTTGCCACAGCCCGACGACTGCATCTGAAGGTGCTGCTGTTGCTCCGGGTAGCGAGCAGCCTGCGGCGGACGCGTGCCTGGTCCACCAGCAGCTGTGTGCCATGGCTGCGAGCCACCGCCGTGGCTCGAGCCCACGTGCGAGGCGCCGCTGGCCGAGCTGCCGCTCTCGACACCTGCAAAGTCTAGCGCGCCGGGTCCGTGCGGGCGTTGTGGCGCACCGGCCAGAGAGGACGAGCTTGACGAGCTGGCAAACTGATGCGCACAGCCGCTCTGTGACATGCCGGAGACGTCTGACCAGGACCCGGCCCACGACGAGGCGTCGTTGTGCCCACCGACACCGTTCGTCGCTGGCCCTTGCTGCAGCGCATGCGCCTGCTGAGGCTGCAGTCGTGCGTCGTGCTGTGCGTAGCGCTGCTGCTGCTGGCCGTCGCCGTTCGGCGCGAGGCCAGCGAAGCTGGGGTGTGCGAAGCTGTCATGTGACTGCGGCCCGGCCAGGTTGGAGTAGGCAGCAAGGTCAGGCTGGAAGCCCATGCCAAACTCCAGGCTGGGCTCCAACCGTGCTCCTGGGTCGAGACCGAGCGACGACGGCGGCATGCCGTATTGCTGCTGCTGTCCGGAGCGCGACGAGCGGTCCTCGAAGCTGTCGTGAGCGTGAGCAGCGTGCTGCGCATACTCAGGCTTGCCGCGGAGCGAGCTTGGCCCGGCGTGTGCTTGGTGCTGCTGCAGCGAAGGGTGCTGCTGATGCGTCTCGAAGTAGTAGCCCGCCTGCTGCTGCTGCTGCTGCTGGTGCTGTTGCTGCAGCAGATGGAGCTGCTCGGCCGGCAGCTGCTGCTGCTGTGGCTGCTGGCCGAACGCTCCGGCGTCCCACGAGGAGCCGTACATGCTCACCAGCGCCCCACTTGCGCCTCGAGAGCGAGCTCAGGTGAGCTCGTCCGCGAACGCTTGCGAACCCAGTGCGCCGACAGCAAGTCCAGCGGAGAGTGGGATGCGAGGAGCACAGAAGCGCGGCGTGACGGGCAGAGGTACGCCGGGGTCCTCGCTCGCAGGCCGCTCTGTGGCCCGACTGGGCGGTGTCTGCTGGGCAGAAGCTCTCACCTGCGGACTCGGAAGCGAGACAGGAGCGCTGCCGTCGAGCGGCAAGAGAACGCCGGCTCGCTCGCAGGCCGTCTGCGCTGGAGTGTGGCGCGTGGCGCAGCTGTAAGCGGCAAGCGCTGAGCGATGAGGGACTTTTTGGCGTCTTGAGCTGGCCCTCTGAGCCTCTAATGCGCTTCAGCAGGAGCTGCTCGGCGCGCCGAGGCGGCGGCGCGGCGAAGGACGCGGCAGCGAGAGACACAGCACCGCTGCGCTTGCAGCTCAGAGGTGCGGCTGACGTCCAGGCTGAGCGGCGAGCAGCGAGCAGCCTGACCCGAGCCTCGTCGATGGAGCGGCGTGGAGAGTTCGGAGGAGCAGTGACGAGATGGCCGGCAGCTGGCGTAGAGACGCCAGTCCAGGCGCGTGCTTGCGCGGCGGAGCGGGAACAAGCGGCCTGGGGACCCGTCCGGGCGTGGGAATGCGGGATGCGAGCGAGCGAGAGAGCGCAGGAGGAAGGGAAGGACGAGAAGCAGAATCCGGAGCCGGTCGTGCGCAAGAGGCGGACAGAGAGAGGTGCACGCGGTGGCCTATGGAGGATGTTCGGAAAGGAGCGAGGGCTGGAGCGGCCGGAGCATGCAGAGGAGCTTGAGCTTGAGCTTGGCGTGACCCAGCTTCTGAGCCAAATGGAGGCGGCCGCGGCGCGGCAGGCCGCCGCATCGAGCGCCCTCAGCATCAGATCCGCGCCTGCGCGAGCTGCACCTCGCTGCTAAACCTTGCTGCTGGCGGCGGCGGCAGCGGTCTCGCCTTCGCGCCTCCTCTGGGCCGGCGCGCGCGTGGCGAGCGCCGGGGCCGAGCACGTCCTTGGTCGTAGCAGCACAGCTGCATAATATGTCTGCCTTGCTGGGGACTGCCGTCGCAACGCTGCCACTCTGACTGCCAGCGCAGCACCAGGCGTCATGCGCGTCGCGCAGGCGCTAGCGGTGCTGCCGCAACGAGATGCGGCAGTCGGCGAGGGTGCGAGCGAGCGAGCGAGCTGGCCGCATGACGCCTGCGAGCGCTCAGAGCTGGCGCCGTCATGGAGCGGCCTTGCGCTTGTGCTGCGCCGCTGCGCCTGCGTGCTGCGCTGCGCCGCTACTCGTGTGACGGGCGACGTCCCTGTCGCGCCTCGCGCCGCCGCCGCCGCTGCAACCTGCTTCCGTCCGCTCGCCGCCCGCCGAATTTGCCCATCTCCGCGCGCTGCAGCGCAGCACATACGCAGCTCGGATACGGCGCCCACCGCTGACGCTACAAGTCCTGCGAGCCGCTCCTCAGCGCTCACTTAGCCCCCACGCTCAGGCTCACTGACCGCCCAGGGCTGGATTCTCGCTCGCCACGATGCTAGGGCTCTGGTTCTTCCACGCGCTGGCCTTCCAGCGCAATCGGCCGGCTCCACGCCGCGCCTTCGCTCGCGCCGCCACCTCTGCGGCACTCCTGGCCGGCGCGCTGCGCGAACAGAAGCTGTACCTGCGGCTGCGTCGAGGTGGTGCCGCCTCGAGAAAGCCGCGAGCGAGCCTAGCGTTGCCGCCGTTCGGCGTCGACTGGACCCGCGGCTGCGACGGGCAGCGCTCCGGGCTGGACACACACGGCAGTGGCGCCGAGGCGCGCTTGGGAACAGCCGCGACGCCGAAGTCGGTTGCGCCGTCCGAACAAGGCTACGCGCCTCGCTGTCAGTGGCCCCCAATCGCAGCGCAGCGACGGCATGGCAGAGGCTCGAAAAGCCGAATCCGAAAACGCACACATTACTACACAGCTCGGCGTCGAGCTGTGGCGTCAGCGGCGCCCGCACCGACGCTCCAGCGCAGGACGTCTCACCAAGCACGCACGTCCGGCACATCCTTGGCTTGCAGCTCAACATTTCAGCAGGACTCTTTTGCATCCCCTTTCCCGCTCCGGCATTGAGGTATTTGCAGCGACGAGCGAGCCGCTGCACGGGCGCAAGCGTGCTCATGAGCGCCGCAGCAGCTTGCTGCAAGCGCACCCTCTGACGGCCAATGCCGGCTGCGGGGCGTTTCTGGCGCTGCTGAGCTTGAACGGACGTCAGATGCAGGCATGCTGCGTCCTGCTGGGCTGCTCTCAGTCTAAGTCTGCGCTGCATCTGCACGCCGCTGCAGCAGCTGTAAGGCTGCAATTCGGCCCCGCACGCAGCAGCCGGGCCTTGCCAGCATGCGGCCCCGCAGCTTCTGGCCGTGCTATTATGCACCTTTGCGCTCAAGATCCGGCTCGCTTCTAAATTCAGCTCGCCGCCGGCGCGGCAGCAGCAGCGGGCACGTGATGTATCACCCAGGCCCGCATGGCCGGCCGCACGCACCTTTCGCGAGCTCGCTCCAACCGGGCACGGAGGCGGCTCGGCGAACTCGGCGGGGCGCCGCAAGCCACAGGCGCGGCCAGCGGTACGCCGTGGACGGACACCAGCCCGCTCGGCACAAGCTCCGGAAGAGCGTCCATCCAGCAGCGGAAGGGCATGCCGTGCGCACACAAGTGCGGTGCGCCGTGTCGCCGCCAACTTCAGCCGCGCGGAGCGATGCGGATGCTTTCGGAGCCGGGAGGATAGGAGTGCCAGCAGCACGAGCTAGCCGGGCCTGCACCCTGCGGGCTGCACGCTTGCTACGGTGCTGCGCTACCACAGCCGGCAGTGCTGCGTCACCTGGTGCAGCAAGATTGCCGCGCCGAGGGGCGGGAGCGGTGCGTGCGCTGCTGCATCGTGCGGTCGCACATGGCGAAGGGTGCACCTGCAGCAGGCGGCCAGCGGGGCTTATTTTGGCGCCGCTGAGCCTGTACTTGGGCGCTCGGGGCCGCGAGGCTGCGCCCTCGAAAGCGCAGAGTCACGGCGTAGGCAGCCTACCCACGCCTGGACAAGCGCCGTCGGGTGCCTGCATGTCCTCGTGCTTCGCCCTCCGCAGGCACGGCACGGATGCGCTCCTCCGGCTCCGATGCGCGGAGCCCGAGGCGGCCATCGCGATGATGCCTTCGCACACCCTTTTGAAGGACAAGCACGTCCGGCCTGGCGATACCAGCGGAGCCGGCACACTCGTGCCAGACTCCGCCCCACCTCTCCAGCAGCAGCAGCCAAGCTGTGACTCTTACTGTGCAAGGTTGAGTGACCGTGCGCACAAGCCACTGCCACCCCCGGAGCGCGGAGCCGGGCGGCGGTGCACCACCTCCGCACCTCCGCCATTGCAGCGCGCAGCGAGCAGCGAAGCTCGGGTTCCCACAGCAAAGCGTAATTTGAGGTGTCGTCGGCATCGAGCAGGCGTCCAGGGTGCTGCAACATCAGCTGATTCTGGCCCAGCTCCGCGGCTTGCGGACGGTAGCCTCACGCAGCGGCAGGACGCCGTGCTCGAGCCGGTCTGTCTGCGCAGACATGCAAGCCGCGCGATAGACCGGGTCGTCGCAGCCGAAGCAGCAAGCGATCTTCATGGCGCCAGGCGAGGATGCAGCCTGCATCAAGCAGGATGCTTCGCTCTTAGCCAAGCGGCAGCATGAGGGAAGAGCTGCCCGTTCCTGGCCGTCGACGTGAAGGGCAGCGCACTCCGGGTGCCGCAGAGTTTGCGACACCGCCGCTCCTGCCGGCAGCCACAGAGCCAGCGGCATGAGAAGAAGCATGAGCATGCAGATGGGCCAACGCCTGCGCCGTCCGCAAGCGAAGCAACATAGGGTGCCTACCGAAGCAGCGCTGTTGCTGCTGCTTGCTTCGGCGAGCTCGCCGACAGAGACACAAGGGTGGTCGCTCGCTCCAAGGCGAGTTGGCCGCGCCGCGCGATGGCGGCATCGCCCGCCGTGCATCGCATCGCAGGCGCATCGCAGCGCACGCCGCAACATCGCTCCGTCGGCGCGGCCGGGATGCGCCGCGCGGTGAGAAGATCGGCATTGCACCGCAGCTCCGCACGCAGTGGCGCCGAGGAGTAACTCGTCGTCGGCCACCTCGGCCCGAGTCGCTCAATTCTTGCGATCACCTCTCGCACGGACGGCGAGCAACTCGCACGGGAGTAGAGTCGAGAAGGGCGGGAGCAGCGCCAGGACGCCGCCGGCATGACTCAAGTACGGCACACGCAACGCCGGCTCCTAGCGAGGCCGTCTGCAAGCTGTGCCAAGCTCGACTTTGTGTTTCACCACTTGTTGAGACGACGGTGACAAGAGCAGTGAGGCTGGCAAGCGACTTTGGCCCGGCTGGGTCGCATTTGCATTTTTGCGCCAAAAGAGTCGAGTCCACGGCGTGCCGCGCGCGCGCCGCGCGGCGGAGCCAGCAGCTCCCATGGCAGTCGAGCGCAGCGCAGAATCCAGCGCAAACGGCTCACGATCGTGATGGACGCCGCAAGCGTGCCACCATCCTCAGCTCGGGGAGCGGCGTTCTCAATGTGAGAGCCAGCCAGCGCTGCGACGCGGTCATCGAGGACAAAAAAACGAATAGTTTGCCTCAGGCTCCACACGCCCGTGCTTCAGGGTCCAGCGCATTGCCAGTGCGGGGGCAAAGAGCTATCCTGGACGCTTCTCCCATCGCTGTGCGGCGCCTAGAGGCGCTGCTGCAAGCACCGCTCGCCTCTGGATAAATCTCGTCGCACGATCTCGCTGCTGCTGGCTGGACCGCGGCGGTGCCTGACGCCGAATGAGCACACGGAGATGTCTAGCGTGCTCGCTGGCGCGGCTGAAGAGGCCGCGTGCTGGATGCTTCCGCTCCACCAGCCGCAGCGCAGCGTCGAAAGCGAGGCGCGCCGCGCGTCTTGCCACACACCGACAGCCGTCGGCCGGTGTCGCCTTCCACGAGCGCAGAAGGCGGCACACCTGCCATGGCGCAAGGCTTTCCACGATTGCACACGACGAGGCAAGGCGCGAATGAGGACCCTGAACCGCCCTCGCGTGCAGCAGGCCCATTGTCAGCGCTGCTCCAGGGGGTGGCGTCGGGCTTCGATTCGCATTTGCCCTAGTGCGCTCCGGCGTGTGGGCCGGCTTGCGTGTTGCCGGCTGCGTTTCGACAGGATAATGCCCGCACTCTGACGGCTGCGCCTGCTGCTTCGGGACCCAGAGTGTCAGATGACAGCACGCCAGGTGCCGGCGGCCGCTTGCTGCTGGACACGCTAGCCGTGCTTCCCGCGGCGCAATCCGCGTGGACCCCTGGACCCCGAGCGCCAAGGGCTGCCAGGGCCGCACCTCCAGGTGCGAATGCTTGTCCCGCTTCTGGCCGTCCATGACGACACAGCCTCGGGCTTGGTGTTGACTCTGCAGTGCTTTCGCAGAGCTGCCATGAGCGCAAGCGACGGCGAGACTGCGCCTGCCGCTCGGCGTCTCGGGGGCGCAAACGCGGGAAGCACGCATGCGCAGCGGGACCTGCATGAAGACACTACTGTGCGCATGTCGCACCGCAAGCCGCTCGCTTCGGCGGCACTCTGAGTCGCAAGCTCAGGTCCCGGGAGAGGCGCATGTTCGCTGCGGCGGGACAGGTGGCGAGTGCCGCCGTGCCACCGCAGCCGTGCTGAGTCAGACGTCGATGCCCATGACACCTCCTGGACATCGACACCAACACCCAGCCGTGTGTGCGTGTCTTGCACGTTGGGCCGCGGGGCTGCGTGGTCCTTCCGCCTGCGCTACGCTATCGCAGCTGAGTGCTGGGGCGATTGCGACATGCCGACCTCGTGGGGCACCACGCGCCAGGGGTGTGTGTCGCACGTGTCGCGAGCCCGATGCTGATTGCACTGGCGCATCGCCGGCGAGTCGCTCACGTGCCATGTGCGATGCACAGGTGGCCCCCTGAGGTCTCCGTATTCGCTGGCGAAGAAGTCAGAGGCAGATCTGAAGTGGTATGTATTATTGAGCTTCGAGGACACACGATGAGCCGAGAGAAGAAATGCGAGGATCAAGACGGGGATGCGGCGTAACTGTGGAGACTGCGGGAAGACACGAGCCGGGCGGTCTAGGCTGAGCTCATGCAGTGTGCATGTGTGTCGTGCTGCTTCGGTGCGGACTGAGGCCGCTGAGCAGCAGCACGGCGGTGCCGTAGAAGCAGGCGATGAGGATGAATGCGGCGCTCGGGAAGCGTGCGTTGGTGGCGGCGTAGAGCGAGGTCGTCGCGATGGGCACGAGCACCTGCACCGTCGTGTCGATGAGCGAGAAGGCTGCGAGCACCTGGTCGGCGCTGCCCTGCTGGGCGCCGCCGCGAATAGCGGGCGCAGCGAAGACATCGGAGGCGATGGCGATGGCCGCGCTCTGCATCGCCGGCGGATAGCCGCCGCCGAGGGAGAGGAAGAGCGAGCCGAATAGCATGAGCACGCCGGACGGGATCGACGCAGAGATGGCGATGATGATGTAGCCCGTCAGCTCGAAGCTGCGGCAGCGAGGCGAGGTCAGCAGGCGTAAGCAGGGTCTCGGCGTCTGAGGTCACCCACACATAGGAGACACGAGCAAGGGCAATGTCGATCGAGCTTCGCCAGAGCACCACGAGCGGGCGCAGCACACCGTCGGCGTGCATGTCGGCATGTGCGTCTTCCATCTGCGCAAACTCGCTGATGCCGCCGGGCGCCTCGTCGACCTTGGCCTCGCGTGCCAGGCGCTCCAGTTCCTCCTTCGGCATGCCGTGCAGCGGCGTCGGGCGGCGCACGAGGCGCTCCAGGAGCAGCACAAGGAGCGGCACGATGAGGCTGAGCACGAGGACGCGCGAGCCGGCGATCCAAGCCAGCATGTAGCCGACGCTCGACGTCGACCAGCCGTACACGTGGCCGCAGGAGAGGATGAGCACGGTCAGGCCAGTGCCGCCCGACGTGCCGAAGAACTGCACGACGGCCAGGCGCGTCAGGCGCCAGTCGTGCGTGCCGTTGGGCATCGGCGCGGGCAGCAGCAGACGCAGAGGCGCGAGGGAGAAGGACTTGGTCGGCACTGCTACTGCTGCTTGAGGCGTCAGACACAAGGCATAAGCATGGCACGGGCACAAGCTCACCTCCTTCCTCTTCCTCTTCCTCATCGTCGTCGTCGCGCCTCGGCTTCGACTCCTTGACGAAGAAAGCGATCCACAGCATGGCGAACGAGCCGACGACGATTGAGACGATGAAGGGCGTAACGTTGAACTCGAGCGACGTCGAGTCCGGCGGGCCCGGCGGCAGCGGCGGCGGGATGGGCGAGCCGCTCGGCGGCATGTGGTCGTGACGGTGCGGCCAGCTCCAGCCGGGCAGCAGGTGGGCAAAGTGCACGAAGCTCGTGCTGCTTGTCGGCCAGATGGCCGAGGCGGCGCCAGCCAGCAGCGGACCCAGCACGATGCCGCCGAGGTACGAGAGCGAGCCCCACGTCAGGTTGCGCGTGCGCTCGGCCGTCGAGCTGTGATCGGCCAGCATCGTGCGCACCGTCACCATCGTTAGGGTCTCCTGTGAGCAGGCGTCAGCGACTGAATGTCGCGAGAGCGCTATCGGGGCATCTGCAGCGGCTTGAGAGCGTAATGACAGCACCGCTCGCAGCCCGCACCGCTCGCTACCTGCGCGTCTCCACCGTCCATCAATCTGTTCCGCTTATCGCACTACTCACCGCACCGAGCAGACCCTGCGCCACGTACATGGCCACAATGACGCGCATCGCATTCAGCGGGCTGATCCACGCCGTGTCGGGCGCCTCTTCCGGCGCGTTTGTCGGGCCCAGCGGCAGGATGAGGAACGGCAGCTGCACGCAGAACACGGCACTGGCGCCCAGCAGCAGCACGGGCCGGCGCCCCCACGTCTTGAGGCGCTGTGCGAAGAAGAGGACGGCGAGCAGCGTGATGCTGCCGCTGAGCGTGTCGGCGAGGAGGATGCTGCGTGCGGCCGACGCCTCGACGGCGGCGGCATCGCAGGCGTGGTGCACGCCGGCGAGCGCAGGCAGCGGGTGCTTGGCGTAGTAGGCGGCACAGGCGAAGCGGCGGATGCCGTCGAGCGTCGCCGCCTTGGAGGCGTACGCGGCCGACGACCAGAGGAAGGAGCCGGTGAGGATGGTGAGGATGGCCTTCATCGAGTGTGCACTGCTGCTTTCTTGCTGCTGGATGAGAGGCGTGCGCTCGGAGGAGGAGGCCATGGCGGCGATGCGGCTCGGGGTGCCAGCACGGGGCCCGCCAGGAACAGATAGAGCGCTGCCGCTGCTCCACTTCGCTCAGGACAGGGGCTCTCGGCTCCCGAGATGCGCGTTGGAGGAGTAGAGTGGCAAGCGCTGCTGCCGAGGAGGTGGGAGAGGCCTCGGCGAGGGTGGTGCGAGTGCGTGCTGCTGGCGGTGGCTTGGTGTGGTGGTGTGTGTGTGGAGTGGACGCTCGCGATATACTTATACACGGCGCCCCTCTGAGTCTCGCGCATGCCGGCGGGACCGTGCGCTTCGGGCGCCGGCCCGCCCTCCGCGCGGCCGCCGCGGCGCAGCGCGCATGTCAGACCCTTTCCGCCCGATGAGCGCATGCTGCGCGTCCGCTCAGCATGCTGCGCACCGACTCAGCCTGCCAGACCTTATCGCCGTGCTGCGTGCTCGTCGGCCGCAGGAGCAGCCAGCTCTGGTCGCTGTTGAGCACGCCTCGCCATGACAATGGCAGACGCGCTGCGGCGCTGTCTGCCGGAATCGACGGCCAGGCGCAGGCGCAGGCGGCCCTCCACCTCTCCCGCTCGCTGCGCAGCCCGAGCACTGGAGACACGCTTCACGCGGGCAGCAAACGTGAGATCGATCTTTCATTGGACGTCGCACGAGGCACACGGGGTGGAGCAGCATCGTAGCGTCGAAAGGATCGACGCAGCAGGTGGGCAAGAGCGAGTGGGAACCGGGCATGAAAAGGGGTTGAAGAGTAAGAGGGGGAATGCACACGAGAGAGACGTTCAATGTAGCGAAGTGGACGTGGACGACCGCCCAGCCCAGGCCGCAAAAGGCAAGCGCCTTCTCACGGCCCGAGACTGGCTGAGTCGCCGCATGCTCGGTGCTCGACGTTTAGGCGTCGTTGCCGCTCGGCACGCTGCCGTAGCCGCCGCCGGAGAGGGCGCCGCCGGGCGCGGCCATCCACTCGGGCAGCAGCACGTGGCCCTCGTCGGGCATGGCCAGCAGGAGCGCAAGGCCCCACACCGGCTTGGCCGAGAGGTCAAGCACGGCGTACAGCAGCACCTCCGTGTCGGCCGTGACGCTGCGGAGGAGCGTGGCGTCAGCAAAGTGGGGGAGAGCGAGCTACGCCAAAGCAGCGCCGCTTGAAGCTGGCACGCCCTATCGCAGCATCATCGTCTAGACTCACCGGCCGAGACCCTCGCCGAGCACCCAGACGACCGGGTACGCGCTCCAGAGCACAATGAGGGCGAGCGAGATGCCGTTGTACATCTTGCCGACCTGCAGAAGCAGCGCGCGTCAGCCAGAAGCCACACAGTCGACGCTGCAGCGCACGCACCTTGGGGTGGCGCAGGAAGGCAGACGAGCGGGCCGAGCCGACGAGCGACCAGAGCACGTAGACAAAGGCGAGCATGGAGAAGGTGAAGAAGCCCCAGCCTGTGTAAGGAAGGCACGTCAGCTCCGGCGCAGCAGCGCAGCTCGCCGCAGACACGCACGGTACTTGAGGCTCGGGTGCAGCGCGCCAATGGCGCCCGTGACGATCATGACAATGTCGGCGATGATGGCAATGGCGATCTCTCCGGCGGGCAGGCCGGCGACGAGCGTGAGGTCGAGGAGCAGCAGCGGCGTCGTGAAGGCCCAGTCGATGTAGCGGGCATAGAAGACCTGCATCGTGAGTCAGTGTGGTGCGCACTGCAGCGCATGCACGTCTGCTGCTCACCTCGCGCACGGTCGAGTGGTGGCCGGGCGAGTGGACGAGCACCTTGCCGACGCCCGAGGCCATGGCGTAGTACGAGATGGCGGCGAAGATGTTGACGAGCAGGCTGTGCAGGGCAAGTGTGAGCCACCGCCGCAGAGCTCTGGATGCAGCCGCGGCCACTCACGCAGCGACGTGCAGCAGGCGGTAGCGGTACTGCGCACGGAACGTCGTGGCGAAGAGGGCGAGCACGCCGACGGACATGCCGGCGAAGCCGACCCAGAGCACCGTCTGGCCGAACTGCGTCACCTGCTCGGGGCTGCGAGGGTGTCAGTGGATGGTGCGCAGCAGCAGCTGTGCGTCCCGCTGCGTCGCTCGCTGCTCCACTCACTGGTTGAGGTGCGGCGGGATGCCCGGGATGCCGACCGGGGGCTGCTTGACGAGCTCGCTGTAGAAGGCGTTCATGGCGAAGGCGGCGAGAGGGGTGGAGGTGAGAGGGAGAGGGAGAGCGCGGACGAGGCGGCGCAGAGGAGGGAGAGGTGGTGGAGCGAAGGCAGGCGGCGACGGGCGTAGATGAGGGCAGAGGGCGGCGGATGGCCGCTGGGCGAGGCGAGCGGGCGTGCGCTGCAGCAGCGAGGCGTGGTCAGCGCCCAGCCGGGCCGCGAGGCAGGCGAGCAGCCGACTCGACGGCAGAGCGCACGGGCAGCATCGAGGGTGCGGCCGGCCGCAGCTTCCGCTCAAGTGCCGCCGTGATGCTCTCTGCTGACTTGACGGCGGCCCGACGGCGACAGCGGCAGGCCGCGAGAGGCGCTCGAGAGGCGGCGCGCGGTCGCGACGCGGGCCCCGTGCCGCCGTCTCTTCTCTTTGCGCGCGCGCACCCACAGCCGCCCATCAACGCGCATCGGGCCGCCGTTCGCGGCCGTCTCCTCGCACCTCGCTCATCTTCTGCCGCATCAGCGCAGCGCTCACCACCAGCACATCGCACAGCTCGCATCTCTTCACCATGTCTGCGCAGCGACGAGCAGCGGAATGCACGCTGCGCGCGTCGAGCCAAGTCGGGCAGGCCGACGATGGACGCTTGCGAAGGGTCGCGCGCATCGCGTCGCGGTGGAGTAGCAGCGTCGAGGCACGGGAGCAGTGTTGCGCGTCCATCGCGCACGGGCCTGCGTCTCGCCCCCGCACCCTCCAAATTTGGGTGTGGGGCACAGGAGCAGTGTGCGTGCAAATGAAGCGGCGCGATCAGAGAGGCGAGGCGGATGCGCTGTGACGCGGGCGTGCGTTGAGTGCCTCCTCGAGAGGGCAAGAGGCACGCAGGCGGCCAAGCCACTCGCCCCGTCGCTTGCCTCGTCCGCAGACAGATGCGGCAGAGAGGCGCAAAGCCTCGGCTCCGGCTCAGCTCAAGCTGAGGGCGACGATGGTGAGCAGCACGTGAGGACGAAGGCTGGCCGTCGTCGAGCAGCGCTCTGGCCGTCAGCGTCGCCCCACCACCATCGCCGAGGCCGCGACGCAAGATGATCCCTGCTGCGAGATGAGGACGGCTGGGCACAGCAGCGGATGCGCAGCGCCGTGTCAGGCCAGGAGTCGCGCCTTGATGAGGAAGCCGAGCCGCCGTCGGCCATGGCTGTGCAAGCTCAGGACACTGCCGAGCAGGCGTGAGCAGATGACGACAGCCGCGGCGGCACAGCTCGTTCTAGGGCGCCGGCCGGCTCCCAGCCAATGGCCGAGATGGCGAGATGCGATCGATCGTACCTTCCCCGCACTTGACGCCGGCGAGCACTCCCGGCAGGGACGAGCTCGGGCCGGGACCCCTGAGGGCGGCCCACTCAGGGACACGAAGGCACATGGCAACGCGATCCCCTGCTGCTGGCCGTGTGAGAGGCTCTCGCACGGCGCGCCATGCAAGCCCGATCGTGTCACTGGAGCCAAGCATCGACGTAGAGAGCCGAGCGTCGATATGGCACACGGCCAGGCGTCTCCAGCGACGCCGTCTCGACGGCAAAGCGAGCATTACCAGAACAACCTCACACGCAGACCTCGCGCTGCGGGCGGGCGGAGAGATGATTGCTACCACCGCTCCATGTCTCTCGGCCGCAGCTCCTCCTCATCTCTTCTCGGCCTTCTGTCGCTTGCGCCATCCTCCCGACGCGGCCGCTTCCCGTTCCGATCGCCATACTCGCGCTTCTCCACAAAGTCGCGTCCACGGCGCTGCGCCTCACGGCCGTCGGGCGCGCCCCACGCCTTGTCGGCGGCGTCGGCGGCGCGCGGGTCGAGCGTCACGTACTCGTCGTACGCGTGCTTGTCGCCGTGGCCGCGCAGCGTGGAGGTCGATTGCAGCCTGTACCAGTCGTTGAGCAAGGAGACGTGAAGCAGCGTGAGAGGACTCACTTGTGGTTGCGCCAGTCGCCCGCCTGGTCTGCCTCCTCGTCTGAGGCGCCGTACTCGCGCCATCCGCTCTCCTCCTCTTCCTCCGCCAGCTTCTCCTCCGGCTCGCGCGACGCCTTCTCCTTCTTCCTGTCGCTCTTGCCTCCCTCTCTCAGCCCACCTCTAAAGCGCTCCAGCGCGTCCAGCGCCTCCTTCTCGCTCTTCTTCTCCTTCTTGCCGCTCGCATACGCGCTACGCATCTCCTCCAGCGCGCTGCGTCCCGCCCGGCTCTTCTGTTTATCGCGCGGCGAGCTTGCACGCTTGCCGTCACCACGCAGCCGCGCCTCGAGCTCGGCGATGCGCTTCGCCTCAGCGCTCGTGCCTGTCGGTGCACTCTCGCGGGCGCGCAGGCCCTCGAGGGAGACACTCTCGGGTGCGCTGCGCTCGACACGCTTGCGCGGCGGCGAGGCCTTGCGTGCTGGGGCAGGAGGCGGGACTGGAGCGGCTTGCGCGGCAGACGCCGAGGTCGAGGCGGCGCGCATCTCGGGCAGCAGGTCGTGGCTGCTCTTTGGGCCCTTGAATGTCTCAGTCGTCGCCTCCACCTCGCCGAAAGACAGCAGCGACGTGTTCCTAGCGAGCCTGTGATCAGCACGCCAGCGCTGAGCATGCTCGTCTGAAGCACACTCACTTGACACCGCCGATCTTGGCCTCTCTCTCCTTTCTCTCCCTCCGCGCCGCCTTGCGCGCCTTCTCCTGTGCCCGCTTCTCCTCTGCCGTGATGCGCGGCTTGATGTCGCCAAACGGCTCCTCGAGCACGCGCACGCCCAGCACGCGCGGAATGTTGGCCGGCGTGCCGGTGCCCGGCAGCACCTCGACGGAGGCGAGCGAGAGCAGATTGTAGATCGACGGGCCGGTGATGCGCCCGAAGAGCGTGTGCCGCGACTGCAGCTCAGGCGTCGCATCGAGCGTGAACTGCGGGGGCCAAGCATCAGCGGCGTGCCTTCAGGCGGATGCCGCGCAAGCACTGCAAGCTGGAGCTTGTACACGCCCTACATGGCCCACAGCAGCTCCAGCACTCCGTCGACTCACGAAGAACTGGCTGCCGTTCGTGTCGCGGTCGCCCTCGTTGGCACACGCCAGCAGGCCGCGGCGGCTGAAGCGCAGGCGCTGGTGCGGCTCGTCGATGAACGGCTCGCCGTAGATGCTCTCGCCGCCCGTGCCGCTGCCCGAGGGGTCGCCGCCCTGGACGATGAAGCCGGGCACGAGGCGGTGGAAGCCGACGCCGTCGTAGTAGCCCTCGAGGCAGAGCTGGATGAAGTTGCGGCACGCCAGCGGACATTCCTTGGCCCAGAGCCTAAGAGACATGTGAGCAGTGGACCGGCAGGCGCAGGACCGACACACGCACTCAAGCTCGAGGTCGCCGGCCGTCGTGGCCATGATGCAGCGCGCCGTTGTCGGCGGCTCTGTGTTGTATATGTTCGACATGGCGGCGGCGTCGGTGATGTGGAGAGGAAGGAGGCGCGAACACCAGGCAAGAGGCGGATCTCGATCCCGCGGCTTGGCTCAGGCGCGCGACTCCGCCAGCACGCGAAGTGTTGCTCTCCGCTGCGCTCGGACCTAGACGAGTCTCTCGCGACCTCACCACCACCTCGCTCTCACGCTGCTCCTCAAGGCCTTCAAGGACACGCCAGGCCGCTTCACGCGTCGTGGCATATACCCCTCTCGTGCTCGCTGCGCACGCCCGTCATGCCGAGCGCCGTGCTGGGTCAGGCCAGCGGCTCGGCCGCGCACGCCAAGCTGCCGGGCGACTGGTCGCCGGCCGCGTACCGCACTGTCGCCAGCGAGCTGTGCGAGGGCCTCGATCTCGGGCCCTCGGCGCCCGAGGTCATCGATGCCCTCGTGCACGTGCACTACTCCGTCTACGATGCTGCCGAGCGCCTGAAGCGCCGCCAGGGGCGCCGGCTGCACATGGGTCCGCGGTCGTTCCTCGACCTCATTCACCACTGTGAGTGGGCGTGACGGGCGGAGCAGGCTCGCATCGTGAGCTGCGGATCAAGTCATAGTCTGACTGCTAGGTTTGTAGATGTTGCGCTGTCGACTGAGAAGCGTTCGGGCCTGGAGGAGGAGCAGCGGCATCTGAACGTTGGCCTGGACAAGCTGCAAGAGACGGTGAGTCGGCGTGGTGTCGGATGGGCCATGCAGCGCCTTGCTGAGCCTCTTTGTCTCAGGTGCTCGCTGTCGAAGAGCTGCGCAAGTCGCTCGCTGTCAAGGACATGCAGCTCAAGGCCAAGAACACCGAGGCCAACGAGAAGCTGCAGCGCATGGTCGCCGACCAGAAGTCTGCCGAGGAGAAGAAGGCGGCGTCGATCGAGCTGCAAGCGATGCTCGTCGAGTCGGAAAAGAGCATCGCCATTCGCCGCTCCGAGGTCGAGGCCGAGCTAGCCGATGCCGAGCCGGCCGTGCTCGACGCACAGGCGGCGGTGAGCAACATCAAGAAGCAGCACCTCACCGAGGTGCGCTCGATGGGCAACCCACCGCTGCCCGTCAAGAACGCGATGGAGAGCGTGTGTATCGCCCTCGGCCACAAGGTCGAGTCGTGGAAGACGGTGCAGGGCATCATCCGCCGCGACGACTTCATCTCCTCCATCGTCAACTTCGACACGGAGCGGCAGATGACGCGCGGCGTGCGCGAGAAGATGAAGCGCGAGTACCTCTCGAAGCCCGACTACAACTTCGAGCAGATCAACCGCGCGTCCAAGGCGTGCGGTCCGCTGGCCAAGTGGGTCATTGCGCAGGTGCGCTACTCCGAGATCCTCGACGCCGTCGGGCCGCTGCGCGACGAGGTCGAGCAGCTGCAGCTAGACGCCGAAAACACGCAGGCACAGGCAGCAGAGGGCCTGCGCATCATCGAGCAGACGGAGCAGGACATCGCGCGCTACAAGGAGGAGTATGCCGCGCTCATCAGCGAGACGCAGGCGATCAAGAGCGAGATGGGCCGTGTGCAGACGCGCGTGAACCGCAGCATTCAGCTGCTGGACAGCCTCGGGTCCGAGAAGACGCGCTGGGACGCTGGCAGTCGCACGTTCGACGCGCAGATGAGCACCATCGTCGGCGACGCGCTGCTGTCCGCGGCCTTCCTCACGTACGCGGGCTACTTCGACCAGCAGTACCGCGAGGGCATGTGGAGCGCCTGGACGGAGCACCTGTCGCGCGTTGGCATCAAGTTCAAGCCGGAGCTCGGCTTCGTCGACTATCTCAGCACGGCCGATGAGCGCCTCGACTGGCAGAGCAAGAGTCTGCCGGCCGATACGCTCGCGTGCGAGAACGCCATCATGTTGCGCCGCTTCAAGCGCTATCCGCTGCTGCTCGACCCGTCGGGCCAGGCCACGGCTTTCCTCATGAACGAGTACAAGGAGCGCAAGCTCGTCGTCACCTCGTTCCTCGACGGCGCGTTCCTGAAGAACCTCGAGTCGGCGCTGCGCTTCGGCCAGCCGCTGCTGATCCAGGATGCGGAGCACCTCGACCCGATCGTCAATGCTGTGCTGAACAACGAGCTGCGCAAGACCGGCGGCCGCGTGCTCATCCGCCTCGGCGCGCAGGAGATCGACTTCAGCCCGAGCTTCACGCTCTTCCTCTCCACGCGAGACCCGTCCGTCGAGTTCTCGCCAGACGTCTGCTCTCGCGTCACCTTCGTCAACTTCACCATGACGCGCGGCTCGCTGCAGAGCCAGAGCCTGGACCAGGTGCTGAAGAGCGAGCGGCCCGACACGGACAAGAAGCGCACGGACCTGATGAAGCTGCAGGGCGAGTTCCGGCTGCGGCTGCGGCATCTGGAGAAGAGCCTGCTCGTGGCGCTCAACGAGAGCGAGGGCAACATCCTCGACGACGACAAGGTCATCGACACGCTCGAGACGCTCAAGAAGGAGGCAAAGGAGGTGACGCGCAAGGTCGAGGAGACCGACGCCGTCATGGCCGAGGTGGACGAGGTGACGGCGCAGTATGTGCCGCTCGCCAAGGCCTGCTCCTCGCTCTTCTTCATCCTCGACCAGCTGCATGTCATCAGCCACTTCTACCAGTTCTCGCTGCGCTTCTTCCTCGACATCTTCGACCAGGTGCTGCATCGCAATGCGCGGCTCAAGGGCGTCACCGACCACCACCAGCGGCTCGACATCCTGACGAAGGATTTGTTTCTGCTCGTGTACCAGCGCACGAGCCGCGCGCTCGCCCACCACGACCACGTCCTCCTCGCCACGCTGCTGGCGGTGGTCTGGGCGCGTGAAGGCGCGGAGCCAGACGCGCTGGATGGTGCTGAGTTTGCGTTCCTTCTCGAAGGCGGTGATGCCGTCGCACAGCCTGCCTCAAGCAGCTCGGACACGCTCGATGCGCTCTTGACGCCAGAGCAGAAGCAGCGCGTCCAGGCGTACCGCCGCCTCGCGACCTTCCGCGACTTGGCGGCGCACATCGAGGGCGATGTCGACGCATGGCAGGCATTCCTGACGGCGCCGGCGCCTGAGGCAGCCGTGCCGCACTTCTGGGAGGAGAGCAGCGAGCTCGTCAGCCTGGTGCGCGAGTTGCTCGTCATCAAGTGTCTCCGGCCCGACCGCATCGCGCCCGCCATGGCCAAGCTCATCACTGCCGTCTTCGGCACCGACATTCTCTCGGAGACTGCGTACGATCTGCAGCGCATCGTCGCCGACGAGGTCAATGCGCAGACGCCCGTCGCGCTGTGTGCGGTGCCGGGCTTCGACCCGAGCTATCGCGTGGACAACCTGGCGCGAGCGGCAGACGTGCGCTGCATCTCGGTCGCGATGGGCTCGCAGGAGGGCTTCGCTCTCGCAGATCAGGCCATCACGACGGGCGCCCGCACTGGCCAGTGGGTGCTGCTCAAGAACGTGCACCTCGCGCCGGCGTGGCTCGGCCAGCTCGAGAAGAAGATCTCGTCGTCGGGCCTCAACCGCAGCTTCCGGCTCTTTCTCACCTGCGAGACGAGCCCCGTCATCCCGGTCAGCTTCCTGCGCGCCAGTCGCATCCTCATGAACGAGCCGCCGCCGGGGCTTAAGGCGAGTATGCTTGACAACCTGCGCGGCATCCCGCCGGCGCGGATACAGAGCTGCCCGGCGGAAGCGATGCGTCTCTTCTTCCTGCTCTCCTTTTTCCACGCCACGCTCACTGAGCGGCTGCGCTACACGCCGCTCGGCTGGTCGAAGGCGTTCGAGTTCAACGACAGCGATGCAGAGATGGCCCTCGACGTCATCGAGACGTGGGTCAACCGCGTCGCCAAGGGCCGCGCGAACATCGATCCGGCGACGATTCCGTGGCCGGCGCTGCGTGCGCTTCTCAAGCAGAGCGTGTACGGTGGCAAGATCGACAACCCCGCCGACCAGTTGCTGCTCGACTCGTTCGTCGATGGCATCTTCACGCCGCTCGCGTACGAGCAGGCCTTCCGTCTCGTCGACTCGCCGGACATGCCGCTCATCGCGCCGGAGGGCACGCAGATGGATCAGTTCATGGCGTGGATCCAGAAGCTGCCCGACCAGCAGCCGCCGCAGTGGCTCTCGCTGCCGCCGACAGCAGAGCGCGTCATCGCAACTGCGCAGGGTGCTGCGCTGCTCAACAAGCTCGTGCGCATGCGCCAGTTGAGCGACGACGACGAGACAGTGGCGGCGCCAATCGAGGGCGCTGCAGCTGCCGGACCGGGCAGCAGTAACGCCGTGGCCAGCAGCGCGACTCAGCCGCAGTGGATGCAGGCGCTGCGCCAGAACGCCGCCGACTGGCTCGCCGCTCTGCCGCAGAAGATCGCATCGCTCAGGGGCGGCGCCAACAGCATCGGCGACCCGTTGTTCCGGTGAGTGCATCCGTCGTCGGTCATCATGCATGGGCTGACTGTCCCGTGCCGATCAGCTTCTGGGCGCGCGAGCACACTTCGGGAGCAGAGCTGCTCAAGCTCGTTCGCCGCGACCTCGAAGAGGTCATCTCGGTCTGCTCTGGCGAGGCACGGCAGACGAACCACAATCGCGCACTGCTCAGCGACTTGACGAAGGGTGCGTTGCAGCAAAAGCGCAGGCGAGCCCGCACGCTGATGCCGTCGATGCAGGCACGATCCCGACGACGTGGCGCAAGTATCCCGTGCCCAAGGCCATGTCGCTGGGCATGTGGGTCGCCGATCTCGCGCAGCGTCTGGCACAGCTCGACGAGGTGACGCGCACGGACAGCTTCGAGCGCTTTGCCGTCACGCTTGGCTTGCTCTTCACGCCTGGCGCCTACCTTACCGCCACGCGGCAGGCAGTCGCGAGGCGCACACGAGTCAGCTTGGAGAACCTGCGTCTGGATCTGCGCGTCAACGACGACGGGCAGGCCAGCGGCGGCTTCTCTCTGCAAGGTGAGCACGTCGAAGCCGGCGTGCGAAGCGGCACTGACATGCTCCGCTGCAGGGCTCAAGCTCGAGGGCGCCACGTGGTCGGCAGACGGCCACCTCACGCTCAACGACGGCTCTACGATCGCGCTCGGGCGCAGCAGTCTCGTCTGGCTCGAGTCAGCGACGGCGCAGGATCGCGCTCAGGACGGCACGACCGACTCGTCGGTCCCCGTCACCGTCTACCTGAACGGCGACCGCGGCGCCACGCTCTTCAGCCTCGCACTGCCGGCCGCACAGGGGCTCGTGGCCAGCACGGTCGCGCAGCGCGCCGTCGCGCTTCGGGCGGCATAGAAGCAGGGCAGATGGGCAGAGATTGGGTGACTCGGACGCCGATGTGTAATTGTACAATGTGAGCTAGTCGTGAGAATAGGTACCCGGCGGTACGTGCGCAGGAGGGCAGAGCGGATCAGTCCCGCCACTGCGATCTGGGCCGCATCACGTTTCGTGAAGGAGTCTTTGTGCGCGACGACGAGGACGACGCGCGCGAGACAGAGGCGCGCGAGGCGGAAGCGCGCAGTGTCGGCACCTCCACGGTGTCGACGCTGCTCAAGCCGCTGTTGGGCTCGATGGAGAGGCGTCGTGGCTCTGGCGGAGCATCATTGCCGTCGTCGTTGATCTCGTCGTCGTCGTCGTCGCTCTCTAGGGGCTGGAGGCGCAGTCTCTTGGTGCGGTGCGAGCCTCGTGCGCTGGCGCTACGCGGCGCCAGCTCCTCCTCCGAGCCGGACTGCGCAGGAGAGGACTCGCGCGCGCGCTTCTCCGACACAGATGTGGCGGGAGCGGCGCTGCTCAGCGACGTGCTGCGGCTCTGGCGCTGCACGTCGCTGGGGCTAGCCACTAATGTCGTCGTCGGCGGCGGCGGCGGCGGTGGCGGCGGCGCGGCCGGTTCCGAGGCGGCTGCAGCCTGCGGCGCACTCTCGAGAGCGTCGACGCGCGTCACGAGCGCGTCGATGATCTTGCGCAGCGACGCGTTCTCCTGCTTCAGCGCCTGCACGACGGGATGGTAGTCGAGGTCCCTCAGCGCGTGCAGCGCTCTCTTTGCTTCTGTTGCGGCGCTCTCGCCGACCTGCCGCGCCTTAGCTGCGTCTGTTGCGGCGCTCTCGCCAAGCTGGCGCGCCTTAGCTGCGTCGGATGCTGCTTCTGCCGCTGCGCTCGAAGCTGCCCTTGACGCCGAATACGCTGCTGCGCTTGCTACTGCGCTTGGCGCTGCGCTCTCTCCTGTCTTTGGCGCTGCAGCCTCTGCTTTCTGCCGCGCCGCCTCGGCATCTGCCTTCTGCCGCGCCGTCTCTGCGTTGACGAGGGCGCGGATCTGCGACGCGTGATTCTTCAGAGCGTGGCGGTGCTCCTGCGAGTCGCGGTCGAGCAGCAGAAGCGCACTCGAGCCACCGACGAGACGCGCAATGCCGCGTGTAGCAGCCTGCCGCAGAGCCTCTTGCTGCGGCGTCTCGTATGACAACGCCGACGACGGCGTGCTGCTTGCTGCTGCCCAGGCCTGCTCCGCAGCTGCGAGCGACGCTGGCAGGTAGCGAGGCGCAAAGACCTGCTCGCGCGCCTGGGACTCGTGACGAGCATGCAGATGCGACTCTGACGACGACTGCTGATGCGGCGGCGGCGGGAAGGTCCCGTGCGGCGGTTGCTGCTGCGAAGGCGAGAAGCTGGTCGCTTGTGGCGAGTGCTGCGGCTGAGGGAAGCCGGAGGATGTGTGCGCTGGGGGCGCTGCTTGCTGCTGCTGCTGTCGCTGCGGCAGCGGCGGCGGATGTCGAGGAGGCATGTGCTGCGACGGCAAGAAGCTCGTGGCTTGCGGCGAGTGCTGCTGCGGCGACATGACAGACGGCAGCGCCGACGAGAAGCCAGGCGGGAAGCCCGACGGCCGCTGTTGCTGCTGCTGCTGCTGCTGCTGCTGCCGCTGCTGCTGCGGCGGCAGCGACGTCGGGAAGACAGACGGCGGCACCGGGAAGCCGGGCGGAAAAGCAGGCGCGACGTACTGCTGCTGGTCGTGCTGCTGCTGATGGCGCTGCTGCTGCGGGTGCTGCTGCTGCGAGTGCTGCTGCTGCGGCATCTTCGGCTGCGGCTGCGGCTGCGGCTGCGGCTGCGGCTGCGGTCGTCCGTGCAGGGCGTCGTACTGCGCCTGCAGCTGGAGACGGACCTGCCTGCTCATCTCCTCAAAGGTGCGCTGCGCCGAAGAGGGCCCGGCTACCGCTGCCGCATTCTGCGGCGGCAGCTGCGCGACGGCGTGTGCAGCGGCCTGTGTAGGCTGTGCAGGCTGTGCAGGCTGTGCTGGCGGCGCTGCGGACGGCGATCCCTGCGCTGCCGGCAGCGAGCTGCCAGCCAGCGGCGCGCGGGTAGCGAAGACCACCGATGAGGTCGAGGCCTGCGCAGGCGGAGCGACAGCAGCGGGCTGCGCAGGCGAAGCGACAGCAGAGACCTGCGCTGGCGGAGTCACGGCAGAGGGCTGCGCAGGCGGAGCGACAGCAGCGGGCTGCGCAGGCGAAGCGACAGCAGAGACCTGCGCTGGCGGAGCCACGGCAGAGGGCTGCACAGGCGGAGCGACAGCAGCGGGCTGCGCAGGCGAAGCGACAGCAGAGGGCTGCGCAGGCGGAGCGACGGCGCGGAGCGGCGGCGAGGGCGAGCGCTGCAGAGGTGGCGTCATAGTGCTGTCCGCCGCTGCGCCCTGCGGAGAGCGATCAGCAGCGCCGTCCGCTGCTGGCGGTGCTGCGGCGGCAGCGCTGTCTGCCGCAGAGGGCTGCGGAGGCTGGACTGCAGCGCGGACCGGCGACGAGCGCGATGCCTGCGCAGCAGCGGCGGCGGCAGAGGCGGTCTGCTGACGCGCGGCTTGCAGCTTCAGCGTGTCAATGATCTTCTGGTGCGCGGAGATGCAGTCACCGAGGAAGCGCTCGTTGATGACGACGCCATCCGCGCGCGCAGAGAGCATCGTGTCGAGCACGGCGCGCAGGTACTTCGCGCGCGTGAGAAGATGGACGTCCTTGAGCTGCTGCAGCGCCGCAATTGGCAGCGCGCCGTCGCTCGGGCCCGGCATCGGCAGTGCAGCCATCGAGGCGGGCGAGAGCGAGCGCATGTTTGTCCTCCGTGCTGCCGGTGCTGGCGACGCTGATGGCGCAGCCGACGTTCCTGCTGCCGGTGCGGAAGCGACGGCAGAGGGCTGCGCAGGCGCTGCGCGCGTGTCCGGCGCAGCCGAGGCGAGCGCAGGTTGGGCAGAGAGCGGAGCGGCAGCGGGAGCGTCCGGCACAGCCGGGACGAGCGCAGGCGCAGCTGATGTCGACGCCGGTGCTGCTGCTGGCGCTGCTGCTGCGGACGCCGATGCTGCGGAGGCGGCCGTGGCCGCTGCAGAGGGCACAAGCGCTGACGGCGTCGCCAGCTCTGGAGACGCGGGCGAGGCCGGCGCAGCAGGAGCCGACGAGGGCGCGGGCACGGGCGGCACGGCTGACGCCGGCGCCGTGCGCTTCACTGGGCTGCTCGTCTCTTCCTTGAGCGCTGCGTGCTGCTGCTGCTCCTGCTGCTGCCCGGCGGCCTGCGTCGCATTGCGCGTGCGCTTGCGCGCCGGCACGATGCTGACGAAGATGGGCGACTCGGAGCGCTCGCGCTGCCGCGAGATTGCCGATCAGCCCCGCTTGCTCCTCGCTACGCTCGATGAGCAGATGGCTACTCACATCAGACCCGCCTGCATCCTGACTCGCAGCCATCGCAGCCGCACGCCGTGCGCGCAGCTATCGAAGAACGTAGAGTCGAGGAGCCGGAGACGAAGAGTCGGAGACGAAGAGCTGTCGGAGTGAGGGCGAGAAGGATGCGCACGAGGGCGACGAGACGGACTGCTGCGCTCAGAGAGATGAGACGCAGTGCCGCGCTCTTACGCGAGGCGCAGTGGAGCGTCCGAGATTACGCAGAAGCGAAGGTGTCGAGGTGTCGAGGTGTCGGAGTGAGGGCGAGAAGGGGACGCGCGGCGCAGTCGCTGCTGCAGACGGCGGGATGTGCCGCTGCTGCGGACGGCGAGGTGTGCCGCTGCTGCGGACGGCGAGGCGTGCCGCTGCTGCGGACGGCGAGGCGTGCCGCTGCTGCGAGGACTTCGCACAATGGCGCGCTCGAATGTGCAGAGAAGAGGTGTCGCGGTGTCGGGCGTCGGAGTGAGGGTGAGAGAGAGAGACGTGTGCGGCGGCGGTGGGCGGCCGCGGCGGCGGCGTGCGAGATGCGGTCGATGCGATGCGCGCCGGCTGCGCCCGTCGCACTGCCGCGCACGCGGCCGACGGCGGCGGTGTGCAGCCGCGCCGGCTGAGGGATGAGGCAAGCGGGAGGGCCGTGCGGCGAGATGGCCGCGGGAAGGATGAGGTGGGATGAGGGCGAGCAAGTGGAGAGGAAGATGGCGCGCAGCGCGATGCGCCATGCCGGAAACTCGCCTGTGCCGTGCAGCTGCCTGCGCCGTCGAGGGCAGCTCGCCGGCACGACGCGTGCCGAGCAGCGAGCGACGCGCGCCTCGCTTCTTCCCGACCACATCATCTTCATCAACCTCGCGCACAGCGCAGCCGCACCCCGCCTCGCCGCGCCACCCACCACTGCTCGCCCAGCATGTCGCAGCGCCCGCAGCGCCTGCGCGTCGCCGTGCGCCGCCCGCACGCCCTCTCGCCCGACGAGTCGCCCGAGCCCGCCGCTCCTTCGCCGCGAGCGCGTGCCTCGCGTGCTGCAGCCTCGTCTTCGCGCTCGCGTGGGCGCGCCAGCATCGCCAGCCCGCGCAGAGGGCGCGCCGGCGCCAGTCGGGCGGCAGAGGACGACGACGAGAGCCAGGACGACGAAGGCTCGGCGCCGCCGCCTGCCAGCCGGCGACGCGCGCCGCGCAACGAGCACGATGACGATGACGATGACGATGACGATGACGATGATGATGACGACGAGGACGGGGAGGGTGAGCCAGACGACGGCGCAGGCGAGGATGAGAGCCAGCAGCCGCGCGGCGACGATGACGAGGAGGACGGCGAGGGCGAGCCCGACGAGGAGCAGCGCTCCGACGATGACGGCGGCTCCGACGACGGCGCCTCGGGCTCGGGCGCCTCGTCCAGCGGCCGTGCCGCACACGCCGTGCCCTCGACACGCAAGCGCGGCAGCGCCCACGCCACGGGCGAGCTGCCGGACCCCGCGACGGGCCCGCCGTTCATTCTCGTCGCCGAGTTCGGGCAGACGACGCTGCTGCCCGCCAACCAGGCCAAGACGATCAAGGGCAACTCGACGTCCTACCACCTCTCGCTCTTCAACATGACGGCGCGCCTCGGCAAGGGCGGCGCAAAGGACAAGCGTGGGCGCGTGAGCAAGCTGGCCAGCGCCTCGGCCAGCGCCAGTCCGGCGCCGCAGAAGGGCAAGAAGCGCGCCATTGAGGACTCGGAGGACGAGCAGGGCGACGAGGCGCAGAGCCCGGCGGCGGCGCCGCCGGCAGACAAGACGGTCGGCGACGGCGAAGACCCGAGCGTCGACATCACGCAGCAGGTGCGCGTGCACGGCCAGGAGTACACGCTCACGGGCGACGAGCTCGTGCTGGAGGAGGACGAGGAGGGCGAGAAGAAGATTGACAAGCACGGCAATCTGCTCGGCGGTGAGTCGCAGCAGCAGCTGCCGCGCTTGACCTCTCTCTCACGCCCTGCACAGGCCGCGAGTGGCGCACGACGACGTTCACCTCGCCGTACCGTTCCGACCCGGAGCGGCAGTACTTCCTCTCCATCGACGCCGCGCGCATGGTCGGCTTCAAGGACTCGCTCTACTTCTTCCGCAAGACGCCCACGCTCGTGCGCTGCTTCCTCACGCAGACGGAGAAGGCCATGCTCATCGAGAGCGGCCACGTCGACGCCAAGCTCAAGGGCCGCAACGTCGCCGTCGTCGCGGCGCGCAATGTCTTCAAGCTGTTCGGCAAGAACTGCGTGCGGCGTGAGTTGCGGATGTGTTGCGCCGTGCGCTGAGCCGTCGCTGACATTGAGCAGAGGGCCGTGCGGTGCGTGACGACTACATGGAGGCTGCGGCGCTGAAGCGGCAGCAGGAGCGCGGCGGCGCCACGACGTACCAGGCGATGGACGAGGACGCGGGCGAGGAAGGCGGCTCGCGGCGGGCGCCGGGCGGGCGCGATCGCGAGGCAGAGAAGGAGCGCAACCGCGCGCGGCAGCGGCGCGACATGTTCGAGCACCGCTGGAACGACCCCATCACGGGCGACATGTACCTGACGCTGTACGGCGACTCCGGGCTGGCGCCGTGGGTGCGCGCCGACGACCGGCAGAAGCAGCGCGCACAGCTCAACGGCGCAAACGTCACCGAGGAGAACTGGATGCTGCACATGGCGCGCAGCACGCAGGCCATGAACGACGAGCTTGCCGCGGCACGGCGACAGCGCCTCGTGCCGTACCCGCGCTACGTCGACCGCGACAGCGACGAGGAAGACGCTGCTCCTCCGCGCAACGAGGAGAGCAAGGGCGTCGACTCGGTAATGGCGCCGCCCACCGACGGCATTGGCTCGCCGCGCCCGGCGCCCGAAGAGTCGGCGCGCAGCAGACAGAAGCTGAAGAAGCGCCGCATCCTCACGCCCATGGGCCTCTACGAGCCCGCGACGAACGTGGTGCACTTCCCGACGCACCTGCAGCCCACGAGTGCCGTCGTTGAGCGCGTGAGTATCGACGCGAGAGCACCGCAGGAAAGGCGGAGCAGAGGCTGAACCTCGCTGCGCAACTCGACAGATCGCAGAGCGTCCCCTCCTGCCCGGCGGCGCCGGCACTCTCGGCGGCACGCAGCCCATCCTCGGCGGCACGCGCGTCGGCGGGCGCGCCTGGGGCCTCAGCTCGTGGTCGACGCAGCTCGTGCTGCCGCCGCCGCCGCCCGCCGGCGTCGTCGTGCCCGGCGGCCAGGCGGCCGCTGATGCGCTGGGCGATGCCTGAGCAGGGAAGCAAGGAGCGATGGGGCTGCATCCAGGGAGCTGCATCGCAATGTCATCGTCATCGTCACGCCCTCTGCCTCAGGCCTGGGAACAAGCATCTATTTGCGTGCTGCTCCTGCACCGTGCAACTCTAGCTCATTGCGTCTCGCCCGGCGCAGCAGCGGCAGCCGCCTCGGCTTCCCGCTCGGCCTGCGCCAGCTCGTGCGGCTCCTTGGCCTCGGCCACGGCCTGCGGCGGGCGCTCGACGACGCCGTCGGCCGTGAAGCTCACCTCGCCCGTGTTGATGCGCTGGACGAGCGAGAGGAGGCAGCGTGCTCTGTGTCGCGTGCCCAGAGCGTCAGCGTGATGGCCATGACGAGGGGTTGCGGCGAGGCACTCACCCCCATTCGAAGTCGCTGATCTCGAGCCACAGCTGCGCCGAGAAGCGCGCCCAGATCTGGTTGCTGTGTCTGCGTCTCGACTCGTCAGCCACAGCGCATGCGAGGCATAGTAGGCGCGCCACTCACGCAGACAGCGGCACAACCGTCTTGAACTCATTCTGCAGCGTATCGAAAACCCAGTCGCCCGCCCGCGCAAGCCACGCTTTGGCGTCGCCTCCGAGCGCCGCCTTCGTGAGCGGCAGCTGCACATTGACCATGGCGGCCGTGTGCTGGCCCTCGGGGTCGAGCACCTGCGAGCCGAGCACGCGCGCGGCGGCGGCGCCGCCTTGCTTCGCCAGCGAGTGCGTGTAGGCCATGATGCGCGGCCAGCCGCCGAGACGCTCGGCGAAGTCGAGCGCTGCAGACAGACGTCAGCGCAGTGCGGAGGCAGGAGCGCATGGCTACGCACCTGCGTCGACGGAGAGGAAGGAGCTGGCGTCCAGCGTGCCCGTGGCGGCCCACTGCTGTCTGCACGTTCCACGCAAAAGCTCAGCACAAGCACAGAATGCGCGGTCTGGGCAGCGACTCACCGCCACGTGTTCTTCGTCTCGCTCGCATCGGAGATGTAGAACCAGCTTGTCGGCAGGCTGGAGCGCTGCACGTGCTGGTTGCGCTTGGCGCAGTAGAAGACGGCACAGCCGCGGTGGGCGTACATCCACTTGTGGCAGTTCGACACGCTGCGCAAGGTAGTGTGAGGGCCAGCACGGGAGAGAGCGCGCTCGCTTCGCTCACAAGAAGTCGGGGTCGGCCTTGCTGAGGTCAATCGCGATCTGCCCGACGCCGTGTGCGCCATCGACCTGGGGCACTGCTCGTCAGTCACAGCATCACGCACATGTTGAGCTTCGCACGTACAAAGCTCAGCACGCCCTCTTCCCGGAAGAGCGCCACCAGGCGTTCCCAGGGCATGCAGGCGCTCGGCATGCTCGAGATCGTATCGACGATGGCGAGCTTGACCGTCTTGCCCTGCGTGCGCACCTCCTCAATCTTGGCCTTTGTGGCGTCAACGATCTCCTGCTCGCTCATCGGCAGCGAGAGCTGCACGACGGCATCGAGCGGCGCCTCGCGGCCTGCGGCACGATGCGTGTCGTACGTGTACGCCAGCGTGCGCGTCACGGCGCCGTAGCCCGTCGAGTAGCTGAGCACCGCGTCGGCGGACGAGAGCGGCACGTCGCGCAGCACCGCGTTGGTCGCCGTCGTGGCGTTGGGCACGAGCGCCAGGTCACTGCCGGCGCAGTTGAGCAGCGCGCCGAGCCGGTTGCAGCTGGCGTCGAGCAGGCCGAAGAGGTGCCGGTTGCGGAAGAGCTGCGCGCAGAGGCTCAGCCGATGCACCGTCTGCCTGCCCTACACGCTACGCACATCGGGGTTCTCCTCTTGCCGGTCTGCCAGCGCCTTCCATGCCTCCTGCACCGGGCGCGGACAGGCGCCGTACGAGCCTAGGCCGGAGCGTCAGTCACTCAGGGCTGCGGCATCACCTCGCCTCAGTCACACAGCTCTGCGGCATCGCCTCGCTCCACGCACCGTTATTGAGGTTCGTATAGCCCTCCCTGAAGCTCCAGAAGCGCGCCGCCTCGTGTCCGAAGCGCGGATAGCCGCCGAGCTCGAGCCCCTCGAGGCCGAGCGTGCCGCGCTCGGGCTCGGGTGCACTGGTGGTGGCCCATGGGTTCGCCGCAGCCCCGGCGCCGCTGCGCGGGCCCGCGGCGGGCGAGACGGAGGGCGCGAGGGGCGCCAGTGACGGCGCTGGGTCGGCCCAGGGGTCGGCGCCGGCGGACATGGAGAGCGGCGGCAGGGAGAGGGAGAGCGTGGAGAGCTGCGCGGCGCTGCTGGCGTCGTCGGCGTCGTGCGCGAAGTGCGAGCTGCTGGAGGAGGCGCGCGCCGAGGTGGAGGCAGGCTCGGGCGGCGGCGAGGCGGGTGCGGATGGTGAGGGAGGACCTGACATGTTCGGCAGCGTCTTATGCGGCGAGAGTGTGAGGTGCTCGAGTCAGGTGAACCGGCAAGTGCGAGTCACGGCGGTCGTGGTGGCTGGGAGGATGACTCGCGCAGAGCAACGAGCGGCTCGAGCAGCGGGCGAGAACGTCCGTGCGCACCGTGCGCGCGCCCAGAACTCCGCCGCGCCCGACATCTTCGAGCGACCAGGACAGCGACAGCTGCCAGAGCAGCCTGCCTCTCTGCCGCGCATGTCCTTCTCGCTCCCTCGGAGTGCATCTTTGCGGCACATGAACAACCGGTCGTATCGCTGCAGCCGCGGAAAGCGTGCCTCCTGCTCTTGCCTCGATGCGCCTTCCGACGGACGCGCTCTTGCACCTCTCGCCGCCGAACCGCGCGTCAGCATCAGCATGCTGCAGATGCATGACTCGCCCGTTCCATCGTTGCATCTCGAGCTGGCTTCGCAACAGATTCGGCATGGGTCTGCTGCGATGTTCCCCGCTCGAGAAGCTGGTTCAGTCGGCTGTGTTGGCGCTCTGTCTGCTCATCTGCCACTTGTGCTCTGTGATCGTAGCGAGCCTTCGGTGGGCACGCTCGACTAGGGCGCAGCTTCGCAACGCATGAAGGACGACCTCGGCTCGGTCCGCAGTCGCGCCGGCGCGCCTGGCGAGCCCAACGATGCCTCTGTCTTGCCCCTGAGGCGGCTTAGCCTGTCACTGCGGTCTGGCGTTGTTGTACCTGATGAGTGAGATCTGCGTCAAGTAAGAGTGGCTCTGCGCAGGCTCAGGGACGCCGCATGCTCGCCGAGCCGATGCCTCGTGGTGCATGAAGGATAGGCGCGGGATGCACGTGTGCTCTTGGCGTCGAAGCAGCACAAAGACACGCAGGCGCCTCGGCAGCCTGTGCAGCGGTACAAAGCACGCCGCCGCGGGGAAAGGAGCGGCGGATCGGCGAAGCGCGGCAAAGGGAGAAGGCACAGGCTTCGAGGCACAGCGGCAGGAGCCGCTGCGCTGCCGCACATGCATCCTCGTTGCCCTCGATCCTTTCGCACTCCGGCGTCACGGCACGCGACAACGTCAAGCGGGCCCGATGACGCCGGCAGCTGTCCTTGAGGGTGTCCGCTGCAGCGCGCCACGCTTGCCTTCCCACCACCACCTCCATCCTACCCGCGCGGCATGGTCTCGCTGCCCTTCGCGCCGCACCGGACCCGCGGCCCGCCGCAGCCGTACCACCGGCAGCCCGGCGCCTCGTCCTCGCGCCGCGGCTGCCGGCGCCCGCCGCTGCGCTTCTGCGTGCTGTGGGCGGCCTTCTCGTTCGTGCTGCTGGCCGTGTATCTGCTGCGGCACGACGTGCTGCGCCAGCCCGACGCCGCGCGCTGGATCGGCTGGCAGGCGCACGAGCGCATCACCCGCCCGCACGCCGCTGCGCCCGAGGCCAAGCTGGGTGCTCTCGCCTCGCCGGCAGACGCCTCGCCCGAGGCCTGGGGCGCCGATCCGCAGCACGACTTTGACCTCTCCTTCCCGCTCGACGTGTATGCGCCGCTGCTGCCCAACCCGGCGCCGCTCGTCGACATGACGGTGCACTCGTGCTTCCCGCTCTCGCCCGCCACGTGCATGCCGCCGTCGGACGAGGCGACGGACCGGCGCCTCGGGCGCTGGGTGCGCGTCGACCGGCCGCTGGACGCCGAGGCGGCGCTGCAGCTCGGCGCGGGCAGCGGCGGCGGCGTGCTGAGCAAGGTGCTTGGCGGCCTCGAGTCGCGCTACCTCTTCTACCGCCGCAGCCGCCGCGCCAACGTGCCGCGCGTCGTCGACCTGCGCATCGTGCACGCCGGCCAGGAGGCGCCGCTGGAGCCCGGGTGGAAGGTCATCACGAATGACTTGACCACATCGATGCAGCGCATGCTCGGCACCGCCAAGAGCGCACATCTCTGGTTCCGCGTGCTGGAGGCGCCGCAGAAGGCCAGGCCCGACGAGATGGAGGGCATTGGCCGGCGGCAGGAGAAGGACAGCCAGGGCCGCCCGGTCGTCTCGCAGGGCGCGAGCTGGGCGGATGACGCCGCGCAGGCGATCACTGAGATAGACATCAAGGTGAGGTCAAGCGGCGATAGCAGATCCTCTGTGCACGCTCACGCTTTCGCAGTATGGCCCCGCGCCCGCGTGGCCTGGCTTCACCGAGATTGGCGCTCTGTCACCGCCAATCCCTAGTCTCTCTCTCGCCTCGCCGCATCTCATGATCCGGCGGCAGCCCGAGCCGCTGCCGTCGATTCCCATCGCTCCCAGCTTCCACACCGACGGCACGTTCAAGATCATGCAGGTCGCCGACATGCACTTCTCGACGACGCCGGAAAAGTGCCGCGACACGCCCAGCTGGGTCGGCGACGACTGCGGCATGAACACTACCGCCGCCATGCTGGGAGCCTGGTTGGACCACGAGAAGCCTGACCTTGTGGTCTTCTCTGGTGGGTGCTGCAGGCGGGAATGCCGCTTGTGCGCTGCTGAATGAGCGGATCTCAGGCGACCAGATCAATGGCCAAGGCACGTCGTGGGACGAGCGGTCGACAATTCCCGCCGTCCTGATGCCCGTCATCGAGCGCAAGATCCACTGGGTCTCCATCTTCGGCAACCACGACAGCCAGAGCGGGCGCCTCACGCGGCGCGAGCAGCAGATCCTGCTCGCGCGCCTGCCGTACTCGCTGACGCGCGTGGGGCCCGCGTGGCTGCACGACGGCACTGGCGCGGGCAACTACTATGTCCGCCTCATCTCTCCGACGCCTGACCGCACGCATCTCTTCACGCTCTACTTTCTCGACTCGGGCGAGGCAGCGCCGAAGAGCACGGCGCTCAAGCTGCTGCCCGGCAAGCTCGGCTGGGCAGGGTACGACTACATGTGAGTACGCGCTGCGTGCATGGCTGCCGCCGCGTGCTGACAGCGTCCTGCGCGCAGTCGGCAAGACCAGATCAACTGGTTTCTCGAGCAGAGCGCAAAGGTCAAGAAGCATCTCGTGCCCTACAAGCCCGACGGCGGCAAGGACCTCGGCAAGCTGTGGCCGCGCAGGCAGGACCGCTCAGGTGCCAGCCGGCGCGCCGAGGCCGAGACGCCAGAGTGGAGCGCCGATGCGGGCCAGGGCACGGGGCTGCGCAAGGCGCCCGCATTGCTCTGGACACACATCCCGCTGCCCGAGTTGTGAGTCAGCCCTTAGGCGTCGATGGCGGCGTGCGGTGGCTCACACCCTTGTGCGCCAGCTTCGACAAGCCGGACATGGCGCGCGACGGACGCGAGATGATCATTGGCCAGGAGCGCGGCGAGAGCTCGGGCAAGAAGGGCGCGCAGGCGCAACGAGGCATCGGCACTGCGTGAGTGGCACCGCAGACCGCAGCCGTGAGGGTGTGCTGACATGTTGCGGCACACAGCATGCAGCGGCAGGGCACTGACCGCGATGGTGAGCTTTGCACCGCTCTCATTGCCCGGCCTCGTCACTCATGCCTCGCTCCGCAGTCGTCGGTGTCCTCAGTGGGCATATGTGCGCAATATGCTGGGCCTTCGCACGTCCTCGACGCTGACGCTTCTCAACCAGGCACAACAACGCCGACTGCCGCCGGGTGCAGTACGTCTGGATGTGCTTGTGAGTGGCTCAGCCCGGCAAGCGAAGGCTGGTCAGCTGATGCGCAGGGCTCTGCAGTAACGGAGGCTCGTCTTACCTGGGCTACGGCGAGGTGCGTCCATCTTCGCAGCGAACATGGCTGCTCCTCCGCTGATCGACCTTCTCACAGCCCAAGATCGAGCGTCGCGTGCGCGTCATGCATCTGCGCAACTGGGGCGAGCGCATCGACACGTGGCAGCTGTTCGAGAAGACGCCGGGGCGCCAGTACGAGGCGACGCTGTGGGAGATGCACAAGTTCGACCACTAGGGATATATCCATGCTCCTCCATGCTTCAAGCTGCGGATCACGCACGGGCTGCACCACATTGTCACGGGATGGATTATGCACATCACTTGCTCTTCAGTCTATTCGCTCCTTCGGGTGACGTGTGGGGGATGGTTAGCTCGGCGCTCGCTGCGCGGAGACAGGGCTGGAAGTCTAGAATGGGCGCGACGACTGCCGGTCGACGGGCGTGGCCAGCATGTCGCCGTCCTCCTCGGCGCTCTCCGAGACGCCCAGGAACGTCGACTTGGCGTAGCCGCGGCCGGGCAGCACGAGTCTATTGGGCGCCGCAGAGAGGCCCGAGGGGCGGCGGCGTGCGTCTTTCGCCGGGCTGGCGTTTGCACGCAAGGTGCTCGGCTGGCGCAGCTCCGGCGAGCGCACCTCGGGCTGCGGCGTGTTTTCCTTGTCCGACTTCTGCGAGGCGCGCTCGAACGAGTCGTCCTCGTCGTCGATGTAGCCGTACTGGCTTGCACGCGTGCGCTTCGGCTCGGGCGCGATGAAGGTGTCGGAGCCGGCAGACTCCCAGCGTGTGGGCATGGGGCGCGGCTGCTCAAGCACGCGCTGCATCGTCGCCGGCGCATTCAGCACGGGGCTCGTCATGGCGAGCGAGCTGAGACGATGCTCGATTGGCGGGCGTGCAGCGGCCGAGAGGCGCGCCACGCGGTCGATGCGGTCGAGCAGGCCCTCGGGCAGCAGCGGCACGGGCTGCCAGTAGGCGCCCGCTCCGATGCCCTTGCCCTGGGCAAAGAGGCTCGAGCGACTGGCCGCACTGAGGCCACTGCGCGCAGAGGACGCGCCGCTCGCCACGCTGCCGCGCTCCATCTCGTCGGAGCCCGTCGTCGAGCGGCCATCGTCGCCGTTCACCAGCGAGAGCGACGGACTGGCAGGCCGGCTGTCGAGGCCAGCAGCAGGCGATGCAGCGCCGTCAAAGCCAGGCGCCAGGCTGTCGCCACGCACGCTCTTCAGGCTCGGCGTGCCTGTGCCCTGGAAGTGGCCCCTCCCGAAGCCGAACGCATCGCCAGGACTGACAATGAGCGCTTCTGCGCGAGATGGCAGGCTGCAGAGAAGGTCAGCGACACCAGCGAATGATCCAGGCCTGCGACACTCACGCAAAGGGCAGCATGTCGCGGCTGTTCAGCAGCTCGCCCGGCTTCGCGCCTTCCACCAGGGGCTTCTGCGCAGCGTCGCTCCGTGCAGCCGGCGCAGTTGCGCCGCTCCATGGCGGCACATAGTCGCCGATGCCGCGGCCCGGCTGGAAGAGCGAGTCGACGTCGTCGTGTGCCTTCAGCGCCAGCGCCTCGGTCGACGACAAACGCCGCCCCGGAGAGTCGACAAGTGCGGCGGGCGCCAAGGCAGACAGATCCTGTGCCGATCCCTGTCGGCTTGGCGGGCTGGGCGAGCGGCTGTCGGGCGTGTTGCCGTGCTGCGTCGCCGTGCCGCTGCGATGATGGATGCCGCTACCTCTCCCGCCGCGCTGCTCATGCCTGCCACGCAGCTCCGCCAGCTCTTCCTCGCGCTGCCGATCCGCTTCTTGCATCTCGGCATCCTCGCGCGCGCGCTCCCAGTCCTTCTGCAGCTGCTCGAGGTACTGCGTGCACTCTGCGCTCATGTGCGGTTCGCCCACCTCGAAGCGGTAGTCGCGCACAGCGCGCCGCAGCTGCAGCGGATTCAGTGCGCGGAGCCCTTGCATCGTCGCGATGAGGTCGACGAACTCGCGCAGCGTCGACTGGCACTGCAGCCAGCTGACGAGCTGGCTCAGCGGCGAGAGGTGTGCGTTGACGACTGAGAGCGGAAGCGCATTGGAGCGCGCCCAGTCCTCGAGCGCCGAAATGTTCAGGCGGATCTGCATGGCGCGCGAGCGGCAGAGGTAGCGCTTGCGCGTCAGCACGCGGTTGAAGAGCTCGCAGCCGACCCAAAAGAAGATCTGCGAGAGCGCCTGCACGATGATGGCAGGATTGATCTCGTAGAGCTGCAGCACGTGCAGTGTCGATGTGAGCAGCGACGTGACGGTGCGTGGCGAGGGCCGCGCCAGCAGGTCCGAGACCGACGCATCATATGACGCCTCCCGCATCGTGGGTGGAATCGGGAGCGGCGACGGCATGCGCCGCCCAGCGTGGATCTCGGCCGCAGCGCGCAGCTGGGAAGCGGCGCCGCCGCTGGCGCTTCCGCTGGGCGATCTAGCATGCCCAAGCTGCTGGATCGGCGCGTTGGGGTCTGGACCGCCGCGGGCGAAGATCTGGCTCAGCGGCCGCTTGCTGCTCGCCGGCGTGCCGGGCGAGGCGCCAGAGAGGCTCTTGACGCTGCCGGTCAGGTTCTTCATGAAGCTCCACTCGCCCTCGAAGCGCACCTCCTCGAAGCCGGGGATGGCGTCATGGTCGAGAATGGCGGCATCCATGATCTTGTCTATCCGGCGCTCGGCGTCGCGAATGACAAAGACGTACACCTCGTTGATCAGGTCCACGAGCAGCGGGCGGAACTCGAGCATCGCTTCGGAGGCCGCAAGCCCGGCGTCGCGCAGCGTATAGTGCAGCAGCAGCGTGCAGTTGAAGAGCCAGAAGGCCAGCACCGTCATGTTGTACGGCTGCGCGTAGATACATGCCTCGATGCGGTCGACGGCGCCGAGCATGAGCTCCTCGAGCAGCTCTTCGTCCTCGAAGCGGCAGGCGAAGCGCGCGCAGAGAAAGACCACGTTGGCAGGCGCCGCGCGCGACGTCCACGGCGCACGCACGGGCTTGCTGCGCGAGATGATGTCGTCCAGCACAGGCGCGACGTCGTGCAGGCCAAGCACGAGCATCTGGTCGTCGGTGACGCGCTCCCAGATGAACTCGGCACTGAGCGGATCGGCGCCAACTTCGGCGGCGCCACATCCCGAGGCCAAGCCCGAGTGTGCCACCTTGGGCGGAGGCGGCGCCAGCTCGCCGAGCCGGCCCTTCTTCCGGCGTCTGTGTGCTGCGCTCTCATCGTGCGCTTGAGCTGGCGCCTCGCCAACCAGGGCGCTGTACTCCACCTCGAGCATGACCGCCACATCCAGCAGAGCGCGCCGGCGGCCCTCTGCCAGCTCGCGGGCGCGCAGCTCGGCCTCGTGCAACTGATTGCGCTCATTCCGCCCGACGAGACGGCGCCCGCCTGCGCCAGCTAGGCTCGACGCGCGGAAGCGACCATACTCTTCGCCGCCGAGAGTGGGCGTGCCGGAGCCACCAAAAGCCGACGGCGAGAAGGAGCCCTTGCGCTCAGGCGACGAGTCGCGGTGCGGCGAGAGCAGGCTGGAGGGCTTCGTCGGCGAGGTGCTGGGCCCGTACGAGCCGGCGCTCGAGGCAGAGCTCAGCGTGCGCAGGTGATTGCCCGAGCGGCGCTGCCTCGCTCGCCGCTGGCGCAGCAGCTGCTCGTGCACGAGATCCGCCACGACCTGGCGGTCGTCACGCTGCATCGCAGAGGCGCTGCGGCCGGCGGGCGATCGGATCCGACTGCTCGGCCCGGGAATGCCGAGCGCCGGGCCGGGGAACGTGCCGTTGTCGGGCGCAGCAGAGAGGATGAAGTCCTCGCAGGACGTGCCCTTGGAGCTGCGCGCCTCGACGTCGGCGCCCTGCGAGAGAAGAAAGGCGACAAGCGGAGCGTTCGAGCTGTTCGTTGCCCACATGAGGGGAGTCCAGCCGCCTGCGCGATGCCAATCAGCTGCTGTTCCGAGCGCTCGCCCGCACGAGCAGCCTTATGCACTGCGGCAGCTCTGCCACTCACATGGATCCCGCTCGTCCACATCGGCGCCGGCGCGCACCAGCATGTGCACCACGTCGACATGGCCCGCGCTGCTGGCCAGCACCAGCGGGCCCGTGCCGTCGTCGTCGCGCGCCGAGCGCAGGTCGACGTCGCGCATGGCGCTCGCCTCGCGCTGCTGCGCCTCGGCGTAGGCGCGCGCGTCGAGGCCCTGGCTGCGCATCTGCAGCATCCAGCTGAGCAGGTCCGTGTCGCCGGACGAGGCGGCACGCAGCAGCGCCCGCGTCAGGCGAGCCGTGCGCTCGGCGGCGCCGCCGGGAAAGGCAGCGTCGTCGAGGCCGGCCAGTGCCTGCACGGCGGGCAGCGTGGGACAGAGGTCGAGCAGCGCATCGTGCAGCAGCGCCTTTGCGGCGGCATCGGTGCCGTCTGGCTGCGGCGGAGCCATGCCGGCGGAAGATGGAAAGGAGCGCCGGCGATGCGCAATCTGCTCCGAGAGGGCCCGACGGCCGAGGCCGATATGACCTTCAGCGCCGGGAGCGGCAGTCTGGCGGTGTGCGGCAGGCGCCTGGAGTGGAGATGTAAGGTCGGATGGAGTGAGGCAGCGCGAAGAGGCAGCAAGAGGAGGTGTGAGACTGAGGAACGATGGAGATGAGCGTCGGGAGCGGAGGCAAGCGACTCGCTGATCGGGTGGTGTTGGTCTCGGATCGCCCGTGCGGCGCGCGCGTGACACAGCACGGCACACTGCCGGCCTGCCCGCGGCCATCCTCGGCCGACGCTCGCCGCCGCGCACTGGCACCGCCATCCTCCGCTCGAGGCTCGCAGCGGCGCCTGGCACACGACCACCTACTCTGACTCCTCACTCCTCTCTCTGCCTCTGCTTCGAGCTGCTCGTGCTGTGCCGTCGCTGCTGAGACACATCGCTCTCGCACCTTCACCTCTTCTGCGCCGCTCGCGCGCATCTCCAGCCGGCCTGCGCCTGCCTCACCTCTCGGCTCTCCCTTCTCCCTCCTCCACGCGCGCCCGCCATGTCCTCCGCGTCCATCTACTACAAGTTCAAGTCGGCGCGCACGCCGTCGCGCATCGCCTTCGACGGCACGGGCATCAGTGTCTGGGACCTCAAGCGCGAGATCATGCTGCAGAACAAGATGGGCAAGGGCACCGACTTTGACCTGCAGATCTGCAGTGCCGAAAACGAGGAGGGTGAGTGCGGCGCGAGAGACGTGCATGGAGGCGGCGGATGGCGAGAGGAAGGCTGGCATTGATGTGAGGAGGGCTTGCTGTGATGTACGCCTCGTCGATGTGCTCCGCTGTCTCGGCCACGTCCATCCGGCTCTCTGTGGCGGTCACACCTCGCGCCGCCCTTGAATGCAAAGTATTGTTGCCGCTTGAATTGCGAGGCACTCCACAAGCATGCGCAGCTCGACCTGTACTCACACGCTGCGTGTTCCCAGAGTACAAGGACACGCACATCCTTCCACGTGCCTCCTCCGTCCTTGCCCGCCGAGTGCCGCCCTCGCGCGCCGGCAAGGGCAACGCGGCGCAGTACGTGGCCGACCTCGGCGTGACGGGCGGCGGCAAGGGCGAGGAGCGCTTCAACGGGCCCAACGCCTCGGGCGTCGCTGCGCCGACGGCGGGGCCGAGCGGCAGCGGCAGCAGGCCGCCGCAGGCGGCGCGAGGCGTGGGCATGATGACGCGGCGCTTCGATGGCAAGAGCGACGAGCGGCCTGTGAGTCATGACGCACAATGAGGCAGAGGCGTGCGCACTGACTCGGTCCCAGTCCGGCTCGCCGATGCCGGGAGCTGCAGGCGGAGACATGCCGGTGGCAGCGGCGGCAGCGGGCGCAGACGACGCCGAGGCGCAGGCGATGGCGGCTATGTTCCAGGCCAACACCGAGGCGTGGGACGAGACGCAGGACCGCATGTCACAGTGCGTAGAGCTCGAGATGCGCATGCTCTGCCTGTCGCTGACCATATCTGCAGAGCGGTGTATCGCGAGCGCGGCGGTGCACCTCGGCGAGGCGGGCCACCACGAGTGTACGCGGGCAATGCGGCACCTGGGCCCGGCGGACAGGCGCACGACCGGCCGCCGCCGATCGGCTACATCTGCTTCCGCTGCGGCACCAAGGGCCACTGGATCCACGACTGTCCGACGAACAACGACCGCGAGTGGGACAACCGGCCGCGCTTCAAGCGCACGACGGGCATCCCCAAGAGCATGCTCAAGAAGGTCGAGGCGCCCACGACGGAGGGTGCACAGAGCGGCGCCAGCTTGCCCATGGTCACGTCGGACGGCGAGTACGTCGTGGCACAGATTGACAAGTGAGTCTTGGCGCGGGGCATGAGATCGCTGCACAGCTGACTCGGCGGTGACAGTGCGACATGGGAGAAAGCACGAGCGCAGCGCAAGCCCCTTACGCGCAGCGACATCTTCAGCAGCGTGCCCACAGACGCCGCGCTCGCCTGTCCGCTCTGCTCCAAGCTGCTCAAGGCCGCCGTGCGCACGCCGTGCTGCTCGACGCTGTACTGCGAGGAGTGCATCCAGACGCACCTCATCGAGCACGACTTCCAGTGCGCCGAGTGCGAGCGCCGCATTGCCGACCTGACGAAGCTCAAGGCCGACGACCAGACGCGCGAGGCGGTGCGTGCGTACGTGGATGCGGAGCTGGCAAAGAGCGAGCGGGAGCGCGGGGAGGGCATTGCGCCTATCGCACCCATCGCTGCGCCGAAAGAGCCCAAGAGCGAAACGGCAGCAGTGAAGACGGAGCAGGTCGATGCTGCATCCAGCGGAACAGGAGCCGCCGGCTCCGCCAAGCACAGTCTTCCAGCGCGGCCTGCCGACGCACAGGCTGGCGCGGACGATGATGCATCGGCAGCATCCGAAGGAGCAGCGGCACAAGCACAGCCGGCGCCCATGCCATTGCCGGAGGTGGGCGGCGTGCAGTGGAGCCCGCAGGCAGCACAGCAGATCGTCATGATGCTCGCCAACCCGACACTGCCGCCGCCGATGCGCATGCAGCTGCAGATGCAGCTGCAGCTCATGCAGATGGCCTTCCTGCGCACGCAGCAGCAGCAACAGCAGAATGGCGCGGCGGGCAGTGGCGAGCAGCAGTATTCGCAGCCGCAGTGGGCTGGCGGCATGTCGGCGCCGGGAGGCATGGGCATGGGCATGGGCATGGGCATGGGCATGGGCATGGGCGGGCCATGGCAGCAGCAACAACAAGGCGCTCGTCCGCCAGCCTCCAACCCCTTCGTCAACCAACGACCGCCGAGCAACGCGGATAGCGCGTACATGCGCGTGCCGATCGCGAACAAGTGAGTCCCATCGAGCGCGCAAAGGCGACCAGAGGCCCAGAAAGCTGATCGTCACTCGCCCAGCCGCGGCAACGGCGCTGCACCGCGCGGTCCGGCCACGAAGCGCGAGCGGCCCGTGGACATCCAGGAGCTGGGCGGCGAGGGCTCGAAGCAGGCGCGCACGGGATGAGCACTTCATGTCACCGACAACTATCTATTTGCATCATCTTCGTTTGTTGTGGGACCGCTTCAGCGAGCAGAGGTGCCGCCGTCGAGCAGCAGCACCGTGCCTGTGGACCAGGGCGAGTCGCGCGCAAAGTAGATGACGCTCTTGGCCACGTCGCGCCCGTTTCCGCGGTGCGGCCACGGCGTGGGCCGCTTGGCCGCGAGCGCCGGCGGCACGTTGAGTGTCATGGCCGAGTCGACGTAGCCGGGACAGATGCAGTTGACCTGCACGCGCTCGCTGGCGTAGTCGCCGGCCACTTGGCGCGTGAGGTTCACGATGGCGCCCTTGCTGCGGAGCGCACGAGGCATAAGTCAGCGAGAGATCTTGTGGAGAGGGAGAGGCACGCACCTTGCGCCGTACGCCGCCTCGCCCGGTCCGCCGATGAAACCGTGCAACGAGCCGATGTTGATGATGGAGCCGCGGCTGCCGCGCCCGCCCGTGTCACCCTCGAGGCGGCCCGACGTGGCCGGAGTCGGCTTGTCCTGCTCGTATGCGGGGCGCAGGCGCGCACCGCTGCCCTCCAGCTCCGAGGGCGACATCTCGTCCAGGTCCAGCTCGCGGTCGGCGGGCAGCGCACGCGGCGCCTGCGTCACCATCTGCGCGAGCGCCAGCTTGGTGCCGATGAAGACGCCGCGCACTGCGGATGGTCAGTCGGGCTGCCAGCGCAACTCGAGGGCGGACGCACCATTGACCGCCATCTGCTGATCGTACATCTCCAGCGTCTCTTGGAGGATGCCGCCGCTGAACTTGGCGATGCCTGCGTTGTTGACGAGGCTGGCGCGGAGCGTCAGCATGTCGGCCTGTGCTCGGCGCGTCGCACTTGCGAAGCCATTCTTGATCGCCCTTGCCTGCCTCATCCAAACAGTGTCTCTCTCGCTGTATCCTCCCCGTTTTGTTTCCATGCCAGGCAGTACTCACATGTCCAGACGCCCGCCGCCGAGCTCCACGGCCGCCGCAATCGTGCGCTGCCAGTCCTCTTCGCGCGTCACATTGCACTGCACAAACTGCGCCGTGCCTCCGGCCCTCTGGATGATCTCATGCGTTGCCAGATCATAGCAGTCCTGCTTCTCCTGCTGCTCCGCTCCCGCCTGGCGCTCCTGCAGCGGCGCCGGCTGCAGGTCGGCACAGACGACGGCGGCGCCGAGGCGCGCCAGGTGCAGCGCCGTCTGCCGCCCGATGCCCGACGACGAGCCGGTGACGATGGCGGTGTAGCCGACGAGGGAGAGCGAGGGCGGCAGCGCGCTGAAGTAGGTGGCGAACGACATGCTGGTGGTGGTGCGGAGGCAAGGCGCGACGCTGCTGCGGCCGGCAAGGCACAGCGTGGCCGCTGGCTTGGCGCACGGAGCAAGCGCGCGTGTGGAGGCGGCGCTCGTCGGCGCCTCCTCGGCGTCCTGCAGCGGCCGCAGCCAGAGCACGCTCCCCCTCCAACTCATGCTCCTGCCTGTGCGCTGGCGGCATCACACATGGCATTGACTCGCAGCACAAGGCATCCTCACGGCTTCGTGGCGCGGAAGCGCAGGCGCATGTCTAGCGGAGCCACGCATCAGCCTCCGCGCACGCTTCATCCCTTCAGCACGACTCACACATGACCGTCCACTCGTCCCTGTCCGCGTCGTACGAGTCGGGGCGCAGCAGCTCCTCGACCTCAGCGACCACGGCTTCGCGCTCTGCGTCGTCGGCGAGCGGCGCCAGGAAGGGCCCGCCGAACGTCTGTGCCATCGTGATAAGCCAAGGAGCGAAGGGAAGCAGCGCGTCCCGCACCGCACGCGCACCTTCAGCCAGCCGCGCACGCCCGACGGCACCTTGGTCGGGCGCGGCACGAGGGCGATGGAGTCGATGGTGAAGCCTGCGGCGCGCAGGATCTCGGCATAGGCATGGTCCGTCGGGTAGTACCTGACGGATGACAGGTGAGGTTTCGCCTCATCGAGGCCCCCCGCTGTACACGCACCACGGATCATGCAGTGTCGGATCCACACCTCGGCGCCGCAGCGCAGCATGCATGCCGCCGCGCACGCCCGTGGCGCAGCCAAAGCCGCCGAGCCTGCGTCGGACCTATCAGCACTGAGCTGTCGCTGTGTGTGCGAATGAGGCAGGCTCACTCGGCTGCGAAGGTGCCGTCGCTCTTGAGCGCCGCAAAGACGCCACGCGCCACGGCCGCGGGGTCCCGGTTCATCCAGTGCATCTGCGGAGCCGAGTGATCAGCGAGCATCGGCAAGCGCAACGGCTCGTGGTCGTTCACCGCAGCATTGGAGAACACGCGATCAAACGCCTCGCGCTCGCCCTGTGCGTCGAGCCACGGCTCGAGCTGTTGTCCATCGACGCAGTGCCACCTGATGTTGTCCGTCTCAAACCGCTTGGCCGCATCCAGCATGCTCTGCGCCACATCCACCGCCACGACGCTGCCGCCGCTCGGCGCCAGTTCGGCGGCCAGCTGCGCCGTCAGCTCGCCGCTGCCGCAGCCGAGGTCGAGGATGCGCTCGCCGGCTTGCAGGCCGAGCAGCGCAAGCACGGGCGCCGTGGCCGCGGCCGAGTAGACAAACGAGGCGTTGGCGTTGTAGACCGCCGGATTGTCGCTGCGGTGCCAGTTGGGCGCGGACATGCTTGCTGCTTGTTGTGGTGTTGAGCTGGCAACGCTCGTGTGCGACAATAGCTGCCTTATGAATGCTGACTCGAGCCCCAGGCGGTGGAGGGCGCGGGGTTGAGAGGCGGACTTGCCCGGCCGGCCTTGGCGGGAGCATCGGCCTCCGTCGGCCGCTCGCAGCGTGGGATCGGGAATGTGCGATCCGCTAGCGCATCCTTCGCGCGCTTCCTTTCGCTCCACCATCATCCCCCCTCCACAGCCCGCACCTGTCCCTCCGCAGCCAGACGTGTGCAGGCACCGCAGCTCACTGCACAGCCCGCTCAATGCAGCGCACCGGCCCATGACTTCTCGGCGCCCCGTGCCCGACGAGAGTCTCTACGATGTGCTCGGCGTCGCGGCGCGCGCCTCGCCCGCCGAGATCCGCGCGGCCTACCTGAGCGCCGCACGAAGGGTGCGTGGAGCCGTCGTGGACCCGAACGCATGCGCTGAGTATGCTTTGCCTGCCGCAGCACCACCCGGACAAGCAGCAGCCCGGCGCGAGCCCCGCGCTGGACGGGCACATGCCGCGCATCACGCATGCGTACGGCGTCCTCTCCGTGCCCAGCGCGCGCGCCGAGTACGACGCCACGCTCAAGCGGCGCGAGCAGGCGGCGCTGGCGGCGAGCACCAGCGTGCGCATCAGCGCCGAGGTGGACATCGACGCCTTTGAGCTGGTCGCGTCTGCCGACGATGTGCAGGAGCAGGCAGCGCAGCTGCGCTTCAAGCTCGACTGCCGCTGCGGCAGCGCGTACGTCGTCGAGCTGCGCGAACTCGAGGCGGGCCATGACCTCGTGGGGTGCAGCGGATGCAGTCTGGTCATCCGCGTGCTGCTCGATGCACCAGACGGAGCAGAGACGTAATGTAGCATAGATTCGGTCAGTCGCGCAGTGGCAGAGCGCTCTACAGGAAGAGGAGCACACAGCGGTTGAACAGCGCTGGCGAGGCGGCGGCCTTGGAGCTCACGCCCGACTCGGGCACATTCATCGTGAAGACCTGCGACGGGCGACGCGGGCAGTTAGCGGCTGTGCGTTCAGACATTTGTGCGCGAGCAGCAACTCACGACGTGCAGGTTCTTGCCGATCTCGGAGGAGAACCAGTTGTACAGCTCCTCGGGCGAGTCGAGCATCAGGCCGTCGCGCTGCGAGCCCTCCTTGCACGCCGTCATGAGCGCCGAGTACTCGTCGTTCTCGAAAAGACCCGGCACCTGCGTGGAGATCGCGCATCAGTGGCTGTGCTGCGTGCCTGCAACACAAGCAGCTCACCTCGGAGTTGGCGAGCAGCGCTGGAGAGGAACAACATATGAGCAAGAAAGCAGCTTTTGGCTACCGCAAGGCACTCACTGTTCATGCGCTCCAGGAAGGCGGGCGACTTGATCTGCGCCTCGTCGATGATGAAGCAGATCTTCTCGCCCTGCGTGCCCGCGCGGCGCAGCACCGTGCGCAGGTCCTCGTCGAACTCGGCCATGCCGTACTTGCGGCTCGGCGCGATGGTGAAGACGCTCAGGCCCACGAGCCAGGCGACAAAGCGCGTCACCGTCGTGCGGCCGCTGCCCGAGGCGCCGATGAGCAGCAGATGGCCCTGCCGCTGGCGCAGCACGCGGTCGACGGACGTGGCCAGGCCGAGCACCGAGTCGTGCAGCACGAGCTTCGTGTCCAGCTCCTCTGCAGCGGAGGTGGTCAGCACCGCTGGAGAGCGCGACGAGTGAGCCCAACTGACCCTCGCTGTACTGCGCCATGCGCGCGACGGTGTGCGCACGCAGCTCGTCCAGCCCGACGGAGCTCGTGTTGCGCGTGAGCCAGTTGCTGTAGATGATGGGCCGCTGCAGCGCGTTCTGCTCGACCGTCGGGAAGCGCATCAGCGCCGTCTGATCGAGCTGCTGGTCCGTCCACTCTGCGAGAAGGTCAGCATCACATCGGGACTCGAAGCTAGCCGCTACTCACCCTTCTCGTCCTCGCCAACAAGACGGTCGCGGAAGAGGCGCAGGCCCTCGTGCGCCCACACTCGCACGAGGCCCTCGAGCGTGACGGTGTCGTCGATCGGCTTGAGGTGCTCGTACAGGCCGCGCACCCAGCGGCTGAGCTCACGCGGCGAGTACACGTAGTGTGCCTGAATGTCGGGCGTGAAGCGGCGCTGCGAGGCGAGGAAGAAGTCGACCATGGCCGACGTGAGGGCCTCGGCGTAGCCGCGCAGGTTGGGCGTGAGCTTGAGCAGCGCGCGGTTGAATGTGCCGTAGATCTGGTTCAGCGACACCTCGCCGGGATAGTCGACCATGACGAGCGGCGCGTGGCGCAGGAAGCGGTGGCTCAGCGGCACACGGCCCGGGTCCGTCGGCGGGTTGCACGCGCCGACGAACTGAATGCGCTCGAGCGTGACCCACGCCAGGTCCGAGGCGCGCCAGAAGCCGCCGCACTCGACGAGCTGGCGCAGGAACGAGATGACGCGCTGCGTGCCGTAGTTGTCGCGCGCCGGAAGGTTGATCTCGTCGCAGAAGAGCACGATCCAGCGGCCCATCTGCTGCGGCGACAGCACGACGCCGTTTGGCGTCTTGCGGTACTCGCAGTACTGCTCGAACGTGTTGAGGATGAGCTCCGGCGTCGTGGCGCTCGAGAAGTTGAGGCCGACGACCTCCTGGTCGGGCAGCTTGCGCAGCGCGCTGAACAGCGTCATCGTCTTGCCCGAGCCCGGCGGGCCGCACAGCATGAGCGGCTTGTGCTCGGAGAGCCACGAGTACAGCACCTCCTCGTGGCGCACCGTGTCCATCGTCGGGATGACGACATCGGCGCTGGCGACGGCGTGCGTCTCGATCTCGACGGTCGGCACGCGGCTCGCCCACTCAAACCACTCGCCCGTGCTGACCTGCACGTCGTAGTCGATGAGCGAGGCGCCGTTGCCGAGCGGCGGCAGCTCGAGGCCGGTGTTGTCGCGCAGGAACTCGCCCATCTGCGCGCGCACGTCGAGCTTCGAGTCGCCGGTGAAGGCCCAGACGAGGCCGACGATGAGCCGCTTCGTGGCGTAGGACTGCACCTGCTGCACGCTGAGCGGGAAGTCGGGGTGCAGCGCGTTGTAGTCGGCCACGTTGCGCGCGGTCTTGTTGACGAGCGAGAAGAGTGTCGAGAGGGCGCGCGCCACGATGAAGTCCATGATGTGGAACACGCCGGCGGCGTACTCCAGCGCGAGCTCGACGAGCGCCCCTCGCTCGAAGAAGGGCGCGATGGCGTCGGCAATGACGCGCTGCGTGAGCAGGTTGGGCGAGACGTCGTTCAGCGCGCTTGCCGCAGCGCCGCCCAGTCGACGGGCAGTGAGCGCGTCGTCGTCGTCGCTGCCGAGCTCCGTGGAGCGCAGCGAGCCGAGGTAGTTGGCAAACAGCATCGACGGCTTGACGCTGTCGTCACTGAACCAGATCATGCCGCAGCGAGACACGGTAGCGAGCGTGGCGTATCGTAGGTGCTCGACCTCGAACACGATGCGCACGTTTGGCGGCAGGTCGAGACGCTCTCCGTTTGGCAGCGTGAGCAGCTTGTTGTCGTCGAGGACACTGCAGTGATGCATCAGTCTCCGCCTCGCCGAGTGCCATGCGGACTGCTCACCTGTTCAGGTTCTCGACCCACTCCGGGTCGACGTCGCCGTCGAACACGATCCAGTGGCGCTTGGCGCTCTCGCCGCGCACATTGTCGAGGATGCGGCGCAGCACGTTGGTGAAGAGGCCGTCCGTCCACTCGCGCGTCGTCGGGTCGAGTGTGCCGTACAGCGCGTCCTTGGAGACGGCCTTCGGGTCGATGACGTACGAGACGGCCTCGACGCCCTCGTGGCGCTGCAGCGCGGCAAGCAGCACCTGCCACGCCTGCGTCTTGCCCATGCCTGACGGGCCGACAAGCATGAGGCCGTGCGAGATCGTCGACACCTGGTAGACCTGCAGACACTTCGACACCCACAGCTCGTCCGCGACGAGGTGCCGCTCGGCGCAGACTGCCTCGATGTGCGTCCGCAGCGCGCCAAAGTCGTGCGCAGCAGGCATGACGCCCGGGAACACGTCGCCAAGCAGGTTAGTGAGCAGCGTCACATCATCCCCGACGAGCTTGGGCGCGACCGAAACGATGACCGACTGCACAAGAATCTCCTGCTCCTGCGCGGCGATGTCCACACTCGCGTCTGCGCCGGCTTCGCGGCTCTTGGCGAGCTGCTCGCGCACGAGGCGACCGGCCGACACAAGCACCTGCTTGAGCGCTCGCAGGCCGAAGTCGTAGTGCGGCTGCTTGCTCAGCTGCTCGGCGCAGAGCGAGAACAGCGGCACGATCTTCGACGCAAGCTGCCCAGACGTCTTGAAGCCCTGAGCGAAGAGCATGACTGCGGGAAATCGAGTCAGCAGTGCATCAGCATGGTCGCTGAATGGAGCTCACCCTCTGCGATTTGCGTGAGGCCCGGCGAGGACATGACGATGTTGCGGAACTGCCGCACGAGCGAGGCCGGCAGCACTACACGGCCGCTGTAGCCGGGGTTGAGCGTGATGAACGCGGCCGCACTCGGCGCGACCACCACCTCCTGGCCTGAGATCATGGCGCTCTTGCCCGCGCGCTTTGCCGTCTGGATGGCGAGCAGGTCCTGCGACACGCTGCTGAGCGTCGTCTCCGTGAGACGGTTCATCTCGTCGAAGCAAGACCAGGCACCTGTCTTGAACGAGCCGATGAGCGCGCGCGCCACCGCCTTGACGTCGAAGGAGTCGTCGCAGCAGGTCACGAAGCACGGCAGGCCGAGACGCGTGGCGAGGAAGCGGATCGTCTCCGTCTTGCCGGTACCAGCAGGACCCACGGCACCGCCGCCGAAGCCCTTGGACAGCGCCTGCGTCTGCGTCAGGAAGCAGCGCGTGGTCAGGCCGGTGCAGACGAGCGACTCGGGCACGCCGAGGTACTCGAAGCCGTAGTCGAACGTCGCATCGGCCATGGCCACGGAGACCGTCACGGCAGTGTCAGAGCCCGGCGCCGAGTAGAAGCGCATCTGGCTCTTCCACGCAAAGTCGTCCGACGATGTGCTGCGCGCCTCGACGACCTCGCGGATGATGTTGCGCTGGTGCACGAGCTCGCTCATGAGGTTCTCGATCGACTTGCGCTTCAGCGGCGAGAGGTCCTGCACCACGAGCGCCGAGAGCTCGTCCAAGAAGGCCTGAGGGAAGGGCAGATCGGCGACGTTGCCGCCGTCGAGCGCGGCCTCCACCATGCTCGTCCACTCGAGCTGCAGCGCGAGCACGAGGGCCTGTCCGGGATGCGCGCCAATCCAGTCGCTGGCTCGCTTGGCGATGGTGCCGGACTCGCGGATCTCGTGCAGCTCTGCGTGGGCGGCGGCAAGGCGGAGCGCAGTGGTGCGCCGCAGCTCGCTCTCGAGCGCCTGCAGCCACTCGTGCACAGCTGCGCCCTTCGTGTCGACCGGCGTGCCGAGCAGCACCGCCTCGCCCTGCGGCGAGACAACGCCCAGGACGCGCGTCTGGTCCGCCTCGTCGATCGTCGCCGAGGCCACGCCCTGGAACATCTTCTTGAGGTGACTCGTGACGCGCGCAATGTCGTTGCTCGAGCCAAGCAGGCTCAGCAGGTCCGAGTCGCCGAGGAAGTAGAAGCGCGGGAATATGTTGCGCTGCTTCTCGAGGAACGCGGCGAGCGCCTTCTGCATCTTCTCCAGCAGGTCGCGCAGGCGCTCGAACGAGGCCTGGATGCCCGGCAGCTGGATCACGTCGAGCACGAAGGGCGACTTGACGATCTTCTTCATCGTCGCCTGGAACTCCGTGTCGATGGTCTGGAAACGCTGCGACTCCATCGGCAGGATCTGGCGGATGCCGGCGCCCGAGAAGATGCCGGAGCAGTCGACCCACTTCGTCTGCACGTCGCGCGCCGTCTCGAAGAGCAGCGAGATGACCTCGAGGCGGCCCGTCCACAGGTTTGCCTCCTCCTCAAACACCTTGAAGTACGGCGAGTTGGACATGGAGCGCAGCGCCGACGTGTGGTCGCCGGCCTGTGTGAAGAGCGGGTCCCAGCCGCGGATGAGGCGGCACTTGTTCTGGTAGTTGACGAGCTCGAGGTCGTACGACGTCCAGACCTCGCGCACCTGCTTGAGGTACTCTTCGAGCGCGAGCTCTCCCTGCGCAATGGTGATGACGCTCTTGACGGTTGCGTCGTGGCGCTTCAGGTCGAGGTCCCACACGGTGCCGAGCGTCATGGAGCTCGGCGTGTAGTGCGACTTGATGTTGAGCTGCTTGAACAGCGAGCGCCAGTGGCGCTCGCGCATTGCCTCGGACTTGAGATCGGCGACGAGCGGGTTCGCCTTGAGCAGCGTGCGCAGGTGGTCCTGCACGTACTCGAACGCGGCGTACTGGCGCATGCGCGACGGCATCTCCTTGGTCTGGTTGAGGATGGCGTCGAGCTGCTGGCGCAGCTTGCGCGGCTGCACGTTGTTCCAGTTGCCTTCGCGCAGCTCGGCCAGCTGGCTCCATGTGCCGGAGAGGGCGGTCCAGACGGCCTTGAGGTCGCGCACCTCTTCTGCCACGGGCTCCAGGCGGTCGTCTGCCGTGTGCTCGAGGTCGAGCGCCTCCTTGGCGCGCACCACGAGATCGCGGTCCTCGCTGAGCTTCGTCACGCGCGTCTCAAACACGCCGATGGTGTTCATCGCGGCGTCGGCACGCATGGTGCCCTGGATCGGCTTCTGCGCCTCCCACTCCGCGACGATGAGCTCAATCTTGTCGGCCACGATGCGGTCCTCGGCGATGATCTTCATCTGCAGGCCGGCGAGCTGCTCCTGGATCGAGGCGTTCTTGCGCGCAAGGATCTCGTTGAAGGCACTCCACTCGCCCTCGACCTGGTCGACGTAGAGCCAGTCCTGCGAGAAGAGGTAGCGCTGCCGCTCAAGCGTCTTCTGTCCCTGCCCGAAGACGGCGATCTGCGGCGTCCAGCGCTTCACGCGCCGCTTGAGGTCCTGCACCGAGGTGATGAACGCCACGGTCTGCGCCGTCGAGCTGGCCTCGATGCTGTGCTGCTCGAGTTCGACGCGTGCCTGGCGAATGGCGGCGTGCGTTTCGCGCATCGCCGCGCCGAGCTTGGTGCCGAAGCGGTTGAGCAGGTCGCGCTGCCATGTGTCGTACTTGGCGTTGACCTTGCTCTGCACCTGCTCGTAGTCGATGACAGCGATGCCGAAGCTGCGCTGCGTGTCCGAGTTGTCGAACGTCGAGCGCGTGCGACGAATCTCCGAGAGCAGGCGCTGCCAGTCCTCGAGCGAGTCGCCGAGGCGCGCATACACGTGCTCAGACTCGAGATCCCAGAGCGCCTGGAACTGCAGCCACTTGGCCACATACTGCGCGACTTCGCCAACCTTGCGCTCGATTAGCGTGAACGGCCGGCTGAGCGTGTCGTCGGTGAAGCGCGTCAGCAGCGAGACGTACGACTGCTCGGTGGCACTGCCGTCCGTCTTGCGCATCTGCATGCCGATCTCGTAGCGCGAGCTCTGCACGCGCTTCAGGCCGCAGACGATGGCGAGCACATCGTGCAGCTGCTTGTAGAAGTTGGCACGCGCGTCCTCGATCGGCGGGTCGAGGTAGATGACCTGGTTGCGGATCCTGAGCTCGTGCGTGACGGGCGTCAGGCCGACGTGGTCGCGCTCAAGGGCAGCCTGCACAAGGAAGTGAGCAAGCGAGTCTGACGCGCGATCATTCGACTCACCTTGGCTTGCGGCGCATTGCGGGTGCCCTTGCGCGCGACGGCTGTCGAGTCGCGAGCATTGCCCTCACTGTCGTCCTCGCGGACGAATGCGGCACACCAGGCCACCGAGATCAGTCTCAGCCGCTCGAGGAGCAGCGCCTCGATGCGCGAGTCGAGCTCCGCCACCCAGTGGTCCAGGTTCGGGTAGCCCTCGAGGTTGAGGCGGTCGATCGTCGCCTGGATCTTCGCAAGCAGCGCCGAGAAAGCCTCGAGCGTGTACGCGCACGAGGAGAGCTCGTCCACGGCCGCGTTGACCTCGCGCTGCATCGTGATGAGCTCGTCGGTCGTGTCCTGGAACAGGCTGACGTTGCCCGCGAGCTGGCGCACGAAGAGCACCTGCTTGTTCTCGCGCGCCAGGCCCTCGTTTCCCACCGCACCGGGCAGGTACGCCGCCGTGCGGTGGCTGTCGTAGGCCGTGCCAAAGTTCTCCCAGCGCAGCGCCATGCCCTGCGAGATCTGCGCGTGCACGTCGTTCTGCACCTGCGCGAGGAGGCAGGCGACGGTCGGGTTCGCGCGCACCTGCGCACACGTCTGCGTGTACGTGCGCACGGTCTCCATCAGGCTGACGGCGTACGGATACACGCGCTTCGCGTCTTTGGCGAAGTTCGAGATAGCGTGTGGAATCGGAAAGCCGAGCCACGTCAGGTTGCGCACCTCCTTGAACAGCGCGATGACCTGCGGGTCGAAGTTGACGCTGAGCTGGAAGCTGTCCGTGGCGCGGTTGCGCGTCACGTCGAACAGGCGACCGCTGATCTTCAGCTCGCGCCGCGAAATGTCGTGCAGCCAGGCGTCGAAGAGCGGACGCGTGTCGAGCTTGCGGCGGAACGTGTCGCGCTCGTTCGACAGCTTCTTGCCCTCGGCGTACGAGTCCCAGCCTTCGCCGAGCGCGTCCTGCACACGCTTCATAAAGACGTCCAGCTGGCGCTCGATCTGCCGCGCCCAGATGATGGCGCCCGCAATCTCCGGCACGTCGCGCAGCTGGCTCATGTGATTTGCGCCCGACGCGCGGTACTGCGCCTTGAACTTGTCGTGCAGGCTCTGGATGTCGCGCTTGACGCTGTTGAGCAGCTGCTGCTGGTACTCCTGCACGGCGCCGCGGACTCTGCAGAGGCGGGTCAGTCGATCTGCGAAGGCGACGCCGCTCAGCAGCCCACTCACTTCGGCCGCACAAACAGGCTGTTGAACTGGCTCAGCACGCGCAGCATCTCGCGCGCGCTCTTGGCCTGGCCGAGCAGGTCGCGGAGCCGGGCAATGAGGCTGTTCTCGACGCGCGCCACGCGCTCGTTGTATGCCGCCTCGGCCTGCGACCACACCTGCGTTCCCTCGGGGCTGACGTCGAGCACGTCGGTCGTCTTGATCGCCTCATACGCAGCCTCGATCTCCTCGGCCAGCTCGATGCCCGCCACGTCCTGCCCGGTGTGCTTCTGCACCTGCCCGTCGGCCGCCTGTCCGACGCGAGGCGCAGGCGCCGACAGGCTGCGCCCAGAGCTGACCATGACGCGCAGCTGGTCGTGTGACGAGCTGTGTGCGGGACTCCTTGTCAGCGCTGCGGGCGCCACCTGCAGCGCAGGCACTCACCGGAAGTTGTAGATGTACACGAGCCGCTCAGCGAGCGCCTTGTGGTGCGCCGTCACCTTGATCGGGATGAACTTCTCGGCGCGCTTGCGCGTGACCTCGCGCGCCGTGTTGACGAACTCCTTCATCAGATCGTCCCAGCGCGTAAAGACGGTCTGCGCGGCCTTGACCGTGTCGGTGAAGCGGGCAAAGTCCTGGAACATGAGGCGGTGCGAGTCGAGGATCTTGCGCATCGTCTCATTGAGGTCGCGCGAGATGGCCGAGACGAACGGCAGCGCACGCTTGATCGGGTACGGGCTGATGCGCAGCTTCTTGATGAGGTGCGTGAAGATGTTGTCGAGCGCCTCGGAGCACATGTCCAGGTCCGTCGCCGAGAGGAGGTCGTCGAGCGGAAAGTCGCGCATCAGCAGCACGTGGTTGCTGACCACCTTGCGCTTCTCCTTGACGCCCGTCGCGCTGAACGCAGCGACGGCGTGGTAGCGCTTCTCGTTGTTCAGAATGCGGAGCGTGAACTGCACGCCCGTCCGCGCAATCTGCGCCTCGATGTGCTCCAAGGCGCGGTCCATGGCCAGCCAGAAGTTGACCTCCTGCCAGGCGCTGCCGGCCTCGACGTCGTGGTCACGCGTGGTGACGGAGAGGACCTCCTTTGCCCAGCCGTTGACCTCGCTCGAGAGCTTGTTGAGCAGCGCATCGTCGATGCTCGCGTTGTCGTCCTTGCGCAGGCTGTCCATGCGCGGCTGGCGGCCCTCGGCCTCGGCCTGGTCGACCTCGGCACGCACGAGCGGGTTGACGTAGAGCTCGACGGTGCGCACGTCAACGCTCTGCTGCAGCTGCTTGAGACTGCTCTCGAGGTCGTTGAAGCGGCGCTTTGCCATTGGGATGGCTAGACGGCCAATCGGTGAGCCGCAGCCGCAGAGCTGTGCAGACCAGCCGACTCACCCTTGTTGTCTGCGTCTGCGCGGCTGCCCGCCGTGACCTGCTTGTCGCTCGCCTTGGACGTGACGTACGCGTCGAACCAGGGCACCATGACGTTGTGCATCACGCTGTAGAGCGCCTCGTAGGGCGACTCGTGCACTGCCGCCACGGTCTTGCCGTTGGCCTCTTCGCCATCGCGGCCGTCTGCTTCGTCGCGCACGTCGGGCCCATCGGACACAGACGCCGGCCCGAAGAGCGACATGAGGTTGAGCTGCTGCGTCAGAGGCACCTCGGGGTCGAGTACGTCGATGCGCTTCACGAGCGCAATCGCCGAGATGTGGTTCGGCGTGTACGAGGGCTCGTATGCCAGGCGATAGACGAATGAGTCTGAGCACACACATGGCAGCGTGAGCACGCTGCTGCTGCACACTACCTGGGTGTAGCTGCCGCGACAGAGCGGCCAGCGCCCGCCCGGGCCCTCCATCTGTCTCAGCACTCACCGAGCTCAACGCCGCTGTCCGAGTCCGACTCGCCCTGCCGCCGCAGCTTCTCGACGTAGATCGTCTTCTTGCTCGGGTCCGAGGCGAACGCCCGCGCCGTGCCGCGCCAATCGCCCGTGGCGCGGCCGCCGGCATCGGCGAACATGGTGCGCGCCAGGCTGGCGGGCGTCGCGGCCATGACGACGGGCAGCAGCAGCTCGAGGTACTCGCGCAGCAGCTGCGGCGGGAACTCGGCCGCCGCCGGCGAGCCGCGCGCCAGGTCGGCCAGCGAGCCGGCCGAGGGCAGCGAGGCCATGCCGTCGCCGCGCATCGCCGCGCTGTCACCCACCACGGCGGTCATGGCGCCGCGCGTCGCGCTCGCAGGAAAGATGCCGGGTCCCAGAGACGACGGAGATGAGACGTGGAGCGTGAGAGAGAGAAGGCGACGCGAGCTGAGAGGGGCGTGAGTGGGCTTGGGGTATCGTGGTGAGGAGGAGAGCTGTGTGCACGCGCGTCTTGTCGCAGTCGGCGCAGGAGCGTGCTCGGTGTTGGACTGGCTTGGGCGCGTGGGAACGGGCGCGTGGGAGCACAGCGATCAGGGCCGACTTCGCCGGCCGCCGGCCGGGCCCTTCTCTTGCTGACATGCGCAAGAAGACCGGCGTGCATCTCCGCCTCTTCCCGACCCTCACACCACCGCGCCCACTCCCAGTCCATCGGTCCGACGTCGAGCGTCTTCTGCGCCCCGTCTGCGCCATGCTCCCAGCCCTGCGCTCAGCCGCCGCCGCCCGTCCGCGGGCGGCGCTGGCCGTGGCGCCTGCTGGTGCCGCCTCCACTTGGCTGGCCGCACGCTCGCAGCACACCGCCAGCTCTTCAGCAGCGTGCAGTGTCTCATCGCTGGCGTCAGCACGGCTACACGCTCGTACAGCAGTGCCATGGCCGGCCGTGCGCAGCGAGGGCCGCGTCTTTGCGCCGCGGCGCCCGACGCCGTTTGCGACGACGTCCAGCTGGTATGCCGCCGGACTGCGGCATCGCTCCGACCAGGCCTCGTCTTCTACACCACCGCCGCCGCCGCCATCGGACCTGTCTGAGCCAAAGGCCAGCGCCAAGGTGCAGCAGGCCGCCTCTGCGCCGCCCAGCGCGCCAAAAGCAGCAGATGCCAAGACCGGCTCGCTGCCCACGCGGCTTCTGACGCTTGCACGCGACCGGCTGCTGGCCATGGCGTCGCAGTCAGCAGCCAAGGGCGCCGGCACTGACGCTGGCAAGGATGCCACGCCCGCACCGACCTTTCCCGACATCCGCCGGCTGCTCTCGCTCGCCTCGTCGCAGAAGCGGCGCATCTTCATTGCGCTCGGCCTGCTGATCGTCAGCAGTGCCGTCTCGCTCTCTGTGCCCTTCGCCATCGGCCGGCTGATTGACTTCTTCACCACGGGCTCCTCGTCGCTCTTCGGCCTCAGCTTCCCGGCGGTGGCCGCGTGCCTGCTGGCCGTGTTTGCCATCGGCGCCGGCGCCAAGGCCGGCAGCAACATCATGCTCGAGCTGGCGGGCGTGCGCATCATCCAGCGCATGCGCGAGAAGGCGTACGCCAATGCGCTGCGGCAAGAGGTTGAGTGGGCAGACAAGGGCGCCGGCGACGTCGTGAGCCGCCTGAGCGTCGACACGAACATCGTCGGCGAGGCCATCACCTCCGACATCGGCGACGGCCTGCGCGCGGGCGTGACGGTGCTGTTCGCCGGCGGCGCGATGTTCTACATCTCCTCGCACCTGACGCTGCTCATGCTGGCCGTCGTGCCGCCCGCGGCGATCGGCGCCGTCTTCTACGGCCGCTACCTGCGCGACCTGACGCACCGCACGCAAGACGCCGTCGGCGCCATGACGCGCGTGGCCGAGGAGCGCCTCAGCGGCCCTGCCTTCCGCACGATCGCAGCGTACGGCACGCAGACGTCCGAGTCGGCGCGCTTCGCCGCCAAGGTGCGCGACATCGTGGCGCTGCAGACGCGCGAGGCCTACGCCTCGGGCATCTTCTACGCCGGCACGGGCCTCGTGGGCAACTGCTCAATCCTCACGCTGCTCACCGTCGGCGGCAGCCTCGTGGCCAAGGGCACCATCTCCGTCGGCGACCTCACGTCGCTGCTGATGTACACGGCGTACCTCGGCGGTGGTCTCGCGAGCCTTACGTCCTTCTTCGCCTCGCTGATGCGCGGCGTTGGCGCCGGCGCGCGTGTCTTCCAGCTCGTTGACCGCGTGCCGGAGAAGATCCGCCTCGGCGAGGGCGCACCGCTGCCTGCGAAGCGCGGCACCATCGCCTTTGAGGGTGTGCAGTTCGCGTACCCCAGCCGGCCGCAGCAGCGCATCCTCGACGGTGTCGAGCTCAAGCTGGAGCCGGGAGAGTCGGTGGCGCTCGTCGGCGGCTCTGGCGTGGGCAAGTCGAGCGTGCATGCGCTCATGCTGCGCTTCTACGACCCGGACCAGGGCCGTGTCACGTTCAACGGCCGCGACATTCGCAGCTTCCGGCCGGACGAGTTCCGCCAGCTGATCGGCACGGTGACGCAGGACCCGACGCTGTTCGAGGGCACCGTGGCGGAGAACATCGCGTACGGCACGCCGTCTGCGACGCGTGAGCAGATCGAGGAGGCCGCGCGCAAGGCCAACTGCCAGGACTTCATCCGCGAGCTGCCGCAGGGCCTCGACACGCACATCGGTCCGCGCCAGCTGAGCGGCGGCCAGCGGCAGCGCGTGGCCATCGCTCGTGCGCTGGTGCGCGAGCCGAGCATCCTGGTGAGTCGTGATGCTGATGCACTTGATCGCTCTTTGCTGACTCGCAACCAAAGCTGCTTGACGAGGCCACGAGCGCCCTCGACTCCGCCTCCGAGTACCTCGTCAACCAGGCCATCGAGTCGATCATTGCCCAGGGCAAGATCACCGTCTGGATCGTGGCGCACCGCCTCAGTGAGTGTCGTGCGCTGCAAGACGCCAGGCCCGAGCTCACACTCCACGCGCAGGTACGATCAAGTCTGCCGGCACGATCCTCGTGCTCGACAAGGGCCAGATCGTTGAGACGGGCTCCTTTGAGCAGCTGGACCGTCCCGGCTCGCGCTTCCGATCTCTCATGGCTGCGCAGCTTGAGGCCTCAGGCCCCACGGCTGTCGGCAGCGAGAGCGCCAGCGACGACGCAGCTCCCAGCAGCAGCAGTGCGGCAGCGCCGGTGCGTGGCTAAGGAGCAGCGGGAACGCAATAGACTAGTCATTGACCAGTATGCCTGCTCTTCAGAGTCAGCTGAATGCGAGCGCGGGCGGCAAGCGCTCCTTCTCCACCTCTGCTCGCGCGCACAGCAGCCGCGATGCCGAGGTGCAGCTCGACGACACATGCGTGCCGCTGGCGCCGACGTGGCGCGTGAGCGCGCTGATCGAGGAGGCGCGCCGCTCGGGGCCCGAGCTGACGACGGAGCGCCTGAGGCGGCTGCTCGAGCTGTCGGCACTGCAGGTGCCGCAGGACGAGGCGCAGCTCGAGAAGCTGCGCCTGGAGATGCAGGAGCTCGTCAACCTCGTCGACGCCGTGCGCAGCGCACCGCTGCCGCCACACCTGGCCAGCCTGAGCCTGCCCGACGCCCGTATCTGGCCCGAGGGCCAGGTGCAGAGCCTGGACGAGGCTCCTGCGCACGACGACTCGCCGTCGGGCGTGCTGACGCGCGAGCAGCTGCTGGGCAACGCCAAGCGCGTCGAGCGCGACCAGTTTGTCGTGCGCACCGGCCGGCGGCAGAGCTCCGACTAGAGCGGGACCCGCAGTAATACACATCACCTCTCATCACAGACCGGCACGGAGGTGCGAATAGTGAATTGAGTGTCTGTGCGCTGGGCGCAGACGGGTATGGGCAGGCAGTGGGAGAGAAGAGAGGCGAGCGCTGCAGCGTGGCGTGCGCTACCGCTGCCGCTTGGCAGCCGGCGTTTTGGGGCTCTGCGCACTGCCGGCGCGAGCGATGGTGAGCTTGCGCTTGCCCGTGGCAGCGGCCGGGGCAGCAGGCGCGGCGCGAGCCTCCTTGACGTCGGTGTCGGCATCGCCATCCTCGCCGACGCGCTGCGAGTGCGAGGCGCTAATGGTGCTAGCAGCACCTCCAGTGCCAGCGCCCCCGCTGCCGCCGCTGCCCGAGGGCGACGCCGCCGTGGGCGGGTTGCGCGTGCTGTTCGGCGAGCTGACGGTGGAGCCGCCGTTTTGTGTCGGATTGCGACTTGCAGCAGCAGCGGTCAGCGAGTCCTGGCTCGGAGCGGTGCTGAGGCCCTGCGACTCGCGGAACTGCGCGGCGAGGCGTCGAAGAGCGTCTGTCGAGGGCGATGCAGCGTCAGCAGAGACGAAACATGCTCGTGGACGCGCGGCAAGCTCACCGATCGGGCCCAGCCCTTCGCGCGAGGAAAAGTCCATGAGGTCGCGCAAATGGCAGATGCTCTCGGTGATCTGCACAGGCAGGCGTCAGCATTGCACCTGCACATGGTAGGCCGCCACGCACCTCGAGACACCGCATCGTTCGCAGCGTGATGCCGTACTCGTTGTCCTCGACGGGCAGCTCCGGCACCTCTGGGCGCTCGATGGCAAACGAGAAGCCCTCCTCTTCCTTCTCGCCCTCCGCCTCGCCGTTCTTTTCCTTCTCGCTGCGCTTCTTCTTCTCCAACACCTTCTTCTGCGCCGCAGCCGGGTCTGTGACGCCATGTGCGGCCAGGATGGCAGCGACAACATCGGCGGGCACTTTCTCCTGCACACGTGTCTTGCGCAGCAGGCTCGTGGGCATGAATGTGGCGTGGCTGTGGTGCACCAGACTCATCGACTCGAGCCGCAATGCCGTGTCGAGGCGTGGCGCTCCCGTGTTGCCCGGCTCAGGATAGACGAGCCGCGTGTGCGAGACGAAGCAGGCGCGTGCGGCGCCCATGTGGTGCACCTGCCAGCCGTCGCGGAACTCGTGCACCATCGTGGTGCGGTCTGCCTGCACCATGTGCGACACGGCCGCCGAGGGCTGAGGATGCAGCAGCGGCTGCTCTGCGCCGGCCCGCTCCTCGTTGGGCGACTCGACGCGGTCGGTTGGGAACGGATCGACGCCGGCGACGTACTCGCGCGGGTCGTCGAGGTGGAAGAAGGCAGAGACGAGGCCCGACTGGTAGTTGGTGTGCATGAAGCGCGGCAGCACGGATGCAGGAATGTCTGGATGGCGGACGTGAGCGTGCGTCCGAGCGCTGTCGCTGACGCTCTGCTCACCAAATGTCTTGTGCTCCGCACTCGTCGGGTTCCAGAGCGTGTAGCGCATCATGCCGTCGGGCGTGAAGAACTCGCTGCAGAAGTTGCGCCAGTAGTCCATCTCGCTCACCTGAGCATCGGGGGTCAGCAGAGATTCCGACGCACGCCTTGCGCGCACTTACATCTCCAGCCACGCCAAAGCCCTCGGAGTAGTGCAGCAGGCGCATCATGGCAGCGCCCGGCGGGTAGGCGCCCGAGGAGAGCGAGTTGGCTGCGCCCGAGAGCGCTCTCAGACTGCCAGGCGGCGGGCCGAGAGGCATGCCGCTGGTGCTTGCGCCCGCCTCGCTACTTGGGCCCGAGACAGTGTAGCTAGGGCCTAGGGCGCCCATCGAGCCACCAGCCACCGGCGATGGGCCCAGCACACCGGGCGGCTGCAGCCCGTGCGCTGCGTCATGGCTCATGCCCAGGCCGACAGGCACGCGCGGCTGCGGATGGTGCAGCTCCTTCGGCGCAGCACCGGCGGGCGCGCGCTGCATGTCCGGCGAGCCGAATGGCTGCCGGAACTGCGGCGGACCGAAGGACTGCTGCGGCGACGAGGCGGCCATGTACGGCGAGGCGCGCTGCTGCTGCTGTTGCTGTTGCTGCTGGTAGGCGTGCATCTGCATCTGCTGCTGCTGGTGATGCTGTTGCTGCTGCTGCTGCGCCATGTGCATGGCAGCCTGCTGCGGCGACATGGCCGGGTTCATTGCCGGGTGCATGCCTGGCCCGCCAGCGTGGTGCTGCTGCTGCTGCACGTGGCCGTGGGGCAGGCCTGCGGCGCCGAACGCCGGCGACGAGACGCCATTGGCGGCGCGATACGAGGGCCCGACATGCATGCCCTGCGGCCCGCCGGCGGGCGACGGGAGCGGCGCCAGCGGGCCGCCGTGCACGCCGCCGTGCATGCTTCAGGCGAGCCAAAGGTGCTCAGAGGCGCAGCCGTGCAGCGCAGACGCGGCGCCGCCAGATATTGCGGCTCGGCGCGCCGTATGGCTATGTGGGGAGACTTAGCGCAGACCACAGCACAAGGGCGATACTGTGTGTGCCGGCGTGCTGCGTGCTGGCCGGCGCCACGAATGCGAAGGAGGAGGACGGCTAGAGCGCGCGGGGCCGTCTTGCGCGCCCGGCGGCGTGTGGAGGCAGGCGCCCAGCAGCACGATGCAGCGCTGGCGGCGACGAGAGGCCCGCAGCAGGCAGTGAAGCTGTGCGGGACGTGGCTCTGCAAGTGCGAGCGGACGCCCGTGGTGGCGGATGGAGGGCGCGGCGAGGAGGATGAGGTAGGAAAGAAAGAGAGATGGCCGATGCGGACACCGAATGGGCGCGCATCGCTGATCGATCGCGCTCGCTGTCGGCGTGCCACAAGGCATCGTGGGAGCAGCGCCGGCTGCCGTGGTGCCGCAAGCTCAAGCCACAAGCGCTAAGACAGCCGTGCGCGGCGAGCTCAGATGCTTGTGGCTCTCCCCCACATTCACCGCTGCTGGCGGCGCTCAGGCCCCACACGCATCCTCTGCACTCGACCGTCACCTTCGGCAGCCTCGCCCACGGCTCGCAGCCTGCCCACCAGTCCGCCGCGCGAGCAGGCCGTCGCTGGGAACAAGCAAGCGCTGCCTCCACTGGGTCGTGTGACGGGGCCCACGCTCGGACGGCGCCGGCGCTGCGGTGACGACCTGCCTCTCCGCCCTGCCCTCCCGTAGCGCTCAAGATGGCCCATCTGCTCGCCGCGCTTGAGGCGCGCCTCGACACCGAGGTCAAGATCGCAGACGGCGCCGCCAATCTGCTGCGCGTCTTCGATGCCGTGGCGCCGGGTGCTGCGGCTGCGGGGCCGTCGTCCTCCTCGCCTGCGCCTCTCACACGCCCCGAGCGGCCGCGCCGCCGCATGCCGCGCAGTGCTCGCCCGAGCAGCAGCGGCAGTGCGGCGAGCAGCGGGCGCGGCAGCCCGCCGGGCAGCAGCGGCAGCATGCAGGACAGCGACGCCGACGGCGGCCGCGCCGAGGCGCAGAACGGCGAGGCGCAGGCGGGCAAGGAGGCGCTGCGACGGCAGGTGCAGAAGGAGCTCGACAATGCGAACGCACGCATCGTGAGCCTGGTGCGGCAGATCGACGAGCTGAAGATGCGCTGTGAGTGCGCCGTCCAGCTGCTGGCTGCGGCATTGCTGAGACCCTGCTCGCCAGACTCGCCGACATTCAGCACTGGCCCGTCCGGGTCAGATGCATCGTACGGCTTTCCGACGCCGCTGCCCATCTCCTCGCCGCTGATGGACGACTCGAGCGGCGGCCTTGGCCTGCGCTCACCTCGCGGCTCCGCCTTTCCGCTCCACTCTGCGCCCGACACGCCCTTCACGCCGGCGACTGGCGGGCTGGGCATCCTCGATGCGTACGAGGTGGCGCTTGAGGACAGACAACCAGCAGATGGCCCATGTGGGTACCTCGATGAGCTTCGGCGGCCAATGCTGACCCCGTGCCCTCAGCGGATGAGGCCTTCCTGGCACGATCGCGTGCTGCCGCGCTGGTTGACACACTGCGATCTTTGGGACGAGAGACGCAAAAGCGCATTCTGTCCGATGCTTCAGAGATGGCACAATCGCCGCCAGAGTTCGCGCCAATCTCTCCGCCTACGAGGCACATGGGTCCACCTGCCACTCCGAGCACGACGCGCAGTGCACAACGGGCCCGTGCGGCCGCTCAGGCCAAAGGCGAGAGCGCGCATGTCCGCACGCCCAGCCATGTGGCCGGCCTCGGCGACCTGCCGCGCCGCAGAGTCGAGACGCTGCTGCAGCTGGCAGACGTTTTGCAGCGCAACCCTCGCGTGCGCTATGAGCTGGCTCCGGAGGAGATCGTTAGCGCGTGAGTGGCTGTCTTAGCGTGCTCGACTGCAGCCTGCTGACTCCCGCACAGCCTCGTGCCCTGTCTCGCCGACAGTGCCGGCAAAGAAGTGCGCGCAGCCGCGTATCGGACGCTCAGGCATGCCCTCGTGCGGCCGCCGTGGGCGCTCGTGCAGCATGCGCGAGACCGAGGTCTCGACCTCTACCTCATGTCGACGCTGCTGCGCGACAATCGCTTCGAGGCGGAGCGCGAGCAAGCCCTCAAGCTCATTCGTGCAATCATGGTCGCAGGCGCTGAGCCCAGTGCAAACGGCAGCGGCTCGGCGCCAGCATATCCTGATCTGATCAGCCCGGGCACCGTGCGTGCACTTGTCAGCTGTGCAGAGCACACCAACGACAAGCTTCGGCACTTGGCTCTGCAGACACTGACTGAGCTGGGTGAGTGGACCCGAGGTGTGCCGCACGAGACCGTCTGCTGACCTGCACTTGCAGCTGTGCTGGACACAGCGCTCTTGGTCCGTGGCGGCGGCTTTGGTCTGGTGCTGCACGCCGTCACCGATGGGCCGCCCGAGCTGGCCCCGGCGATTGCGCAGTGTGTCCTGCTGCTGGCCGACCTGCCGGCCACGCGCTGCTTCTTCAAGGCAGGAAACGACATTGAGGTGCGTCGTGTCGCTCAATCACACGATGCTGCAACGCTGACTATCTCGATCGAACAGGCCGCTCTGTCCGGCTTCACTGACGCGCCTGCAGTGACTGGTCTAGCGTACGCCGACCTCCTGCGGACTACGTCGAGCGTCATTCTCGTGATGCTGCGATCCTGGACTGGTCTCCTCTATCTCTGCATCAACGACCGACATGCAATCCGCTCGCTGGTGCTGGCGCTGCGCGTCAACAGCAACGAAGTCCGGACCGCCATCCTCGACGTGCTCTACGAGGCATTCAGCGTCGCCAGTCAGGCCGGTCTGCCAGCCAAGGGCTCGGGCGACACGGTCACCGGCAGCACACACCAGCGGTTCCCGCCGACAGGCGCACAACGCGACCAGTCCAGCGGCTCAACGCCGCGCTTGAACCTGCTCCACGACTATCTTGCGCTGCTGCTGGTGGTCTTCGTCGATGCCGGCCTTGTCGAAGCCATTGTGCACGTGCTAGAGTCTGCGCCCGAGCTCGCACGGCCTGCAGCGCTACTCATGGGCGAGATCTTGCACCTCGCCAATCGCCTGCTGCCACGCACATTCTTCCACAGCGCGCGCATCCACGCCATGCCGCACCTCTTCGCGATGGCGTCGCGCTTCGGCACCGGCGACGAGCGGCAGCGGGCCACTGGTGCTCTGGCGGCCATCGATCTGCAAGCTCGGCAGCGTGTCCGTGATCGTGCAGCGGCCCGCGATGGACGCACGATGCTCGCCCGTGACGCCTTGCCGGGAGCGACTGGTGCCGCACTCGACCGCCCGACGGAGAAGGCGAAGCTCAAGGTGAACATGCAGATCGACGACACGGTATTCCGCAACAGCCTGGTCGAGACGCAGGTGCTCAACACGCGCGACCACACGCGCTGGAACTTCGACCGGCTCATCGAGCTGCTCGAGGGTCCACTGATGAACCCGCGCCGCCTCGAGGAGGCCTCGCGCGGCTCCAAGTTCATGCGCCGTCTGCTCGCCTTCTTCCAGCCCTTTTCCATGCGCTTCTCGGCAATCCCGCGAACCGCTGCGAATTGGAAGTACGTGCGTTTGGGCTGCGTGACGTTCACGACGCTGCTCTCGAGCCCCGACGGCGTGAAGTTCCTCGGCGAGAACAAGCTGCTGCGCGAGCTGCGAGACTGCCTTGAGCAGCTTCTGCCATACGCGTCGGGCGCGGCGACCAACAGTAGCGAGCTGATCCTGTCGAGGAACCGCGTCGCCGAGACGCTGTCGAATGGCTATTTCGAGATGCTGGGCGTCCTGACACGCTCGCCGGACGGCATGGCGCTCCTTGAGCGAGCGCAGCTACCGACCGCGCTCTACTCGGTCAGCGAGCTGCGCAGCCGCGACGATCTCATGCGTCTGCTCGTGGAGACCTTCGACTACAGCTTCGACGGCCACTGCCGCATTCTGCTCTCCAAGGTCCTCACGTCGACGTACGAGCCCATGCGCCTCTTCGCCACCGGCCACCTCGCCAAACTGCTGCAGCGGTACCCAGACGCCAACTCGTGGGTCGTGCGCTTGCTCTTGACGCAGCTGTACGATCCGTCGGCCGAAGTGCGCGAGCTGGCCGCCAGCATCGTCAAGGAGGCATGCAGCTCCAGCGGCGTGCTCGAGGCTGTCGTGGCGATGCGCCCAGTGCTCGAGCACCTCGGCGAGTCGGGCCATCCGCTGCTGCTCATGTTCCTCTCGACTCGCATCGGCCTGCGCTATCTGCTCGACGCAGGCTACATCGAGCGCGAGATGGACTCCTGGTTCCACTACCGCAACCTGCGCTACACGATCCAGCTCGAGGTGCTGCTCGCGCGTGCGTTGAACCCGCGACGAGCGACAGACGACGCACACCTGGCGCAAGAGTTCGACGGCGTAGTGCCGAGCCACTTCTACGGCGAGCTGGCAAAGACGCGCGAAGGCTGCGAGGTGCTGAGGCGCAAGGGCCACTTTGCCGAGTTTGCGCGCTTCATCCGCCAGCACTGCCGCGAGAGTGCGGACGTCGAGATCTTGGCAAAGCTCAAGAGCGTCCTCTGGGCGGCGGGCAATGTGGGCTCAACGTCTGACGGCTTCGCGTTCCTCGAGGAAGAGGGCCTTCTCCCGGTCATCGTGGAGACGGCCGAGCAGTCGCCCGTCCTGAGCCTCAAAGGCACGTGTTTCTTCGTCATCGGACTGCTCTCCTCGACGGAGAAAGGCGCCGAGTCGCTGCACGACTACGGCTGGGAGGCCGCATCCAGTCCGCTCGGCATCTCTCTCGGCATCTGCCTGCCTTCGGATCTCGCATCGTTCGTCTCCATTCCGCCCTGGACTGTGCGGCGCGACACGCACCTCCGCTACCTCGACTTTGCCGAGCCAGAGTCGCGCATCGACCGCTCGATCATGCTGTGCGTCGCCAATCTGGGCAACTCGATCCAGGCGAACAAGGCATCGCGCGCGCTCGGCAAGCTCAAGACGCGGTACCCCGCCGCGTTCGAGAACCCGGCCCTCATCTGCCGGACCATCGAGGTGCTGGAGAGCCATCACTACCGCCAGCCTGTGCGGCGATACGTCTGGGAGCTCTTCGATGTGCGCGTCGACGAGGACTTCGTCGAGCGCCTGGCGGCTGCACGCTCGCGACTCCTAGCACGCCGTCGCGACGCGCTCACGTCGACGCCCTTCGAGCCGGAAGCTGCGTCGAGCTTCGCGCCGCTGCACATGCACGACGAGCAGGCTGCCGAGCCTGACGACGGCCTCGACGATCTCGTGTCGCAGGTCAGCATGTCTGACGACGAGGACGCGGGCGACCGGGCTCTCGGCGCAGACCGCATCGACGACTACGGCCTCGAGGTGAGCAAGAGGGACGGCGGCTCTGAGCTGCTCATACTCACACAGCCCGCACCTCAGCTTGGGCCCGGAGCGCCCAAAGCGGAGATGCTCGCTCGCACCGTCCTCACTCCACGACACAGTCAGTATCGCTCCGCCGCTACCTGCTTGGGCATCACTGACGCCCCTGCACAGTCCTCAAGGGCGGCTTCGAGCCGGCCGAGGCGGCGCCGCCGCCGGAAGACCACAGCCGCTTCAGCCGCCAGCTTCCTGTGCCCTCGCTGCCCTTCGGCCGCGAGCGCCGCTCTGCGATCCTGACGTAGACACACGATACCCTGCGCTAGGCAATATATCATTGCGTGCCATACGCTGTGCCGCAGCTTTTGCGTGGGCAGCTAGTACTCGAGCGCAAGCTCGCCAGCCTCGCCATCGCCGGCGCTGTCCAGGTCCTCGTACCGCTTCGGCGCGCCTCGTGCTCGCTGAGAAAGACACAGTGAGCTCACGAGCACGCAAAGCCGCACCAGAACGACTCACCGGGTCCAGTGGCCGCGGCGGCTCGGGTAGTGGCTCGGACATCACGAGGTCGTTGGCCGGCGGCGCCGGGCCCAGACGCGAGCCCAGAGGAGCTTCGCTGCGCTCAGACGCGCGTGCACCGCGCCGTGCGGCGACGGGCGAGTCCTGCACGGGCACGCTGCCGCCCATGCGGATGAGCGGGCCGAACTGCGCGCCGGCAGCCGCGAAGGGCACGGGCACGCCCATGCCCATCGGCATGCCCATGCCCCCGCTGCCGACGTTCATGAGGCTCAGTGGCGGCGCGTGCATCGGCAGGTTGCCCAGCATGCCCGGCGAGTCGAAGCTCTGGTTGCGCGGCATGCCAATGCGCGACGCAAGCTGCGGCGTGCCACGCGGCTGGCCGGCGCCGGACTGCCGGCTGCCGTCGCGCGTGCCGGGAGCCTGCAGCGTTGGCATCGTGCGCGCTGGATCGAGAATGTAGGCGTTGTAGGCCTCGATCTGCTCGCAGGCTCAGCAAAGGTCGGAGTAGCGCCGCGTAGGCCAGACTCACGTCTCTGATCTTGTTGCCAGCGATCTGGTCGAGGAACGCGCGGTGCTTGTTGACGACGTGCTTGCGCACGAAGATGGCTGCCCTGAAGGGCTTGTTGCAGAGCACCTCGGCCGTGTCGCCCTCGGCGGGCGTCACTGGCACGATGCAGCGGTGCTTCTCGGCTTCGTCGAGTTGCGAGTATGGTGCTGCAAGGTCCTGCAGCTCCCTGGGTTGCCCACCGCCCATCAGCGATGCCGTGCGGCGCGAGGAGCGGGTGCACTCACTTTTCGAGGTTGCGGCCGCCGTAGAACTCCACGTCGACCGTCTGAGGGGACACCCAAAGCTGGTGCTTCTCATCGAGACTGTTTGCCCAGCCCTTCTCCATCTGCAGGCTCGACTCGACACGGCGAAGATGCCGCGGAGCCCGGCGCACGAGCTCCTCGGCAAAGTCGCACATGATCGTGGCGTAGTAGTCGCAGTGCCAGACGTAGCGCAGCAGGTCGAGATGCAGGTCGAGGTGCTTCGTGAGCTGTGCGAGGGATCAGCCAAGCGATGCTAAGCGAGATGCGCGGGCGGTGCCGCAAGTTCACTCACGATCTCGCGCAGACGCGCAGGCGGCAGGTCCTCTGGCTTGTCTGCCGGCTCCTCCTCGCCTTCTGCGCGAGGCGCCGGCTGGCCGCCAGCAGCCTGCCGCTCGATCTCCTCCCAGCCGAGCTCGCCGCGGCCGACATCGAGGTGCGCGCATCGCTGCTCAATCTCAGCAGAGGCATCCACGTCGAGCCACGCCAGCTCCTCCGGAGCCGCACCGTCGACGGGCATGGCGTCGAGCTCCTCGTGCCAGAGCTTGCGGTCCTCGCGCTCGAGCGTGGCCACGAGATCCCGCGCCTGACGCAGGTCGTGCGCGAGCCGAGGCAGCGCGGATGCCTGCGGCGGCGCGATGCGCATGCGCGCATGTGCAGCGCGATCAGTCGTCTCGTACGTGAGCTTGCCGTCGCCGATCTGTGTCGCTCCAGTCAGCCCCAGTTCTGCACGCGACGCGAGGTCGCAGCCACTCACTGGCAGGCTGTTCAGAGATGAGATGGCGTCCGACATGTTCGTGTCGGCATCGAACACGACCCAGCCCATGCGCCCGTAGCGCTTGCTCTGATGCGGCTCGCCCATGGCGAGGTACTGAAAGCCCGGCAGCTTGGCGAGCGCGGCCTCGAGGTCTGCGCGCGGCAGCTCCACGGGCACTGAGCGGATCATCACCTCGTGCGGGTTTGCGGGCGTCACGGCCGTGTCGGGGTCGTGCAGCACCTCCGCCTCGCCGTCACGCGTGGTTGTCGCCAGCAGGCCTTTGCCCTCGTGCGCAGCAAGGCCGCCCTCGAGCGTCGCGAGCAGCTCAGGTGATGCCACTGGGCAAGACGCGTAAGCGCTGGCAGTCAATGGCATATGAAGCGCAAACTCACGCTTCACGTCGAGGCAGACCTGATCCAGCTTCCCACTGCGCAGCTCCTCCAGCCAGCGGGCCTTTGTGCCCACACGGCCGCGCTTCCGGCGCGCAGTGCGCGCAGCGACATCCGACTCGCCAATGCCGTACTTCTCCACGAACCAGGGCTGCTCGCGGTGCTCATCGAAGAAGCGGCGCATGGCGCGGCTCTGGTAGGTGGAGCGGTACGCCGTGTACTTCTCGTACAGCTCCGCAGAGGCAGCCGGCGACGAGGAGAGCGCGGCAGGCTCGTGGCCGCTCTCGCGCAGGAGCTGCGCGTAGCGCTTGAACGGCAGCAGGCCGTCGTGGTCGAGCGGGTCAAGAGGCCTGCAAGCAAGAGGATGAGCGCGGCAGAGACATTGTCTGCGCCAGCTCCACTGACCGCGCGTCGCGGCCTCCCGGGTACCCCGAGCCAGGGTATGCGCCACGCCTGTCCGGTCCGCCTGGCCCGTATGGGTCATCATCGCGGTATGAGCGTCCGCGAGACGCTGGGCAGCATACATCCGCATTAGCCTCAGCTTCAGCTGCGCTCGACAGGAGCACACTCACGAGCCCGGTCCCAGTCATCCTCGGGCCGCATGCGCGGCGCATAGCGGTCGTCGTCGAACCCTCCGCGCATGTGCGGCGGCTCATCAAAGCCGCGCTCGTCGCGCCAGCGATTGCGCTCCCAGTCGTCGTCGCCGCCAGCCCAGCCCTGCGGCCCGCCGCGACGCTCCTCCTCGCGGGCGCGCTGCCGCGCGATCCAGGCCAGATAGTCCGGGTCTGTGCGCGTGGGGTCGATCGTGTAGCCGTTCACGGTGCCTGCACCCATGCGCGGCGAGCGCTGCCGTGCCGGCTCGTAGTGGTCCGGCCCGCGGCGCGGCGAGATGGAGCGCCGCCGCTTCAGCATGCGAGGCTCTGCGCATGCAGGTCAGCAGCTGCGAGAACGGCGAGCACAGACGCCGAGGCGCCCTACTGCTACCTATGAAGCGGATTCGACTGGCACTCACCCTCATCGTAGATGTCAGGCAGCGGCGCGCGAGGCTCGTACGAGTCTCGTGCCATCGGGTCCATCGTTCCCTTGTCGCAGCACCAGCAGCGAAAGGCTCGGCCGGCAGGAGCGTGCAGCAGAGAGTACGTGCTCTCGCGCGTTGTAGACGCAAGTCTAGGCCGATGGGTGGCAGCAGCGCAGCTCTTAGTGACAGAGCACTTCCAGCAGCTCCGCCAGAAGAGCGGCCCGCACGACCCAGCGAGCGGCGAGAAGAAGCGCACGCAGCGGCCGCAGTCGCGTATGCGCGTACTGCTGACGCGAGTGCGCGCGGGAAGAAAGAAGCGGGGGTCGTCAAGGAAGCCGGGAAAGGAGGAGAGAAACAGACAGGCGGCGCAGACGGGAGGGGTGGAGGAAGCGGGTCAGAAGCATGCACGGTCGGGGCCAATGTGTGCGGAGACCGAGGCCGACGTCGCGTCGCGCGATCACGTGACGCGACCCGCGCCGCGCTCCTTGTCCCACCCTCTGTGCGCCTCGAGCTTCGCCGTAGGCAGAAAGGCACGACAAGTGCACACAGTCAGAGTCACAAGCGAGTGGGACGCAGAGCTTGCATTGGTATACAGTGCGGAAACAGAGACGGGAAAGCGCAGCGGACGGGAAATGCTCAGCCAAGTCGGAGCCAGAACGAGTCGTCGAGGATCTCCTCGGCCGTCATCTGGCCCAGCGCCGTCGAGCCGTTGGCGCCGAGCAGGCTGAAGTCGAGCGGCAGCGGCGAAAGCGGGCCTCCGCCGTGCCCGGCGTACGTGCCGTCGCCGAAGGGCGTCAGTGCGACGCCGTTGCTCGGCGTGTCAGACGCAAAGGGGCGCCGCGCGCCGTCGACGCCCGGCTCGGCAAAGTGCAGCAGCAGCTGCGCCGGGTCCGACGGCGGCTCGGAGAAGGAGACGTGCTGCCCCTGCACGCGCTGCTGCGTTGCAGAGGCAGCCGTCTGCCGCGGCGTGCTGAACGAGAGCGTCGGCGCCATGAGCGAGGCCGGCGACTTGGACGGCGTGCTGTCGCCGTCTGGCTCGGCGTGCGGCGTGACCGCGCGTGACGAGCGCGGAGGTAGGCGATGCACTTCCATGCCAGGTGCGTACGCCGGCTTCTTGAGGTTGCTGCGCCGCTCGGTGCGCGAGCTGCCCTCGCCGTCGCGCGAGCCAGTGCGCTGGCCACCTGCGTCGTCGGCCCCGCCTGCACCGCCAGAGCGGCTGTTCCGCAGCAACAGGCGCAGCAGCGAGGCGAGACGCGCAGGCGTGTGCGTGGGGCTCATCGAGATGGAGTCGAGAAAGTCGATGCCGGACTGCACGTCGGTGACGAGGCGCTCCGACGCAAAGTCGCCGATCGGCGGCGCCTTGGACAACTTGATCAGCGAGACGAGGGCGAAGGAGAGAATGACGAACTGCGTGTGCGGCGAGAGCGCCATCGTGCCCCTCAGGCCATCGCGCGCGGCAGCGAGCACATTCTGTGCGGCCGAGATGGCACGCGGCACGCACAGCGTGCGGGCGGCCGCCTTGCGTGGGCGCGTGGCGCAGTACTGCAGCCCGAACGAGTTGAGGACAAGTACAGCGAAGTTGTAGCGCATACTGGCCTGCTTCGTGATGTAGTGCAGCGTGCGCACGTGGATGTCTGGGCGCGGACTCGATGCCGATGAAGGCGTGCCGCCAATGCCCGCACTCCCGGCGCGCGTCGTGTCCGTGGCGTTTGTCGGCGCCGGCGAGGCCGAGGGCAGCTCCGTGTTGACGGGCGAGGTGAAGAAGCCGCTCTTGTCCCAGCGCCGCCGCCATTGCTCCAGCTCCTCGTTCATCATGAGCATCACGGAAGAGCAGTCGAAGCCGTCATCGTTGTCCTCGGTCCAGTCGCGCACGGCGCTGCGCAGCGCGTCCGTCTGCTTGCTCGTCACCTTTAGCAGATCAGCCAGCGCTGAGATGCCCATGTCCCACGAGCGGGCCATGGGATGCTCGCACCATGCGTTGCAGTCCATGACGAGCTGCGACGAGTCGGCTTGAATCGTCCACGGCTTGCCCACGGCAAGGCTGAGGCTGCGGTCGACGACGAAAGTCATGATCATCGTGCGCTCGCGGTTGCGCTGCTCGCCCGCGTCTTCGCCGGGCTTTGCCAGGTGCAGACTCTTCTCCACGGCCAGCCGAATGGCAATTCCGGCGTAGAGCCATGCCTTGTCCTTTTCCGGGTCGGCCGATGGGCGATTCCAGAAGTAAAGCAGCAAGAAGCCCTGCACTACCTCGACTGACTTGCAGCCGCGCGTGATGACCTGCCCGATGAGCAAGTCCATCTCGGGCTGCAGCTGGTCCACGAGGTCGCGCCGCTGCTCGTCGTATGCAGAAGACAGCCAGACAATGGTCGTGAAGAGGAAGACGGACGACTCGAGCGCGCGGCGCAGCGTGAGCCACTCGGGATCGATGAGCACGACGTGGAGCATGCACTTGTCCATGAAGCGCCGGAAGTGCTGCACGGCCTCGGCAGGCGTGATGAGGCCGGTCTTGAGGAAGGGCAGCTCGAGCTGGCGCCGCGTGACAAGCTCCACGTCCTCGTCTGGCTCAAAGATGAGCGGTTCGCTCCCGCTGCCATGAGGCGAGATTGCTGGGCCCACGCCGTTCGCGTGGCCGTTCAGCACAGGCGCAGGCGGCGCTACGATGGCTGGCAACGGCGCGGCCAGCGTCGGACCGCGCTGCTGCAGCTCTGCGATCTGCGCCTGCATGACGGCCACCTTCTGCGTCAGCTCCTGCAGCTGCCCGTCCATGCGGCGCGTCCATGGCCGGCGGTACGTGCGCTCGTGCACGATGCACTGGTGTCCCGTGCGCGCACAGCGCTCGCACGGCTGGTCCTCGCCCAGGCTGCCGGAGCACTTCATCTTGAGCTTCTGGCAGTGCGTGCAGGCCTGGCGATTCCGCTTCGCCTTGCCCTTCTTCTTGCCCTTGCTCTTGACCTCCACGTCGCTCTGCTCTTCGTCTTCGCCGTCGTCTGACTCGGACTCCGAGTCAGACTCGGGCGCCGGCTCTGGCGCCTCCTGCTTGCGGCGCTTGCCGTTCGGTTGGGATGCGCCGCCTCCATTCGCAGCCTTTCCCTTTGATGAGCTGTCAGCCCGCGCTCTCGAGCCATTCGACGTGTCGGCTCTCTCGTCTGACCGCGCACGCTTGCCGGGCGCCTTGCGGCAGGCGGCTGCCGGGTGCGGCTCGTCTGGCTGGAAGCTGGGACCCGCCATGACGCTGCCAGGCGCATCATAGCTGCTTCCAGGGTACGCGCTGCCCGGATAGGGCGCGTTCATGCCGAACGCGTGCGGCGAGCCCATGTGGTACGGCGACGAGTGGCTCGGCGACGGGTGCTTCATGGGTCCGCCCGGCGGGCCCGCCATGTGCTGAGGGTACATGTGCGGCGGCGGCGGCTGCAGCTGCATGGGCCCGAGCGCCGCCGGGTGCGAGGACGGCAGCGTGGGCAGCGCTGCGAGGCTCGGCCGGCGGGACGAGGAGAGGAGCTGAGCGCGCGGCGAGTCGGCGCTGTAGGGGTGCGGCGAGCGTGGCGGGGCGTCGGCGAGCCAGGCGCGCGAGGGACCCGCCATGCGCGGCGCAGGAGGCCAGGCCGGCGCTGCACTCGTTCGCTGGATGCGATGCGCTTGAGGTGCGAGGAGCTCACAGCTCGGCGGTGCGGTGGATGCGTTGGATGTGGTGGTGGGAGAGAAGGTGCGATGGCCTGATGCTGCCGTTGCAGAGCGGCCTCCATGCATGCGCCATGCGAGAGCGCAGCCGCGCGCCGTGCCTGACGCTGGCGCGCTTAGCCGGCGCGGCATCGCTTTCCGCGGCCCGACGGAACGACGAGCTGTGGATCAGGCAGCGCCGGCCCGCCTGGTCCGCACTTCACCTCACCGCGCGCTTGTCATCAGAGACAGCAGACAGGCAGCAGCAGCGCCGCCTTCGCAAAGAGGGTGACAGCTCGCCGCTCTGCAAAGGCAAGACGCTTATGCTCGTCAGGCACGTCGACGCCCAACCTGCCCAAGCCAGCTTTGCGCTGCTCGCGATGAGAAGCCACATGCTGCTAGTCGACATCAGACAGCGCCTCATCAAAGTCCTCGCTCTGACGCTGTGCGTTCTGAGCGGCTGCAGCGCGGCGGGGCCCGATGCCTCCGCCGCGTGGGGTTGTCTCTCGCGCAGAGGCCGTACGAACGCGCGGGGCCCCGCACTCGATTGGCGGCACTGCCCCTCTCTGGCCGCACAGACACCGGCCACTTTATGTCGGTCTGTGCCGAGGCTCGGCCCGGTGCCCTTGCGCCCGACCGCTCGGCGTGTGGGCTGCGCTCCTCGACTTTCCCACGGACAAGGCGAGGAAAAGGAAGAGGCATGAGGGCGTTCTTCATCTATCGGGCAGCTGGGTGCCCAGCATCGAGATACAATCGGCAGTCAGAGGTGAGAGAGCATATTGGGTCACATCTAAGCCGCAGGCAGTATCCCGATAGCTGAAGTGACGCAGCGATGAAGGCGCCAGGAAGAAGCCAAGAGGCCTGTCAAAGACGCACTGCGAAGGTCACTTCGCCAGGCGCAGCGGCTGTGGCTAGGGTCAGGCCAGCGGTCTTCTGCAACAAGAACAGCCGTCGCACGCAACGCCGAAGCGTCAGATGAGGTGCTCTGTCGATGGAGCGGTCCCGAGCGGGCAGGCACGAGGGAGACCTAATCCTTTTGGTGCGTGCCACACGTCAGGACGTGGGAGTCGGACGAGGCACGGCTAAATTGGCACGCATCGTGCGCCGGCAAAGCGCACGCCGGCGCGCGTCGAGGCGTCCGGCTGGCGCTGCGCCGGCTGCGGAGCCTTTGCTTGCTCCGCTTCCCCGCACTGGCTCAAGGAGCGAGGCCCTTGGCGCGAGTGCTGCGCCCCTGCGTCTGGCGCAGGCGGAGAGAGAGGTCCGTGGCGTGTGGCTGCTGTCATGTGTGTCCAGGCACAGCGCTCTGCCTGGGCCCGAGCGCTTCTCTGTTGCGGCAAGCCACCGCCGTGCCGTTGCCTGCGGGGAACAAGCCAGCGGCGCCGCGGGAGGTGCGGGTCGCGACCTCGTCAATGCTGCGGCGAGCGTCTTGCTCTTCTTTGCTGCCAAAAGCGTCAGGAGCCGGCTCTCAACCACCCGGCCAGGCTTGCGCTGCCGGCATGGCTTGCTGTCGCCGTACCACCTTCGCGTGGGGGTTGGCTGCTGTCGGCGCCGCCGGCGTGGAGCCAGCGACCGCCTGCCGAGCGGCCGGATGGAGCAGAAGCCGTCGCTCAGCGCAACACTCCGTAGACACTGACTTGGGTCGGACCTGCCTATGCGACGACCGGTCCGAGGAGTCTGCAGGAGGCTTCAAAAAGCAACGCCAAGAGCTGCTCGCTGCAGCGCTGCACCGCTCGCATCATCCTCGACCTCAGACGCCCACGATGGCGCCCATCTCCCTCTCTACTGCAGACTTGCAGGTGCCGCACAACGCTGTTGTGTCCGTTGCACTTCCGGCGCTCGCCGCTCTGGCGCTGCACCTCGCTTCGCAGGTGCGGGAGCCGCACGGCCACCTCTTCGTCGCTGGCTTTGCCGCATCATGCGTCGGCACCGAGCTGCTGCTTGCCAAGTACTGGCAGCTCGCGCATGTCGAGGCTGTGGCTGCGACCTTGCGGATGCTCGCCGTCTTCGCAGCGACGAGCTGCGTCTCCATCGGCCTCTACCGCGTGCTCGGTCATCCGCTGCGGCGCATTCCCGGCGATCTGTCGTGCAAGCTCTCGATGTGGAGCTGGGTTTTCGCCGACTACCAAGGTCGGCGCGCGGACATTGTGCAGAACATGCATGCTCGACACGGCGACGTGGTGCGCATCGGGCCTCGCGAGCTCTCCTGTGTCAACCCAGACGCCGTCATGGCCATCTACGGACCCACAGGTGCGGCAGCCAAGGCACGCCGCGGGCCCTGGTACGGCGCACAGAGCATGGAGCCGCACGTGCACAGCCTGCAGAACGAGCCGACGATGCCGGAGCACACGCGCCGGCGCCGCGACTGGGACCCGGCTTTCTCCGTCAAGGCGCTCGGCAGCTACAAGAGCAACATCCAGCGCAACGCGGAGCTGCTGCTCGAGCAGCTCGAGCGCCTCTCGGCGGGCGGCTCCACCGTCGATCTACGCGAGTGCCTCCTATGGTTTGGATTTGACAGTGCGTCGTAGCGCAGCGTTTGTTGCTGTCGTTCGCTGACACTGCGCAGCCATGGGCGAGCTTGGCTTCGGCCGCTCGTTTGGCACGCTCCAGGAGGCACGCACCTCGCACGTGGTGCATCTCGTCGAGCGCGGCGTGCGGGCCATCAACACGATTGGCAACGTGCCGTACGTGGCGCACATTCTCCGCTTCCTGCCGTCGCCCATTGCGGCTTTCGAGGCCTGGCTCACGACAGCGCTTGACTGGCGCCTACACAAGGACCGCAAGAAGGACGACGGCCTCGTGCCGACGGATGTGTTTGCGTATCTCCTCGGCGAAGAGGGAAAGCAGCGGCGCAAGCTCAATCGTAAGGAGCTGCAGCAGGACTGCATGCTGGTGCGTAGCAGGCGCGCACGTAGTAGACGCGCCGAAGCGTAGCGGGCGGCGCTGATGCATTCTCGTAGATGGTCGTAGCTGGGTCGGACACGACGTCCAACGCCATGACATTCTGTCTGTTCGAGATGGCGCACCAGCCGGCACTGCTGGAGCGTGTTCGGCGCGAGGTGGAGGCACTGCTGCCCGACGGCGGCGCTGAGCTGTCCGAGAGCAGCTTCGAGGCGCTGCGCGACGAGGCGCCGCTGCTCAACGCATGCATCTTCGAGGCGCTGCGCCTCTGGCCTCCGGTGCCGTCGGGCCTGCAGCGCACGACGACGACGGACGGCATGGTCCTGCCGGGTGGCATGGTGGTCCCGCATGGCACGGTGAGAGCGACAGTCGGCGAAGCACACCGACTCGCATCTGACACGCTTGCTCCAGGTGGTGAGCACGCATACATGGACGATGCACCGCGACGCACGCAACTTCTACCAGCCGGAGCGCTTTGCGCCCGAGCGCTGGCTGAGCCCGACCGGCGCGCACAATGCTAAGGCGTGGTCGCCTTTTGGCTTCGGTGCCACGAGCTGCATCGGCAAGCAGCTGGCATACATGGAGATGCGCCTCGTACTGGCGCTCTTTGTGCTGCGCTTCGACATCGCCGTGGCGCCGGCGGCGGCACAGGCGTTCCGTGCCTCGGTGCGCGATCAATTCGTCATTGCTGCCGGGGCGCTGCAGGTGTCGCTGCAGCGGCGCCGTGCATGAGCACGGCGACTGGTCAGATTTAAGGATGTAGCGAGCTGGACGACGAATCGATGTGCCTGCGTTGCTGCGTGGTCTGGAGTAGTGGTGCGGAAGCAGGCTGTGCGGGCGCCCGGCTCAGGCGCGTGTATTTCGGAAATCGGGCCGCCGTGCCTCGAGCCGCACGTGGAGGCACCGAGCTTCCTGCGTCTGCCGCTTCATCCTCACCCACCATCATCCCCCACCTCTCGTCTCTGCAGCAGGCAAGGCGCTCGCATGGGCACCTCGCGCCGCCGCAGCGCCAGCGCCGAGGCTGCGAACGCCGACAGCGACTCCGACGGCGGCCTGGAGCACTTCTCCGGCGCCCTCTCGCTGCTCTTCGCGCACCACTCGGCCTCGTCAGGCGCCGCCGGCGCGCTGACGAGCTTCGAGCACGCTCGCCTGGCGACGCCGCTGCGCTTCCGCGTGCCCGAGCATGCTGCCGGCGACACGGGCCTCTATGCGCACTACCAGTGGGATGCTGGACGCGTGCTCGCCGCACTGCTACTCGACGCGACCGGAGCGAATGAGGGCGGCGAGGCGTCCTCTTCTGCGGCAGCGCCCTCATCGCTCCTCGCACGTCTCTCGCTAGAGCATCATGACGCCGTCGTTGAGCTCGGCGCTGGCACTGGCCTGCCCAGCCTGGTGTCCGCACGCATCATTCGCGATGGCCTCCTCGCCGAGAGCCGCTCAAAGACCCGCAGAGCCGTGGTGGTGACGGACTACCCGTCGCCGCATCTGCTGCGGGCGCTTGAGGAGAATATGCAGAGGGAGCGGGAAGCGCCGGTCGCAAACATGCCGCTGCCAAAAGATGGGGCAAGGAAGGGATCGGGTGGAGATGCAGGCGGTCAAGCGCTCGACACACATGTGCGGGGCCTCGAGTGGGGTGTGGAGGAGCAGGAGCGGATAGTGTACAGGTGAGCAGCCAGCGTAGCATTGAGGCATTCGGCTGCATGGCAGGGATGCTCGACTGTCGTACAGCACTGATGCCACCTCTCGCAGCTTGTCGCCTGACGCTCGCGGCTTCTCGCTCGTCCTCGTCGCCGACTGTCTGTGGCAGACGGCCGCGCAGACCGCGCTGCTGCACACGATGAGCGTGCTGCTTCGTCGCTCGTCCGAGGCGCGCATCGCCGTCGTAGCAGGCTTCCACACGGGCGCCTGGGCGCTCGTGCGCTTCCTGCAGCGCGCCGCCGAGCTGCATCTCGTGGCGCATGACGAGGAGCGCTGGAGCATGGATGTGCTGCGTGCGGACTCTGCAGACGCCTGGCGCCCCTGGCACGGCGATGTCGACTCGCTGCCTGCGACGCAGGAGGAACAGAGCCGCTCATGCATCGTCGTGCTGCTCGGCTGGAGCGATGCGGCGCTCAGTTCGACGCCAATATAGAGCATGACTGCGCGTGAGTTGCAAAGTGTGCCTATCATTACGCGGCGTAAGAGAGTAGAAGTTGGGACCGTGAAGCGAGGCGAAACGATGGAGACGTGGACATGAGGAGCATACAGATGATGGAGGTCGGGCAAGGCAGAGGCGTGATGAAGCTGCTAGAGAGCAGCTCCAGGCGAGCCGAGTGAGAGCGCTGGCGAGCGCCTCGACGCGCGCCACGCGATCCTGTGCGCAGCCCGTCTATTGCATGTAGACCTGCTGCTGCTGCTGTTGCGGCTGCGCTGCCCGCTGCTGGCCGCCCTGTGGCATCGCGAGCCGTCAGCATGCTGCTCAGCAGCTCAGCCACGAGCGACACGCACCTGTGCCCACCCTCCATTCTGCGCCTGCCCCTGGGGCTGCTGCTGCTGCTGCGCCTGTTGTTGCTGCTGGCCCTGACCCTGCTGTCCACTGATGGCGTGGCTCGTGGTGAAGTAGGGGTGGCGCAGCGCCTCGTCGGCCGAGATGCGCTGCGTCGGGTCAAACTTGAGCAGCTTCTCGAGCAGATCGATCGCCAGCGGGTGTGCCTTGGGGTAGAGTTGTTGGAAGGGCACCTTGGGCATGCGCGGGAAGGGCCGGATCTGGATCTCGGGCTGCGGTGGCGCGATCAGCATGGGCATGCCGCAACCCCCGTCTGCTCCACTCACCGAGTCGTTCACGAGGCGCTTGATCGTGTTCTCGTCGGGCGTGCCGAGGATGCGCAGGATCTGGTTGAGCTGGTCGTTGTTGTCGCGGCCGCGGAAGAGCGGCACGCCGCTGATCATCTCGGCCATGATGCAGCCGGCGCTCCACACGTCGATGCTCGTGCTGTACGTGCGCGAGCCGAGCAGCACGTCGGGCGCGCGGTACCACAGCGTCACGACTTCGTTGGAGAAGGTGTTGACGGGAATGCCGAACGCACGCGCCAGACCAAAGTCGGCCAGCTTCAGCTCGCCCTGGGAAACGGGTCAGCGCGTGTGAGCTGTAGCGCAACGCACAGCACTCACGCGCTTGTTGATCAGCAGGTTCTGCGGCTTCAGGTCGCGGTGCAGCACGCGATTCTCGTGGCAGAAGGCCGTGCCCTTGAGCAGCTGGAACATGAAGCTGCGCACCGTCGTCGGGTCGAGGGCGCCGCGCTCGCCGTGGATGTCCATGTACTTCTTGAGGTCCTGCTCCATGAACTCGAACACGAGCATGAGCTTGCTCTCCGTGTGGATGACGTCGTGCAGCCGCACGATGTTGACGTGCCGCAGCTCCTTCATCAGCGAGATCTCGCGGATCGCCGTCGACGGCGTGCCCTCCTCGGCATCGAGGTGGATCTCCTTTAGCGCCACGACCTCGTTTGTCGTGCGCGAGCGCCCCTGTCCCCGCGTGTCAGTGCTGAGCGCGGCGCGCCGCGGCGGCAGACTCACCTTGAAGACCGTCGCATACGTTCCCTCACCTGCGTGCCCAGTCGTGTCAGTGCCCGTGCGCACAGCCATGACTTGGACAGGCGCGCGCTCCAATTCGCGTCTCCAGGCTGTACTGCACGACGACGATGCGGGTGCCGCCGCTACAGAGGCTGCCTCTACAGCGGCGGCACCCACATCGTCGTCTTTCAGTACAGCCCGAGGACGCAGTCTCTGGCAGCACTACCTGTACCGTCCTGCTGCAGGGCGCGCAGCACCCGCTCCGTGGCGCCTGCGCGCGGCCGGCAGTGCTGTCCCAGCGCTGCACGTCACACCCATCGCCTTGGCGGCGAGAGCGTACCAGGCACGCCTGCGATGCGCAGCGTTCGCACAGCACCTGCTGTGCGCCCAACATCGGCGCTCGCTTGCCGAGTGGCGCCTCTTCGCCCTGCCAGCGGCGCGCCGCCGGGATCGCGAGCGGCGAGCTCATGTCTTTCGGCGCTGCGACGCTGGCAAAGTCCACCGCTGGCCAGCGCACACCCCAGCTGCGCATCGCAGACCTTGCCGCCTGCTGCATGCGCCGCACCGCAGTGCTCTGCCCCTCCTCGCCCCCCCCCCCCCTTCTCGGCGCACGCGCGACTGACCGAGCTTCTCGAGCTGCACGTAGTTCATGGCGCCGGCAGGCAGGCCGCGACGGGCGAGCGAAGGGCTGTCGAGAGAGGTGTGGCGGCGGAAAGTGACCTGACGCGGCGGGAACGGCGAGTGCAGCTGCTGGTGATGGTGGTGGTGAAGAGGCAGGCTGCTCGACGCCGGCGGACTGGCACGTTCCGCCGGCAGCAGCGGCGGCGGCGGAGCGTGTGCGCATCTCGACGCGTCGCTGGCGGGGCGCGTGGGAACAGCCGCGCGCGCGCGCGCGGCGCCTGCGCATGCAAGGGCCACCGGCCGGCGGGAAGGCCTCGCGCCTCCTCCTTTATCTCACCGGCCGCGTATGGATCGGCAGGAGCGAGAAGACAGGAACATCGTCCTGTCGGGGCTACGCAGCCAGCTCGCTCATACTTGCCGCCCCTTGTGCGCAACGGCCCCTCACGGCTGGCAACGGCGAGATGGAATGCTGAGGGGTGCGACTCTGCCGTGCGGCTAAGCGACGCCTTTGCGCCGCGCGCGGCCGCGCGCTCCTCCACACCCTCTCGCCGGGCCCTGTGTATGCGGCGGCACCCCACACCAGCACCCCGCTCTCCGCCCCGGCGGCCCTTCTCTCTTGTCCACCTCATCCTCGTCCCCTCCGCACCTTCGTATGGCACTTCTTCTGCCGCACCTCGGCCGTGCCGCCGCGCCGCGCATCTTCGCCGCCGTCGCCGGCAGCAGCAGCAGCAGCGGGCAGCGCGTCTTCTCCTCGCTCGAGCGTCGGCCGCGATGCGCGCCTCGCACCGTCTTGAGCTCGGCGCTGGGCCATGGCAGCTCCTCCAGCCTGCCCGCCATCGCACGGCGCGCATTCTCGGCCGCAGCAGCGCGGCGTGAGGCGCAGCCGCCCGGCGGTAAGCCCGACGGCGGCATCGAGGGCGTGCTGAAGGACATCAAGCGCGAGGTCGAGAACAAGCTCGGCGGCACCGGCGGCATCGTGGAGAAGGGCAAGGCGGCACCGCGCGACGGCAGCATTGTGGAGAAGGGCAAGGAGGCGCTGCGCCAGGTGCAGGGGCGCGGCGACGAGCTGCGCCAGGCGGCCAACAGTGCGGGCGAGCAGGCGCTCAAGAAGGGCCAGGACGCGGTTGACGGCGTGAAGCAGGAGGCCACGGACCGGGCGGTCGCGTACGGCAAGGAGAAGGTGCGTAGCTGCGAATCACACGTCGGCCAGGAGGAGCCAGACTGTGGAGCGGTGCAGTGTGTACGAGGGCATGCTGCCTGTGTGCGCACCTTGTGCTCCATCGGGCATCATCTTTGCGTGTGAGAATCTCGCGCTGACGCCTGCCCGGCAGCTTTCCGAGGACATCATGACGCTGCCCAACGTGCTCACGATGCTGCGCCTGGCCTCGTGTCCCGTGCTGGGCTACCTCATCGCCACGGGCCAGCTCAAAGCGGGCGTGGCGCTGCTCTTCGTCGCCGGCGCCAGCGACGCGCTCGACGGCTACATTGCGCGCAAGCGCGGCAGCTTCACCGTCTTTGGCAGCATCGCCGACCCCGCGGCCGACAAGGCGCTGATGACGACGATGGTTGTGGCGCTGGCGTACCGCGGACTGCTGCCGAGTGAGTGGTGAAGAGGAAACGAGGCGTCAAAAGCTGACACGTGCGCTGCAGTGCCGCTGGCCGTGCTCATCATCGGGCGCGACGTGCTGCTCGTCATCTCTGCCTTCTTCATCCGCTTCCGCACGCTCTCCAAGCCGCGCACGCTGGCGCGCTACTTTGACCCCACGCTGCCCAGCGCCACGGTCGTGCCGACGGCGATCAGCAAGGCCAACACGGCGCTGCAGCTCGTGCTCGTCGGCACGGCGACGCTCATGCCGCTGCTGCCGCCCGTGTGGCAGAGCAACCTCGAGCTGCCGTGGACGGCGCTCATCTGGATCGTCTCGGCCACCACGGTGTGGAGCGGCCTCGGCTACCTCGGCGGCGGCGGCAGCCAGAAGGTGCTCGCCAAGGCGGCCGAGGTTGCGTCTGTCGCGGCCAAGCGCAGCCCAAAGTAATGCATCGCACCTAGACAGCATAACCCCTGTGTGACAGGCGGATCAGGGCGAGGCAGAGAGGCTGGTGCTCAAGACGCCGCGGGCGGCGTAGAGCACTGCTTCCAGCCAGTCAGTGCCAAGCCCAGCGCGGTGCTCTCTGTTCTCATTTGTGCAAGCGGCTGCGTTGCGGTGTCCCGCGCATCATCTGCAAGGCCGTCGGGTGCATGCTGAGCGTGAGGCGCAGATGCCCATGCGACGCAGTCGAGCCCCGAGGCAAGCCTGGCTGCTCCACTCGTTGCCGCTGCCGTCTTGGTGAGCGATGTCGGATGTACCGCTCGCTGTCGGTGTCGGTGCTGCCGGCTGATGCGGCTGCTGCTCGGTGCAGCAGCGGCGCATGCGCTATGCGTGTTGTTCTGCCGCGGAAGCACGAGCCGAGACTGCTCTCCTGCCGGCGCCCGGCGTTTGCTGCCGTCATCAGCGTGGCGCTGTGCCGCGGCAGCAGGTGCAGCAAGATCTGCGCCGCGCTGCGCCTCCACAGCAGCGGCCGCAGCCGCACGCGGCCTCCACCCCGCTGCGTGTGCTGCGTCGTCTTCGCAGGCTTCCTGGAGAGAAGGCGGCCCCGAGCTGCGGCCGCTGCGATCTGCGTGGTGGTGGGGCGTGCTGCCGCCTCTGTTCTTCGCTCAGCCCACTCTGCCTCACCACCACCATCAGCAAGCAAGCAACGCACGCCATGGCGCCGCGCCTCCAGGTCCTCGTCGGGCCCGACCGCTTCCACATGGAGCCGGCGCGCCTCAACGACCAGCGCAGGCCCCACGAGATCGACACGGAGCACTTCGTCGGGCGCGTGCTCGTGCGCATCAAGGATGCGCCGGGCGCGCGCGAGGGCGAGGAGGGCAGGGAGTACTTCCGCGGTGAGTGTGTGAGAGAGAGAGAGGGGGAACAGAGGGATGTGCGGCGGTGGAGCGCTGCGGCGACAGGGCGCGCCATGCGGCAATGACGGGCATGAACGCTGGAAGGCGTGTGCTGTGCGCTGCGTGGTCTTCTCGCAACGGCATCCTGTTGCGCGCCAAGGCTGAGACTCCGCACCGCAGACCGCTCGCGCCGCTTCTGCATCCAGATCGAGGGCCGCTTCAAGAAGCCGTGGAACGGCAACGAGGTGCTCTTCGGCGTGAGTGGCTGTGTTCACCCCGGGCCTGCGCACCTGGCTCACGGATGCGCCACAGACGGACTTTGAGTACCTGCCCAAGGAGTTCCCGCGTGCGCCGTTCAACGCCGGCATGCGCATTGCCAAGATGATCGACCCCTGCACCTTCTGTGAGTGAGCCGAGCCTCTTGCTCTGCCGCCGAGGCTGAGGCTTTTCGCAGACGAGGAGAAGCCGCCGTCGGGACGGCCTTACATCATGTCAGGTACGTGCCCTGCCGTAGGTGGCCCCATCTCGCTCTGACAGCCTCTGCAGCGTATGCGGCATGCATGAACACGCTCTGCGCCTGGCCCGCTCCGTCGCGCGCCAACGACGCGGTCATTGTGCTGCGGCACCCGTCTGGTAACGCGTCGGGCACGCACACGCCTTCCTCTCCGCGTACCGACGACGACGACGACGATGGCGACGTGGTGCCGCAGGAGTCGCTGGCCGAGTCGGCGGGCAAGGAGGCGCCCAAGAAGCGCGGCTGGTTCGGCATGGGCGGTCCGCCAAAGGAGCAGCGCGTCCGCAAGAAGTACTGGAGCTTCATTGGCTTTGCCGACGAGGCGCCCGTGCGTGCGCTGCTCGAGGCGCACCACGCACACCTCAACCCGTCGCGCCCGCGCTCGCCAGCGATCAGCGGTGTGCAGCGCACCGGCACGGCGGCGTCGACGAGCAGCAATGCCTCGTCGCTGGCGCCGCCGCCGGGTGCTGGCGAAGTGCAGCACGGCCACGAGGCGTCGCACCCGACGCTGTCGCGGCTCGGCACCTTCACGCGCTCGGCAGCGCAGAAGGTAAAGAACAAGCTCACGGACGGCAGCGAGGATGACCACGAGCACGAGCACGAGCACGAGCACGGCTCGTCGACGCCACCGATGGGCACGGTGCGTCTGCCGACCGAGGCCGAGGCGAGCGAGCTGGACGAGGAGCACCGCAGCAAGGAGCCGGCGCCGGAGATGCCGCCGCTGCAGCGCATCACGACGGACCTTCGGCGCGACGCCGAGGCTGCGGCTGCCTCTGACGGCCTGCGCGAAACCGACTTTGACCTGGCGGGCGAGCGCGTGGCGCGCAAGGCGAGCGTGCGGAAGGACGAGGGTGCTTCGGAGTGGCAGAGCAAGCTCGACGACCAGCTCGGGCCGTGGCGGTGGGGCAATCCGAAAGTCGACGCCGTCGAGGACAACTCGTTCGTCTTCATCAACAAGAACGTCAGCACGGCTCGCCGGCGCAAGCACTTTGCCAGCGAGGAGGCGCGCATCAAGCATGTGTGGAACCCGGACGTGGTCTACGGCGCTACGGTGCGTGCCGAGGCGTCCCTGCCGGTCATCATCCAGCTCACAGCGTCCACAGTTCTTCACAGACGCGTTCGACATGAACTCCTTCCAGCTAGGACTTGGTCCGGTGTCGATGTCCCTCCGACGTTTCTTCACCGATATGCCGATCCGCTACACGCTGCGCGCAGCCGGTGCCGAGGAGGTGAGTGATGGCTTGAAGCCACCTTCTCTGCTGCAGCGCTGACCTGAACCGAACGCAGACGACATTCTGCACCGTCAGCTTCCAGATCGTCGACGACTAGACGTGCGCGTCTCCTCCTCCCCTTGCTCTCTGCTTCTGCTGGCCTTGCTCTCTCCCCCCTTCTGCGCTCCGCTGCCACGCAGCGTCTGCAGCGCGCATACCCCTCCCTTCGCCTATCTACACGCTCCGGAATCGCATCTACATCACAGCCAGTGCACGGACGATGAGAGTGGCATTGCGTACGAGCTAGGGGCCACACGGGGTGGGGGCGACGCACGCCGAAGAGGCGAGGCGGCGAAAGACGCAGCGGCGATGCCGGCTGGTCGCAGGTCTGGATACATGATGCGCTCGTCGAGCGTACAGTGCTCTGCGCGATGTGTGCCTCGCCGAGAGCAGAACGCTTGATCGCGTTCGCTCTCAGTGGACACGCAAGAGCACAGCGGCAAGACGATCACATCAAGGGGTAATGGTACAAGGTAGAGGTAAATGGACGGCGCGGAGCGAGACACGAGAACAGAGCGCTAGAACGAGGCCATGGTGGCGACGTGTTTACGAGCGCTCGCCGCGGAGACGGCGCGCAAGGGCGATGCTGCGGGAGGGCGTCAGCATGAGGCGTGGCTGACGTGCGGCGCGTGACTCACTCCTTGGGCTGGATCGTGACACGCTTGGCGTGGATGGCAGCCAGGTTGCTGAGGGGAGGACAGGGTGTCAGCGTCGAGGTTGCCCACCATCGCATCGCATCGCATCGCATCACTCACGTGTCCTCGAACAGACCGACGAGGTAGGCCTCGCTGGCCTCCTGGAGCGCGCCGATGGCGCTCGACTGGAAGCGCAGGTCCGTCTTGAAGTCCTGCGCGATCTCACGGACGAGACGCTGGAAGGGCAGCTTGCGGATGAGGAGCTCCGTGCTCTTCTGGTAGCGACGGATCTCACGCAGCGCGACGGTACCGGGCTTGTAGCGGTGGGGCTTCTTGACTGCGGGTGAGAGTGAAGGCGTCAGCGATGGTGAGGAGACGAGGCGGTGGCGGGCGCGATGAGCGAGCGACGTAAGCAGTCGTGGCCGAGGCGCACGACCACCCGACGCGACGCGTGCGCGCGCTCTTCCGACGACGACGACGACGAAGCGAGTGACTCACCACCACCGGCAGCGGGTGCCGACTTGCGGGCAGCCTTGGTGGCGAGCTGCTTGCGGGGCGCCTTGCCTCCGGTGGACTTGCGTGCGGTCTGCGGTGCGGCGCGGCGGTCAGCATGGTGTGGTGGTAGCGTGTTGACAGCACGGCGCCCGTCGCCGGATGACGACGAGGAGTGGGATGATGACGAGGAAGAGGCGACTCACCTGCTTGGTGCGGGCCATGACTGTTGGGTGGTGGTGGTGGTGAAGCAGGCGGGTGCAGTGCGGCGGGCGCGGTGTGTAGCGGGCGCGGCGCGGGTGCACCGCCAGATCGACGCGATATCAGCACGCGCGACGGACCACAGTGCGAGGCGCGGGCGTGGCGGCGACGGCGGCGGCGAGATCGGCGGAAATGCGCGCAGAAATGCACGGCAGAGGGTGACAGGAGGGATGTGGCACAGGTAGAGAGCGAAAATTGGAGGGTAGCAAGGGAGAAACAGGGAGGAGAGCGTCAGTATGGGGTGGATGCGGCGGTGGCGAGGTGCGCAGCAGCGCCGACTAACCGTAGGATGAGGGTGGTGGTGGGACGGAGAGCTCATCTCGCTCGAGCGGGGGGCGTCTTCAAGCGCCTCTGCGCGACCCCCGGCAACCCCCAAAATGCGCGGCGCCGCGCCCTCCAGGAAACGGAGCACCGCTCGAGGCCGCGAGAATTGACGCACGTCAACCCGTGCGGCGGGTGCGCCAGCAGCGCAGCGCCTTGCCTTGGCTGGATCTGGGCGCCGAAAGGGGCAGCGGGCGGCGCGGGGTGGCGCCGAGACTGGCGCCGTGCCACACGCGCGGCGTCTGCATGTGCCGCGCGCGGCATCCCCGACAGCGGCGGACAAGGCTTAACGCGCGCTCATCTCTCTCGTGCGAGAGCGCAATGCGCCATAGCGGCATCTTGTCTTCGCAGAGGTGCTTGCGCCGCAGGGCCGAGTCGCCGTGCTCATCGATAGAGCAGCCCTAGGACGAGTTCGCGCCTCCGGCTGTTGTTTGCATCGCGGCAAGCTTGATCTCAGCTCAGAGCTTAGAGGGAGCAGCTATGTCACATCAGGATACAAGCTGTGCGCAGTGGAGGCAGAGCGCAAACGAGTCCGGGGTGGGTGCGCGGCGTCGGCGCGCAGAGGCACGTGCCGCGTGCGGCCAGCCACGCGCGCGCGCCTGCGGACGCTGCACAGGCGTCGCTGCTGGCCAGCGCAGGACACGAGGAGTAAAGCAGTCTGGCTCACTATTCAGCAGTCATCTCTGTGGTCGTGATGGCGGCTCGAGTGATGCTCTCTTGGTACTGCGGGATAGCGTGGCGGCTGCACGCGGACACGGTGAGATCTGGGCGATGTTGCTGCTCAAAGTGCCCATCCCAACGCCTCGCGCTGCAACACGTCGCTGGCACAGACTCACATCGCCTTGAGACCGCGCGCCGAGGCCGCTGCAGCAAAGCGAACCATGGGACGAGAGGCCGCGCAGCATTCAGGGCTGTCGGGCCGCTGCACAGCTTTGGCACTGCGTGGAGACGTCGAGAGCGGACGGCGGCGCCAGATCGGCGCGGACGAGTGAGCGTGGGAACAGCGCCGCCCCGCTGTCACGCGCCCCGCGCCGCGCGCCGTGACGCAGCGCCAGCCGCTGGGCGCGGCACTCGGGCACGCGCGCCGCACCGGGCCGCCGTGCGCCGATGCCGCCGTGCGTGCGTGATGCTTGAGGGCGCCGCAACGTTGGCTCCGCACCCTCCGCACCGCTCCCGCATCCTCATTCCACGCATGGCCATGTCGCTCCTCCGTACCTCTCGCCTCGCGCGCAGTGCCGCGCCGCTGCTTGCCACGCGCGCCTTCTCCACGTCGCTGGCGGCGCAGCGCGACGTCAAGAACATCACCGTGTAAGTGGAGCCGTGCTGCCTTGCGCTGCCGCACCGCATGCTGACGGCGATGGCAGCTTCGGCGCGGGCCTCATGGGCGCCGGCATCGCCCAGGTCATGGCGCACAAGGGCGGCTACAACGTCACGCTCGCCGACGTGTCGGACAAGGCACTGCAGACGGGCAGCAGCATCATCAGCAAGTCGCTCACGCGCATCTTCAAGAAGAGCATGGCCGACAAGAGCGCCGACGAGCAGGCCGCCGCGGTCAAGGACATTGTGGGCAAGATTGCGTTCAGCAAGGACGCAGCGCAGGCCGTCGAGAAGGCGGACCTCGTCGTCGAGGCCATCATCGAGAACGTCGGCATCAAGCAGGAGCTCTTCAAGTTCCTCGACGGCAAGGCGCCCAAGGAGTGCATCTTCGCCACCAACACGAGCAGCCTCAGCGTCACCGACGTCGCCAGCACCGTGAGCGCGGAGCGCAAGAAGGTCTTTGGCGGTGAGTGCGCGCTGGCGGGGCAGGGCAAGGAGTGCCCAGGAGCGCCCAGGCGCGTCGCGCGGAGAAGGCGGCATTAGCTTGCTCAGAGCGCTGCTTGTGCTTCGCCTTGGCTGGCGCTGTGCGCTCAGAGGTCCCCTACTTGGCGCAGCATGCTTCGAGGCGCCATGTGCTCGCGTCAGGGGGGGCTACGCTTCCGGCTGGCTTGCTCGCTCACACGCCCTTATAGGCTTCCACGCCTTCAACCCAGTACCGCAGATGAAGTGAGTCCGCCTCTCCACATCGCGTTTGCCCATTCCCTGACGCCTCTGCAGGCTCGTCGAGATCGTGCGCACCAAGGAGACGACGCCCGACGCCTTCGACACGCTCACGGGCGTGGCGAAGCAGATGGGCAAGGTGCCCGTCTCGTGCGTCGACTCGCCGGGCTTCATTGTGAACCGCCTGCTGGTGCCGTACATGCTCGAGGCGATCCGCATGGTCGAGCGCGGCGAGGCGAGCAAGGAGGACGTCGACACGGCCATGAAGCTCGGCGCTGGCTGTGAGTTTGGCACGCTGAACCGCAGGTGTGCATCCCGCTGACCTGCGCGCACAGACCCGATGGGCCCCTTCGAGCTCTCGGACCTCGTCGGCCTCGACACGCTCTCGCACATCGCAAAGGGCTGGCGCGAGACGCGCACGCAGACGGGCGAGATCTCGGCAGAGGCCGTCAAGGAGTCGGCGCTGCTCGAGGACCTCGTCAAGGACGGCCGCACGGGCAAGAAGAGCGACAAGGGCGGCTTCTACCAGTGAACGCGCCGGAGCAACGGAACACACCACGTAGCATAGATCACGCCTAATCGTAACCCTCTTGTCGTGCCCTTGCTGCCTGTGCTGATGTCGAGGCGACGCTGCATCGCCGCCTGCGCTATTGGGCTGGTACTTCCAGGCGCGCACCTCATGCCCAGCCGCTGTAGCCTGCACGTGTCTTTGCGTGGTGGTGTGGGCATGTACAGGACAAGGAGAGAAGAAATGCTGGCTCGCCGTCACAGCAGCACACTCAGTGCGCGGGCGCGTGCGAGACGGCGTGCTTCTTCACCGGGTAGCCCACCAGCTTCCTGCGGCCGATCTGCGGGACAGGAGCGCGAGTCAGCACGCGAAGAGAGAGAGCAGAGGCGTGATCCGGGAGCGCAGGCAGCAAGCATGCAAGGCCTGGACCTCTGCCTCGGCGGCGGGCTGCACTCTCCAGCAGGACATATCCGCAGTGCGGCAGCTCCATGCGTGCACCTCGCACGGAGCCCACTAGGCCGCTCCTCGACCGCAATCGCGGCATATCTGAACCGAAGCAATTGCCCTCGCTCTCGCCCTGCTGGCTTCGCCTGCTCCTCGCTGCACCACGCCCCTCTGCCACGCCAACTCACGATCTCGCCGATGCTGAAGATGCCGAGCGCCTCGACGGCGTACACGGCAATCTTCTTCCACTCGCCGTTGCCCGCCACCTTGCTCCAGTACTCGGGGTTGGCGGCGCGCGCGTAGAGCGTCGCGTACGCCTCGCGCACGGCGGCGACGCTCTTGGGCGGCGCCAGGCCCTCGGCGACGTACACCTGCTTGAAGAGCGAGCCGGCGACGCGCAGGTTGTACACGAGCTTCTCGGAGAGAGCGCCGAAGTTCACTGGAGCAGGGTGTGAGCGCTGAGTGAAGGCCGGAAGAGTGCCAACGATGGTGCGAAGCGGCCGCCAGAGATGATGTAAAGACGCCGTGCTGCTGCTGCCTGAACCGAACAGCCTCTGAAAGGGCAACAGAGCAAGCGATAGGCACCCGTCTGCACTGAAGGTGCCCGTGCGCCTACAGAGTCGCTTCTCCCGCAACTCGCCTCGCCGCCCTCGCCGCACCCAGCATATCTACTCACAGCCCGTAGCGCCCTGGATGCGCTCCGCAAACGGCCCGGCCGCAGCGCGAGCCTTCTCGGCAGCGTTGCTGAACTGCTTGGCGGCGCCCTCTGCGGCGTTCTTGGCGCTGCTGCCGACGTCGGCGCGCGGCGCCGAGCGTGCAAAGCTCCGGGCGGGCGCGGCGGTGCGCAGCGGTGCGGCACGCAGGGTGGCGCGCACGGAGTGGATCATGATGGAGGTGAGGGAAGGGGTAGAGGAGGGAGAGAGGAGGGCCCTGAGTCGGACAGCGCACGGCGCCAGCGGCCGGACGGCGCGCGAAGGTCGGCGGCCTGGCGCCGCCGCGCTGCCCAGCTGCGATGCCCGGCCGGCGCCGGCAATCACGTGGCACGGCGCGGCAAACTGTTCCCACGCCGACCAGCCAGCCTCTCGGCCGCGCGCCTCGCCTCGTTGCTGCTCAGCCTCCACCTCCTCCCCGACGCTGCAACCGTCCGCATGTATCATCTACTCTCCGGCCTCTACTCGGAGTGGGCGCGTCCCACCACCTCCAACGTCCTCCTCGTCGGCCCATCAGGCTCAGGCAAGACTGCGCTGCTGGCGCGGCTGCGGCATCGTGTCGCTCCGCCTGACGCTGCCAAGCAGCTGCCCCGCATCGGCGGAGACGGCGGGCCCAAAGTGAAGGGCATTCCGCCGACTGTGGGCCAGAATGGTGAGCAAGCTATGCGCTCAGCGACGCTCGTTGCGCTGATGCAGCTACTGCCAGTGCTCGACTTCCGGCCGCCAGCCGCACCCTCAGGCGTGCAAGTGCGGGTGTGGGATCTGGGCGGGGCGGCATCGCTGCGCCCGATCTGGCTGCGCTATCTCAGCGAGGCGCATGTGTTGATCTGGGCGCTCGATGTGCGGCTATGGGACGGAGCTGGATCGAGGAAAGAGGGGAATGGCAAGGAGAAGGCGCGAGAGGGCGAGGACAGCCGGGAAGAAGGCTGGAGCGCTCTGGGTGAGTGAGGCTGGAGCGTCGAGGCTGCGCAGCGAGGCTAGAGCGGATGTCCTTCAATGCTGGCAAAGCAGATCAGTCGACGTGTGGAACTGCGATGCCCTGCTGACACTGACACCTTCACGCAACAGCCGCCATCCTCCCACAACTAGCCTTGGACGTGCCTCTCGTAGTGTGCGCCTCAGATCTAGGGCACTTCTCCGTGCTGCGCAGGGAGGCACTTGAAGCGCTCGAAGATGCAGGCGAGGAGTCAAACACGGAGGAGGCGCGTGTGGCTGCGATCCATGCTCTGGAGGAGAGGGCATCCGAGGCGATGCGGGAGTTGAGGGAGGACTATACGAAGCGGTTAGAGGGGCTGGGACGAGAAGCCAGGTTCGTTCAGGGTTGGTCTGAGGGGTGAGTGCCGCGATTCGTCGATGCAGCCCCCAGCCAAATCTGACAGCATGCCGTGCAGGAGTACAGACGAGCTGTTGCAGATGCTCACGGAGCATGCGGTGCGACGGAAGCAGCAATAAAACGTCACCCTTCATCGGCATTCAAGGTCTCCTCAGCAGCGTGCGACGCTCACTCTGTTGCAGCACGTAGCAGAGAACGTGGTGATGATTAGAGGAGGAGGCGGAGAGGTAACAAGTACGGAGGAGGGTATCTATCGCTTCACTTGCGTCGCCTCGTCAAACGTTTATCTACGGCGTCGAGCAAAGCGCCAAGCTCCGTTCCGTCACGCGCGCCAGGCCAACGAGCGAGGCAACAGCCAGCACAACGCCTCCAAGGGGTGTGCCTTTCGGCGCAGCGTGAATGCCGTGCAGCTGCTCGGCCATCGAGATGGTGCGCAGTGCCGCGAGCAGCTCGTGCGATGCAGAGATGGCCTTGCCGGTGCGCAGAGCGACGATGAGCTGCCAGAGACCGTCTAGCACGAGAGTGCCCTGGACAGGTACAGTCAGCACATGAGCAGATGCGGCGTCCTGCGCTCAGACTCACTGCGCCGTCCTTGGCGCCCAGCGCCGTCGTAGCCATGAAGGCGCGTCGTTGAGCGTCGTTGAGCTGCGCAACGACGTAGACGAGCTGCATCGAAAGATCTGCCGCCTCCCGCTGGAGAGCATCGATTCCGGCAGCCGAGTGTGCAAGCACCTTGTTCTTGTGGATCGCCGGCTCCAGCTTCGTAAGGCCAACGCGGGGCGCACTGGCGATGAGGGCTCGGTAGGCTGTGATGAGTTGGTGACCCTCTCTTGATGCGAGCAAAGTGCGCGCGCCCGCCTCGCCCGGCTTTTGCAGGTGCAGCTCGCTCAGCGTAGCGGACAGCGCCGCGCCGAACGTATATGTCGTCGAAGCAAAGGTGCGGCGCAGCTGTGCACGCACGCTGCTTGGCTTGGGCAGTACGCAGACGATAAAGGACGCCACGAGGCCGATGAGCGTGATCAGCGTGCGCTTCCACCAGATCTGCCAGCCGAGGCCCGGGTTGAGCGGCGCTTGCAGCTGCCCGTCGATCCAGCTGTAGCCGACAACGAGCCCGGCCGTCGTGGTCACTGTCACGGCGACGAGGAAGTTGGTGCTGTTGGCGCGGTACGCGATACTGCAAACAGGAGGGCATGAGCGGTGCTGCAGATGGCCTCACGAATGCTTCGCGACTCACAGCAGGATGCCAAAGACGCCAAGTGCCGCTGCGAGCCCGAACGGGTTGCCGTTGCCGTTGCCCGAGCCAATGTACCAGATTACCATGCCCGCCACGCCGCCGATCACCGTGCCGACCATGCGCGAGACTAGACCCTGTCAAGACGTGTCAGCTTGTGCGCTGTCGTGTGCTGCGCAGCACTCACGAAGATTGTGTCGCCGAGGAACATGCCGACGCAGAACGCCGCCGTCGTGGCCGCCCAGAGGCCCTTCTGCTCATAGTAGAAGCCCGCCGAAGACTGCACAAAGGCCGGCACGCAGAGCGCGACCGAAACGACGCTGACCTTGACCGCGAAGATGATCTCGACGCTGGTGAGCCACTGCCAGAAGCTGGCGGCTCGGTCCTTGCGCGGCAGGCAGGACGTGTCTGCGCCAGATGGAGGCCACGGGTAGCTGGCGTTGGGCTGCTCGTCCTTGCGGCCTTCGAGGATGAGCGCATCGGGATTGTCCTCGCCGACAGGTGCAGCGCCGTCTTCGCGACCAGCGAGCGTGTCGAGAAGGCCCGAGACGCCGCCGGCGTCACTGCTCTCCTCTGCAGTCTGCTTCTCCTCAACTGCGTCTGGAGCAGAAGCGCTGGCAGTGCGCTGCGACTTGCGCTGGCTGTGCACCGAAGGCCAGTGCGCGCGCACGGGCTGCGAAAGCATGCGCTGAGCGTCTTCCGCAGCCTCGCGCACGTCTGCCGCCACGCCAAGCGTGTAGAAGAGCAGCAGTGTGCGATCGTACTCCTGCCGCGCCGAGAGCGAGGCGCCCACGTGGTGGTCTTCGACGCCCTCGAGCGAGGCCAGTAGCTCGGCGTCGTAGGAGTCGAGTAGCGCACGGCACTGGCCCGCATGCTGCGTCAAGTTCGCCTGTACAGCCGAAAGCTCGGACACGGTGTTCTCGAGCCGCTCGCGCTGGACGATGCGGCGCAGCCAGCTGCGACTCTCGATGGCGTGGAAGGAGTCGAGCGCGCCGAGCGTCTTAGAGATGGCGGAGAGCAGCCCGGTGATCTCTTCAATGGTGACTGAGTCCACCTTGGCTTCCTCTTCCGGAGTCGAAGATGCGTCGTGGACCTGCGTGTTCTCGCTCGGCGCCGCCACTCCGCTCGATGCGACCCCAGCCGCTGCACCCTCGGCAGCCAGGCGCGATGCCTGCTGCTCCTTGCGGCGGATGTACAGGTCGAATCCATTGACGCTGAGGTTGAGTGCGCGCGCCGAGTTGAGCACGTCACGCACGTCGCGTCCGCTGAGGCGTCCGTAGGCTGGCTCGATCTTCAGGAAGCCCTCGAACGCCGCTGCCAGCGTCAGCAGCGTGGCGGCATTGCCTCGATTGGCATGCAGCTCGGTGCGGACCGACTCGTCGATCTCCTCGTGCCGCGCGGCCGCCGTGGCGAGGTGCTGCACCAGGTCGACGGTGCGGCGGAAGAGCCTCACCGTCTTGCGCACCTGGTGCTGCGTCGTGCCTCGCACCGAGGTGGGGAAGATGAGACAGGCTGACGCGACGATGATGGCGAGATACTCGGCGTATGGAACGAGGTAGATCTTGCCGATCTCTAGCGGCGCGAACTGCGGGATCAGCGGAGAGATCGTCGCAAAGATCAGCAGCAGGATGTCGGCGAGCACCATGACGTGGAAGAGCCGCACGCGGTAGGCTCGGATCAGGAAGATCGGGATGCAGCCTACGAGCAGCCAGACGGCCCAGATGGCCGACGATGCCGGCTGCACAAAGTCGCCGCGGTAGATGGCCGGTTGCAGTGCAGCATACTGCTGTGCGGGCGAGGGCGCCGAAGTGAAGCCGGCGGCGGCGATGGCCCGACGAGCTGTGGCCGTGTCGCGCGCGACGTTGCGTACCGCCACGGAGGCACGCATGCCCGCGACGCTGTAGGCCCATGTGGCGAGCACCACGATGCCGCCCTGTGCGCCGCGTCAGAGGTAGTGTTGGCGTGAACAGCTACTGCGTCACTCACCAGCAGGCCGTGCACAATCACGACAAGGACCGGCTCGAGCGGCGGCTTGATGAAGACAAACTGCTGGAGTGTCAACGGCCGGCACCGCAGCGGCCCTCAGTGAGTCGCAGCAGCCTGACTCACAATGAGCGGCAGAAAGGCGGCCACGCCGTTCGTGTTGAGGCTCGGCCGCACGAGAAACGTCAGGCAGCAAGCGAAGCTGGCGACCGAGGCGCGGATGATGATGCGCCAGCGCAGCGCGTCCATCTTCAGCCAGTACGGCACGAGGCGCGACATGAGGCTGGGCGCGGCCATGGCGGCGGGTGCTCCGGAGACAGCGATGATTCAAGGGCGCTGGAGGTGCTTGAGGTGGTGGTGAGAAGGCAAGCGGTAGCGGCCAGCAGCGGCCGTTCAGAAGGCAGAGGCAAAACGCGCTAGGCAGCTTGCGAGGCACGTCACTTTCCGCACCGGCTGGGCCCTCGTCCCTGAGCCGCGCGCGTTTCTCGGACCGGCCCCTCTGTCGCTGCTGCTCTGCAGCTGGACTTCCGGCGCCCCCAGCTCAGTGCATCCTCAGCCGTGATGCTGTGCTGCGTTTGCGAGGATCGTCGAACGTCCGGCTGCTCGGGCCGGAAGCAACGAGAGGGAGGGCCAACGCACACAAGCTCAAGCCGCGGATCTGAGAGAACGCGGCGGGTGTTGTGCCGCGGCTCGACTCGGCCGCGCGTCGCGCACCGTGGGAACGGCATCCGCACGGCCGCGCCGCAGCCGGCGACACGCTCGCTGCCTCCAGACTGCCACCCTCCCAGTCCCTCCTCGCCGCAGGCAGCATGGCCTCTTCAGCAGGCACACCTGCTGGCGCTTCCGCAATAGCCGGCGCTGCAGCGGCCTCTGGTACGCCCGCCGGCGCCAGCGCCGAAGCTGCGCCATCCGCTGCTCAAGCCACATCCAACGCTCCGGCACCTTCCTCCGCCGAGCTCTCCTCTGCGCTCTCGCTGCTCGCGCAGCTCTCCGCACTCCTCGGCAACGACGCCTCTGCGATGCCAGTCGCCGACGGCCTGGCGCACGTGCTGCCCTCGCTGCTGGCACCCCTCGCTCCTCTGCCCTCGCAAACGGCACCAGGGCTCGTCGCCATGCCCGTCTCGCTCCCACCGCACGCAGCCGGTCCCAACACGCCCGGCGGCGTCTCTCTCCTCTCGCTGCCGCCAGCTCAAGCAGCGCTTCTGGCGCGCCGAGCAGCATTCCGCCCGCGCGACGCTCTCGCAAAGACGCAGGAGCTGCAGCGGCTGCTGGACTCGGAGCAGGGACAGCAGACGGTGCAGCTTGTGCAGCAGCTCAGGCAGAAGCAAAGCCCGCAGGAGGAGCGAGAGGAGCTGCTGCGCGCACGCAAGGAGCGCGCTCAGCGGAGAGGATGGAGCAATGGCGCGCAGGCGTAGTGCACGGCCGTCGAGGCACAGCAGCACTGCTTGTGTGCGGACGATCATCTACACCTCAGACGCCATCTTCCATCTCGCCGGACGACATGGCGGAGTCGTCGCACTTGCGCGCCACATGCGTCTCATCGAGTGGCCAGCTCGATCCAGTACCGCGCGGAGCAGCCGCCTCTGTGCACGGTCGAGACCGCCTAGAGTTGCGCCAGTGGACAAGGCTCGGTCAGAGCTACGCCACACACCAGCGTTCGTCGCACGCTGGCCCGCCTGGCCCGCCGTAAGTCCACCTCCGGCTTGCGACTGAGGCCATCGCGAGCTCGTCACTTCAATCATCTCATCTGGCACTCTTCGCGCTGTGTGCTGGCGCTCTGACGAGCGACCGGCGCAGTCAAGCACGCGGCTCCCCGGGTCGCCCAAGGCGCGTCGATACACGGCTGTAGCGGCGCAAGCGGCGGTGCGCTCAAGAGGGCAGCCCGGCGCACAGATGCACACTTCACGTTTGTCTCCTCTGCGAAGGCGCACCGAGAACAGAAGCGTCCTTCCCCTCCACCTGCTATACCCTTCTATTGCATCTGCCTCGCTTCATGCTCTTGAGTCAAAGACTTCTGCGTCGCCCTTCCACTCGATGTACTGAGCGATGCGATAGCGTGTGAGCTTCTTGTCAGGACGTGCAATGCCGCAGGCTACGCACCTCCTCGAGGGGCATGTTTGCGAGCTGCACGTTGCAGACGACCTCGATGACGCTGGCAAGTGCCGTGCGCATCGTCTTGTGCACCTTGCCGTCCTTGAGAGCAACGACGAGCACGCTGTCATCCTTCGCTGTACGCTCGTCTGCCAGCACCGCGACGTTGGTCGTCCATTCTTGAGCGTCGAGCTTGGCCGTCGCATCGGCGATGTGCTGCGGCGTAGGTGCGTCGTTTGGCGCCGGCACGCAGCGCAGCACGTTCCAGAGCCCTGACTCCTCGCGTGAGCTCTCGTCGCCGGCCATGCTCTCGTCGATGAAGCTGGAGGCACGGGCGCGAGCCAGCAGCTCGGCGTCGTCGAGCGACGAGGCGTTGAAGAGCGGCGATGTGTTACCGGCCATGGTGCTTTGGCCTGAGGATGTGGAGCGAAGGCAGGCTGCGCAGCGTTGCTGTGCGCGCGGGCCATGCGCAGCGAGAAGGCTCGCCGCCGGCCGAGTCCCGCGGAGCTCGATGCGGCGCGCATCGAGCACAAAGCCCTCCGCATGCCGCTTCCTCCTTGCTTCTCCTCCACTTCCATCCTCCGACCGCTCAAACCTACGCACGCCTCGTTTGTGCGATGCTGAAACGCACCCGCACGCCGCACGCCCTATGGCGTCCGGCAGTGCTGCCGTGGCCCGCTGCGCTTCCCGCTCGCGCACTCTCGACCAGCGCCCGCACCGACAGCACCGCCGGCGAAGCAGCTACGTCGGCGACGCCTGCCCCGCCTGCCACATCAGCCGAGCGCCCGCAGCCTTTGACGAGCAATGCGACGCTTCTCTCGCGCTTCTACGCGCCCACACAGCGCTCCACGGAGGTAGACACGCCGCTCAGTCTGCTGCAGCGCGGCGGCTACATACGCGCCTCGGCCTCAGGCGTCTACACCCTGCTGCCAGCAGGCCTGCGCGTGCAGCGCAACATTGCGAGTACCATTGCTCGCCATATGCGTGCCGCAGGCGCCTCGCAGGTGCAGATGCCGACGCTGTTGCCGGCGGCCGCGTGGAAGAAGAGCGGCAGGTGGGATGGCATGGGGCGCGAGCTGTATCGCCTCAAGGACCGCGCGGGAAAGGACTGGCTGCTGGCGCCTACGCACGAGGAGGAGGTCACCTCGCTTGTATCGGAGCTTGCGCTGAGTGCAAAAGCGCTGCCCGTGCGGGTCTTCCAGATGAGTAAGTTGCAGCGCAGCAGCATGCTCACGGCCTCGACAGTCTGCTCACTCGCAACCGCACAGCACGCAAGCACCGCGACGAGCCGCGCGCCCGGGCCGGGCTGGTGCGCACGCGAGAGTTCCTCATGAAGGATCTCTACACGTTCGACGTCGACGAGGCCGCGGCATCGAAGACGTATGAGGAGGTGCGGAAGGCCTATGCGGCCGCGTTTGACGAACTACTTGGGCCCGGCAACTGGCGAGCTGTGAGTGTGTTGAGAGCTGCGTAGCTCTGTCTTTGCTGAAGCGCACCGAGCGCAGGCAGAGGCAGATACCGGCGCGATGGGAGGACAGCGCTCGCACGAGTATCAGGTGGACGATCCGAGTGAGTTGCATCCGGCCCCTGTCTCTGGAGCAGCGCTGAGACAGGATGCAGCCGGCGAGGACACCATCCTCTCGTGCCAGAGCTGCAGCTATGCCGCCAACGAGGAGCTCGCAGCGGCGCTGCCGACGCGTCAGAACCCGCCCTCTGCTGCAGACGACGTGGAAGTGCGTCTCTACGGCCCGACATCGCTCCTGCCTGGCGCCACGATGACTGCCATCGTGGGTGCCAAATCGCGCCGCCTCAACGAGACGAAGCTGCAGCGCCACCTCTCCGCCGACCTGCGGCCTCTGCCGCTGACGAGCGAAGAGGCGTGGGAGTGGAGCGATCGTCCCGAGGGCCCGCTGCCGGCCTATGAGGCCCTGCACGTCGTGCTCGATCACGAGTGCCGCGGCCTCGAGGCAGACGAGGTGGGCGAAGCGCTGCGTGCCGCAGCCCTGCGGTACGGCTCTCCGCCGGGCACGCCCGCCGAGGCACTGCAGGACGGACCGACGCTCCAAGAGCTCTTCCCTGCACAGCTGCAGCTCGGCTCCGATGCTCCGCTCGAGGCCGTGCTGCCATTGCAGTACGCGGATCTGCGCAGTGTCGAAGAGGGCGACACGTGCGCCTCTTGTGGCAGTGGCCAGCTGCGTTCGACACGCACCATCGAGGTCGGCCATACCTTCCAGCTCGGCACGCGCTACTCGGATGCCCTCAACGCCACATTCACGCCGTCGGGCGACGGCCCGCGCGTGCCGTACCAGATGGGCTGCTATGGCATCGGCATCACTCGCCTGCTCGGCATTCTCGCCGCCAAGGCGCATGAGCGAGCCTTGCAGGCAGGCCGCACGGGATTTGCCTGGCCTCTACGCCTGGCTCCGTTCCGAGTTCTCGTTATAGTGGACTCTGCCAAGGAGGAGGCATTGGAGGCGGCACATCTCGTGGCCACACGCTGCGGTCGACGAGGCTTACTGCTCGGGCAGAATCAGGTCTCCTTCGCTGATATTAGTGTGGCAATCGACGACCGCAGCGTGCGGCGAGGAGAAAAGTTTGCAGATGCCGACCTCCTGGGCTATCCGCACATCTTCGTCATTGGCAAGCACTGGGAGAAGACCGGAGAGGTCGAAGTGCGCGACAGGGCACGTGGCGCTGCCCCTGGACGCGAGGAGACATGGTATGTCCGCCTGGGGCCGCTACGGCTAGGACCAAATGCGTACGTGGGTCCCATGACGGCGCGTCCGGCGCGGCAAGACGGGAACGCTGAGCAATAAATGCGTCCAACGAGCAAGCCAAAGGATCTCATTTGCGAGCGCGTAGCTTGATCGAGGCCTCAGCGCCAGTACAGCGGGCAGTCGGGCAGCACCTGCTTGGCGGCCGCGTCGAGTGCGGCGACGAGCTCGTCGGGCAGCGGGCCGCCCTCGCTGCAGCACTGATGCGTCAGTGCGGTTCAGACAGCTTGTGCGGCGTGCATGCACGAAGCAGTGCAATTGCCCTTGAGCTTCGGGCACGAATGACGAGATCAGCGAGGGCCCCTTCGTGGCTCCACCACAGCGCTTACCTGTGCAGCGCTGGAAGCGCCAAGGATGACGCCGTCGCTCGGCGTCAGGGCACTGTGATGCTGCATCCACCGCAGCGCCACTTCTGCCAGCGAGACGTTGTGCTTCTCCGCGATCGGCAGAAGCCCTTCGACGGCCTCGACGAAGAGGTTCTTGACGTAGCGCTCGCGGTACATGGCCGCCAGCTTGCTGCATAGGTAGCTGCGTGTGAGTACAAGCAACGTGAAGCAGGCACGGCAGACTCACCTGTCACCCTCAAAGCGACTGCCCTTGCCGGACTCCTTGCCCGGCAGCTTGCCCGCGAGCAGGCCGCCCGCAAGCGGGTTGTACACGACCAGCTGTGAGGCGGGCCACTGCGTCAGGTTTGCGTCGAGAAGGCCACTGGAAGGCTGCGACGCTCACACGCATGTCATACTTGCGCAACGCTGGCACGAGCTCTGTCTCGATGGCGCGCGTGAGGGCATTGTACATTGCCTGTTCAGAAGCACACAGAGTCAGCATGCAAGCGGGGTATTTGAGACTCTGAGGCGTACCTGGTAGATCTTGGGCTGCAGCAGACCCCGCTCGCGTGCGGCAGTCACGATCTCAGCCACCTGTCGACCCCACGGGATGAGCTTGGAATGACGTGAGCGAGCGGGAGAAGAGACACACCTCCCAGGCCGCAAAGTTGCTGAGGCCGAGCTGCTCAAAGTAGCCCTCGCGGCTGCATTGTCGTCAGCGACAAGGCCGCGAGCCGGATTCTTTCCCTTACTGACTGCAGAGCGTCCGCCTCGGTCAGGGTGTCGAGGAACGGGACACTGCGGTCTGGGGCTCAGGCCTCAGCACGAGCGTGTCAATCGGCGCGCTGCGGTCCTCACCCGGCGCATGCAGGTAGAGTGTGCGGACCTTCTTGACGTTGAGCGCCTCAAGGCACTTGAAGAACGTCGAGCGGAACGCCTCGGGAGCGTGGTCTCCTGCGTTGGTCGGGTAGACTCTGCGCACGCGGGTGAGCACGCCGCTCTCTGCAGTAGCCTCTGAGCGGGCTGCGCTCACTTGGTGTCGACAAAGGCGTCCTTGCGGTCCAGCTGGGCGAGGTACTGCTCCGTCGTGCCCTCTGCATACTGGCGGGCCGTGTCGAGCTCGTTGCCGTGCTGGAAGTAGACGTCGAGGATCTCCTCTGGGAGAGAAGCACACATCAGCCGGCGCGCCTCGGCACGGCGCAGCGCCCCGGCTCACGGCAGCGCGGCAGGTCGCTCTCGCGCACGCCGTTCCTGCCCGCCTCGCCGAGCGTCATGGTGCCGAAGATGAGCGGCACGCGTGTCATGTTGCAGCTGTGCGGATGCGCTGGCAGTGCTTGTGAGGGGTGCTTGGTGATGTGGAGGCGAGGCTAGGTGCACCTCGGCGCGCCTCCGCTTTGGCGCGTGGCTGTGATGCAGCGGCGCGCAAAAGGCGCGCGTGTGTTGCTCCCCCACCACGACCGCCTCCTGCCGCTGCTCCCCCGTGCCGCCAGCACACTGCCGCCCTCGGCCCGCCGCGCCTCTCCGGCCATGGCGCGGCGCACCGCTGCCGCCGCTGCTGCTGGCGCCGAGCCCATCTCCTCGCAGCTCAAGGACAGCTTCGTGCTGCGCTCGCTGCACGCGTGGAGCAACTCGCCGCGCTCCTCCATCCTGTGCAACGTCGCAGAGGCGCAGGACCTGCTGGGCCATGTCCTCGATGACCGAGAGGCTTCGCCGCTCTGTCTGCATCTTGGACAGCGCCCAACCAAGTTCGTCACTGTCCTCGGCCGCGTCGTTGGCTGCGAGGATCGCGAGGGTTGGACGCGCCTCTGGGGTGAGTGATCCGCCGGTCTTGCTCTCTGCTGCAGCGCTGATGCGGACAACGTGCAGTCGACGATGGCACTGCCGTCGTCTCCGTGCAGCACAACCACTCCGATGTCATCAGCGCCTCCACCGAGCCTGCCGCTCCCGTCGAGGCTCCCGCGCCGCCTCCAGTGATGGAGGGCGTGCCAGCAGCCTATCGTCCACGCCACGCGCCCGCACGCGCTCCGCCCGGCTCGAAGCGCTCTGGCGCGCCCGATGCTGCCGAGCGCGCTCGTACTGGAGCTGCGGCTGCTGAGCGTGCACGCGTAGATGTAGGCCAGGTCGTGCGTGTTTGCGGACGCATGAAGCGCTTTCCTTGGGGCGTGGGCATCGTCGTGGGCAAGAACACGTGGGGCAAGGGCGGCGGCGGCTTCGTTGGTGAGTTACTCCTGCTCAGGCGCGTGGCAGCATGTCAGCCTGCGTTTGCGTCTGAGCCTCGAGGCGAGGACATCACTGACCCGCCCTGTCAGAGGTACAACGCGACCCAAACGCCGAAGCGCACCATATTCTAGCATGCGCCACGCTGCGTCTAACATACATGCGGCCTTTCGTGCTGCCCTCCACCACCGAGGAGCCGACGCCTTCAGCTGTCAAGCAGCGCGCCGCCGCCGGGCCCTATTCGCGCACGCATCGCAGTCTGCGCGCCGGCAACTCGTGGTACCAAGCCAAGGCTGAGCGTGCGCCCGAAGCGTACGCTGAGGCCGAGAATCGGATGCGTGAAGGCGCGAGGAGAAGAGCTTTGATGCTCGGCGAGAAGCTCGAGGACGAGTCAGGGTCGAGCAAGGTGGCCGATGCGTATCAGAAGCCGAGCAAAGTCGTGCCGGAGTATGACGAGGAAGAAGAGACGAGTCGCAGAGAGCAGAAGGCTAGAGTCGCTCGGGCGATGGGCTACGATCTCGTCGATGCACCGATGCTCTCGCTTAAGGGCAAGGAGAGGCAACGCGAGGATGTCGAGGAGACCTCGCATCGACGGCTGAAGAGCTCGATGAAGGCGGAACCGGCATCGATCAAGCAGCACAGTGCAGCGCATCGCCCATCCGCTCGCGAGCTCGCCATCGAGCGCGAGCTGAACGCTACGTCGTCGAAGCCCGACTTGATCGACTTGACGCTGCCATCGCCGCCTTCAGCGTCCAGCAAGCCCGCTCGGTCATCCGTTGCCGCATCGCCGTCGATGTCTCGCAGCATCTTACCGCGCGCACGCAGCTCACGTCGCACGAACGACGTCACGCCCACGCAGCTCGCGAGTCTACAATCTGCTGTCTCGCTGTCTCGAGCGAGCCTGAGCGATCCCACAAGCTCATGCTACGGCAATCGTCAGCGCGCCAGCGTCATGACCTCGCCGTCTGCTGATCGACGACTGCGGCCTCACAAGTCGTTGCCGGACAGCAAGATGAGCGAAGGTCTCTTTCGCTTGCATGTGCATCAGCACATCATGACGCACTTCGCTGCTCCGACTGCGAGTGATGGCAGCACCTCATGGACCGAGTCGGAGCCAGACGACTACCTGGTTCTCCAGCCGGCTCACCAGAGGAAGCCTTCCTGCCCCGCTTTCACCGCTGCAGCCTTGACGGAGGACACTGCGCTCAGCGGAATGGCCGAACGAGTCGTGCGCGTGCTTCTGCGGCGTAAGGCCGTCTCTGCCACCTTCTCGACACCAGCGCAAGCTACAGCGCCAAGCGACGGCGCAGCCCTGCGAGCGAGAGCAACGCGACTTTTTGACTGGACGCTCAAGCAGCTCGTTGCTGAAGGCACACTCGAGCAGATCTCCCTGGCGGCCGAGAGCGCTCGCGCGAGTGCGTCGCCGGCTGATAAGCTCGACGTGCAAGTGGGCGGTGGCGTCAAGCGAAGACTGGCTTGCATCGACTCGAGCAGCAGAAAGAGTCAGCGTCTCGCCGTCTCTGCGTATCGTCTGGTCTCAAGCAGCGCCTCCACCACCGCCTAATTCACTCAGCCCCCTCTGCCTCTCACTGCACCCTGTACCAACACTGCACACGCACTCTCGAGCCCATTGTACATCACCCATGCACTTTCATTTCTCATCGCGCTCTCTTCTCGCAGGCACACGGCGCCAGGCTAGAGTGACAGGGAGGAGCAGGGAGCAGCGTGACGACAAAAGGCACGAGTGGCCTGCAGAGTTGAGGGACACGGGAACAGTGAGGGGCGCAAAGGAGACAAGGAGCGAGAACGACGAGCATAGAGAGGGACGAGGGGAATAACGTGGGCACGGGCTCGCTGAGGTGCGGTGCCGATCCGGACATGAGAGAGAGGGAAGAGAGCCTGTGCAGTGAAAGGGAGGAGCAGGGCAGAGGATCACCCAGTGCTCGAGGCGGTCAGTGCGCCGAGCGCGATGCTCGAGCGCAGAAGTCGGGTCGTAGACGCGCTCTAGGGTCTAGAGCGCCAGGCCGAGCGCGGCGATGGCCGAGAGACCGGCCGCCACGGTGCTCGCGACGGGCAGGCTGAGAGCGCTCGAGACCTTTGCAAAGTCCGTCGTGCCGGCAACGACGTTGATCTGCTTGCTGAAGTCCTTGCCGCACTCCTTCTGGCTCGCCTTGTAGAGGTCCGACTGCCCCTTGAGCTGGTCCGAGTTGGCCAGACCAATGGCGTACGGGATCGACGTCTCAAAGGCAATGTAGGCCGCGAGGATGTTCTTGGTGCAGCTGCTGCACAGCACCTCCTTCTTGGCCGTGGGCTGCAGGAAGAGGAAGGCAATGTTGTTCGAGGCAGACGTCGATGAGACGGTGCTGTCGACGCTGGCAGCCTGACGCGCGTGCAGCGCGGCGTGCTCGTGCGAGCGCTTCACGCCCGAGAGGAGCTCGTCGTCCGTGCCGATGTCACGCTTCGTCTTGGCGCTCGTGGCGGCAGACGTGGCAGTGTTGCTGTAGACGGGCGCACGTGAGCACAACGGTCGCATGTCTTGTGTCACAAAGCGTCCAACCCCATCTTCAGTCCTGACGCCAAGCCTGGCCTGCTCTATCGCCTCACGCATCTACCTTCCGCCTCTGAGCCCCCATCTCGACTCCAGTAGACACTCACAGCAGGCAGAACTTTCCGTCGTCTCCCTTGGTGCACACGGCCTGGTGGAAGGGAATGATGAGGTAGAGGAAGTCGTAGAGCTTGAGAACGGCCTCGTTCTTCTGCTGGATCTCGGGCTTGCACTGGTCGAAGAAGTCAAAGAGACGCTTGCGGATCGCCGCCACGTCGCACTTGTCGCCGTCGGTGCAGAGCTTGTCGAGGCCCTCGCTGAGCGCCGTCTGCGACGGGTTCGCCCCGCGCGTCGCCTGCGCGTAGAAGTCGGTGGCGTTGGAGAGGGGCGCAATGCACGTGGCGAGGTTGTCGTCTGAGTTCAGAGACTCAAGGAAGCCAGTGCACGTCGTGGAGATGCCCGACGTGGGGATGTACGTCGACTGCGGCGCCGCGGCACCCGAGGTGCTGGACGCTGCCTGTGCGGCCACGAGCGCGGGTGCGGCCAGCGCCGCGGCGAAGAAGGAGAGCGAGGCGAAGCGCATGACGAATGCGGAGAGCAGAGGCGAGAGGTGAAGAGGCTGAAGAATACGCGCTGCGCTTCAGGAGAGGAAGAGCCGGTCTACGCGCTGGGCGGGACGGGCACGGGCGTGGATGTTTACGAGGAGGCAGCACAAAGGGCTGGCGCGGCGACTGAGCGGAGAGACGAAGAGAGCGAGAGAGCGGTGCGCGCGTGATGTGTGTGGTGGGAGTGTGCGGAGACAAGGCCGAGGCGTTGTGTGTGCGGAGGGTACAGGGTAAATCGAGCGAGGGAGAGAGAGGGATGAGCTGGTAGAGGAGAGAGACGGCGGAGGCAGGCCGCGGCGACGCGCAGGCACGCGCACGCCGCGGCGCACCGCGGCCGCCGCCGCCGCCGTCTGCGCCGCTCCGCGCTGCGCCCCTCGAGCACACGCAACACCCTCACAAACGAGCGCTCCGAGCCGCCCGCAGCAAGGCGTCGCAGCGCCAAAGCGCGGCAGCCGCTCTCAGCCTCGCGGCGTGAGGTATGCGTCTCGACGTCGCACTTTGCTTGCTGGCTCACGACGGTCCCACGGCGGCGAAGCGCGAATTCGAGATGCTCGAGATGGCGGCAGCGAGACGGCGCGGCCGCACAACAGCCCCAGCCGTCGCGAAGGCGCGCGGCGGCGGCGCGCGGCAACAGCAAGAGGGGCGGCGAGAGAGGAGGCGCCGCAAGGCACGCGGCGCGGCAGGCGCCCAGCCGCGGCAGCTATGCAGGCCGCAGCGGCCCCTCCCCTGTCTCCTTCCTGACTGCTCGCGTGCCTCGCTGCACGTCGCTCTGCGCTAGCCGCCTTCCCTCGTTCGCTGCGACACGCTGTGCCGTGAAGGCACAGGCGCAGTGTCTGCACCCTCGCGGGTCCAGCTCAGCCCGCTCCGAGAGGCCCGATCTGATTACGGATCATCGCATTACAACGTGGCTTCGCCGGACTACAACGGGAGGGCGCATTGTTGAAGCTCATCTCGCACGCTCCGCATTGCGCCCGAAAGGCGGCCGAGGTGGAGTCGCGAGTGAGCATCTTCGCTTAGCGTGATCGTTGCTCTGGGGTGCAGCCTCCTTCTCCACACGACCCCCTCCTCGCCCTTCAAGCCCGTCGTTGCCGCCCATCACCCGCGAGCGTGCACCTCTGCCGCAGCAGCCGCAGGCATCCTCGATGCGCAGCGATGCCTCGTCGTCCAGCCCCGCCGCGCTGCTAGCCGCCGCCTCTGCGCCGCCCGCCAGCGCCGGCGGCGGAGGCGGGCCGCTGCCGCTCGGCAGTGCGGCGGTGCCCGGCGCGCCTCTGCACTCGGCACTGCGGCCGGCGACGGGCATGGCTGGGCACCATCAGCATCACCACCAGGCACGCCGCGTCAGCTGGCACGCGGGCGTCGTCGGTGGAGAGGCGTCGCACATCGACGTGGAGGAGGCGCATGAGGCACACGCCGCACTGCATGCGGGACATGGAAGGCGGAGACGGCGCAGGTGAGTGAGCTGCGGCAAGCAGAGAGGTGGTATGGGTATAGCGGTGCAAGACTCGCGACGTGTGAAGGGCTGGTGGAGGTGTGGGGCCAGCGGAGCCCACCTCCTGAGCCTCTGAGGGTGTGCCTCGTGACACGCACCCTGACAGCATGACCCCCCAGGACGTACCAGGCCATCTACCTCGCCATCTTCAGCGTCTCGTACATCACCTCGCTCGACGCCAACACGGGCTACCTGTACCTCAACTTTGCCTGCTCCGAGTTCGGCGCGCTCGCGTCCTTCTCCACGATCCAGATTGTGCAGCAGCTGTGCTACGCCATTGCCAAGCCGTGAGTGTCTCGCCGGCGTGGGGTGTCTGCGCAGCCGCTCAAGTCATTCATCTCAGGCCGATCGCAAAGCTGAGCGATGTGTTTGGACGCGCAGAGGCATACGCATGCTCTCTCGTCCTCTACCTCTCCGGCCTCTTCGTCATTGCAACAGCACGCTCATTGCCCATGCTCATCTGCGGCATCATCCTACAAGCATGCGGCAATACCGGCGTCCAAGTACTGCAGTCCATCATCATCGCAGACACGACAACAGCGCAGTGGCGAGGCCTCGTCATTGGCATCGTCAACATTCCATACCTGATCAACTTTGCAGTAGCAGGCCCGCTCGTTCGCGCCGTCATGGACAGCTCGTTCGGCTGGCGAGGTGGCTTCGGCCTGTGGCTGATGCTGCTTCCAGTCGCTGCCGCGCCTCTACTCGTGACGCTGGTCATCGGACAACGAAGGGCTCGCAAGGCCGGTCTTCTCACTCGCAGCCCGATCTTCTCGCGCGGCCTGCGCTCGGCACTTTGGACGCTCGCCGTCGAGATCGATGCGGTCGGCCTGGCGCTGTTCAGCAGCAGCTTGGCACTCATTCTTGTGCCGCTCACTCTGGCGGGACACGGCACGCGGTCGTCTGGTGAGTCGAGTCGAGGTTTCCTCGCATCGCACAGCACCGCGACTCACACGCTGATCTGCGGCAGACCAATTCATCTACATCTTCAGCGGCGTCTGTCTGCTCGCCGCATTCGCCTGGCAGCAAGGCCAAGCCAGTCTGCCCATCATGCCCGTGCGCATCCTGCGCAATCCAGCCGTCGTGTACATCTGTCTCTGCGGCATTCTCGACTTCTTCTCCTTCTACCTCTCCTTCTGCTTCCTCAGCGCCTTTGTGCAGGTGCTCAAGGACTGGGATCAGGCGCGCACCGCGTACTTTGCGTGAGTCGCAGAGTGAGATGCTTCTGAGGACTCTCGCTGATCGACAACCTCCCAGCACTACGCAGAACGTCACGAGCACGCTCATCGGCATCGGCGTCGGCTACCTCATGGCACGCACGCGGCGCTACAAGGCGCTGCTCGTCTGCGGCTTCATCGTGCGCTTGGTCGGCGTGTCGCTAAGTGAGTTCGCGACCATGGCCAGCCCGTGCCGTCAGCGTATCCTCATGCTCTTCGCTCTCAGTGGTGCGCTACCGCTCCGAGATCAGCACCACAGGCCTACTCGTCATGTGCCAGCTGCTGCAAGGCATCGGCGGCGGCAGCATTGCCATCACGATGCAGGTGGCTGTGCAGACGGCCGTGCGGCACTCCGACATCGCAGTCGTCACGGCACTCGAGCTGCTCACGACCGAGATTGGCGCCGCAGCTGGCAGTGCCGTTGCGGGCCTCGTCTTCTCGCGCGATCTGCCTCTGGCACTCGCTCGCTTCTTGGTGAGCTGAGCTCAGGTGGGGTCGTCCGCCGCGTCGCTGACCTACGTGTTCCGCTCCTTCTAGCCCAGCATGCCCGAAGAAGAGCGCCAGCGCATCTACGGCAGTCTCTCGGTGGCGCTCTCCTACGCGCTCGGCTCCGAGGAGCGCGAGGGCATCATCGAGGCGTGGGTTTCGGTGATGCGCACGCTGTGCATCATTGCCTCTCTGGCTCTTGTGCCCGGCGTCTTCCTCGCCATCTCGGTGCCGGATCATCATCTGCCGGACGCACATGGCGCGCCAAGCAGCGTCAACGTCGGCGGCGCTGCGCGAAGGAGAGCTCCGTCTGGACCGAGAAGTCCTCGGCTGCTGCCGCGACCGCTGACAATAGCGGAGCCGGAATCTGCAAGGCATCATCATCTCGCCGTGCCGCCGCAGACGACGAGCTTGGGCCTCGTCTCGCCAAGCAGCTCAGTCCGACGAGAGCGGAGCTCCTTGGACGAACTGCCTCTGCCGTCGACGACAAGAAGTGCTCCACGAAGTAGAGGACGTACGGGCGCGGAGCAGGAGCCTTTGCTAGCAGACAGTGACAGCGATGATGGCAGCTAGACCCAAAGGAATGCATCACTCAAATCTCAGCCTCATTCACGCCTGAGCAGCAGCATGTGTCGATTGAGAGCGTTGCAAGCTCGCAACGTCAGAAAGAGAGAGACATGTCCGGCGCGCAGCCCTGGACGGGCGCGGGTAGTCGAGGCGCAGTGGGTAAACGGAGAGGCGAGGGGCAGGCGCGACGACGGGAGCAGAAGAGAGCACATAAGTAGAGCGCATAAGGACCGGAGATCGGTGCAGTCGGACTGCGGTGAAGCGAAGGTGTGGCGTGCGGCAGATCGCGCCGGATTGCCGTCGAGGTGGCGCTGAGGCCGAGCGTGTCGGTATGCCGTCGCGGTAGCGCTCAGAGCACGAAGAAGCGCTCAGAGCACGAAGACAGCGCCAGCTGCGGCGGCAGCGGCGACAGCGAGAGCGGTGCTCCAGACGTGCGAGACGTCACCGAGGCTAGCGGCCGCAGCGTCAGGCCGGCTGGTTCCAGTCGGAGCGACGCTGCTCGGCGCCTGGCCCGCGACCTGAATGGTGCCAGTGTACTTGGACGTAGAGCCGCGGTTGACGCTGACGTCCTCAAGCGAGCGCGAGGCGAAGGCGGCCGATGCGCCGGAAGCTGCGAGCAGCGAGATGGCGTTCGAGGACTGAAGCGCGTTCGTGGGCGCGGCTACGGCTTGGGAAGAGGCGGGAGAGGTGATGGCGCTGGCGAACGTCTGCGTTGTGGCGGGGTTGCCGCCGGCCGTGCCTGGAGATGAGGCATGAGTAAGGGTGAAGGGCGGCGAGGGTGAGGGCAACAGCGTTCCTACTACAGCGCGCCCATGCCCGGCTCCTGCTCGCTGTGCGCTGTGACTGGCGGAATGTGCGCAGAGCCTCTTTCTTTCAGCGCCACCGTCCATAGCCACGCCTGCTACCGTCATCCTGTCTGAACCCTTGCGCCCTGCCACTCTTCGAGTCCCTCGCTGCTCCCACCACAGCATCCTCCAGGCTCTGCGCCACTCACAGTCGCCGAACTGCACACATGCGCTCTGTCCGTTGTTGGTGGTGAGCGGGCCAAAGGGCGCCGTGTCGCTGTTCTGTGCGCTGGCCGAGCCGGCGACGACGACAAGCGCTGCGAGCAGCAGCGAGGAGGAGGCGCGCATTGCTGCGGAGGTGCCGCTGCGGAGCGAGGAGAGGCAAAGAGTGTGGAGACGGCCGGGCGTGTGCGCGGGCCGGGAGGTGCGCAGCAAAGACGAGAGAGACGTGCGCGCGGAGACGTCGACGAAGCAAGGAAGAAGCAAGGAAGAAGGTGTGGTGAGGATGAGCAGGTGCGGAGGCCGGAGTGATGGAGGAGGAGAGCTGAGGGTGAGAGCGAAACAGGCTGCGGTGCAAGAGCGCCTGCGAGAGAGGGAGGCCGGATGCCGCTCCGCCGGCCCGTCACGAGTCTAGTTCTAGACGTGCCTTTGGCGGCCGGAGCCGCGCGCACCCCGCGCCAGCCCCTCGGCGCATCAGGCTCATGCTTCGGCGGTGCGCTCGTGACGCTTGACGCTTCGTCGCTCTCTGCTTTCAGCTGCTCGAGGAGCCTTGCAGCGGGCGCGGCCTGCGGTGTCTCGCCTGGCACCGGCCAGGTGCAGTCGGAGCCCCGCTCGTGTGCGCTGCTGCTGCGCTGCGGAGGCTGGAAGCGGAGGACAAGCTCACGCTCATCGCGGCAGCAAGACAGCGGCAGCAGAGCGCCGTCGACGGCATGCGCGCTCAGGCACTGCGCCTGCACCGATGCGCCTCGGCGGCAGAAAGCAGCCTGCGGCACAGCGACGGCACCTCGGCGTCAGAGCAGAGGCGGAGCATGAGGACGTGCGGGGAAGCACGCTCGGCAGCGGCAGGGGACACTGCTCCTGTGCCGCACGGCTCTGCTGCCCTGGGCGATCGAGCAGGCGAGAACAATCGGCCAGCGCGGCCGCGCCTCCTTCCTGCACGCCCTGCGCCCCTGGACGGCCCTCCACCTCCGCCTTCTCTCAACGCCTCAACAGCAGCATGAGCAACGACAGCGCTGGCTCGCAAGTGGACGACTTTGCGCAGCTGCAGGCGCAGGCTGCTGCGCCAGAGTCGGCAGAGCACGCCATGCCCTCAAGAGCCGCTCTGCTCCTGCCTCCTCCCGGCCAAAGCCCGCCTCTTCACGAGACACTCGACATCGCAGAGCTGCTCGCTGCCTCTCCGGGCGCAAGCAGACGCTCGACGGATGCACAGGCGCAGTTCTGGCGCGGCGCAAAGTGGTGCGTCATGCCTCGTGCTCTGCGCCTCGACGCACAGCTCACGCTGCAACCTCTCCAGGTCGCCAGATGGCTCCCACGTGCTCCTTCAGCGCGAGTCACACATCCTAGATCTCTGCGCTCTCGTCGCCTCCGACCCAGGCGCTGCGTCTGGCTCGACTGCAGCGTCGAGGCTGTGCCTCAAACACGTGCTCAGCGTCTCCTCACCGAGTCCGCTGCTCTCTTACGTCTGGTACCCCTTCGCTTCGCACGCTCAACCCGCTACGTGGTGCTTTGCCTTCGGAGCACGAGACGTGCCGGTTCGGCTTGTAGATGCTTATGCTGGCAAAGTGAGTGTGCTGCGGTACAGCGCTTTCTTCGCCAGCGCTGACGGCCTTCAATACAGACTCGCGCCTCCTACCCGATCGAAGATCACGTCGAGCGATTCGTCGGTCCTCAAGCGCTCGCATTCAGTCTCGATGGCACACGTCTCTACGCCGGGCACGCCACTTCTCTCTCAGTTTTCGAGCTTTCTTTTCCCGGCTCTGCACCGCGGACTATGGCGTTGACGCCCTCGCGACGGCCTCAGCCTGGCGTGGACCCGGCACAACGTGGCCTCGTTAGTGCACTGGCAGTCGGGTGGAGCGTCACTTCGGAGGAGGAGATGGAGGAGTTGGTTGCTGTGGGGACGTTCGCTGGGACGGTCGGCATATATGCACCGGCACGAGGAAGAAAGGCGGAGAAGTGCCTCGTCGCTGGATGGAGAGAGACTGAGCGGCGAGGCGTTACCCAGGTGAGGACACTGAGCGCACGTTCAACGATCTCTACTGATGCGCTGGACCCGCCACAGCTGCTGTTCCACCCAGCAGCGCCGCACATCCTCCTCCTCAGCTCGCGACACGACTCATCCATCCGCGCGCTAGATCTGCGGTATCTCGCGCAACAGCCCGACTTTCTCTCGCCAGCGCCGGCAGCAGCTTCACTCGGCACGTTTGTCCGGCGAGCCGGCACATCCCAGCGTCTGGCGTTTGACGTTGGTGCGTCCGGCACGCGCCTCGTTGCGGGCGATGTGAAAGGCACAGTGGCGGTGTGGGACGTCGACCTGAACGCCGTCGAGGGAGAGGAGGCAAGATTCGGAGATGCGGTGCGAAACGAAACGCATGAGTGGCCGCCGCTCGCTAGCTGGTCTGCCGCGCAAGGTGAGTCGATTGCTCGAACGAGAGATCGACCTCCAAGGCGCTCACTCTCGCGCAAGCAGATTCTCTTGGTGCAGCGCTCCTGCATCCCTCGCTCCCACTGCTGCTCACAGTCAGCGGGGCGCGACATTGGGACGCAGGCGCAGCCGCTCGCGACAGCTCGGAGTCATCCGAGTCCGAGTCGGAGCTCGAGGCAGCACTGCCGCCCAGCCGACGATCCGCGGGCTACTGCACGCACGACAGCGCTGCACGGCTGTGGGATCTGTCTGGGCGGCCTGACAATCCCACAGCATAAGCGCTCGCAGCGCGCGTTCAAACGTCAGACTTGAGCGCAGATGACAGAGTGAAAGGGGATGCTTGCGCTGGCTGCAATGCTCTGCGTGGTCTACCAAGAGGGGCCCCGCGAGGGACGGGACGGGATGCGAAGTACGAAGTGGGGTCTAAGGCGCGCGGATTACTGTAGGGTCCGGAAAAAGCGGAGCATCGCAAGGAAGGGGAGGTCATGACTGGCTGGCGCGAGAAAGGGGACGTAACGGAGAGCGGAGGGGTATAAAATCTTGCAGACTCGGCGGCGAGCATGCCGTCCGGCGAAGAAGAAGGAGCTGGGCTCAGACTGGACGCATCCAGATCTGGCCGGGGCGCGAGCGCTCGCGAATGATCTGTGCGAGGAGACTGTCAGCGTTGAGCCTGTAGCGCCAACCGAGGCGGCGACGACTCACCGCCCATGGCGTGGTGGACTCGACAGTGGCGCCCTTTGCATCGCGCGTCGAGGGTGGCGCAAACGTGCTCTGACGGCCTGCTTCGCCCATCACGCTCGCTAGAAGCGCCGCTCTTGCGCCCGGCGAGGCAGTGGGACCCGCACAGCGAGCGATGAGCGCCTTGGCGTGTTCGGACGTGCCTTCCGTTTCGATGACGAGCTTGCCGTGCCATCCCTCGTCGACGACCTGCAGGCCTTCATTCGAGATGATCTGTCCGCCCGTCACGTTGACCACTGCGCGATAGAGCCACTTCGCAACGCGGTAGCGTCCTTGAGGCGAGACACTCTCGATGTGATCCTGCACGAGCCGCAGCGACGCCAGCAGCTCGTTGCGCCACGGCAGAATGTCGATGTAGATGACGGGGTGCGGCGTTGAAGAGTGGACGATGTTGTGGAAGTACGAAGGCGGGTAGGTGAGGGAGTTGACGTGCGAGGGCAGGTGGCCGGCCGGGTCGTGCAGGAAGGACAGGTCGCGCAGGTATTGACCGTCGAAGATCTGCTTGCCCATGTTGGCCTGGTCGCCGATGGCCGTGTTCCACACGACATCACCGCGGCGCAGCGCAGTGGTCCACACGCCACACTCGTACATCTGGCGCTCGCAGCGCGCCAGCTCCTCGTCGCTCATCCAGCCGCTCGGGTCGGCTGCGGGCACCCAGACCCTGAAGAGCGCGGCGCGGCCGGGCTTCCAAGGTGAAGGCAGCACCGGAGCACCAGCCTCGCCGGGCGAGATGCGCGTCGCGAGCTGCTGTTGTGGAGGCGAGTTGGACATTGAGGCGCTTGAGGCGTGCTGCGGAGAAGCAAAGGCAACGGTCGCTGGACGAGGCTCGGGCACCTTGAAGTACGGCTGCATGCGCAGACGAGCCAGCACTCGGTTGTATGCGCGCGTCGTGGCGCGGGCCAGGCGAGGGATCTGCGGGTCCATGCTGCGAGGATTTGCGGCGTACTGTCGACCGACGGAGGCGTACTCGGGTACCAAGTCGTACGAGATGAGGAAGGCCTCGCACTCGGCCAGACTGATCGGCATCGGGTCTTCGCGCGGCATAGAGGGCCGAGGGTCCCACGTGCGGTAGCCAAAGGGCGCAAGGAAGCGGCGCAGCGTCACTTCGCGCCCTGCGAGTTGGCCGAGTGCCAGACGGATCGCAGAGCTGGTCTGTCGAAGCGCCTTGACGTCGGCGCAGTCGAGGTGGCTCACGAGCCGGGCAATGACATCGGGCGTCGTGCGCGTCCAGATGAGCTCGCCCAAGTCGCTGTACATGCGCTGCTCGACGCACTCCACCAGCTCCTCCTCGTCGGGTGCGCTCAACTCAGGCGACGTCTCGGACGCCGCAATGTCAGAGCCAGCGGCACTGAGCGGCGGTGTGGCGCCCGCTGCTTGGCGCGCCTGCTTGCGCTTGGCTCTGCTCGAGGCGTCGGCCTCAAGCTGGCTGCGAGGACGCAGCACGACGACCTTCTCGAAGCGGCGGTGCGTCTTGATGAGGCGCGGGTCGACCACGCCATGACACTTCCAGCCATTGCCGTGGACGACTTCGGAAGGATCCACAGGGCGCGCCTCGACGGGCAGCGACTGGCGTGACGAGGAAGTAGACATGCCGAGAGGCTTCGAGCGCGCTCCTTCGGTGAGCGCGACGCTGAAGCGCTCCATGGCGCGCTGAGCAGGCGCGATGTCGATCTCCAAGCGCGGCACCTGCGCAGCGTCTTGCGTCGGCGAGGCCGTGAGCGGCGAGGCGACCTGAGCAGCGCGCGTGGGCGAGGCCATGGCTGCAGCGCGAGGCGGCGAGACTGGCGGTGACACTACGCCAGCCGCACCGCGAGCAGTTGTGTTGGTCTCCGACGCCTTGCGACGCGGCACGACGAGTCTGGCACTGGTGTCGTGCGTCGTGAATGCGGAGTACGAGCGCGGCGGATGAGCTGCGCAAGTTTTCTGTCAGTGTCTGGCTCTGCATTGGGCAGAGCGAATGGAGGGACTCACCCTGCGGACGAGGACCCTGCTGTGCGGCCGCGCGCTCGGCTGCAATAGCCTGCTGGTCCCGCAGACGAGCTTCTTCCTCTCGCTGCGCAGCCCACATCCTCTGTCTCTTGAGCGCCAGCTCCTCGGCCTCGCGCATCTTGGCCTGCTCAGCAGCGCGCATCGACTCAGCCTGCTGTAATCTCCGCGCCTCTCGCGCCTCCTCTGCCGCCAGTCTACCACGCTCCTGCACAGCCGCGGCCTCCCGATCAGCCTGCTCCTGCAGTCTCCGCTCATCCGCCTCGCGCTGCGCTCGTTCCCGCGCCCGCTGCTCTTTCGCAAGCCGTTGCTCCTCAGCCGCCGCCTGAGCCTCGGCTGCGGCACGCAGCTTGGCCTCGCGCGCCAGCTCGCGCTGCGAGGCGAGCGCCAGAGTCGCGGCGTCCGAGGCGCTGGGCGAAAGAGCAAGGGCAGAGGGAGAGGCCTTGGATGTTGGCGTCGTTTGCGTTGAAGTGCGACGCGCCGCTGTGGGCGTGACCGGCGACGCACTCGTCGATGCCAAGCGCGGCGGCGATGTCGGTGTGCTGAACGGCGTCGAGCGAGCACTTGTGCTCTCCTCCTTGCGCGGCGTGACGTTCATCTGAGCTGTGCGAAGCGGCAAGCTCGGCTGTGAGCGGGATGGCGAAGCGTGACTGCTAGCGCTCGAGAAGCCACTGTCGGAACTGATGATCGGCGAAGCGAGGCGCGGACCGAGCTGAGGGCTCATCGTGGGGCGCGAGAAGTTGGTGCGCGGCGAGGCATTGCTCTCGGGCGTGCCGGGGTAGCGCGAGACGCTCATGCGCGCCGGCGATGCGTGTGCAGAGGGCAGGATGGGCGAGGTGGTCATCAGCGGCAGATGCTCCTTGGACGCGCCGATCTTCTGCGGCGAGCGTCCGAAATTGAAGCGCGCATGATGCATAGACGCTGGCGTGATGGCTTCGTGCTCCTCGGGCTCAGAGACTGGCGTGGCACTGCCTGGCGCCTCGACGTGCACGAGGGAGCTCGTCGACGACTCGGGCGTCAGCGCGGGCAATGATGCCAAGGGCGAAGGCGCCGTGGCGACGCTGTGTGCGCTGTCGAACGTCGGCAGCGGCGAGCGGCGCGCAGCCGGCGAGGCAGAGGGCGACTCTGCGGCCGTGGCGAAGGAGTGGCTCTCTGAAGGCGGTGCGTGGCTAGATGTCGATGGCGCCGCGCTGAGGTTGCTGTCGAAGCTGGCGGGCATCGGCGCACGCTGCCGCCGGGGCGACTCGGCGCGCCATGCCGAGGGCGGCGCGCTGCTCTTTGCCGGCGAGTCGACGGAGGCCGGAGCAGCGCCTCGCCGTGTCGGCAACGTCGCTGCCTTGTCCGCCACGCTTGGGACGGTAGGCGTGGCGCTCGGCTCGCCAAAGGCGCCGAAGTCGAAGCCGTCGGTGCTGGTGCGCGTGAGGCTGAGGCTCAGCTGCGGCGCCTCGAGCGAGCGTGCCGAGAAGGACGGCGGCAGCGCCGGCGCCGGCTCGGGCGTGCGCTGCGAGCTGCCGTCCTTGCGTGCGGGCGAGGCGGCGGGCGAGGCGCCGGTGAAGGAGGCCTTGCGGCGGAAGAGCGCCTTCATGGGGTGCGGTGCATGCGTGGGGGGAGCGCAGGGTGGTGGTGGAGATGAGCGAGGGCTGCGCTGAGTGTGGGGCCAGCATGGGCGGCTCAGAGCCGAGAATGAACGGCGGCGGGCAGCGAAGATCGGAGTAGGAGAGGCGCGAGGCGAGGCGCAGGTACGCGAGCAGCATGCAGCATGGGGCGTCCGGCCCGTGCCCGACGGCCGCCTCTCTGCATGCTGGTCCGCCGTGATGGCCGAGGACAGCAGGCCGCCAGCCTTCTGCCTTCCTCCCCTCTCTCGCTCATTTACGACGCCGCCTTGCCGTGCCTCGCCGCCTGCAGCGCCCGACGCAGCAACAGGGGAACACGTCGTTGCCGCCGTCGCGCGTGCCGGTGTCCTGCCTGCCCAGCGCCAGGCCTACGGCGGCATCGGCCTTGCCGCGAGCTAGAAAGCCGTGCAAAGCGTCTCTGCCGCCGTCGAGCACGACTGCACGAGCACGAGGGCCCGCGAGAGAGAAGAGAGGGCCCGCTGCGAGTGATGCCTACTTCATTTAGCCCGCGTGGCCTTCGAGTGGCAGCGTGCCTGGGCGAGGACGCTTTCGCCGTCGGCGGTCGGCCTGCCTGCGCGCTGCAGGGTCCTCACGCGTCAGCGCGGCACATGCGCACTCGCGCCGCCACGGCACGAAGCACTCGCCTTACGCCCGCAAGCCCGCGCCACAGCTTCTCTCTGGAACGCCCGTGTCGATCATCCGCGCCACGCGGGACACCGTCGAGGTGCCGCATGCTCAGTGTCATGCTGCTCCCGAAGAAACGCAGGCCGCATGCCCTCATGCGCTGCGCCGATCCTTTTGCGCGCGCGTGGGCAGCACAGCACGAGAGACGCGGGCCCTCTCTCAGCGTCGCAGCGCAGCACGCCGCGTTCCGGCCGAGCGCCGAGGCCGAGCTGCGCGTGGTACAGCCTCCGCCCGGCGTCGGTGCCGGGTGCCGCGAGCTCGCTTGGGCGTCCGCCCGCCGCGACTCACATTCGAGCCCCTATGGCGTCCGCGCAAGTGACACAGGGCGCAAAGTCGGCTGCGCCGTCGTCATGTTCCGTATTGGGCGGTCTCGCTGAGTGGAAACGCAAGCACGAGAGGAGAGGGGCCGCAGGCGCAATGACGGTGGCGCGGAGGGGCTGGAGGCGTTGGCGCCGCCCTCGCTCGTGCGGCATGCGAGGCCTGCGTGGAGCAAGCACCTCGTGATCACGCAGCTTGCAGCGTGACACTTACTCTGCATCTCTCGATGGCGAGAAAGAACGCCAAGCGTCTGCTGATCCGGGAAACGGGAAGGCGAGAGGGGGTGCACGGGCTGCTTTCAAGCATGCACCTCGGACGTGCGCCGCCGCTTGTGCCGTGTGCCTTTGCTCTTCTGCTCGACAGGCATGAATGAGAATTGGGCAGTGCGGACGCACAGCAGGCCACTTCTCGGCACAGCTCCAAGCATCAAGAGCTGCATCTAGCGCAGGCATCGAAAGGTAAGCAGAAGGGCGAGGTGGTTGCAGACCTAGCTACTGTGACGCGCTCGTCTGCTCCACACATGTTATGAGTACGGCGTCGCAGCCCTCCGTGAAGCACACATTCTGCTCAAGCGGCACCTCAGCGAAATTTTGAGCGCTACTCATCCGTTGAGACTGGATGCCGAGCGGCAGGGAAGCGGCACGGAGCTGGGAGGTGGGGTCGCGCGTGGGGCCGCAAGACGCGCTGAGAGACAATCTAGGCGGGAGTCGGGCTCGCGAGAGCAACACCACGGCGCGGCGCGCGACGCACGGCCGCTCCGCCAGCGTGCTGCTGACGCTTGCTGCTGCTGCCGCCGCCAACGCGCACCGCTCGGCCTCCTCACCCACCTGTGCGTCCCTCCACCGTCCTCATGTCCCGCATCCCCGTGCGCGCCTCCGTCGACGACGCCCACGCCCGGCCCTCCTCGCCCTCGCCCGCGCCCTCGTCCGGCTTCCCGCGCTCCACCACCTCGGCGCACCTGGCCTCGTACGCCGCGCCCACCTCCGCCTCCAGCAACATGTCCACCGCCAACTCGGCCGCCGCGGCCGGCTACCGCGGCTCGCCCCTCGGCGGCGCCGGCTCGGCCTCGGCCATGAGCGACTCGACGGACACGCGCAAGCGACAGAGCAAGAAGGACGAGGTGAGTGGCGGCGTCGTGGCAGACGCAAGGAGGCACGTGCGCAGCGCACCACGACAGGCTGCCCACGCAGGGCCTGACGCAGAGCCTGCAGCGACTGACACACCTCTCACAGGCGATCCGCAAGAAGATCGAGGCCGACCTGCTGCGCAAGTCGGGCAAGGCCGCGCCCTCTACGCCCAGCGGCGGCCGCCGTGGCGCACGCAAGGCAGCCCGTCCCGCCGCCGTGGCAGGCACCGTCTCTGCGCTGCGCCCGCTGCCTGCACTCACCGTGCCGCAGAGCATCAGCGTTGCCGATGCGTCTCAGCTGTGCGCCGCCAAGCGCACCGACTGCGTGCTGGTTGTTGACGATGATGAGCACCTGGCGGGCATCTTCACGGCCAAGGACCTGGCGTTCCGCGTGAGTGGCACAGATGCACCGCTGCGCATGAGATGCTGACTCTTCTTAGGTCGTCGCTGGCGGTCTCGATGCGCGCACCACGCCCGTCTCGGCCATCATGACGCGTTCGCCCATGGTGACGCGCGACACCACGTCTGCCACCGATGCGCTCAACACGATGGTCACGCGTGGCTTCCGGCATCTGCCAGTGTGCAACGACGAGGGCGACGTAGTGGGCCTTCTCGACATCGCCAAGGTCTTCTACGAGGCGCTCGAGAAGCTTGAGCGCGCGCATGGCTCTTCGCAGAAGCTGTACACTGCGCTTGAAGGCGTGCAGAGCGAGTGGGGCGCCGGCGTGAGCGGCGGACCGGCCTCGTCGAACCCGATGCTGGCATACGTCGAGGCACTGCGCCAGAAGATGTCGCTGCCCGATCTCACGACGATTCTCGACTCACGCACGCTGCCCTGTACCGTCGGCGTGCGCACGACGGTGCGCGAGGCGGCACGCATGATGAAGGAGCACCACACCACTGCGGTGTGCGTCATGGAGAGCGGCGGAGGACCGGGCCAGGGCACGATTGGAGGAGGCGGAGTGGTGGCGGGCAAGATTGCGGGAATCTTCACTAGCAAGGACGTCGTGCTGAGAGTCATTGCGGCGGGACTGGACCCCAAGACTTGCAGTGTCGTGCGCGTCATGACGCCCCACCCAGACACGGCACCGCCGAGTCTGAGCATCCAGGAGGCGCTGCGCAAGATGCACGGTGAGTGACGCAGCGACGCAGCACTTGCAGAGAGACCCCCAGGCTGACGCCACGCCACAGACGGCCGCTATCTCAACCTTCCCGTTGTGGACGTCGACTCGCGCCTGGTCGGTGTCGTCGACGTGCTCAAGCTCACGTACGCCACGCTGGAGCAGATCAACAGCATGAACGAAGAGTCGGGCGGCGAGGGCGGCGGGCCCATGTGGAACCGCTTCTGGAACTCCTTCGGGCAGACCGGCAGTGCAGCGGGCGGCGGAGGCGACGACAACGAGAGCGCCATGAGCGGCAGCCATCGGCCCTCGGAGATGCACGAGCCGCAGACGCCGAGCAAGTACAACCCCTCCGCCGACATGTCGAGCGATCTGCACCCCAATGATTCTGCGAGCGCAGTGGGCGGCACGCGTGCCAACGACGATGCCATGTCGGGCGTCAACTACCCGAGCGGCATCGCTCCCGCCGCAGCTGCAGAGGTGGACGACGGCACGTATCTCTTCAAGTTTGTCACGCCTTCCGGACGCACGCATCGCTTCCAGGCGCGCTACGACAGCTTCGAGACGATCCGAGAGATTGTCACCATCAAGCTGGAGAGCGACCCGTTCTTCGAGGAGCTGCCTGCGCCGACAGTCGCGGAGCCGGCAGAGGGAGAAGAAGCGGCGCCGCAGCCGCCGAAGCCCAGCGCGCCGGACGCAAACGACTTTACGCTGGCGTACACGGATGACGAGGAGGACGTCGTGCTCATCACTGCCGACGGCGACGTTCTCGACGCCGTGCAAGTGGCGCGCAAGCAGGGCCGCGACCGCGTCGTTCTTCTCCTCCAAGGCGGTCGCGGCTGGGAGGAAGCCGCCGCACGCGTCGGCGCTCCCGCCGCCTCCACCACGTCCGCCAACCTCACTGCAAACAGCGCCTCGAAGCAGCGCAAGGCGCGCGAAGCAGCCGAGGCACAACTGCAGTCGGTGCAGGAGGAGGAAGAGCGGGAGCAGGAGGCCGAGGTGGGAGAGAGGGCGCCGACGAACGCAAAGAAGGTGTCGCGCACGAACAAGAACAAGGAGGAGCAGGAGGTGCTCTTTGGCTTCTTGCCCAAGGATCTGGCCCTGCCCGCGGCGATTGGATTCTTGGGCGTCGCGGTGCTTGTCGGCATCGTGGTGGCCAAGCCCAAGTAGACGAGGCGAGCCCCTGGCACCTGCCGGCAACCCCCCTGCAACCCTTTCGTCCTCTCTGCGGCCACGCTCTCCCTCTGCCCTCCCTCTCACCCCTCTCACCGCACATACTCACATTCCCCGCTTTCTTTTCTGCCACTCGCCACAGCGCACACTGGACCCGGCGCGCGCATCGCGGCCTCGTCGCGGTCTTCCCGCCTGTTCCCTTTCCTCACGAAGCGCCCTCGTCGCCCTGTGCCTAATGATAAAGCAACGTTTCTATCCGGCTACGCAGCGAGATGATCTGATTCGATCCGCCCTGCAGCGTGTGTTGGCAGAGAGAGAGAGAAGAGAGGCCTACAGCTCCTCCTTGCGCGCCGCGGCACGAGCGGCATCTGCGCGCGGGCCGCTGATGGCCAGCAGCTCGACTGCATCGGCTTGCATCAGCACTGCCCCTTTGCCCACTTGCTCTCCTCGCCTTCGCGCAGACTCACCGTCGAACACGAGCGTCGCGCCGCCGGGAATGACGCCGCCGGCGCCGTGGTCGCCGTAGCCGAGGCTGGGCGGGATCTGCAGCTTGCGCTTCTCGCCCTCGCACATGCCCAGCAGGCCCTGCTCCCAGCCCTGGATCACCTGGCCCGTGCCGATGGTGAAGTCCTGCCACGAAGAGAGGAGTGAGACGGGGCAACAGAAAGGGAGGGAGAGGGGACGCACGAAAGGAGTGCCGCGATCGAGCGAGGAGTCAAACTTCTTGCCCTCCCACTGTGCGAGACGCTGTGCATCAGCCTGTGTCGCGTCTCTCAGCTACGAAAGTGCAGCGCACCAGTGTGCCAGTGTAGTGCCTGTTGCATCCGGCTCGTCAGCTCAGCACTGCGCGCGGGTGAGAGGAGTCGCCACGCACATGCTCAGCCGGTCGCCCTTTGCGCTCTGCAGCTCGCACGCGGCCGGCTTGAACTTGACGCCCACCTGCAGCTCCGTCGGCTTCGTCTTTGCCGCTGCGGACGCTGCGAGCAGGAGGGCGCTGAGCGCGGCGAGGGAGAGCTGCATGGTGATGAAGGGGAGCGTGGTGGCGGGAAGGACGGGAGAAGCGCAGGCCGCCCGAGTGGCTCGTGCGCTGCGCAACGTGGCGGCATCACGTGATGCCCACGCGCGCCGGCTGCGCTCCCAGGCGCGGCGCGTGTTGATGCGCACGACGGCGTGTTGCTCTCCACTCCGCCTCGCTGCCGCCCCTTCTCCCTCTCCCCCTCACTCGCCAGCAGCTTCCCACGCATCCGCCTCTCGCACACTCGCTGCACGCTCCTCCGCACTCCGCGCAGTCCGCCCTGTCTCAGCTCCATCAAGTCGCACTGCCCCACATGGCGCCCTCGACGCGTGCGCGTGTCTCGCGCTCTCCCCACCGCGCCGCCGCCGCCGCCTCCTCCTCCAGCGGCGCCTCCTCGCCGCCGGCCAAGCGTGTCGCCCTGGCGAGCAAGGGCCGCCGCCGTCGCGCCGCACTCGGCAGCGTGCAGCCGGGCGAGACGAGCCTCAGCGTGGGCAGCATCAGCGGCAGCTTTGACGAGGCGGATGTGAGCGTCGAGAAGCACGAGGAGAGGATGGCGCCGAGCGAGGCGATGCGCGAGGCGCGCCGGTGAGTCTCCCTGTCACTCCACTCGCGTACAGCAGACTGACGCGGCGTGACAGCATCGCTGCCTTGGTGCAGCCGAGCAGCACGAGCGCCGCAGAACTGCACATGCTGCATCTGGCGGCGGCCCTTGCGGCGCGCTCCGAGGCGGCACGCTCGGCGAGTGGCGGCAACGCAGAGACGGACGTGGCGTGGAGCCGGCTGCGGGACTGGCCCGAGGGCGTGGAGATGGAGGAGGAGGCGGTCAAGGTGAGGCTGCATCAGCGATGAGAAGGGGGGGGGGGAGTCTATGCTGCGTACGCGCAAGTGCTCACGCTGCCGGTGGCCTTAGGACTACTACCGCCGCCTCAAGTTCATCCATCTCGAAGTCGAGACGAAGCGTCTCTTCCTCTCCGACACACTGCCCGACGCGTCTGGCGCCGAGGTGTTGTACACGCGCGAGGATGTCGCCGCTCTCGGTGCGTAGACCCGTGCCTTCTCTGCTTCTTGGCGGCAGAGACTGACGCTCCGGCGTCTACAGAGGAGGCAGCCGCGACGCTCAAGTCTCAAATGAAGGCGCGCAAAGCCCTGGTCCGTGATCTGCGCTCCTCCATCGACGCAACATGCGCCTCTCTCCTCCCCACCGGCGCACCCTCGACGCCTCGTCGCCGCGCCAGTGCCGTGCCCTCGGCGCCCGGCGCATGGGACACGCTCGTCTCCGACGCCGAGGCGGCGCAGGGCCTGATGCGCGAGATTGGCGATCTGGAACTGGACCTTGCGCGCCTGAAAGCTGCCGGAGGCGCAGAGACTGGCTCGGCGATGGGAGGCAAGAGAGCGAGCTCGAGAGGCATCCCGATGCGAGGGACGCTGACGAGGGATGAGGCGGTGCAGACTTTCGATGAGCAGGTACGTGCCCCTTCTTCCCCCTTCTGACTTCTTCGCTGACGCTTGCGCGCGTAGATCGAGGAGATGCAGTCCCTCGAGACTGCGTACGCTGCATGTGGCGCTACGTTTGAGACGAGGAAGAAGGACCTGACGGCTGCGCTGCGGGCGGTTGAGAGACTCAATGTGGAGCTGCGCGTCGCCGAGGGATATGCTGCGGAGGCACGAAGAGCGGGATTGGATGGCACGAGAGACATGACTGTGGAGTTGATGTGCCAAGGGTGAGTTTGCTCTGCCCCCCTCCCCTCTCCTCCTGCAACCCCGGGTATTCTTCCCGCCTCTAGTCGCTGCACAGAGCAGAGCTGACGCCCTCCCTCCTTCCCTTGCAATCAGGCATTCATCGCGCCTAGAAGTGCTCAAAGCCTGTCTCGGCCTCGAGAACCTCAGCGCTCCCGACTCAAAGACGCTGCGCGCCACGTATGCCACGCGCGACAATGACGCGGTGGTGCTGGAGCTGCGATATGCGCAGGCTGGGGGACGGCTGTTGGACTTCATGGTGCGTTGCCCCTCCTTACTGCCCTCATGGCGTGGCTGCCGAAGCGCTGACCTCCGCTCCGTGATACACAGCTCTCCTCACCCACGGGTGACGCTCTGCTCGACACCCTTGCACCTCTGGACTCTCAAACGCGTGCAGCCATGCAGGCGGCATTGCAGGCCAACGACGTGCCGCTGCTTGTGCAGACTTGCATTGGGTGCATCGACGAGCAGTGAGGCTCCAAGCGCCTTCCTATCTCCCTTGGCCTTCACCATCCCTCTTCGCTCTTCGCCTGAGCGCTCGATTCTCCTGCTCTTCGATACCCCCCACTTTGTTCGCCGCAAATCGCATAGCCTTTGCATCCAGTTGCGACACTGCGAGGAGCCTCAGAAAGCCCGTCTCTTGCCCGCTCCCCTTCTATATCCCGTTCCCCTTCCTCCTCTCGTCGCCGCCTGTCCTGGTACGGCTTGCGAGTGTCCCTCCGTCCTCTTCGCTGGCGACTGCGATGGCGGCGCAGAAGGTCCGGGAGGAGGAGGCGACGGTGGAGGAGCTCGCGCGCTGGACGGAGCATCGGCGCCGCTGGGCGATGCGAGACTGCTGCGTCGCGAACTGGGACTGGGAGGCGAAGGACTTGGCAGACCTAAGAGCGAGGCATCTCTCGACTCGAGGCGGCGCAGTTTGGCCGGTGAGGCTTCCCCTTCTTGCGGCTCTGCGCTCGTGCTTGCGCTGCGCTTCAACGCAGCAGGCGCAGCTTCGCCCTCCGAGGACTCGGTGGCGCTGCTTTCCGTCTCGCTCATCTCCTCGAACTCATCCGCCGACGCGCCTCTCTTGCGCGGCGCGCGCAGTCGGGGCTTGACCTTTGGCGGTGGGAGAAGCGGCACGGGCAGTGGCGCAGAGGGATCAGGATCGGCGGCGCGCGCGGCGAGAGATGGGGGCAGAAGAGAGGCGTAAGGGAGCGGGCTTGGAACGGCGGAGGACGCTGCTGCAGGCGGAGGAGTGGGAGAAGGGTCTTCAAAGGAGTCGTCGGATGCGTTGTGGGGCAGACGAGAGGCGCGAGGTCGTTGCAGAGTCATGCGCGACGAGCTTGCCTCGCCAGTCCGGGGTGCTTCACTGCGTCGTTCCTTCCTCCTCGTAGAGAAAGAGCTTGCGTCACCCTCGATGCCATGCTGTAAGCGCAGCACCGCCGCTTGAAGCTGCTGCGTCTCGGAATCTGCCTCGAGTCGCAGCAGGGGCGCGAGGAAGTGCACGCGCCATGCGTCGTTTGCGTCGCGCGAAGAGAGGGCGTCGAGCATGAAGGAGAAGCGAAACGTCTCTCCTCCCTCTGCGTGCGAGATGCGCAGCGTCGCCTAGAGAGGAGTGAGTAAGGGAACAGAAAGAGAGAGGCAAGAGCAACTCACGTCCGTCCTGGCGGCTTCACACTGCACTTCTCCCTCTTGCAGCGCCACTTTCAACCGCTGCACATCTTTCCGCCAAGCCTCCCTCATTTCCACCTCCTCAATGACGCCCGACTGTCTCTCAGCGCGCCGCAGAGCCGACGATCTCGAGAGGCCCTCGAAGAGCGCGGGCGCTGGCGCCAGGGGCTGCAGGAGCAGGCAGAGCTCGTGCGAGGAAGCGTCGTGGTGCAGCTTCTGCGTGACGAAGCGGGCGTCAGCTTTGAAAGAGAGGGAGAGAAGAGAGAAGGACGGACATAGAGAAATGCATGGCCCGGCAAGGCACACCAGGGGATGCGCTGCAATGCCGAGGAGAGAGAGGCGGACCATTCGAGCAGCGACGGCGCCGCTGATGACGACGAGGCCATGTGTGGCTGCGTGCGATCTTGCAAAGAGAAGGCAGACGAGGCGCCGAGCTTGGGTGAAGGGCGTTGATGTGGTGGGCAAGAAGGCGAGACGCTGGCGCATTCGACGTGCTCCAGGCGCCTCAAGCGCAGCCACGCGCCTCGCCGTGCCTCCACCTCGCCTCGTCTGCGCGCGCCTCGCGTCTTGCTCTCTCTCCCCCACCTCCCTCCCTCCAGTGCGCCATGTTCGCCACCGTGCCTCTCCTCTCGCCGCGCGCGCTGCTCTCCCTGCGCGGGCCCGCCGCGCAGTCTCTCCTGCACGGCCTCTTCACTTCCCCCGTCTCCTCCCTCACTGCGCCCGTCCACGGCGCCCTGCTGCACGCAAACGGGCGCATCCTCTCTCCCGCCTTCGTGCATCCTTACCCGGATCGCGCATCAGATTCGCCGGATGTGCTGCTCGACATCCATGAAGCCATGGCAGAAGAGGTGACGGCGCACATCAAGCGGTACAAGCTCAGGAGCAAGGTCAAGGTGGAGAGGGAGCAGGCGTGGAAGGTCGCAGTGGATGTTGAGGACCAGGAGGCGAAGCGGGAGGGCGCATTTGTGGACATGAGAGCACCGGGACTGGGCAGTCGACGGCTGGTGCGGGCCGAGGACGAGTCTGGTACGTGCTTCTTGGCCCGGCCGCACTCACAGCGCGGACCCACTGATGCCTCTCGCGCAGCCGCTTCCTCGCTCGAAGCCTACACGCTCCGTCGTTCGCTCCTCGGCGTGGCCGAGACGCCAGAAGAGCTTGTGCCGGGTCAAGCGCTGCCCTTAGAAGCTTCGTTGGAGCTGCAGCACGGCGTCGACTTCCGCAAGGGCTGCTATGTAGGCCAGGAGCTCACGGCGAGGACACATCACACGGGCGTGGTCAGGAAGCGCGTGGTGCCCGTGCTGCTTTACGAGCTGGATGGAGCGTGAGTTGGCTGCCGCTGCAGGAGCGAGGTGGAAGAAGCGGGCTGACGAGCGCCTTTCGCGACAGCATGCCGGACATCCCGACGGCCGAGCAAATAGCGCACTCCTCCGCCTCCTTCTCCTCCCTCTCTGCCTCGCACGCGCTCCCAGCAAGCGGCGCTGAAGTGCGTTCCGTCCCACTCTCCCCCTCCAGCGCCTCCTCTGCGCCTCCACGGCGCGGCAAAGCGGCCGGTCGACTCCTCTCGGTGCAACCGGGCGGCGTGGGACTTGCGCTGTTGAGGCTGGAACAGGTCAGGAGAGTGGGAAAGAGCGCAGAGGACAATGGCCTCAGCATGAGTGTTGATGTGGAGGGAAAGAGCGTCGGCGTGCGCCCGTGGTTGCCGCATTGGTGGCCTGCTGAGGTGCGGGAAGGGGAGAAGGAATGAAGAGAAGCAATTCGCAACCCAGGTCACTCTGACCTCGACTGAGCCTCACGCGAGAAAGGACGAGGAATTGGTGCAGTACAGAGAGCGAAGCGCGTGACGTGGTGGTAAAGAACAAGGATGCCATAGAGGCAAGAACGGGAGAGGAGCATGTGACGTGATGAGGAACAGAGGACGAGGAGTGAAGTGAGACAGAATGGGATAGAGGCAGCGATGATGGGCGAGGGGAGTAGCGGCGAAGGTCGAAGGAGTCGGAGCTCGTGACCAGCGGCGCACGAGAGGGTATGTCGTTCTCATCTGCCGTCGAGCCGCTTCGTCAGACGAGCAAACGAGAGAAGGGAGACGATCGTTTGGTCTCCCTTCTCCACGTCTGCTCGCGTGCGAACTGTTCACGGCAATGAGCTCGAGCATGCCCTCCATGCGCCATCAACGACGAGATCTCGACGAATCGACGATGCGCAGAAGCTGGCGGAGAAGCCGTGCACGAAGAGAAGGCGGATTTGAAGGCGCCAGTGGCGCACGAAGGAAGAAAACACATCGACGTCTTCACCGTGGAGTCTGCAACATCGGAGCGAGCGAGAGAGGGGGAGACGATGCTAGTCTCCCCCGCTCACCGTCTGCTATGATGATGAGGCCGCTCCGGAGAAGTGGCCGAGAGTGCCCTTACTTCGTGCACCATCGGCGGAGAGATGTTGCTGCTGCTGCCGACGGCTCGATGCGAGAAGGCGCATCTTGAGCGACGATTGACGCACGGGAGGTCGCAAAAGTCTCAAGCACCGTGCATCGAAGGCCGGCGGGAGCAAGTACGTAGAGACGGAGAAGGGTCTCCTTCTCCCCGCCTGCTTGCGCAGGCAAGTCCATGCACGGCAAAGAAGATCATAGCGCCGCGAGTGCAATCGGAGTCGAAGATGATGAGGAAGCCGAGGAGCAGCGAGTGTGACGACGAGGCGATCTGGCCCGTCAATTGCAGCACGAGGTTGCACGCCAGTCTTTCACACCGTGCAGCGATGGCCGGAAGGAGCTAGGGCGTAGAGAGGGAGAGTCATCTCCTTCTCTGAGTCTGCTTCTGCCTGGCGATCGATGCACGACGTGAAGAAAGCGATGTTACCTCGCGCGCCATTGAAGAGGAGATCTCGATGAGGGCGGAGCGACGATGGCGAGAACGAGCCGGTCTCGAGCGCCGATCGCACACGGGGCTACGACGCGCTGCTTCGCGGTTGCGTACTCGGTGTCGTCGAGCAGGCGGCAAAACGAGAGACGAAGGCGTCTCGAGTTGTTCCCATCTGCTCTTCCCATCGAGCTTCAACCTCAAAGCAGCGCAATAACCTCGTGAGCGACCGGCGCCGCGATCTTGACGGAGCTTGCGGGGCTGATGTGGAGCGCCCATCGCGCACGAGTGGCCCGATATCTTGGCTGCAGGCTCGCCTTCTTCGGCGAGCGGACGGGGAAGAGAGACGAGCGAGTCTCCCGTTCCGCATCTGCCCGCAAGGAATGCGAAGACACATCCAGGAGCACGAGGACCCGTGAGCGATCGAACTCAAGAAGGCCGCCCTCCTGTGGCCACTGCTCTTCTTCGTGGTTGAGAGGTCGCACCGACCCCCCCGCGCCGTGCGCGCCATCCGCTCAATTGAGCTCCTCCTCTCCCGCCGCGTCAAACATCCTCTCGCCGGGGTGCGCATGCGACGAGTTGCTGACGCGTCTCGCGAAGGCGCCGGCGGTGCGAGGCGTGAGCGTCGCCAAGCTCGTCAAGCTGGCCGTCGAGTGGTTGCGACTGAGCGGCGCAGGCGTCGTGCTGCCGCTCGCACCGATGCCAGGTGGCGGCAGCCCGAATGCGGGCGATGCGGCGCGCGAGACGGAGCGACTCGAGTAGCCAGACGTGGTCGCGGAGAGGGAGGGAGCGTCGTTGGCGGCGGAAGAAGCCCATGCTGCGGCGAAAGGCGAAGGACTGGCGGCTCGCTGATGCAACGGCGGAGAGCCGAGCGGCGTGCCCATGCCCAGGCTCGCTGCGCCAGAGCCAGCGGCGCTGCTCGTGAATGCAAGTCCGCCGACGCGAGGACCAGCGCGACTTGACGGTCTGGAGATGCTGCTTGCCGAGCTGACACCGCCGCTGCCCACGCCCACAATGCCGAGCGTCGGCAGCGCAGCAGCAGAGTCGGTGCGCATCAGCATGTTCATGCCCGCGCCTGGACTGCTCGTGCTTCGTCGTGGCGGGAAGCGTGAAGAGCTAGGCTTGCGTCGAGAGCTGCCGGGAGAGCCATGTCGGCTTGTGAGACCGCCGACTGGTGTTGCGCGAGCGCCGAAGAGCAGGCGTCGGAGTGGCCACGTGAGCGTGGCGACGACGCCGCCGCGGCTGCGCTGCCGCTTGTGCGACGTGCGCACGGCCTTCGGGTCCGCCTCTTCCGAGCTCGATGTGCCTGCGCCCGCCTCGCCGTCCGAGTAGTCGCCCAAGTGCTCCGCATCGCCTGCCTCCTCCATGTTGGCGAGCACGTAGTCGCCACGACCAGCCCGCCGCGAGTCGCCGCCGCTGCCGCGCGCGAAGAGACCCATGCAAGAGCCCAGTGGCGGCGGCAGCATCTCGCGCAGTGCTGTGCGGCGCTTGATGGCGCGCGGTGAGCGGCCGCGGATGAAGCAGAGCATCATGGCGACGAGGATCGTGCCGATGAGCGCCATGAGCGCCGCTGCGCCGCTGACGGAGTGCCCGCCTGCGCGAAGAGGCGGCAGAGGCAGCGATGCCACGGCATCGCCTGGCCGATGCCACATGGGGCTGAACTTGTTGCCCCACGTCGGCGGGCCCGGGTCCGAGACGATCGGCGCTGCCTCGGGGCTGCCGAGTGCCGGCGGCGGCGGAATGTCGCGACTAGCCTCGAGGACAGCCTTGCCGAGAGTCCACGAGACTGAAAGGCCATTGACGTCGTTGACGCTCTGGAAGAGGTTCTTGGCGTCTGCCTTCTCCTGCGCGTCATCGGAGTGCTTCTCGCCATCGCCTGCGCCGCCCGGCTCGCCGAGTCTCGGCAGGCCAATGCCCTCGTGAAGCACAGTCGTCATCCATGCGCTCTTGAAGCACTGCATGCGCAGACGACCGAGATCGACTTGCGCGCCCCACTCCGTGCCAGCGCGGTACTTGGCCTCGATCTCCTGCCATGGCCGCGAGCAGAAGTCGCGCGCTGCCTTTTGGAACGAGACAAAGTCGTACACGCCGCCCAGGCCGAAGACGTCTGCAGCGAGGAGCATTAGCATCTGTGCAGCAGAAGAGCGGCCGCTCGTCACTCACCGTTGCTGGAGAACCAGTACTCGCTCACGCCGACAAAGTGGTTGGCCGAGAACTCGATCTTGGGCACGTGGACGCCGTGGAAGAGGCATGGCGGGCGCGCACAGAGGGCATGCTTGTCGAGCAGCGGCTCTAGACTCTGCACGCAGCCCTCCCACGAGCCAGTGCCGAGCAGCGTGGCGTTGGCGCCCGTGGCTAGCGTGAGGCCATCGGGCAGGCATGGGTCGCGGATCAGATCGCCTGGCCGTGTTGATGCGGGCAGATCTTGCGGCGTAGACGTCGGCACAGCGACGGCCGCTTTGGATGCTGCCAGACTGGCACTGGCGCCGAGCTGCGTGCCGTTGTGCGCCTGCTCGAGCACCGAGACATAGCGCTCGCGCGCCCGGTTCGTGCCGTAGCCGAGGAACGTCGTGACGAAGACGTTGGAAGCGACGTCGGTGCCGTCGAGCATGCGCAGCGTGACCTTGGTCAGCTCCTCGCCATCGGGATGCGCCGGCTCGAAGGCGATCTGCGTCGAGGCGCCGCCGAGGTCGAGGAAGCCGAATGTCGACTTTGCCTTGGGCCGCGCTTGTGGCGCAAGGCCGGCCGTAGCGGCTGCAGAAGCGGACGGTGGCAGCGAAGTCGGGAAGTGAAAGCCATCCATGAGGTAGTTGATGGCGATCCAGCCCAGCAGGCCCTCCTCCTCGCCCGAGATGATGGCCACCTGCTGCTCGCAGCCGGCCAGACGCGGAATCTTGAAGCGCGTATCGCGCTGGATGATGCGGCACGTCTCGCGCAGCACGGCGTCGCTCTGTGCTGTGGGCAGCAGACGCATGCCGGCCGTCGCGAGCACGTAGATCGGCGTGTCGGCGATGGCATGCTCCGGGATCAGCGTCGAGGCGTGGTCAAGCAATGGCGTGAGGTAGGCGCCGAGGTCTTGCGGATGTGTGCCAAACGACGAGAGGCCTGCGAAGTAAGAGGTGAGCCAGGTGCGGCGGAGCAGATGCTGCGGGCTCTGGAGGGCTAGTGCAGCCGGCAATCACGTCGCCCTGCCGGCCCTGCGGTCTTCGAGGCGACACTCACCTGGCTCGACCTTCCACTGCCACTCGTCGCCACTGCCGTCCCAGGTGCCCTTCTCCACATTCGGCAGCACGCGCGTGCTGTTGCCGGCGCGCATGCGTTCTGCGCGGTCGACGCGTGCGTCGCGCCAGCTGTACACCTGCATGCGCGAGCCGCTGCTGCCGGCATCGACGACGATGGCGTATCGACGGCTGGCGGCCCAGTTGCCGGGGCTGACGGCGGGCGCCAGCGCAGAGGTGCTGGCCACGGGCTGAGGCCGCAGCGGCGGCGGCATGGGCGCGCGACGCGACGAGGCGCCGCCGGCCCGAGGCGGGGCGGCCATGGCGAGCGGCGAGCACCGGGCGCGATCGAGAGACGCAGCAGACGGTGCAGAGAGGTGCTGGAGGTGCGAGCTGCGGCGAGAGCGGTGTGCGAAGGGGAGATGGCTGTGGAAGACGGAGAGGAAGGAGTGGCAAGCCGAGGCGAGGCCGTGCTTTGCAGCCAGGAGCCGAGGCGCCTTCTCGTCGTCGCGGCGCGGAATTCAGCGAGGGTGCGTGAAGCGACTCGCGGCGTGCTGCCGCGGACGTCGCTGGCTGTCGTGTTGCGCCGCTCTGCCCCTGTGCCTGCGCCGGCCCCGGGGCGAGCACGCGGAGAGAGCGTGCAGCGATGCAGCGTCGCGGGCACCGTGCGGCAGGAGAGCAGCAGCAGCGTCGCCGCGACGCCGCGGCTGTCGTGCTCGCCGCTCCCAAAACTCGCCCTCGGCGCACGCTCGCTGCGCCGTGTCGTCGCTGCGCGCTGGTGCTGATGGCCGGCCTCTGTTTCATCGCGCCGAGGCCGGCCATCATCGGGGCGTCATGCCGCCGTCTATCAACCCTGCGCTGCGGCAGCGAGGGGCTGGCCCACCCGAATTTGGCAGCGCTGCGCTTGCCGCCGGGTCTTGCCTTCTCTCTGCCCGAGCATCGTCCTCGCTGCTGCCGCCTTCGCACGAAGGCCGTCCCCACAGCCGCGCTAGACGCAGCAGCTGCAGCTTCGAGAATGTCGTGCATGCGTGGCTGCAGCGGCAGCAAGCGAAGCGCGCAGCTCGCAGAATGAATGAACGGCGTCAAGGCCGATGCTCGCTGCTTGCTTCGATGAGCTGCTCGCAGAGCGAGACGGCGAGGGCACAACGTCCAGACAGGCCCGGCTCCCCCGACGAGCATGCTCCGCCTTGCGTCGCGGCACGCCGGGCCCTGCCGCCTCGTCGGGCCCTCGTGTCATGCGTCGATGCGCGAGCCCTCATCAAAGCTCGCTGCAGCTCTGACGCTCTGAGCGCTCGCGGCTGCGCGTCTTTGGCCGAGGAGACTGAGAGGTCCAGTCGCCAGGCCGCCGCTCAGGCCTGAGCGGCTGAGGGGTCGAGGAGACCCTCTCGACATCCACAGCAGGCGTCGGATAAGCGGCAGGGGCAGCCGAAGGAAGCTGTGAGGACGCCGCGTGCTTGCCTGCCATCCTGCTGCGCCGCTTCGAGAGGCCTGCCTGAGCCCGCCGAGGAGCCTTGCCGCCGCCTGCCGCTGCTCAACCCCTCAGCGCTCGTGGCCACCCCTTCACATCCTTCCCGGCAGGCGGCGACGCGAGCGAGCTGCAGCAGGCAGAACGTTCACCCTCGCTCTCATGCGTCGTCCTCCAGAGAGCGGCAGTCGAGGCTGCGGCTCTGGACTGGAGGAGCGCTCGCAGGCGGGCGGCGAGCGAGAGGAAGCGCCCAGCGCCTGCCATGCCGCGGCACGGCTCGGCACGGCGTGCAGCTCCCGCGGAGTAACCCTGCGCCAGGCACGGGCTGCTCACGCGATGTATTCGTCGACTACAACCACCCTATGCAAGTTGTACTCGATTCTTTAATGCGCTCCCCGCCACCGAGCGGGCGCCGCACTTGGCTCGGCTGCCTGCTCCCGCGCTCCCCTTGCCCCTCGGCTTGTCCGTGCTCGTCATCGCACCTCCCATCCAACGCCGGGGCCACGTGCTGCCTTCTTCTGCGTCCTCTCCTCATCCACACCTCTGCGTCGCCTCCGCCCTCTGCGTCTCCGTCCCTGGTCCGCCCGCTTCTCCTTTCTAGACTAGACTACCTGCCTCGGCGCGCCCTGCACAGCCTCGGCACCCTCTCCTCCTCATCGTCTCTCCCCGATGGCGCGCCCACTGCCGCGCGCCGTCGCAGCGCCGCCTGCGCCGGCATTGCTGGCCCGGCAAGCCTTCCTACCTCCTCCGCCTCTCAACGCCTCTCGCACGTCGCGCATCAGCGGCGATGGCGATGCCGACGACGAGGACTTCGCCGGCACCTCCACGGCGTCGGCCGCCATTTCCTCATACACCTCCATGCCGCAAGTCGGCAACGCGACGTGGGAGATGATCGGTCGCACGCGCGGCACGCCCATCTTCTCCGGCGAGCCGACGGCCGTGGGGCCACAGACCAACGTCTACATCTTCGTCTACCCCGACAACTACAGCAGCGTCATTTCGCCGGGCGCTAAGCCCTCGACTCGCGCGCTCCTCGCTGCAGCTGCAGTGCAGACGTCACTAGCGAGTGAGGCACTCAATGCCACATCCACCGCCTCGTTGGCGCCGACAGCCTCAAGCGAGGCGAGCGAGGCACAAAATGGAGCAGCGCCAGTGCAGCACGGCAAGAAGGGCGCCGTCGCCGGCGCACTGATCGGCATGCTCCTGCTAGTCTTCGCCTGCGTATCCGGCTTCTTCTACCTTCGCCGACGACGGAGGTGTCGCGCCATGCGGGCAGAGCGAGACTACGGCGACGAGCGAGCCACGCCCATGGCTGAGAAGCACGACGGCCTCTCCTCCGCATCATCACGCCGCTCGATGCACCTCGCCTCGCGCCCCGAATCCATGCTTAGCTTCGCCTCGCGCAGCAGCCTACAGCGTGCGCCTCTTTCGCCTGCGCGCAACCCCTTCGACGATCCGAACGGCGCCGATCCCTTCGGCGACGGCGATTCCTTCCTCCGCTCGCCATCCATGCTCAGTCTGGCGCAGAGTCAAGATTCGAGCTACGCGCCAAGCATGACTACGATGTCTTCCAACTCGCGGCCCATTCGCTCTGAGGGGCCTTACCCACTGCCACCACGCACGCCACTGGCTCCGCGCTCGCACCGGCGGCCCATTGATCCGCGTGTCCACACCGACCTGCTCGACGCACACGGCGAGCGAGACGTCGACTATGCGCGCGCCAGCTTCTCCACCGACGTGTCTCGCGCGATGTGGATGGCCAGCCAAAGTGGCGCTTCATCCAGCCGCGGCAGTCTTCGCACTTCGGCGTCAATGCGAGACGTGGCGGACGAAGCAGATGCAAGCAGCGCAGCCAGCTTCGTGCGCTCCCGCCCGACTAGCTGGCGCAGTCTCAGCACAAACGACGAGGCGGAGATGTGGCAACAGCGCGCTGCGGCTGCCGCTAAGCGTGCCTCTTCGCACGCCGAGAGCATCCGTAGTGCCTCTTCCGCTGGGCTGCCGCACTCAACAAGCCGACCGCGACTAGCCATCAACACCTCATCGCAGAGCATCCCTTTCGTCGATCCTTTCTCTGACGACGCGCCAGGCTCGTCAAGCAGCAGTCAAGAACGCACACTGACGGCGCCGCACGTCAAGAAGGTCGATGAGAGCACGGTCGATGCGTCGCGCCAGCCGCCGATGCTGCAGGTCATCGCGCCTACGCCGTCGACTCACACACACTCGGCGGTCGATGGCGGCGAGGAGACGCTGCCGCGCTACTCTGCCTGGCGCTGAGGCGCCGTACGTGCGCCGTGCCGCCGCCTCGTCGCTCCGGCTACTTCCAGACGTTGATCACCTCCATGCGCGCGGATGAGCACGCCCGCACGATCTGGCCCGTGGAGACGAAGAGCCTCGTTCTCGACATCGAGCCCGGGCGCTGGTGGCAACGACTTTGCCATCACACACCGAGCTCGAGGTCGAGACGGCAGTTCTCCGTCGCTTCGGTGCAGACCGTACGGCCACGCTTGCCCCTGCGCGCGTGGTAGTCCGACAACACGCTGGAAGAGCTGCAAGCCGACGTTTCCGGCGGCCTTCTCTCCAGCTCTCGCCATGTCGTCAAGCGCGTCGGTGGTGTGGATCACTGTCGAGGTTAAGGAGGACTCGCACATGCAACTCGCCTGCGTCGAGCTCGGCTTTGGGCGGCAACGATTTGCCTCCCAGCGGCTGGCTCGAGGTCGGCCGACTCGCCATGTTCGCTTTCTCTCTCTTCCCCGACGGCGATGCACGTCACTATACTCGCCTGACTATGCGGCTCGCCGTCTCCATCTCGACGCGCCTCGAGTGCGCTCTTCGCCACCTTTCTCGCCTCGAAGCGCTAGCTCGACATGCTCCTCAGCTGCTCTCGAGAGCGAGGACACTTTAACCACATCTTGCGCTTGAGCATGGTCCCGGCGGCAACGACTTTGCCTCCCAGTACCTAGCTCAAGTGCAGCATGCGGCACACGTATCCTCGTCTCTAGTCTTGGCTGCGAGCGTTGCGATCCTCGCGCTTCACGGCACGGCTCGATCGACGGCTCCTACGTGCCTGGCGCACTGCTCTCCGCCCTCTCGCCTCACCATCAGACGCGTCGACAACGGCTCGGACTCGACGACGACAACAACGACACATGTAGACTTTGTCGGCCTTGAGGCTGGTGCTGACAAGCAACGACTTTGCTTCCCAGCGCCTGGCTCAAGGTCGGCAGCTCGGCGATGTTTCGCTGTCCTCGCTGTTGAGCGCGGCGCAGATCCACCGTCGCGCTTCACGGTGAGGCTCGACCGACGGCTCGAGGCGACGAGCGCGCGACCATTTTACGCTCGCTCCTCGCGCATCATCAATCTCGCTGCCTCTTGCGCCGCACCGTCATCGTGTGCCTGAGTCGGTCGTCTCGCCGATCGGCCGCGACGCAACGACGCACGCAGAAGGTTGTCGAGCTCGACGTCCGTGGCGTCTCTACGCCACTCGACACTGAGCTCGAGGACGCTTCTCGCGCGACGTTGCCTTGCGCCGGTCGAGGAGACGACGTTTCGATTGCGGGCTTGAAGCGTGACGAAACAAGGTGCGTGGCAATGCCGCTCGGTACAACACAATTGCTTACAGTGTCGCACAGGCTGGTCGATTCGCGATCATGCGCAAGTTCGGCCCAGTCACTCGCCGCATCTTCGAGAGCGCAAGACGGATCTGCGTCGGCTTGCCAGCAAGCATCGTCGCAGCGAGGTCGAACATCTCAACTGCACTGGAGCTACGCGATTGAGCTCGGCGGCGGATGGCGACGCCTTGCGCTTCTCCCCGTCACGCTCGAGCGTCGTGACTCTCAGCTGTTGACATGCCGTCATCTGCTGGGACGGTGCCTCATCACATGCGCGATCGCAACAGCCGTTTGCTGCGGTCGACGCCTTCGACGGCGCGAGCGCTTGGCAACAACGGTCCGCTTCGAAGCCTCGTCTTGCAAGGAGAGCCGGCACGACGCATGATCACCCTTGACTCGACCTCGGTGGTGGACGGCGACGTTTTCGCCGACCCCAACTGAGTTCGACGCAGGTGTGATCATTGCCTCGTTCGCAGCTTTTGCTTCGTCAAGACGGCGCCCCGAGTGCATGCACCCCTCGCACAGGTCGGCACCGCGTCTTCAAGGACTCAACATCAGTGCCATTCGGCGACGCGACCGCGAGGCGCGAGTACGAAGGAGACAGTGTACGCATCGAACTCCGTGGCGGGCAGCGACGCCTTCGCCGTTCCACACCAAGCTCGGGGTCAGGACACTTGTCTCCTTCGCGTTCTCGTCGTCTGTGGACGCGGCGCCGGCGCGCACCGATGCTCGGTCTCGTCGGCATCAAGCCACGGCGTCTTTGCACGAGGCTTCTCCGCACCGAGCACGCAAGCAAGCCGTCGTCTCGGCCACAGCGCACACTTCAACGGCGAGGCCTGCTGCTGTACGATCTTGGCGCTCTGGTGGCGACTCTCGCCATTATTCACCAAGCTCGCACAAAGCACCGTCTTCCAGTTGGAGGGGCCGGCCGCGGCCGAGACGGCGATCTGCTTGCAGTCCAGCAACGAGCTCCCGACGGCGTCGACAGCGGGCGTCAACAGCCTCATTCATTCAGCCACGCATCCCATCTTACTCCTTCCCCCCTGCTCTTCTCCTGCTTCCCCTCGCGCACTCTGTAGCATCTGTACCACCATCCACTTTCGTCACCTGCACGGCCTCACGCTCTCTCGCGCTCTCTACACTCTCTGCTGCTTCACCTGCTCTGGTTGTATTCAGAATGTCATCGGCTTCTCTTGCGCACGTCTCGCGCCAGCTTGAGTGAGCTGTATCACGAGGAAAGGAGCAGAAGGAGAGGCGCATGCTTATGCCGACGCCGTCGCTGCGGCGCCGCACGGCTGACCGCCCACGCGCGAGCTCCGGCTCTCGGCCCGCTCGCGCTCGCCCGAGCCGGGCGCTGGCGCGCGCGGCGCGGCGCAGCCAAGCCTCGGCCGCCGATCGCGCCTTCCCCGCACTCGTGCGTTCTGCGCTGCTAGCCTTGCCTCCACCTACTCCTACATCATCTCCTCGTCCACACTCATCAGCATGCCGCCAGCTCCCGCCGGCGCGCCGTCAGCGGCCACGACGCGGCGCCTGATGAAGGAGTATGCCGCCGCACAAGCCGAGCTCGGGGATGCGTCATCCTCCTCTTCCTCCATGCCCTCTCTGCTCGTAGCCGACGTCGACGCGGGCACCGAAGGCGGCGATGAGCTCTTTGGCGACGCAGCCGAGCTGGCGGCGCAAGCGAGGGCAGAGAAGAAGGAGCGAAGAAGAAAGGGCGCGAATCCGGATCTGCTGGAGCTGAGACCGTACGATGCGGAAGGAGAGGATCTGTTCGATTGGGTCGCGGTCATTCGAGGACCGGAAGGGGGGTCGTATCAGGGTGAGTGAAGCTACAGAGAGCTCAGAAGGTGCAGAGAGAGGGGAGCAGCTTGGGTGGAGCTGGGCCTTGGACATTGCAGGCTGCGGCAGGGTGGAGGGAGCAGCGTCGAGGGGTGTGCACCTCCAGCATCGCAGGCATGTCGCGCTGCCTGTGGTAGGAGCCACGCTAAGTCATGCACTGCTCGTACTGTCGAGGCTGGAAAGCGATAGTGGCGCCGACTGTTTGTGTGCTGGTCGCCCGTCGAAGTAGAGACAAGGCATCGAGCCCGGTGACAGCCGCGCTCGCTGTTTGGTCCCTCTCTGCTACTTCACGCCTCACCTCCTTCCCCGCTGACTCCTCTCAGGCGGCACATTCCAAATCGCCATCACCGTGCCCCCATCCTATCCGCTCAAGGCGCCCTCCATGATGTTCCGCACGCGCATCTGGCACCCCAACGTGCACTGGACGTCCGGCGAGATCTGCCTCGACGTCCTCGCTGGTCAATGGAGCCCCGCTTGGACCTTGAGCAGCGCCATGACTGCCGTCATTGCACTTCTGGACGCGCCGGAAGCGGATAGTCCGCTGAATGTGGACGCTGGTGAGTATGAGGCGGGCACGAAGAAGCGCTATGATGGCTGACGTGGCTTCGCTGGATCGCTGTTGCAGCTACGGTGCTGCGCACGGGAGACATGAGAGCCTATCGCAGTGCTGCCCGCATGTACACACTGCTGTATGCCGCTGGCGATCAATGACAAGCTCGCGATGCATGCGCTGCCTGCTGCTCAGCCGAGACGGTGGGAAGAGTGATAGCCTTCGGCGCTTTTTCGTGGTGAGGTGTATGTGCAGAAACGGGCGAGCACGAGGCGCAAGGGTGTGCGCCGCGCAAACATGGGGGATGTGGTGCGCCAAGGCGCGTATGGGAGCGTGGATGACTGGACGTAGGTGGGACTATGCAGAGAGGCCGGTGAAGGGGACAGAACGGGCTACGGGCGCAGCACGAGCGGACAGAGAGTGTGGACGTCGAAGATCACGCCAGTCGACATTGACAGGTGTCGAGACGCCCGCGAGACCAACGATGGGGAGCCCTGCAGTCCGACGACAGTCAGCGCCATGCTCTCTCACACGACATGCTCCGCGACATGCTCCGCCACCGCGCTCCCGCCCAACTCCGTCATCTCCAGCCCGACTCTGGCTAAAAACACATGGCATTCCCCAGCTCCTCCCCTCTACGCAAATGAATAATGGCAGCCGCTTCCTCCTCGGCTGGCAGAATGCCTTTTACAACACTCACGCGAGCATGTGGTGGTGCGGGCGCGTGAGCGAGGTGGTGGGGCACGCTTAGTTCATGCGGCGGATGAGGGCGTTGATGGCCTCGTCGCGGTCACCGGCGCTGCGAGAGAGGGAGGGTGTCAGTCAAGGGCATCACAGCAGCCGCATCCACGCCGGCCACTCACTCGCCGCCCTGCACGACGGGCGTCAGCTTGCGGTTGGCCCAGCCACCGTTGGGGTTCGGCAGCTTGAAGGCCCAGAGGAAGTTGGTGGCCTGCTTGAAGTGCGGGCCGCACGTGTAGATCTCGTGGACGATGTCCTCGATGGAGATGATGCCGAACTTGCCGAGGTGCTTCTCGATGATGGCGTTGTCAGAGAGCGGGATGCGCTGGCGGTCGATCTTGGCGTATCCGCGCTTGTAGATGAGCTCGCGCACGCTCTTCAGGTTCGGCGGGCCCCAGGTGACGTAGGGCTGCACGAGCTGCAGCATCTGCGACGTGGCCTTGGTGAGGCGGACGAAGACACCGTTGTTGATCTGCAGCAGGCGCAGCAGCTGCAGGATCTTGCGCGGCTTGGGCGCAATGTTGCAGATACCGCGCAGGCGCACGACGAACACAACCTTGGGCTGCGCCGGGACGTAGAAGTCACCAGCGGCCTTGGCTGCCCGGCGCAGGCGGATCTCCTCGCGCTCCTTGGCGGCGTACTCGGCGACGTACGACTCGGCGCGCTTGAAGATGACGCGGCGCTTGTCCTTCTTGGCCTGGCGACGGGAAGTGGCGTCAGCATCAGCATGCGCGCGACTCGAGAGGTCCGCCGCACTGCCGCCTCCCCCTCCATCTGCCCTCCGCCTTCTCTCGCTCCCATGTCCCATAGCACCGCAGCAACGCGCGCGCCACTCGTCGCGTCAGCCCCGAAAGATGGTTGATTGTGGGCAGCATCGCGCATGGCTAGCCGTAATCGGTTGTGTAGTTATGCATCTTGCGCGGCCCGAGTGTGCGCTGCTGTGCTGCGCTGCACGGCGCTGCGGCGGCGGCGAGCATGCGCGCCTGCGACGCTGCGGTGCGGGCGCATGGCTAGCGGTGGATGGCACCGCTCGCCGCAGCTCGCCGTGCTGCGGCTTGGCGGCCTGCCACTCAATGCCCGACGATGCCCTGCCAGCGCCGCTATCTGGCCGCGACGACAGCAGCATGTCGCCGCCAGTCCAAAACCACCATCACCTGTTCTCTCTTCACCCTTCCATGCGGCCTGCCTGCACACGCACCTTGCGCAGCTCGCCGGCCTTGGCCAGCTTCTCCTCGCGGGCCTTCTGGTCCGTCTTGCGCTTCTTGAGCAGCGTCTCGGGGAGGAGCACGTCGTTCTGCGACGGCACAGTCGTCTTGGGCGCGGCGGCGGGCATCTTGATGAGGGAGAGGGGAGGGGGTGACGGGATGTGAGGAGAGAAGGAACGAGGCGGCGGCGGCGCGGCCACACAGCGCTGCAGCAGCGGCGGCAGTCCAGCGCCAGCGCCGCCCGCCCAGCAGCGCAAGTTCGCAGCTCGGCAGGCGCGCTGCATCTCCGTCGCCCGCCCAGGCGCGGCACGTGACGTGCTCATCCGCGGCAGAGACTGCGGCAAGCGGCGCGGCGGCGCGGCACGGGAGCAGTGTGCGTGCCGCACTGCCCGCCAGGCGGCGGCAGCAGCTGCATGGCGCGGCGCGACTGCCTCACAGCGGCCGCTCGCCGTGCCTCTGCGACGAGCGAGCTTCGCAGCGGCGGCGGCACGATGGGCGAAGCGCTGCATCGCTGCGCCGAGCCGGCACCGCACCTCTCCTGCCCACCAACTCCCCCTCCCATCTCCGCAAGTCAGCAGTCATGGGTCGTGTCATTCGCGCACAGCGCAAGTCGGTGCGTGCCTCTCTCCGCCGGCACACCGGACGCGCATGAGGCACAGGCGGGCAGAGCGCAGCAGCTGCCACTGCTGGACAGCGAGGGAGAGGCAGCATGGCGGGCGCCGAGGCAGGGACGAGACGGCAGATGCACCCGACGCACGCCTCGCCGTTGCCCCTCTCTGCGCTCGCATGCTTCTCCGCTGTCCAGCGCAGCCGTCTGTGCCTCTCATTGCGTCCGGTGAGTGCCTCGAGTATGCGCAGTGCTGACCTCGTGTCCTCCAGGGCGGCATCTTCCGCTCGCACACCAAGCACAACAAGGCCCCGGCCAAGCTGCGCGCCCTCGACTACGCCGAGCGCCACGGCTACATCCGCGGCATTGTCAAGGAGATCATCCACGACGCCGGCCGGTGAGTGGCAGCAGAGGGCGCAGCGAGGGGAGAGAGAGGACAGACGCGGGCATGGGAAGGGCGCTTCGATTGAAAGCAGGCATAGCAGAACAGTGGGAGCAGGGCTGGGCAGTGACGAGCGGAGAAGACGTCGATTACAGGCTCCGGAGCGCTGCTGCTGGATGGAGATTGCGCTGCTGTGTCGGGCGAGGCGAGACGAGCAGCAGAGCGACGGCGTGTCCAGACCACACTCGAGATGGAGCAGGCGCTCATCTCGCCTTTCGTCCGCAGTGGTGCCCCGCTGGCCCGCGTTGCGTTCCGCGACCCCTACCGCTACAAGACGCGCACCGAGACGTTCATTGCCACGGAGGGCATGTCGACGGGCCAGTTCGTCTACTGCGGCAAGCGCGCCGTGATCAACGTCGGCAACGTGCTGCCGCTCTCGGCCCTGCCCGAGGGTACGATTGTGTGCAACGTCGAGGAGAAGTCGGGTGACCGCGGCACCCTTGCGCGCACCAGCGGCAACTACGCCACCGTCATTGGCCACGACAACGACGGCACGAGCCGCCTGCGTCTGCCCTCGGGCGCCAAGAAGAGCGTGTCGTCCGAGGCTCGCGCCACTGTCGGCATCGTTGCCGGTGGCGGCCGTATCGACAAGCCGCTGCTCAAGGCCGGTCGCGCTCACCACAAGTTCAAGGTGAAGCGCAACAGCTGGCCGCGTACGCGTGGTGTGGCCATGAACCGTGAGTTGCGCTGCCGCCGCGCGAGACGTCTCCTGCACACGCTGACTCGCGCCTCGCCTCGTCTCCAGCCGTGGACCACCCCCACGGTGGTGGTAACCACCAGCACATCGGTCACGCCTCGACAGTCGCGCGCTCCAGCGTGCCCGGTCAGAAGGCTGGTCTCATTGGTGCGTGCTCTCTCACACCTTCACCCTCTGCCTTGATGCTCATCGTCTCCCTCGCGCATCACAGCTGCCCGCCGCACCGGTCTCATCCGCGGTACCGTTGCCGTCAAGGACGCATAAGCGTCTCCTTGGCAGCAGCGCTGTGTCGCAGGCAGGAGGGAAGACAGTCCCGCTGCCTCTTGGGGTCAGGCCGTCTCTACGCATCTCCACTCTGTTTGCGCCGCCGTGTGCTTCTTGTCATCCAAAAGCTTGTACATCCATCGCCGTCTGTGTGTGGATCGCAGGCACCGACGACGGCGCTACAGAACGGAGGCGCGGAGGCGACCTATCACCGAGAGCACCGAGGCACAAGGCAGCATCGACTGCTTCGCAGCAGTGCCCCGCGTTGCTGTCTCTCCCTCCTGCTCTTCCCCTCTCTTGTCCATCTGGCGAAGCGCTCGTCGCATTGCCACTCCCGCCCACCCATCTACACTCGCGCCCTCGTGCGCAACCACACTGTCCCATCTTCACCCACGACTTCCCAGCTGTACCACATGCATCTTTCTCGACCCACTTGCTGCGTGAGTTGTGGCGGACTGAGCGACTAGGCGCAGAGACGGTGAGTCGAGGGACACGGAGCGACACCAACGACAGCAGACGAGTTCAGCGGCTTGGCCTGCGTCATGACGGTGCACGCAGGAGAGGGATGAGAGGCGATCGATTCAGATGTGAGCTAGAAAGCCGCATTAGGAATCGCGAGGTTGTACAGGAAGGAAGAAGGCGAGTGAGACGACGATTACAACAACAAGGAGGAGACGGCGAGGAGACGATGGAGAGCCAGGTATTAGTGATGGTGTGTCGTAATGAGCGTGAGGCCTTGCGTCAAGGCGGGCGTGAGGGGGACAGCGAGGCCGTGCGAGGAGGCAGGGCATCACGAGATGACGAGAGAGTGGCGGGTCACCAGTAGCCGGTGGCATGGCAGCGGCCGCGGCGCACGATGTGCACGACCTCGTCGTGCTCGACGACGGTGACGGACGGCGAGCTTGCGGGCGACGGATTGGACGAGGAGCCGCCCGCGTCGCCCCACTGCGGGCGCAGCGAAGCTGAAGGCCGTCGAGAACTCTCTTGCTGGTGGTGGTGCTGCTGCGCCAGCTCGGCGTACTCCTGCGCGGCCGTGACGTCGCCCGTGTGCGTCGCCAGGGAGCGCTGCCAGCGCCGGATGGAGAGCACGCTGCGGCTCTCGCGCAGCGGAGGCTGCGACGGCGCGAACGTCTCGGGCGTGAGCGGCACGAAAGTGTCCAGTGCCGGCGCCGTGCCCGGACGGATCGAGGGCAGGCTGGGACGGCGCAGCTGCTCGTCTCTGGCCGACGTCGACCCCTCGTGTGGGCTGTCGGGGAAGCGAGGGCGCTCCGGAGACTTGCGCGAGACCCGGATGATCTTGCGCAGGCTGGCTGCGGGCGCCGAGCGGCCCTCGCCCGGCACTAGGATGTCCGGCAGACTGGGCATGCGCGATCGAGTCGGAGCGATGCGCGCCAGCACCTTGCGCAGTCCTCCGCCGTGACGCTTCGACATGCTCGACGTCGCAGCATCGTCGGCGTGGTCGCCCGCGTCCTCGTGGAGTCCAAAAGTGTGCGCGCTGATCGGAGACATCGGCTGCGAGTGGAGCGAACGCGTGTAGGAGTAGTCTGTGGACTGCAGCAGAGCGCTCGGTGGCGTCGACGGAGAGGGCAGCGGAGGCGAGTGCTTCGCAGGCACTGCCACGTCCATGCTGGTGTCGCTCGAGGTAAATGTCTGGCGCGCATCGTGGTACTGCGTCGTGGGCAGCGAAGAGCAGCTGCTGCTCGCGTTGCTCTGCAGCGAAGACCTCGGGCCCGTCGTCGGCAAGTACGAGGTGGTGACGGGTTCGCTGGTAATGGGCTCCTTTGCCGAGCCCGGGCGTCGATACTTGGATGGGTGCGACACCACGGGCGCGATGCGCGGCTCGCTATCCCGTTCGAGAGTGAAGCCGCTGCGCGCGGACAGCCTGAACGGGATGAGTGTCGATGAGAGCGCCTGCACCTCGTTCGCTGGCAAGAAGAGGCATCAGCATCCGATGCCTGACGGAGCCCTGAGCGCACTCACCGAGCTGCTCGATCTGGACATCACCCTCGTCAGCGGCCAAGATGTCGTGGCCGATGTCTCCTGCGGTCGACTGGCGACTGAGTCGGAGCAGGTTCGACCTGGTCTCCATGGCGAGCGTCTGAGCGGCAGAAGGCGTGCCGGGGACCGTCAGGCCGGTTGTGCGGTCCGTTCGCTCGCTCAGCGCAGTGTCGCTGGCCTGCGAGCGGAGGCTCGCGCTCTTCTTCTCGATGTGCAGAGCGTCCCACGGCCGCGCGAAGTTGGGCACGGTGCTGATCGGCGTGCTGTCTGTCGCAGACGACGTCGGCGGGCTGGTAGCAGCGGTCGAGGCAGCCGTGGTCGTCGAGAAGAGCGAGAAGGGCGAGAGGTCGAGCTCCTTGGACGGCGGCTTGGGAACCGCCAGCACGGTCGAGTCTGCGGCAGCGTCGCTGCCGTCGTCGCTAGTCACGCTGTCGGCCGACGTCTCGGTGCTCCAGCCGCTCTTCAGCATCTGGCTAGTGGATGTGAGCGGCGAGACTGGCTCCGGCTCGCGGAACGGAGTGGGCGACAGCAGAGCCGAGGCCGCAGCGCCTCTGGCCATGGCGCCGTCGTATGCAGCGAGCTGCGTGAAGACGCCCTCTGGGCTGCCCTCGAGGCTCCAGCTCTCACGCCAGTACAGGTCGGCCAGCTCCTCGGTCGGGTCGGCGATCGGACCGAGTTCGAGACCGGTGAGGCAAACCGCAGGCGCCTCGCCAGCAGGGCTGTGGTGCTCGAGGCTCCGAGGCGGACTCGCGAGGATGGTCTCCTCGGGCTCCGTATCTTGAATCGATTCCATAGCGGTCGACTCCGCCTTGACCGTCGGATGCGGGTGCGACGACGACGTCGTCGGCAGCGATGCCATGGACGTGACCGAGTCGGAGCGCGTCGACTTGCCCATGCCCAGCGAGTACTCCGAGTCCGTGCCGAAGGCCTTGACGCTGACATCCGACATGGACGACTGCGGCGTCGAGCCGCGGCGCAGGCCCGGCAGGCCAGCGGTGATGAGACGCGGCGTGTTGGAGGTGACGGCGACGCGGCGGGCCGTCGAGACGACGACGGGCTCGGCCGCGTCCGGCATCGGACTCTTGGATGGGCTGGAGAAGGGACTGGCGGCGGAGCCGAGCTCTTGAGTGACCCACGTCGGCGGCGAGCGGATGGGCGTCCGAGGCGGCGTGCCAGCGGCCTTTTCGCGCATTGCGGCACTGCTGCCGGGCCGACGCTGGCGCGGCGCCGGCGTCAGGCCGCCGCTCCGAGGCGACAGTGGCTCGCGCTCGGCCAGCAGCAGCAGGTGGTTGGAGCGCAGTGACGCGGGCGAGCCCGAGGCAGCCTCGAAGCTGGTCGCCATAGGATTGCGGTTGAGCGTCATCCACGGCGACGTCGGCGTGCCCGGAGGAGCGGAACGGTCCGCGAACTGCTCGAAATCGATGATGCGACGGCTGTCGCTGGGCCGGCGCGTGCCGAGGGCCGAGAGCGAGTCTGAGCCGGCCGCGCTCGTGAAGCTCGCAAAGCTGCGGCTGGACGAGGCCGTGCTCGGGCGAGGCTGGCTCTCGCCCTTGCGTTGGTTGTTCTGCGCCGTGCTGGCTCGGCGCGAAGCAATGCTGCGCTTGCGCGGCCGCTCGACGTCTGCAGGTGTGATGACGGCCGGAGCGCTGCCCGAGCTGATCTTGTGGCTCATCGACGGACGCGGTGCGTCCTCACGGCCAGTTGCGGCCGGTGCGCTGCTCGTGCTGGCATGCTGTGTCATCGCGGGGCGCTGAGCATCGGTCCGAGCGGTGGCGGCCGGAGCGCTGCTTGTGCTGGCGTGCTGAGTCATTGACGGGCGCGGTGCGTCGTCCTGGAACGATGCTTTCGGCATGCCTCCGGCGCTGGTGCGCCGCGCCATCGATGGACGTTGAGCATCGCTGGCTGTGGGTGGAAGACCAGTGGTGCTCCGCGTGATTCCCGGGCGCTGAGCGACGAGCTGTGACGGAGCGGCGGCGGGAGCACTGCTCGTGCTCGGGTTCTGCGTCAGCGCCGGACGTTGGAGCCCCTCACGAACGACGTCGAAGAGCGGCACGCTGCTGGACGGCTGCAGCGTCTTACCCGGCGCGAGGCCGACTTGCTGCCCATCTTGAGCGGGGTCGCGCTGAGCGGCCGGACCAAGCGACGGGACGGGGACGCGTGCGATCTTGTGGGTGGCCGGGAGTATCGGCGTCGACGGCAGCGAGCCGACGAGCATGCCGCCCGGCGCCAGCGTGCGCGCCAGCATCTCCTCCTCCTTTGGCGTCGGGATGCGAGGCTGGTTGCGTCGCGGGCGCAGTGGATGGCCAGGCGACGCCGGGCGCGGCGCTGCACCGGCTGCTGCTGCCTCGGCGGCGCGCGCTCGCACCGAGAAGGCGGGCAGGCGGTACTGCTCCGGCGCCGTCGTCGGACGAGCGACAGTGCCGGTGGTGCCGCCGATGATCCATGCCGAGTCGTGCAGACGGCGTGGAGGCACACCTCGCTCCGCACGGTCCATACTTGCCAGACGTGGAGGTGTGGCCGGATTTGGAACGGTGGCGGCGAGACGACGAGCGAGTGCTGTCTCGTAGAAGTGCCTGGTGGTGGGAACGATGCCTGTGCCGCTGCGGTGTGGGCTATTAGAAGAGACACGCGTCTCTGCTGTGCACGCTGATGCGACGGTGAGAGGCATAGAGGAGGGCTGGCGGTTGTGAAGAAGAGCGGCGAAGAACAATCCTTCAGCTTGGCGGGTTCGATGCTGGTGGACTCGGCAGCGGGGAGCAGCAGCGCAGGAGCAGTCGAGAGGGAGCGCGGGTGTCCAGGCGATGCGCAGCGCTGCCGAGGCCCAAGATATATGGCCGCCGGGCACTGCCGCTGCTAGACGAGCTCTGCCGCGAGGAGCCGCGCCGGAGCAGATCTCGCGACGGCCTTGAGCACCACCGCCGCCGCCGCAAGAGCGCTCTACCGCCGCACGCTGACCGGCGCTGCGCCCTCTGGCATGGAGCCAGCTCCGTTGGCGGGCCGTCGGAGATGATGACGCTCGAAGCGGTGGTCCTCCATGCTGGTGGTGCGATACGGCGGCACCGCGTGCCGCACCCCATCACCCAGCCGGGCACTCAGGCACACCAGCGCCTGAATGTACCTGCAGCAGGCTGAGCAAGAGAGGAGAAGGGCGCAGAAGAGGCCAACTCGTCCATCGCGAGGGCGTCCGCTCCCTCAGGGGCGGCGGCCAGACGACAAGTTAGCACGGCGAAGCTCGTAGCGCACTTGACCGGAGCAAGCATGCCGGTTCCCTCCACGCGCGCGATGGCGGGATCGCGCGCGTCAGGAGGCGTTCGGCGAGACAGAGTGCCCTGGGCGAAGCGCCCTTCGGCGCCGGTTTGCATCTGGAACACCCCTGAGCAGTCGCCCAAGCATGAAGCGGAACGACAGGAGTCGCGCAGAGATCACCCCATGGGGAGATGCAGGCACACCGGAGTCCGGTCGGCTTCGCCGGATGAACCGCCCTTGCTTGACTGCATGCTGAACGCAGAGCTGCATGCTGCGTCGAGAGACGAGGCGAGCCGGATGAAACGTCGCTCGTCTTCTCAGCAGCGAGCGCAAAAGAAGAGGTTGAGGCGCACGGTGTTGCACGGGCAAAGCTTCACGCAGGCAGAAGCGCTGCGCGAGCAAGCGACGTCGAGACGTGCCAAGAGCGTTCGCCTGCCTGCTCGTCAGCGTACGGCTGCGGCGCGGCTCCATCCTCTCGTCCGAGATGATAGAGGGCCGCTGCGAAAGTGCCCGAGGGCGCGATCTATAGAAGGCAGTCGCCGGCGCATGCGGTGCCTCAATCAGGGGCAAGGCCGCGTGGCCAGCGCTGCGGCGCGGCACCGGGGCGGAGCCGAGGCGTGCAGAGGAAGTAGGTCATGTGATGTGACTGCGCCTTCGCTTGCATCTCGCGCCGAGTGAGGCGCAGCAGAGAGACGGGCGGAGCGTGATGATTCACTTCGGCGGCTGGGCTGGCGAGTGGCGATGCGCATCGGGGGCTCGGAGGTGGTGTATTCGAGGCACGTGTGCTGCGCTGGGTGCTGGGTGCGCTGATGAGCTGGAGGCCGTTGGCTGGCGCTGTGGAGCAGCGCGTCGCGGCACTCGGGACTGGAGGTGCGTCGTGGGAAGACTTACGTAATACGCGCCAGCCGCGCGTCTCTTTCACGGCCTCGCCCCAGCGCCGCGCCGGCGCCTTTTCGCATTTCCCCGCATCTCTCGACTGCGCAGCGCTCACACTCGACAGCGACAGCAGCAGCGAGAGGTTGGGCCTGTGAGTTCGCAGGTGCGCAGCAGATGTCGCTCAGGGGGTGCAGCCAGCATGCGCGCTCTGCCACACGAGCCGCAGCCGGCAGCGGCGGCGGCGCCTTTCAGCAACGGTTCAAGTGCTGCGCAGAGAAGTCTGCGCACCTCGGACCCTGGCGTGGCTTGTCGATCACCTGGAATGCAGCGCTGTGCTGATGCTGTCAAAATGTCGGTGCCAGCATTCAGCAGGTGCTGCTGCCTGGCACAGCTTCCCTTGAGCTCGCAGCACCTCGCAGAGCACGTTTGAGCAGCGGCAGCTGGGGCGCGCTTGAGCAGGCACCTCCACACACCTCCGCGCCCAAGCCACGCCGCGCGGCGCAGACACACGGGCCCTAACGCGGCGCCGCTCCGTCCTTTCCTGCCATCACCTCCCTGCCTTCGCCGTCGAACTCGCACGCACCGCCGCATCGCTGCTGCGCATCCTTCCCGTCCCATCCGCTGCTGCGCGCTGCGCCCGCCGCCATGGCCATCCTGCCCGACTCGGGCCACACAAAAGGCGCGCCGCCGCCGCGCGCCGCCGCCTCCAGCGCCGCCCCCTCCTCCTCGCCTTCCTCGCCGCTCGCACGCCCCACACCCTCGCCGCCCTACTCCACCGCCGCCAGCTACACGACGTACCACGACGCCGAGTCCGACTCACCCGCGGCCATGCCCGACGTCGACTCGCTGCCGCCGCTCGCAGACGGCGCCCTGCCGCGCGTGCCGCCGCCCGGCTACTCGCCCTCCGAGGCGGACCCGCCGACGGTCGAGGAGTCGCTGCAGGACCTCGCACTCGCCATTCCCGACAGCGAGTCGACTGAGGTCGGCGAGGCGAACACGGCGCCCTCCAGCGGCGTCATTGAGAACAGCACGCCGCGCAGCGCAGAGTGGGCGCGTCTTCTGGGCCTCAGTGGCCAGGGCGTCAGTGCCGCCAACGCAGCCACTAGCATGGGCTTCACTGCGGCTCGCTACGGCACAGCGTTCTCGCTGAACATCGCCAAGCGCGTGGCGCAGACGCTCGTCGCACTGCCGGCCTTTGCGCTCGACGGCGCGCTGGGCAACGGCCTGCCGGACGGCACGCACGGCCGCGATGCGCCCACTGCGTCGCAGACGGCACACGCTGCCGTCGGCGGGCTCTTCGACGTCATCAGCACGCTCGCACTCGGCGGCATCGACATCGGCAGTGCGCTCACCAGTGCTGGCCTCGGCGCTGCTGGCGCGTCCATCGAGGGCGTGCGCCGCCTGCTGGGCAGCGAGGTGATGCGCAGTCTGAGCGCCTTCTCGCGCCTCGTTTCGCGCGAGTGGAACGTCGAGTCGGACCTACTGCCGCCAGGCGGCATCCCGCACTACTCGACGCTTCGCGTCACGCAGGCCCTCACCACCTGGGTCTGCGTGCAGATGGTCACGCGCGACTACTACGAGAACCGCATGCTCAACGAACTCACCGAGCTCGACTTTACCGCCATGCAGGCGGAGCATGAGGCTGAGGCCGCCAAGCAAAAGGCAGCGTCGGAGCGTCGCGCCATCGAGGGCTCGCCAGCGCCAGAGACCACGCCCGGTGCTCCCGCGCCCGGCCGTGGTCACGAGGCAGTCCGCATCACCTCGGAGAACGCTCTGCCGGGAGCCGAGGGCGACATCATCGGCGCAGAGATTGGCACGTCGCCCGAGGGTAGCGTCGCCGGCGACGTGCCGCCTGCGCCGGACAGCGTCGAGGACGCGCCGCACCCCGAGCCGCTCTCGCCCGCCGAGGCGCTGCAGGGTCTGCGCCGCTACTCCAAGCTCGTTCTCGGCGTCTACGGCGGCGTGGCACTCGCCTGGCTGGGTCGTCTGCCGCCGAACGTCTTCACTGCGCAAGAGCAGGAGCTCGGCAGCGTGACGGATGGCGAAGCAGCACGCGTCGGCGGCGGTTCCGCAGCAGCCAAGGCAGCACGCGATGCCGGCGCCGGCGATGCGCCCATGCTCGGACCCGATGCGCCCTCGGTCTCGCGCCAGAACGACGAGAGCGAGTTCCTGCGCGCTGCGGCCGCCATGGACCTCGACGACGCAGAGCTCGAGTCGATCGACCGCGAGTATGCGCAGCGCGAGCGCGAGGCACAGGTCCAGCCGCAGCCGCAGGGCTCTGGCAGCTCGACGCCCGGCGACACCATGCCAGGCGCTTTCGGCTCGGCGCCCACGCGGACACAGCCCGCCAACGAGATCGTCTTCTCGTCTGAGCCGGAAGCTCTCGACGGGCTTCCGGCCGCAGTTGAGACTGGTGCTGTTGCTGCCGCACCGGCCAAGCGGCCGACCGCAGGCGGCCCCTCGTACATTGACATCATCACCGGCCGGCACGACTCTCAGCTCTTCCACTCGCTCGCCGGGCTGCCCGACGGCGCAGCGCAGGAGGGCAACTACGCCGACACCGAGATTGGCAGCAACGGCCGTCCCGTCCGTGGAGCGCCGCGCGCCCCAAGCCGCGTCGCTCGGCCCTCGCAGCCGCGCTACTACGTCGTCGTCGACCATCCGGCACGCCGCGTCATTCTCGTCCTGCGCGGCAGTCTCTCGCTCGGCGACATTGCCATCGACCTGACGTGCGAGAGCGCCGACTTCCAGTGGCGCGAGGATCACGGCGTCGAGATGCCTTCGCAGACGCCTGCCACCGCATCGTCGAGCCGTCTGGCATCCGACGAGGCCATGCCCGACTACAAGGACGAGACGGGCGAGACACAGCCGCGACTGCTGCCGCGCTCGGCTGACCAGTCCACGCGCGACATCGTCCACGAGGGCATGTACGAGACGGCCAAGGACATCGGCGAGCCCGGCCGGCCAGTGCACCGTGCCGTTGCTCGGGCGCTGCGCCAGCACCCCGGCTACAGCCTCGAGATCACGGGCCACAGTCTCGGTGCAGGCGTCGCCTCGCTACTCGCGCTCATGTGGGCGTCGCCCGTGACGTGCCTCACCATCCCCTCGTCTGGTCTGCCTGCAGGCCGCCGTGTGCACGCCTTTGCCTTCTCGGTGCCCTGCGTCATGGGCGCCAAGCTGGGCCTGCGCTGCGCCAGCCTCGTCACGAGCTTCGTCTACTCGTACGACCTCGTCTCGCGTCTCAGTCTCGGCTCTATCCTCGACATTCGCAATGCCGCCGCGTGGATCTGCTACGAGGACTCGCAGCCGGAGCGTCAAGCGCCGGCCAACGGGCCTTCGAACGCCGTCTTCTCGCTGCGCATGACGAGCCTCATCCGCAAGGCCTTCCGACACCAGGCCGGGCGGCTCGACGCCGATCCGCGCGCAAAGGCAGACGTCGAGATGGACATGCTGGCCGTGCGCAAGACGCTCGAGGCGAGCATGCAGCAGGTCGAGCTCTACCCGCCGGGCAACGTGCTGTATGCCTTTGCGCCGGGAGACCTGGCCGTTGGCGCGAAGGCAGAGCGCCTCTTCCACCTGCGACACGACGGCAAGCGCGAGAATGTCTTTGGCCAGATCACGTTCGACCGCAAGATGGTGAGACCCAGAGATAGTTGCCTCGACATCGAGCCTGTGCTGACCTCTCCTCGCCCCGCAGCTGAGCTACCACATGCCGCAAGAGGTCGACCGTGTGCTGCACTCCTTTCCCTCTCTGACGTGATCATACCCCCGCGGGCTGCTCCGCTCTCCCCTGCACTCCTGCTCTGCCCTGCATGTCCTGCCTCCCCGCACCTGTACTACACCCTTTCACCCACGTACCTCTGGCAATACCACTCTTGGAACTCTATCTGCATTCACGGCTCGCTCGGTGCATCCGTGTCCGTCTCGCCGAGCTCCCATCGTGCCAGCTGCAGCACCTCGAGTGATGCGCTGCGCTTCTCAGCCCACGCACGCAGCGCGTCACCGACGGGCGTCTCGCCCTGCTCGAGACCGGCAGCGGCCAGCGCCATGCTGAATGGCTGAGCGTAGAGCGCCGTCTCGTCACTGCCGCGGATCTCCTTCGTCGGGAAGCCCGCGACCTGGCGCGCGAGCGAGCGAGCCAGCGCACGTGTCTCGACGCTGTTGTCCTCCGTCGAGGAGGAGGCGGATGGCTGCAGCGACGAGAGGACGAGCGAGCCCACGCGGCCTGCGGCAACCGAGGATCCCGGCCGTGTCGCTGCGCCAGCTGCGATGTTGGCGCCGTGCGCATATGCGCCGGTGAAGTTGATCTTGCGTGGGCCGGGACCGGCTGATGGCACCACGACGGCCGAGGCACGCGCCAGACGGATACGCTCGCCCAGCCGGGCAACGGCGTCGAGGATCGCCTCCTGCACCGTCTGCGGCTTCTGCGGCTGTTGCGGTGTCGAGGCTGCGGCGTCGGCGGCCGGTGCCGAGAGCAGCGGGAAGCTCAGGAACGCCTCAAGTGGCAGCTCCAGCATGCTTGCCTCTGGGCCTGGTGCGGTGACGTCTGCGAGCGACGGGAAGAGCGCGGCCGTGTGCGCCACGTCGCGCGCCAGCTGCGTGAAGAGGTCGGTGCGCCCCACAAAGTCCGTCTCGCAGTTGAGCTCCACGATGGCAGCCTGTGCGGCGGAGCGCTGTGCTGCGCCCGCTGCGCCGCCCGGCACGCCATCGGCCAGCACGACGATGGCGACGAGCCCCTCGCGTGCGGTGCGAGAGGCGACCTTGGACGCCTTTGCCGCGCCGCTGGTGAGCTGGTCGGCGCGCAGCCACTCGAGCGCGGCATCGAGGTCGTCGGGCGCGTCGGGCGAGGACCACGTCGAGGCAATGGCCTCGCGAGCCTTGAGCATCGAGGTGCCGGGCGCCCGCTGACGCAGTGCGGCGATGCTGGCAATGGCTGGCTTGCGCGCAAGAAGCGAGCCGCTGGAGTGCAGCAGGCGCGCGGACGGCGCAGCGAGGCGCATGCTTGGCCGCAGCGAGCTGTGCGGTGCGTCAGGACATGGCCGAGGTGGTGGTGCTCTGCTGCGCTCACCGGCCCAATTGTGGCAGCAGGAAGCTCATGATGTCGGTGGCTGCAAGACGCGTGCGAGGTGGACGTGGGCGAGAAGGAAGGTCGGAAAGAGGCGTGCGCGGGACTCGGCCCTCAGCGCCTGCACCCCGTGGGAACAGCCTGCCCTCCGGCCCCTGGCCGTGCCCTCTTTAGGCAAAGCGCTCGCCTGCATCTGCCTCATCGGGTCGCCGGCAAGCGCTCCTCGTCACTCGCGATGCCAGCAGTCAGAGTAGCGCGCCTCTCGAGGGCACTGGATCTGTCAGCCTTGCACGGCTGAGCGCTGCCAGCATGCAGCCGAGCACGTTGCTGCTGGCCCTGCGCTGTGAGCTGGACAAAGGAGGCGACCGCCGTGCCGTAGCCTTATGCTGCGCTCTGCGGCGCGTGTGTGAGCTCGGGCCTTCAGGAGCGTGCCCTGGCAGTGACATACTCATAGGCATGCAATCTTCGTCTGTCCCACTCTCCCTCTCACTTCCATCTCTCGACCGACTCGCCCCTTCCAGCCCTCGCCACCCTCGTCGCACCTGTCCGCTTCCAGCATCTCGCCCGTTCCCAGCACTACGTCTCGTCCCAGCCGCAGCTCCCTTGTCCCTCTCCTTTCCCGCGTGGCCTGTGCACGCACGCTCTGTCTCTCAGCCCTCTCACTTCAGCCGCCTCTTCTCGCCCGCATCTCCAAGTGTCCACCTTCGCCGTCGTGCGCTGTAGCGCTCGCTCGCCGAGAGCGCCTGGACTCGAGCGACCGGCACCAGCGCCTGGCATCAGCATCGAGCAAGCCGCTGAGAGCGCTGAGCCCTCTCTGCGCTCGCTCGCCCGACGATGCCGCTTCCCACTCGTCCGGCTGCCCAAGCCGGCGGCAGCTTCATCCCGTCGAGCCCCAACCAGCCGGAGCTCACGCTCAGCTCGCTTGCGCGTCTCGTGCAGCAGCAGAGCGACGTCGTCTCCTCGCAAGCCGAGCTGATCAGCAAGCTGCACGAGTCGCTGCGCACTCTGCGCGACTCGAGCGCCGAGGAGAGCGAGTCGAGTCGGGCGCGCATCGAGGCGCTCGAGACGCGCCTGCGTCCGCTCGAACGCCTCTCGCAGCGCACCACAGCGCTGGAGGCTGCGTCGGACAGGATGAAGGACCATGTTGAGTCGCTCGAGTCTCAGCTCGTCAGTGCGAAGAACGAGAAGCAGGAGCTGGAGAGGAAGATGAACGAGCTGGACCTGCGCGCTAGGGTGCGCGAGACGCGCCGGCCCGACGTCAACGTGCTGAGGAGCAGCGCAGCGGCGAACGCGGGGCCATCCGTGCCGAGCCAGCCAATCGAGCAAGTTCGCGCAGCGGACAGCAGATTAGCAAGACGCACGCCGGAGAGCAGCAGCAACGACTCGCCGCTTCGTCGTGCTCGCCGAGGTGCCGAGAACGAGCGCATGCCCTCGCAGCCCGTGCAGCAAAGCAGTGCTGCTCCGTCGTCCATCGTCCCGCAGCAGCCGGCCGCGGCGCTCGCTCCCGTCGGCAACGCTGAACCGCAGCCCCGCTTCACTCGCCTCGAGTTCACTGCGTCCGGCATCAAGGAGACGTCTGAGCTGAGCGCGTTTGCCGTGCACAAAACGGCGGATGGACCTCCTGACAGTCCTTCTTGGCCTCCGGGTCCCGACTCTCCTTCGTACTCTCCGGCGCCCGTCTCAGGCAGCTTCGACGCTGCGGATGCGATGCAGGTAGATGGCCCCGCCTCGGGCGTTGCGACAGGCCCGGTCGGGCTCGGGCTCGACGTTCAACCAGGCCCCTCGGCGCCGCACGCGACAGGCGTCTCGCAGACTGTCCAGCAGCTCGGACTGAACGGCCACGGTGCCGGCATTTCCGCCTTGGACGGACCTCCTGTGCGCGTCAAGATGGAGCCTGGCTTGCTCCTAGCCGTTCCCGCGCACGAGCTTGTGCACGCGCCTTCGTCGTCTTCGCAGGTCGCGCAACACGCGAGCTCAAACCACGGCGCTGCGCTCTCAGCTGAGGCACAGGATGTGCAGATGTCGTCGGCGCAGCCCGGCGAGGCCGAAGTCGCACAGCGCTTCAACGATCAAGGCGTGCAGACCGCCGTCGAGCGGAGTACTTCCACAGTGCTAGCCGACACCGCGGCACGATCCGCAGCTGCGTCCCTCGAGCAGGTGCAGAGCCCAGCACACGCGTCCACGCGACCTCAGCTCGCCTCTTCTGCAGTCAGTGCAGGTCGCAAGCGGACCTACGATGGCGACTGCACTCAGGAAGAGAGCAACGCCGCTGCCTCTCCATCACATGAGGCGGCACCCGCCGCCTCACGAGCCCAGACGGCCCACCATCCTCGCGTCAAGCCAGAGCCAGAGGATGACGAAGTCTCGTTCGTCAGCGAGAAGCGCCCAGTGAAGTCGGCAAAGGCGCTTCGCGCTGGAGGCGTTGCTTCGCCCATCAAGCTGGAGCCTCAGGAACCTGCTGCGCCGCAAGATGGCGGCAAGAGCGGGACCGCTCCTGCGTCGAATTCCTCGACAGCTCATGCATCGCTTCGCACTCAAGTGGCTTCCCGTAGGGCCACGCCGCCAAGAAGTCCGTCGATCGGTGCATCGACAACTCAAGCAGCGCCTGCTCCTTCAGCGTTGGTCCAAGAGACGCCGGCATTTGCTCGTGCGACAGCTGGTCCAACCGCACAGCGTCAGCAGCACAACAACATCCGCAAGAGCACGCAGGGCGGTCAAAGTTCTCTTACTTCCGATGCTCCTGCTGCGAGCGGCGTCTCGTCGCACCAAGATCGGCGTGGAGGCCGAGCTGAAGCACCACTCGTTGAGTCAAGAAGCCGGTCGGACGCGTCGACCACACCATCGCCCCGGCAGCCGGAGCCGGACGAAGCCGCAGCGCGAGAACCTCAAGCAGACACGATGTCCAGGTCCCGCTCGTCTCTTTCGCTCTCGGGCTATGCATCAGTACCCTTCAACGAGTCATTGAAGCGCCCAGATCTCTGCTGGGCGGACGTCAAGATTGGTCACGACGACTGGCGCATCGGCATCGACTTTGCTGCTCAGTACAACTCGATCAGCCCGGCAACACTCCACTGTGTGCAAGAGAAGCTCGGGCACACGATCAAGTGCTGGCTGCAGGGCGATCGGACTGTCTGCGAGATCGAGATCGAGTACAGTGGTTCCAACGGCGTCACGCGCGAACGGTCCTCCTACCGCTGCAAACACACGTTCCGCATGTTGGATCGCCTGGCAGTCGGCCTCATCTTGCTCGGCGGAGGGCATCCCGCTGGCGTCGGCCGCGTGAAGACGATCGCTGAACGCTTCTTCCTCAAGAAATGTCCTGTCTTCCATTTCCCGCTCGTCCTGCCCGAGGCGCCTCCGCCGCGTGCCTGGGTGGACTTCTCGGTCTTCAAGGCGCCTGCTGGCACGGCGATGTCGCATGAAGCATCGCCAGCAACTCGCCGGCCTCGTACGACTCTCAGAGCGTTGCGTCTGACGCATCAACTGCGTCGCATCCCAACCCGCCTCTGGCCAAGCGCCTCGTCCCTTCCAGCTCCGTACCTCGAGGACCCGCTGAGCGTACGCCCAGCGGCAACGCGCCCGTGTCCGCCTCGGCAGCCTCTCTCCTCGCACGTCTCGGTCCGCCGGAGCCCAAACGACGCAAGCCGTAAGACAAGGCCCCCGTTCGACAGCGAGGTCTCGCAACCGCCCCGACACTACCATCATTCGCGCCACAAGCGCCTCCTCGCCAACTCAGTCCCGACATCGCCGCAATGCGATAGATTCTTGTGCGCGCGGGCTATCGCCCAGTCGCTGATTAGCGTCGGCCTGAGCGCTATCGGTCAGCTGAGTCCGGACAGTTGTAGTCCACCTCACTCACCTCGACCCATGCCGCCGCGGCGGCCTCGCATGCCCCAGCCAGCAGGCGCAGACGGCGCCATCATACCTGGGCCGCCGCCGCCGCCGCCAGGGATGGGAAGGTCCGAGTTCCGCAGGCACTCCATGACGTCGTCTGCCTGCACGCGCGGCTCGCCGAAGGACGCGGCGCTGGGAAGCGTGCTGCAGGACGGATGATCAGACGAGGGTGAAGCAGGTCATGCGTGCCAGCTCACCTCATGAAAAAGCGGATCACGTCGTGCACCATCACGTAGTTCGGCTGCGGCGGCGCAACAGGCTGCTGTTGCTGGAACGGCTGAGGCGGCCCGGCCTGCATCGGCTGACCAGGCTGTGGCCGCATGGGCGGAGGCGGTCTGGCTGAGGCCTGCGGACTTGCTCCTCGGCCACGCGGGTCGGATGTCGAGGCAGCCGGCTCTGCCAGGCGTGCCCGCTTCGCGCCAGCTGGCTCGCCGTCGCCGTTCATCTCGCGCTTGCCAGAGGCAGCCTGTGCCTCTGGCTCAGGAGCGACGCGGGCAGCGCCAGCGACCGCCCGGTCGGCTGCGCTCGCGCCGGCCAGCAGCGGCTGGAAGCCGAGGTCGCGCGTGCTGATGACGTCGAGGTCCATGTACGTGTTGCGGTCGACGAAGCGCTTGACCGGCGGCTCTGCAAGATGGTCGCAGTGAGCAGCAGCGCAGCCTCCGTCAGCATAAGGCACTCACCGTCAGGGTACACCTCCTTCAGCCGCTGCTCGAGGCGCTGAATGGCCGCCCGGTCGCCGAAGCTGTACTCGTAGTCGCACCAGCGGTCCCACAGCGGACGAGCGCGCTCGGGCTCGAACGTGCCGACCGTGCGCTCGAACAATGCTCGTGCGTCTGTGAGCCAGCAAACGTGAGCAAGGGAACAAGTGATGCCTGGCTCTGCGCTGCTCACTGTTGTCGTCGTTGATGCTGATGAGGAAGTCGAGGTAGCGCACGACGAAGGCCTCGTCGCTGCCGAACACCTTGAGCGCCACCTCGAAGACGCGCGTCGCGACGCCGACCTCCTTCGAGCAGTGGTACTCCATGAGCGCATTGGCCTCGTACACCTGCCACGTGCAGTGCGGGCTCTTGCGAGCGCGACCAAAGATCGCACGACAGGGCCGCAGACCCTAGCGGAACGCAGCATGTCAGCACAAAGGTCAAGACGCTGTCGGCGCTGCGGCTCACCTCGGTGCGCCGGACAAAGTGCATGTACTTGATCCACACCAGCGCCGCAGCCTCCTTGAGCTCCTCGATGCTCGGCTTGACCGCCTCCTCCTCGAGCTTCTTGCGCGCAGCACGGCCCTCGTCCTGCCTGCGTGTCTCGGCTCGCTCGTCGCCTCCGACGTTCTCGTCTGCAGCGCCCTCGTCGCGGCGCTTGGCGGCAGCGTCGGCGAGTGCCTTCTCGCCCTCCTCGTCGATCTTGCGCAGCTTCTCGCCGAGCTGTGCCTGCAGAGACTCGATCTGTCCGTGCACCCACGTAAGCAGGTTCGTGAACATGGCGCCGCACTCGGTCGTCTGGCCGGCGGCCTCGCCTTGCTCTGCAAAGGCAAAGTGCAGCAGGAAGCTGGCAGAGCAGCGTCAGCGGCATGTCCACGATGCCGACACGCAGCGGCGCTCACCTGCCGGGGCACGCCTCCATGCCCGTCTTCAGCCACGAGATGGCCTCTTCGGCCCGTCCGGCGGACTCGGCGTAGCGCGATGCCATGAACCTTCGGAAGGCCTCAGCATGCCGCATCACGCCTCGACTGCGCCTCGACTCACCAGAGCTCAGGGTAGAAGCGCATGTGCATCGTCGCCTTGCGGTACGCCATGAGCACACGGCCGTGCAGCGTCGGCAGGTCCTCGAGCTGCAGCGGGTTGCTTTCCTCCCACACGAGGTAGTTCTTCCAGCCCTCGACGTGCGCCTGCTCGCGGTGCGAGAGCTCGCTGCTGTATGCCGGGCGCGGACCGTCGGCCGGGCTTGCGCACCACGTCGGCACCTTGGGCAGCAGTGGCCGGAAGAGCGTGTCCGTCAACGAGCGCATCTCCCGCAGCGCCGTGCGCGCAGTCATGTACGCCGGCGAGCGCTCGGCCAGGAACTTCTTCGCCTGTTGGAGGAAGAGCAGGCGAGAGCAGGCAGACACAGGCACGCGCAGCGAGTAGCAGCCATGCAGTGAGATTGCACAGAAGGGACGGCGCAGGACAGGCAGCACGAGTTGCACCGACAGGCGTGTCCAAGAGAAAGGGGAAGAGGCCTGGTCAGCAAGCAGACGCGGCGCACTCGCACTCTGGAGCCACGTACGGTGATGCGGTTCAGGCTGTTCTCGTACTGGTCGTACTCGCGCCAGATCATCTCGACGCTGGCCAGCGGGATCGCGACGGCTCGCTGGTACGCTCGCCGGATGTCATCCATCTTCTGGCCCTGCTGCCACGAGGATGTCGCCTGTCCCAACGTCAGCCCTCGCGCAGTACGGACAGACGCCGCCGCAGTCTCACCTCTCGCTCCTTCAGCAGCACAAGGTACTCGCGCCACACCTCGCCCGAGTCACGGCTCTGCCCGACGAAGCGCAGTGCGAATTCGTACGCGCCCTCGATGATCCCCCGCACCTTGTCCCGCTCGCTCTCGCCGTCCTCAGACCCGCTTCCACCCGCGGGCGGCAGCGGGTTGACGCGGCGTGTGTACGACAGGTACAGCCGCCAGAGCTCCACGCTGGGCGTCGTCCGCAGGCAGCGCGTGAAGAGCTCCTCGACGCGCGGAAAGTTGGAGTGCGACAGAGACATCTCGAGCGAGATGTAGGCGTGCCATTGCCGCGCCTGAGTTTGGCATGAGCGGCAGCCTAGAGTGCGACTCGCATGGCGCCGTACTCACCGCATTGGGAAATACCTTCAGGAAGCCCTCGTAGCGCTCTCGGATCTCGTCCATGTCTCTACGCGCGGTCGCGTCCTCGATGAGCCCGAGCCACGCCTCGCCGTCCCGCTCGTTCTTCTGCACGCGCTGCTCGGCGTTGCTGCCGCGAGATGCGGGGTCCTCCGCTTTTGGGCCGGTCGGAATCGGCTTCACGCCCGTCTGCGCCGGCGAAGGTGACCGTGTCTGCTTCGCAGCGCTGCCTTCCGGCACGGCGAGCGGTGCCGATGCCTGCGGCGGCTCCTCCTCGCGCGGCGGCGGCGTGTTCAGCTCGTCGTCGCCGTCCGCGTCCTCGGCCTTGACGGCCGCCACGATGTTCTGCGCCTCGGCTCCAACAGACATGTCCACGTCTGCATTGCCAGACGCCTCTGCCTGCGCGCTCGTCTCGGCATCCTCGGGCTGTGCCACGGAGGAGGCTGCAGCGTCATCTGCGCTGGCCACGGCCGAGGGCTCCTGCGCCTCAGCAGCTGTAGCATCTACGTCGCCAGCACTGGCTGCGGCCGAGGAGCTTGCTGCATCAGCTCCAGCAGACTGCGCTGCTTCCGGAGCAGGAGCGAATTCTGCGACCGGCTGAGACGCAGGCACCTCAGCGGGAGCCGATGCGGCATCGGCCATGCTGGCTCAGGCGGGTCCGAACGGGCGCAACACGCGAGCAGAAGGCAGGATGTGATATGCAGCACACAGAAGAGGATGCGGCGGCGGAGAGATAGCTTGTGGAAGGGGTGACGGCGCAGGGAGCCTGGGCGGATGATGGGTGGAGGAAGGAGGCGGTGCGGAGCCGCGCTGGCCTCGTCTCTTTCGCGGTGCCGCGAGCGCGTCGGCGCGAGGCGGCCGCGTCGCCCGACCAACAGCCAGCCGCACGCCAGGCACGGCGGCAGCAAGGGTGCAGCGCCGGCCCACGGCGCGGGGGCGCTGGGCATCGGCCTCCCGCCGGGCTCAGCAGCACCAGCTCCACAGCAGCACGTCAGCTCCACAACCTCGCCTCTCCTTCCCGCCGCGCATCCTCCTCCGCACCCCACAGGCCCCGCCAGCAGATAGCCCAGCATGTGCGTTTGCAGGCATGCTGCTGCACGCGCGCCGTGCCAGAGTGCGCCAGATGCTCACGCGCCCCCGCACCGCTCGCAGGGCGAACGCCAACTTCCTCGACAAGGCCATCGAGATGGTCAAGGAGGCCATCGAGCTTGACACCAAGCAGAGCTATGCCGAGGCGTACAAGCAATACATGAACAGCCTCGACTACTTTATGATGGCGCTCAAGTGTGAGTGGTCCCGGCGCAGGGTGCAGGGAGCAGCGGCAGGCTCGCCCTCGTAGCTACCACAACGGCGGGCTCAGCCGCAGAGGGCGCGGGCGCAGCTGCTCCGGGCTTGCTCGTTGAGGCGCTATTCAGACACGTCTGTGGGCTGCTATCTGACCCCGTTCGCGCAGATGAGAAGAACGAGAAGCTGCGCATCCTTATCCGCGGCAAGTTTGAGGAGTACGTCGCGCGGGCCGAGAAGCTCAAGGAGCACCTGGCCAAGGCCAACGGCACCGACGACGGCAAGTCGGCCGTCGGCGCCAACGGCTCTGAGCGCCAGGGAAACAGTGGCGGAAAGAAGGAGGACGACGGCGATGCGGAGAACAAGAAGCTGCGCGCTGGGCTGAGCTCGGCGATCCTGAGCGAGCGGCCGAACGTGTCGTGGGACGACGTGGCGGGCCTGACGACGGCCAAGGAGGCGCTGAAGGAGGCTGTCATTCTGCCGATCCGCTTCCCGCAGCTCTTCACTGGTGAGTGCTGGCGCGGATGCTGTGTGATCGGCGGCCGCCTGACAGCGCGCTGCAGGCAAGCGCACGCCATGGCGCGGCATTCTGCTGTACGGGCCGCCCGGCACGGGCAAGTCGTTCCTGGCAAAGGCCGTCGCGACGGAGGCGAAGAGCACGTTCTTCAGTGTCTCGAGCTCGGACCTGGTGTCGAAGTGGATGGGCGAGTCAGAAAGGTGAGTGAGAAGGCCCACTTGGCGGCGCGGGCGCAGCGCTGATGCCCCGCACAGACTCGTCAAGCAGCTCTTCCAGATGGCGCGCGAGGCCAAGCCGTCGATCATCTTCATCGACGAGGTCGACTCGCTGTGCGGCACGCGTGGCGAGGGCGAGTCCGAGGCGAGTCGGCGTATCAAGACGGAGTTCCTGGTGCAGATGAACGGTGTGGGCAACGACGAGGCTGGCGTGCTGGTGCTCGGCGCAACAAATATGTAAGTTTGGCAAAGCGCGCGACTCGAGACAGCGGCTGAGGCGCTCCTGCAGCCCGTGGCAGCTCGACATTGCCATCAAGCGGCGATTCGAGAAGCGCATCTACATTCCGCTGCCCGAGGTCGAGGCACGGAAGCGCATGTTCGAGCTCCAGGTCGGCACGACGCCGTGTGCGCTCACCAGCAAGGACTACCGCGACTTGGCCGAGAAGACGGAAGGGTGAGTGCGCGCTGGACTGGAGTGACGCTTCGGCTGCTGACAGCGCCCAATAGCTACACCGGCTCCGATATCTCCGTCCTCGTGCGCGACGCCCTGATGCAGCCCGTGCGCAAGGTGCTCAGTGCCACGCACTTCAAGAAGGTCATGGCGCCGATGAAGCCCAAGGAGGGCGAGCCGCAGCCGGACGAGGGCATCATAACCGAGTACCTCACGCCCTGCTCGCCCGGCGACCCCGAGGCGATGGAGATGAGCTGGGAGAACGTCGAGGGCAAGGACCTGCTCGAGGTGAGTGAGATGAGTCCGATCCTCTGCGGCCCTCCCTGACACCCGCGCAGCCCAAGCTCGTCATGACCGACTTCATGCGCGCCATCCAGGCGGTGCGGCCAACTGTCACCGAGGCAGACAGTGCGTCTGCTGCCTGCACTGCCCTGCCTGCACCCGCTGACGTTCGCATCTCGCAGTCGTCAAGCACCGCGAGTTCACCGACGAGGCCGGCATGGAATGAGCCTTTCCGTAGACCGTTCTTGGATGTCTCCGCCTTTGTTCCAGGCCGTGTATTTGCTTCTCTCTCTTTTGGTCAGCGCAGCGCATTTCCTCTGCCGAGCGCCGCCGCTCAGGCTGCGGCACCAGAGGCTTGCCGTGTTCAATGTCACTCGGATATATCGTGAAAGGCTGGGTGTCGTACGAGACCTGACGTCGCAGAGCGTGCACAGCGGCAACTGACGAGGCTCGACTCCAGATCATCGTCTCGCCAGCACAGGCTGCCTCGAGGCGCTTGTCCGGCCCCGTGCCGGCATGAGTTGGCCCAGACGCCAACAGGCAGCACCTGCATGCTCGGTCTCGAAGACGCCCTGGCTGGCTGCACCTGCGGCGCCGGGACGCCTTCTTCTCGCCCTGAGGAGCTCTCCTCCTCTCGCTCTCCTCCTCTTGCATATGTCGCTTGGAGGAGGCGAGGTGGCCCATCAAAGTTCTTATTGCGGCATGTCGGCAGCGCGGAGGTCGGATGCCGAAGGCGCGGCGCCGGGCGCTAAATTCCAGAGTGCGGGGTAAGGTCAGGCCGAAGATGCACCGAGCGACCGGCCAGCGCCATGCAGCAAATAATAGCAAACAGCGCCAGCGAGGAGAAGGTAAGTCTAGGCACCGCATCGCATGCGCAGTGGCACTTATCGTCTGGACCTCCAAGAAAGCGAGACGCCGGAGCCGACGAAGCGACGGTCCGGCGGCAGGGCAGAGAGGCCGGCGTCGGCTGCCGGCGGCCGGCGCGGCGCGCTCGCGTGGCTGCCCTCGTGTCACCCCGCATCGGCCCCTCGGGGCCACCCATGTGCCTCGCCTGCTATTTTGGCGCCGACGCTCACACAGCCTCGGGCGGTCCTCGAGGTGACAGGAACGACCTGCGGCCTCGTGCGACGCAGCTCTCCTTCATCCGCCCATGCTGGCCACTCGCGTGGGCGGGCAGCGCTGCATGCTTCTGTGCGCCGTCGGTCATGCGCCGGTGCGCGGCACCGCGTTTCCACGCTAGCAGGACCCGTCATGCGAAGGCGGAGCGGCGGCTCGGCGCCTCTCCGTCGAGTCTTGCCGACCCCGAGAAGCGCACATCGCAAGCACGGCACGACCTGCGCTGCATCCTGGTGCTTGCCCACGACAGCGGCCAGGAACGCGGAGCTGGGAAGACAGACCGGGAGGGGCCCCGACGAGGCGCGAAGGATAGGAGGCTCCTCGTGGCCTACCAAGACTCTGCACCTGCATGCTGGCGCTCTGCTGCGCCGGTCTCGCGCTCTTGGATGTCTCGCCAGCAGCAGAGCGCAGGGGCGCGCGTGCTCTTCCCCGCTTTTGCTTGTGCGGTCTAGAGGCAACACTGGCGGCCTGCCTTGCCGCTTTGTTCCTTGGGGCTCGCAGGCTCGCAGTCTCTAGGGGCATTGCCGCACCGCGGGGCTTGCGCCCTTGGGGCGCGGGCGAGTGGTGGGCGCAAAAGCGCGCAGGCGCTTCATAAGGCACGCCTGTGACCGCTCCTCTCACCAGCTCCCCGCACCTCTCCCTCTCCACTCCCCACTCCCTCCAACCCCAGACCATCTTCATCATGGGTGGCGCCGCTCCCGTCTTCGCTGCCGCCAGCTCTGCGCCCATCGTCAAGCCCAAGAGTGCGTGGCGGCCGCTTCACCTGCTGCCTCATCGCTCACGCGCCACTCTGCAGCCCTGCGCCAGACGCTGCCGGCCGTTGCCGTCGCGGCCTTTGCGGCCTTTGGCGGCGTGCTGTACGGCTATGACACGGGCACCATCAGTGGTCTTCTGCAGGTGCGTTGCCGATCCCACATCACCAGCCTGTGCTGTCGCGGGCGCGACGTCGCGCCATGCGGCGTTGCAACCATCACGGTCCCACAGGACCGCGTCAGTGCTCACTGAGCGTCATTTCTGCAGAATGAGCGCTTCCGCGAGGACTTCGGCCAGTTCTACCAGTCTGATGGCGTGACCGGCGGCATCCCGAGCAACCCGGACACGTCGGGCTGGTCGCTCTCGACGTCGAGCACGTCCCTGACGACGTCGATCCTCAGTGTCGGCACCTTCTTCGGCGCGCTCATCGGCGCTCCCGTCGCCGACCGCCTCGGCCGCCGCTGGGGTCTGCAGATCGCCCTGCTCGTCTTCACCGTTGGCGTCGTCATGCAGCTCATCGCGCAGGCCCTCCCGCTTTTCGACGCCGGCCGTGTCGTTGCAGGTAAGGAGGTTGCCCACGCGGCCGCTGCCCATGCGGCTCACGATGCTTGAACAGGTCTCGGCGTCGGCATCCTGTCGACGATCATTCCCATGTACCAGAGCGAGGTTGCGCCTCGCTGGATCCGTGGTGCCGTTGTCTCCGGCTACCAGTGGGCGATCACCATCGTGAGTGCACCGAAGCGTCTGAGGTCCGAGCCTGCTACTAACGCACAGCGCAGGGACTACTGTGCGCTTCTATTGCGAACAATGGCACGAAAGACTATGGCAACAGCGAGTTTCGACAGAGACAGGGTCCCTCGTCGTTGCTGACAGGTCTGTGCTCCTGCAGCCGGCGCGTACCGCATCCCCATTGCGATCCAGATCGCGTTTGCGATTGTCCTGAGTGTCGGTCTGTTCTTCCTGCCGGAGTCGCCTCGCTGGCAGATCAAGCGTGGTCGCCACGAGCTCGCCGCCAAGGCCCTCGCCAAGCTGAACTCGACGGCGATTGACGACCCCGTCGTCGTGTCCGAGCTCGCGGACGTGCAGACGGCCCTGGACATGGAGCTCACGCTCGGCAACGGCTCCTACCTCGACTGCTTCCGTGCCAACGAGCGCAAGAACCGTGCCCGCACGCTCACCGGCATGGCTCTGCAGGGATGCCAGCAGCTGACCGGCATCAACTTCATCTGTGAGGGCACAACGATGCCTTCTCTTGTACCTCCACTCATGCTGTTCCTCCTCCAAAGTCTACTACGGCACGACGTTCGCTGCATCCGCAGGTATAACGAACCCATTCACGGTAAATTTTCCGGACTGAGTGCATAGTCTGAGCTCACCATGTGCGCGTTGCAGTTCTCGATCATCTCGAACGTCGTCAACGTTGTCGCGACGGTGCCCGGCATGTGGGCCATGGAGCGTGTCGGCCGCCGCAAGCTTCTGATTTGGGGTGCACTTGGAATGTGCTCCATGGAGCTTATTGTCGCCATCCTCGGCACAATTTACAACGGCTCCAACCCCGACGCTCAGCGCTCGCTCGTCGCCTTCGTCTGCATCTACGTGGCCATGTTTGCATCGACCTGGGGCCCGGCCGCCTGGGTCGTTTGCGGGTGAGTCGTGAGCTCGCAACCTCCACGCGCCCGAGCTGAAACAACCGGCCCCAGCGAGATCTTCCCGCTCGCTATCCGCGCCAAGGCACTCAGCCTGTGCACCAGGTGAGTTCAGCGTGCTGCCAGCTGCCAGTGACCCCAGCTGACAGCGAGATCAGCTCGAACTGGCTGTTCAACTGGGCCATCGGCTATGCCACGCCCTACATGGTTGACAGCGGCAAGGGCAATGCGAACCTGCAGTCCAAGGGTGAGGCTGCAATGCTGCGCTTGCCCCTCGCGCAAAGCTGACGCTTGCCGCCTGCAGTCTTCTTCGTCTGGGCGGCCACGTGCTTCGGCAGCGCCGTGTTTGCGCACTTCTTCATCGTCGAGACGCGCGGTCTGAGCCTCGAGGAGGTCGATGAGCTGTACGCCACGACGACGCCGGCGCGCTCGACGCGCATGAACGCCGAGATGCAAGCGCGTCGCGGCGAGCTCGAGGGCGGTAAGTACGTCGCCGGCGACGAGCAGGTCGAGGCCGACGCCGCCAAGGCGCACGCACTCAAGCTCGACGACAAGGACGCGCAGTGAGCGCTTGCCTGCGCCGGTGCCATTCCTCGGCAGTCTACTGCTGGTGGCGCATGAGCGTCTCTCCACAGCCCTCTGCGCCTCGGCTCGGCATTCCTCTTGCTCCTTCCTGTCCACGCCCACGCCTCTTGCTCCCTCATGTCCACGACCTTCCCTTCTCTGCCTGCTTCTGTCTGTCCTTCTCTCACCCCTCTTTCACGCCTGCTCCACACTTGTTCCTCGTCATCTTTTGCCCTTGTCTTCGCGCTCTAGAGCGTCTTGCGCGCCTGCAATGGCATGCGAACGTGTCTGCGAAGCTGCGAGTGCAGGTTGTCGAGGCAGCGCAGGCGTGTTCCCACGCCGTCGCCGACGCGCGTGGGAGCAGAGCAATCGCGGGATGCGGGGAAGCGTGGAAGATGCGGAGCGCCGCGCCCGGCTTTCACACCTGACTGCGCCGACGGCTCCCTTCCCACCACCACAACGCCCGGCAAGATGTCCAAGGAGAGCTCAAGCCTGCTGCAGACGCGCAGAGAGGGCCGCGTGCTCATCGTGTCGATCAAGAATCCGCCGTACAACCTGCTGACTGTGAGGCTGCTGCGATGCGTTGCGCGGAGCACCGCTGACGGCTGCACTGCAGGGCGACATTCTGCTTGGCCTGGCGCGCATCCTGCGGTCGCTCGATGTCAGGGATACAGGAGCTGTGAGCCGGATGGATCCGTACGCAGTGCTGCGGCTTGGCTCACACTCTTCGCACCGCTAGGTGGTCCTGGCGTCGGCCATCTCGGACGTCTTCATCTCGCACTATTCCGTGGACGAAATTCTCGAGTTTGGCGAGCTGCTCCCGCCCTTCCTCGCAGCCAACACACATCCGTGGATGCTGCGCGGATTGCTGGCCGTGGAGACGGGCCTCTCGTACCTTGGGCTGCGGCCATTGCTTCGTATGACTCCGCTCAAGGGACTCGCACACTTGAACGGCTATGCAGGTGCGTCGGTGTGCACGAGAGACGCCATATCGAGGCTCACCAGCGCCCTCAGAATGCGCACATCTTCTTCGCAGCATTCCTCAGGTCACTGTCGCCGCCGTCGTGAGTCAGCTCTCTGCTGAAAGGCGCAGCACAGGCTGACCCCTTTGAGCTCAGAACGGGCGAGCATTTGGCGGCGGCTGCGAGCTGGCGCTCAGCTGCGACTTCCGCGTCATGGTCGACACACCGCCAGAGGGCACCGCCGACTCCCGCGGCTGCGGCATGTGCGTACAGGCTTGTCTGCCGACGCCTTTCGAGGCTGACCCATCTCCTGCAGCGGACAGCCCGAGATCGTGCTCGGCCTCATCCCGGGCGGCGGTGGCACTCAGATGCTGACACGGATGCTGGGCCCCGCGCAAGCGCTCGAGCTGTGCCTCGAAGGCACGCTCATCTCTGGCGAGGAGGCGCTCAAGTACGGCCTCATCACCAAGCTCGTCTCGCGCGAGCAGCTCATGCCCGAGGCCATGACCATCGCTGAACGCATGGCCCGCCGCAACCCGGCAGCCGTCGCGGCGATCAAGGACTGCGTGCACACAGGAGGCTCAAGCCCACTGGCTGTTGGCATTCGCCGCGAGCAAGGCGGCTTCGGCACATCTGCTCTCGTCCCGGAGGCTGCAAACGCCATGACCAAGTACCTCTCGGGCATCGACGAGCTCCTCGGGCCCAAGTCGAACCTGGCCGACTTTCAGTCGTGGAAGGACGGCACGGCGGTCGACTTCACGCCGGGCTCGGCGCGGAAGCTGCAGGCGAGCAAGAAGCAGGTCTGATGCGCACTACTGCGCCTTTCTGTTGGCAGGGCTGCACTCGACACGATAACATTAGTTCCGGATCCGCTTGCTCCTTCTCTTGTCTGCTGATAATGGTATATACAAAACGAGCCAGTGCACCTCAGAGCTTCGCCGGCTTGGCCTCGCTCTCATCATCCTTGCCGCGCACGAGGCCTTCTTGCGACTAGCAGTGGATGCGGTGTCAGCATGTGAGATGCAGCGAGAGGCGTTGGCAGCTACGCACAACCACTGCGACGAGCGTGCCGTCCTGCCGGTAGATGCGACCCATAGCCACGCCCCGCCCGTGCGCTGCAGCCTGCGTCTGCATGATGAAGAGCATCCACTGCGACACGTCGAACGTGTCGTAGAACCTGCGAGCGTGCCGCGTCAGCTGTGCCCAGCTCTGACTCTCCTGGCAAGACGCACCACATCGAGTGGTCCAGCGAGGCCATCATCTTGATCCTTCGCGAGTTGCCGAGCGCCTTTGGAATCGTCGAGAGCAGGTAGAAGCTGGGGCGAGCGTGAGCAGTGCTCGCCGCTTCCACTCCCTGATGGCACTCACTCAGAGGCATACGCCAGCGCCGCCTTCTGCTCGTCGTCGCCGCCCGCGACTGGCTGGCGCGTGCGCATCCAGAAGGCCTGCTCGTAGCCTGCTGTCGGCAGGCCATTCGCATCGTACATGCCAGGCAGTGCGTCACTGCGCCGTCCACGTCTGTCAGCTCGCCGTGCATCAGCGTCGCGCGCCTCGGCTCACCGGATCTCGACAGCGCTACGCCGCCGATCCTCAACCCATCCCTCGAGCACCTTCTTCAGGCCCGCATCCATCATGTGGCCCTTCTCGCGCAGCACGCGCAGGTAGCGCTCCTCGTTCAGCGGGCTCTCCTCGGGACTGAACAGGCCAGTCACGTCGCCGTTGGCGCTGCGGTTGGCGCTGAAGACCGACTCGGGGCTGGGTCCCTTGGAGGCGCCGCCGAGGCGCACCGAGGCGTTGCCCATTCCGCCAGGGTCAACGCCCTCGGCATCGCCGGCGGGACCCAGCGACCGCGGCAGAGGGATCGCGAAGCGCGGCCGCCCTGGCTCTGGCCGCTGATAGGACTTCAGCGCGGCGTCAGCGCATGGCGCATCCCGCAGCTCACACGCGCTACTCACGAGCATGATGGTGAAGATGGCGCGCCCATGCTGGATGGCCTCGACGCTGCGCGTCACGTACGAGCCGCCGTCGCGCAGGCGCTTGACGTCGTAGATGATGGGCACGTTCTTGTCGCCGGCGAGGAGGAAGTAGCACTGCGGAGGGAGTTAGCCGGCGTTTGAGCTGCAGATAGGCGAAGACACTGACGTGGAGCGACTGCGAGGACATGTCAGCGCAGGCAACCACTACGCACAGACGTCGCACTCACGTGGAGGAAGACATCGTCGCGCACCGTCGCATTCGACGCCGACACGGCCTGCCCAATGACCTGCCCGCCAAAGACACCACGCGCGCGAGCAGGCACCCAGAGCGACTTGCGAGAGCGAGCGAGGCATCAGCACCACCGCCGCACCTGCCCCTCTCCACAGCACGCACCTTGCTGCGGTACAGATTATCATCGATGAGCTCAACATCAATGCTCTCGGCGATGTTGGGCCCGTCGTTGAGGCCCTGCTCGTACACGGGCGGCTCGCGCTCCTCGCTCGTCGGCTCGCGGCCCTGCTCGGCGCCGAGGAGGTCGCGCGACGAGGCGCGCAGCTGCTGCTCGTCGCGCGGCTGCTTGCCCTTGCGTGCTGAGGCGGGCTTCTTGGCTGGCATGGCTGAGGATGGGTGTTCGGTGGAGGTGGTCTAGAGGGAAGCAGCGTTGCGGCACCGGCGCGCCGCTGAAACGCGCACGGCTCCGGCGCTCCTCGACGCCGGAGCCGGCGCGGCAAGCCAAGGGCCCACAGCGAGCGCGCTGCGCCGCCTTCTCGCGCCTCGCCTCGACGGCCAAAGCCACAGCCGCCAGCGCCGGCAGAGACCCACCGCGCGGCCGCCTGTGCTGATGCTGTGGTGCCGGCTGCACGCTGCTGCTGCCGCTGCCGCGTCCGCGCGGCTGCAACTGCACGGCTGCGATGCGCTGCATGCTGGTGACGCTCAGGCACAGCGTGGGGCGGTGGAGCTCGCACGGCACAGCGCCAGTGTCCGACACGCCGCGCAGCCTTAATGCACGCACCCACGCGAGGCCGCCGTCGGACCGACGCCGCTCGGCGACGGCGACGGCCCAGACCCCTCGCAGTCTCAGTCTCCTTCGCAGCCCTCGTCTCCCTCCACCAGCATCCATTCACCACCCGCCGCCGCCATGCCCTCCGCGACGCACCCCACGCTCGCCGCCGCGCTCGAGACGCTCGAGACGCAGTGCGAGCTCAGCGCCGACACGCTGCGCGCCATTGCCGCGCGCTTCCGCGAGCGCCTCGTGCACGGCCTGTCGCATGACGGCGCCAACATGGCCTGCATCCCGAGCTTCGGTGCGTCGGTGTGAGGCAGAGACATTGCTACAGCCTGCTCATTCTGCCGCGCACCAGTCACGGGCGTGCCCGACGGCTCGGAGAAGGGCACCTACCTCGCCCTCGACCTCGGCGGCACCAATTTGTCAGTCCGGCTGGCACACGCCCTGCGAGCCCCTCCACTGATGCGATGGATGCTCCACTGCCAGGCGCTGCTGCCAGGTGAAGCTGTCGGGCGGCGGGCAGTTTACGATGAAGCAGGAGAAGTACAAGGTGTGAGTATGTCCGCCCAGCAAGCGCCCGTGCGCCGCAGCGGAGGAAGAGCAGGGCTGCGAGCTGCACATGGCAGCTGCTCGGAGCTGCGGCTCGCTGGACTCGCTGCCTGGTCGGTGCTTGAGCTTACACCTTGCATCAGCTCCGACGCGCTCAAGACGGGCCCGGCGCACGACCTCTTCGCCTACATCGCCAAGTCGATTGGCACCTTCCTCAAGGACTACGGAGACCAGGAGGAGTGCGCCAATGCCACGCGCGAGGACCCGCTGCTCGTCGGCTTCACCTTCAGCTTCGTGAGTGGCAGCGTCTCCGGGCAGCGCACAATTGCACAGGCTCACACCTCCACTCTCAGCCCGTGGAGCAGACTGCGATCGACCGCGGCACGCTGGTGCGTGCAGCGACTGCTGTGCCCAGACCTCTCTGATCCCAGTCCCGTTGCAGATCAAGTGGACAAAGGGCTTCAACTGCCCCGATGCGCCGGGCATGGAGGTCGTGAGCCTGCTGCAGTCGTGCATCGACGAGGCCGGCATCCCGGCGCGCGTCAATGCACTCGTCAACGACACTGTCGGCGCACTGCTGGCGCACGGCTATCAGCAGGGCGGCGCGCTGATTGGCGGCATCTTCGGCACGGGCACCAACGGCGCCTACGTCGAGTCCGTCGAGCGCATCCAGAAGATGAACCCGGAGTTTGCGCACGGCGAGAGCACGATGATCATCAACACCGAGTGGGGAGGCTTTGACGACGAGGTGAGTCGGCGCAGCGTTGCCCGCCAGCGGGGCGTAGGCTGATGCGAGGGTGTGCAGCGCGCCGCGCTGCCGATCACGCTGTTCGACAATGTCGTCGACCGCACGTCGATCCGGCCACGGCATCACGCGTTCGAGAAGATGATCAGCGGCATGTGTGAGTTGCACTCCCGAGGTTCACACCTGCGCACTGCTCACGACTCTGTAGACCTCGGCGAGCTGGTGCGGGCGGTGCTCATCCATCTCATCGACTCGCTGCACCTCTTCGACGGCTACTCGTCCGACGCGATGAACGAGCAGTACGCCTTCGACACGGCGTACGTCTCTGCCGTGCTTGACGACAAGGCGCCCGAGGCGCCCAGCTCGCCGACGCGCGCCGTGATCCTGCAGACTATGGGCATGAAGAAGGAGCACGTGTCGGACCAGGACCTCAAGACGGTCAGGCGGGTGTGCGAGATTGTGGGCCGGAGAGCAGGCAGATTGAGCTCGGTGGCTATCGCTGCCGTGATCCAGCACACGGGCCACGACCAGCGGCCGCAGAAGGAGAGCATCGACGTGGGCGTTGACGGCAGTGTGTACGAGCATCTGCCGCACTTTGAGGAGTGGTGAGTCGCCGAGGGTGTGCTGTGCGGCGTGCCTGGCACTGACGCGCTGCACGCACAGGCTGCGGGAAGGCCTGCGGGACCTGCTGGGCGAGGAGAACGAGAAGCGCGTCAAGATCGACCTGGCCAAGGACGGCTCGGGTGTTGGAGGTGCGTGTATTGGGGTGCATGATTCTGCTCCTCGGCTAACGTGCGCATCTCCTGCAGCTGCTCTCTGCGCGCTGCAAGCAAAGAAGCAGGCGGACCGGGCACACGCCCGCCGGCAGTGAGCCACCCCTCGTGCAGCAAGCGGGAGGCTCTCTGCTGACCCGTGCTCAGGACGATGTGAGGCGCAGACGCACTGGACGAGATGAAGAGGGAACCTGGAGCTTCCAATCACGACAAGAAGCGGTGTGCGGCAGCTATCCGCACGCTGGCAGAGACACACTGTCTGCGCAAGGGGAATGCGAATGTCATTGTTCATTCCAGTCGGCGAGGTCTCCGCACTGCTGGAACGCATCGAGCTGCGCGCTGCCGCGGAAGCCCGAGGCGACGACGAAGTGCTCTGCGCTGGAGATGCGGCTGCTGCGCGGCTTTGCAATGACGACGTCGTCGAAGGCCGTGCGCAGCTGTGCCACGAGGAGCAGTGCGTCTGCGCCGCCTGGTCCTGTGCCCGTCTTGCTGTGCGAGTCGACGGTGGGATTGACGAAGATCTTGGCGACGAAGACGCCGCGTGGCGCCAGCAGACGGAAGACGAGCGTCATGGCGGCCTGCAGCAGCTGTGACTGCAGATAGGCGTCGAGCGCATGCAGGCCCGTCACGTCTGGCGCGCCGTCACACACGATGAGATCGGCCTTTTGCCGCTCCTCGTCGTCGCCCGCCAGTGCAGCAGCCACCTCGGCAGCCGTCGTCTCGAGCGTAATGTCGCCGCAGATCTGCTGCACGCCGGGCAGCGGCGCCATCGGCTGCAGATCGACGGCGACGATGCGTGAGCCGGACGGCAGCCGCCGTGTGAGCACCTGCGACCAGGAACCGGGCGCAGCGCAGAGGTCGACGACCCGTCGTGGCGCGCTGGACGACTCGGCGGGCGCAAGGAGCGGCGAATGTGTCAGGAAGCCGAACTCTTCGTCCAGCTGCAGCAGCTGCGGGATGAAGTCTGTGAGCCTCAGCATGCATCAGTGGCAACGCCACACCCACACACCTTGTATGCGCTGCGGGCCCGGTAGCCGTCGCTCTTGGCCTGCCGGTAGAAGATGTCTCGCGAGTCCTTGGTGCTCTTGCCCCTGCGGAGCACGTCAGTCGCCTGAGGCCTGCCTGTGCCGCGCCTGCACGCACATCTTGTAATCTCTTGTCGTCTATCAGCGAATGGATTGAATGCTGCAGCGACTGTTGAGTGTGCCGGCGAGTTGAGGTGCTTGCAGCCTGAGCTTGAGTCGTTGAGCGAGCGCGTGGTGGAGAGGAAGCAAGGCGGCTTGGGAGGCACCACGCGCAAAAATGCCGTGCGAGAGGCGCACGCGAAGACCTCGCCATGCTGCCGGCCCCCTACGAGCCGGTCCGCTTCCTTCCTCTCCACATCATCACCTCGCTCGCAACCCTCGGCCTGCTCGCTCTCACTCCTCACGCGCCAAGGAACAGGCGTCTGCGGCCATGGCTACCGTGCTGCCCTCGCCCGGCGCGGCCGGCGGCGCCGACGAGGAGCTGCGCATCGAGATGCTCGGCGCGGGCCAGGAGGTGGGGCGCAGCTGCTGTGTGCTGACGTACAAGGGTGAGCAGCGAGAGGAGCAGAGCGCAGCTGCAGCAGAGCAAGGAGGAGTGTCAGCTGCTGTCCGTGTGGATCTGGGCCGAAGGCTGTGGCCTTGCTCTGGCCCGATGTGCCGCTGTGGAGGGCGGCCGGCCGCTGGGCCTTGCGGCTCCTCAGTTTGGCTCAAACGCGCAGCCGGCGAGCTCGCAAGCGAGCAGCAGCTGACAGCTCATCACAGGCAAGACGATTGTCTGCGATGCTGGCGTTCACCCAGCGTACCAAGGCATTGCGGCCTTGCCTTTCCTCGACGAGGTGAGTGCTGGAGCGAGAGACGCAGGAGCTGCTGCTGACGCCTGCTGACGGGCAGCTGGACTGGAGCACGGTCGACGCTCTGCTCATCACACAGTGAGCTTCTCACTTCCCGGTACAGGCGTGCGGCATGCTGACAGCGCCGCAGCTTTCACTTGGATCACGCCGCTGCACTGACCTATGTGATGGAGAAGGTGCGCGCAGAGGGCTTGCGTGTGTGGAATTCTGCCTAACCCAGGCAACACAGACAAACTTCAAGGAGGGCAACGGCCGCGTGTACATGACACATCCGACCAAGGTGCGGCTGATGCGCAGATAGAGGCGCTGCAAGTCCTGACGCTCTTTTGTGACAGGCCGTGTACCGCTTCCTGATGTCCGACTTCGTCCGCATCTCGTGAGTGCGCAGAGGTCCAATGCGAGGGTGCATGGCTCACACTTCTATGCAGCAACGCCGGCTCCGATGACCAGCTCTTCGACGAGACCGAGATGTTGGCGTCCTGGCGGCAGATCGAGGCCGTCGACTACCACCAGGAGGTGCAGATCGCAGGCGGCCTGCGCTTCACGAGCTACCACGCCGGCCACGTGCTCGGCGCTGCGATGTTCCTCATCGAGATGGCTGGGCTGCGCATCCTCTACACGGGCGACTTCAGCCGCGAGGAGGACCGGCATCTGGTGCAGGCCGAGGTGCCGCCCGTGCGGCCAGATGTGCTCATCAGTGAGAGCACGTATGGCGTGCAGAGTCTCGAGCCGCGCCTGGACAAGGAGCAGCGCTTCACCAGTGAGTGTGAACGGGCGCGAACGTCATCTTGTGAGCTGACACGGGCGCAGCCATGGTGCACAACATCGTGAACCGCGGCGGACGCGTGCTGCTGCCAGTATTCGTGCTGGGGCGTGCGCAGGAGCTGCTGCTGCTGCTGGACGAGTACTGGGCCGCACATCCGTCGCTGCACCAGATTCCGATCTACTACGCCTCGTCGCTGGCGCGCAAGTGCATCGGCATCTATCAGACGTACATCCACACGATGAACGAGCACATCCGTGCGCGCTTCAACCGGCGCGATAACCCCTTCGTGTTCAAGCACGTCTCGAACTTGCGCAGCCTCGACCGCTTCGAGGACAAGGGGCCTTGCGTCATGATGGCATCTCCCGGCTTCATGCAGAGCGGAGTCAGTCGCGAGTTGCTGGAGCGCTGGGCGCCTGACAGGCGTAACGGTCTCATCGTGACCGGCTACTCGGTGGAGGGCACGATGGCACGGGTGAGTTGTCGTCAGGCCGACAGCGCGGACGCCAGGCTGACGATGCCTGCAGAACATCCTGCTCGACCCCGACGAGATCGTCGCGATGAGCGGACAGAAGATCCCGCTGCGCATGTCCGTTGACGAGATCAGCTTTTCGGCGCACGTCGACTTCACGCAGAACTCGCGCTTCATCGACGAGGTCAAGGCGCAGCACATTGTGAGTCCGCAGGCAGCCTGAGGTTGCCCTGTGCTGAAAGTGTTTGCCAACAGGTCCTGGTCCACGGCGAGCAGAACGCCATGAGCCGTCTGCGTGCGGCGCTGCAGTCCAAGTTCGCCGAGCGATCAGAGGACGTCAAGATCCACACGCCGCGCAACTGCGAGCCGCTGCGGCTCAAGTTCCGCGGCGAGCGCATGGCAAAGGTGGGTCGCTAAGCAATGCTGGCCATCAACGTGAGGCTCATACTCTTTCCTCTGTCAGGCGATTGGGCGCATCGCGGCACAGCAGCCAAAAGCCAACACGGTCCTCGACGGCCTGCTCGTCTCCAAGGACTTTGCCTACACCCTGCTCGACCCTGCCGATCTGGCAGACTTCACCGGCCTGCACACGAGCGCCATCATGCAGCGCGCCCGCGTGCGGCTTGCTGTGGGCTGGGCACTGGCGCGCTGGCACCTCGAGGGCATGTACGGCAAGCTGGTCGAGGGAGTGGATCTCGAGGGCCGGCGGACGATGCGCATCATGGGCGCCGTCGACGTGAAGCAGTCTGAGCGCGAGGGTGAGCTGGTGCTCGAGTGGAAGGGCAGCGTGGCCAACGACATGGTCGCCGACTCGGCCGTGGCGCTGCTGCTGGGCGTCGACTCTAGTCCGGCAAGCGTCAAGATGACGACAAGGGCACACACGCACTCGCACGGCCACGAGGGCGAGCCAGAGGCGCAGAATGAGGACAAGGCACTGGCTCGTGCTGCTGCCGAGAACGCCGCGCTCAGCGAGCCACATCCGCACGCTGCTGCGGCTCTGCAAGAGGAGACCACCACGAGCGGCGAGCCGTCAGGAGCAGACGCTGCGGTGCTGCTTGCACGCACAGAAGAGCTGGCTGCCTTCCTCGAGGCGCACTTTGGCTCCGTCGAGGAGACCTCTGTTGGCGGATACGTCGAGGAGACACCAGCTGCCGAGGAGACGGAAGAGAAGAAGGGCGAGGACGTCGAGGAGGCACAAGCAGCGGACGGCGACGCAGAGATGAAGGATGGTGCAGCGCCATCTGCCGAGGACGACACGGCTCAAGCATCCACAGAAGCGGCGGCTGCCGAGGAAGAGCCCAGCTCAGCCGCACCACCCGACGGCGACACGAGCATGAGCGGCGCGGCGGACGCAGATCAGAAGCAAGCGTCTGCGACACCTGCTGCCGACCCTGCTGCGGCTGCAGCGGCAGCCGCTGCAGCGATGGGCCCGCCCAAGAACGCTCCGACGAAGCCGCGGGCCGAGCGCGAGGCTGAGGCGGCGGCGCTGCTGGCGGCCATGCCGGACCCCATCACGCGCATAACAGGGCCGATGCGGCCTGCGCTGCTCGTGCAGCTCGATGACGAGCGTGCAGTCATCGAGACGGACTCTCTCGTGAGTATAGGCAAGCGTCTAGCGGCTGTGCAGAGCTGACCCTCTTCCACACAGGTCGTCACGGGCCGATCGCCAGCTTTGCGGGCGCGCGTCGAGCGGCTGGCCGCTCTGGCGCTGCGTGCTTCGACCTGCATCGCCGACTCGTACACTGTGCGGCCAGCGCTGAGCACGGAGCTCTTCCTGGGCACACACGTGCCGCCGGTCGAGCCGGGCACGAGCGAGGCGGCGAGCATCACGGGGTGAAAAGAGGGGAGGCGCATCACAATGTCACATCATCACACGCAGCAGAGAGGCACAGACAGGGTATCATTGAGCACGTAGCGGCGCGGAGCACAGCTCGGCAGTCCACTGGAGAGGGAAGAAAAAGAGGGTCCACAAGGCCAGAGACGGGCAGGAGAGTCAAGCCCCGTTGAGTTGCCCCTGCGGCAGCCGCAGCTGCACGCAGAGGTGATCGCATGACTATCGCGGCTCTTGGTACGAGCGCAGGACGAACGTTGCAAGTCGTGGCCACTCCTATGACAGCGCTGTTCCATCTGCCTGAGACAGACCGGCGTCGAGCATCTGACGCACAACCACGCGCGCCATAATGCCAAGCCACACTCACGCCCCCGTAGGAGCGCCTCTTCGCGGGCAAGGCGACGCGGCGGCGCAGCGAACAGACTAAGCCGGCGTCCCAGATAGTGCAGAGGACGTAGCGCTGCACGGAGCAGAGTGCAGGGGCTACGGGCGCAAAGACCGGGTGCCGTGAAGCAGCCGCGCGCCAGGCCAACTCGAAGCTGCACTCTGCCTCCCGACCGTCGCGACACCATCCATCGACGCCCTCTACCTCGCACCTGCCGCCATGCACGTCAGTCTCTGCCAGGCCGCGCCGCACGCATTACGGCGCAGCCGCTCTCCGCAGCAGCCATGGCGAGAGACGACGTGTGCGGGGGCTCGTGTGAGGCGTAGCGAGGGCGGAGGAGAGGGCGAAGCAGCGGAGGGGAAAGGAGAGCCGTAGGTGACTGCTGTCCAGGGACTTGCCCTACAGCGCGGCCTGCCCACGGGGGACAGGACCGCGCTGCATAGCGATCCTTCGCTGCGTCTCTGGCTGATGTGGTGAGGAGACAAGCGCCGGCGCCGCGCGGCGCGGCATGCAAAGGCAGAAAATGGCGCGCGGGTGAGCGGCCACACGGGAAGCGAGGAGTGTGGGAACGCGCACGTGCCGCGCGTTGCGGCTCCGTCCTCGAGGCCCGACTTCGTGTCGCTCTTGCTCGTCATCCCCTCGTCCTCCTTCTCTGGCTCCCACACACTACCTCAATGGCCTTCACACGCTCGTCATTGACGAGTCTCCTCTCGCGCTCCTTGCCTCGCTCTCAACCTCTCGCCACCTCTTCGCGCCTCGCCCGCCCCTTCTGCTCCAGCATGACACGCGCGGCGGGCCCGATTGAGAGTGCCATGATGAAGAAGCTGCAGGAGGCGTTGACAGAGGAGGCGAATGTCAAGATTCGCAATGAGTGAGTCCGAGACGAGGCTGCGACGCTTGAGCCGGGGACTGAGAGAGTGAAGGAGTGTTTCGGAGAGAGCGAGAGAGGGAAGAGAGGGAGAGGACGCTGGACGTGGTGGCGGCGCGTCGCAGGGACGCTGCGCTGCAAGACGAGGCAGCTCTCCCACATGGAAGAGAAGGGAAAGAGATGGCGCGTTGGAGAATGGAGCAACAGCTGAGGGCACGAGATGGCGAAGTGTGTGCGTGCGAGCAGAGTATGGCACGAAAGGTGCCGGGGGGCTAGCTGTAGTCCCTGCCTCTCTGCTGGCGTCGAGCTGCTGCAGTGCAATCGCCTTCGGGAAGGAGACAGACCACGACGAGTGTTTCTCTTAGCGACAGCCTTCCTTTCCCCCCCCCTCCTTCCCCCCCTGGGTCATGCCTCACTGCTGTGCAGGGCTGGTCACTCGCCGTTCGGCGTAGTGCAAGAGAGCGTCGCGAGACGGCAGCTTCAGCACGCTGGCCAATGGCGCTCCGGAGCACCGCTGCCTTGAACGTTCGAATCGCTCCACCGTTCTCTCTCTCGCTCCCCTCATTCTGCCCACTAGTGCTCACAACTCCCTCTTGCAGTTCCTCTAAGCACGCGCACCACGCCGCCATGGTGGCGCAAGGCGGCAGCTCGGGCGAGACGCACTTCTTCATCGACGCCATCTCGGCCTCCTTTTCTGGACAAGCGCAGCTCGCTCGTCATCGACGCATCAACGCTCTCATGCGCGAAGAGTTCGACGCCGGCTTGCATGCGCTGAGTCTGCGCTTGAAGACGCCCGAGGAGGATCAGAGGGAGAAGGAGAGGATGAAGAGCGCGCAATAGAAACGCCTCGAAGTCAGCAGGAGGGTGTGGCAGGGCGTGAGTGTAGGCGTCACATGAGCACGTCTGAGACTGCCAGTAGGAATTCGAGAGGATCAGAGTGAGGCAAGGTTTCGTGAGCCGAGCCAGGATGACGACCTGAAAGGCCCTTCTCGTGCACCTGGCGGCTGCATCTGAGCGGCTGGCGCTCCAGACCCATCCTCATGCCCCAAGGCAGGTCACATGACCCTCCTTCGCTCTCTTCGCACGATCCTCGGCGTCCAAGGCACTCAATCCCGATGCGCGGACCTCCTCCTCTTTCCCCTCACTGGCGCCCAAAGCGCTGCCAAAAGAGACGGCGCGGCGGCGGCATGACGCTCAAATGTGCCGCGGAAAACAGCTATACGGCGCCAGCAGCGGCGGCGGCGCAGCATGCAGAGCGAAGGCGGTGCGGAACAGATTAGCCCCCAATGTGCAGAGCGGCGTGCGGGGAAGCAAGCTACTTCTCTCTCTCTCACGCGCTCCACTTTGCTCGTACCGAGCGTTGATGCGTGAAGGCGCAGCCGCAAGAAGAGGGCGGCTCGGCATCCGAGCGCCGGCGGCACGCGGGCCGAGGAGGCACGGCGCGGCCCGCGGAGGGAGGAGAGGCATGCCCCCAACAGCCAGGGTGCAGCTGAAGGCAGTAAGAGTCGCGGGGGCGAGAGGCGCACGCCATACGAGACGAGGCTAGCCCAGCTGCACCCTGAACGACCTTCCTGCGCGCTGACCGGTGGCCGCGCGGTGAGGCCGAGCCGCACGGCGACGCGGCTGCTTCGGCCGAGGGTGGACAGTCCAGAGATGGCGCTTGTGGAGCGACATCGACGCGACCGAGGCGAGATTGGAGCGCGTGGGCTCGCGCGTGGTGCTCATGTGCCTGCCTGCCGTTGAGGTGGTGCATCGGCCATCGGCGTGGGCGCGCGAGGGCGAGAGCCGGCGGTGGCGGCGTGAGAGCGGCAGGAGAGGCGCCGTTGCGCGCATGCGGCGGGCGGCGGAACAAGGCGCGCAAGCGTCATGTCGCAGATGCGGCTGCGCGTTGACCGCTCGCGTGCCCTTCGCCCACGCGCGAGGCGTGACCCTGCCTTAGCTCTCTGTGGCTGGTGGGACAAGCTGGCTTCGCGCGGCGAAAGCAGAGGTGGAAGCACGGGAGGAGAGGCGAGAGAGCGAGAGACGAGAGCGGAGGAGCATTTGCCCGTCATGGAAGGACGAGAGTCGAGACTCGACTTCGCGGGCGAAGCGCGAGAGGCGACGAGGCGAGACCTCGCGGCGGCGATGCGCGCGCGATGCGCCGCGTGAGATGCTCTTGAGGCACGCGAGCAGTCTCCCCTCGTTGCGCTCTCACGCCTTGGGCACGGCGCGGCCGGCGGAGCCGCGCTGAGAGCGCCCACGCTCATCATCCACTTCTCTCGATCTGGGCGATCTCCAGCTCGCCTCGCCGCTGCCCTTGGGGCACGCCAGCAGTGTCGTCGCTTGCACGCGTTGCGCAGCATGCGTGCTGACGCCGCTGATGCAGCGCTCCATGCGCCGGCCGGCCGCCTGCGCTGGCTGCTGGTGACGCTGTCGGCCTGCGCTCCCCGCCCCGCACCGCCGCGCACACCAGCCGGCCGCTTCTTCGCGCCCGCTGCCCGCTGCCCGCTCAGCCGGCTTCGCGACGCTGGCCTCATAAAGGCCTCTCTCGCTTGACCCTCGCCTCCGCTCTCACCCACCACCAGCACCAGCCTTTGCACAACCAAGCCCACCTTCACCCAAGCCTCACCCTTCTCCTCCTTCTGACAAGATGTTCGCCGCCCGCTCCTTCTCCGCCCGCGTCGCCGCTCCCGTGCGCGCGCGCCTCTCCTCGACGCTCACGGGCGCCGCACCCAAGGTGCCCTCGGCCGCGGCGGCCGCGTCGACGTCGAGCAGCGCAAACCTCACCACGGCCGCCTCGAGCTCCAGCATGGGCGAGACGGCCGCCTCGTCGCGCCACACGGTCAACCTGGCCGGCAAGGTCATGAGCCGATCTCGGTGAGTTGCCCCCGTCTCTCCCATTCCCTTGTTCTTCTGCTCGGAGCGCCTCGCCCTGTTTCGCTGCCCGTCTCGCCCCGTGATCCACGTTACTCATCCGTGCCCTTTTCCTGCTCCTGCAGCATGTTCGCAACCAACGCCTCCGAGTCGCTGCCCGGCCTCTCCGAGCTCAGCCCGGCGCAGGCCCGCGCCCAGCGCGCACAACACCGCATGCGCGACGCCAAGTCGCTCGCCGGCATCCTCTAGAGGCGCTCTTCTAGGCCCGCATCTCTCGCCATGCACTCTAGACTGTCATCGACTCAAGGCTGCATCACGTCGGTTTCCATCGCTACCCACCTTGCGCCATGCAGGCACCGTCAACGAGGGCCCGTCGAGGCTGTCGTGCCCATCACTCGCTCGGCCCCCCATCGCTACACTCCCTCTCGCTCTTCTTCTGCCTCTCATCGCCTCGCTATTGCCCGCGCTTCCCTAGCCAAAGCGCCTTGTACCACCAGCCTCACTTCTCTCGATTCCCATTTGTACCGCTCATACAACCACACTCAGCTCTGCTATTCTCAACTATCAACTCGTTACTGCTCTTGTCTCGTCCGTCTCTTGTGTGTCACGATCCTGCGTGAGGCTTGCTGAGTGTATGCCGCATAAGCGCAGCGGTCTGACAAGTTGAGCAACATCGTCCAGGCCGCCCACGTGCCATCGCGGACAGCGTGGATGCAGATGGGCACTACTGATGGACCCAGCAAGGCGCAGCACGCGGTCGAGGCTGGGCCAGCTCAACAGCTCCTCGGCGCCTCGACAGCGTCTACAAGAGCACTGCCTGCAGCCCGACCGGCTCCACGCCATCAGGCCGAGCCTGCCGGAAGCTGCAAGAGCGGCGCCATAGTGTGCACACTCCCCTCTTGCCTCGTCGGGCTTGCCGAGGTTCTGTCGCAAAGGCCAGGCAGTTTCCCCCCTCGGAGATCTCCTCTCCGCTGTCCTTTCCTTGTCTCCCTGCAAGAGCAACCATGCACATCTGCCCCTTCACACCCTTCAACCGATGCCTGTCGCACCTCGTCTCCGCCATCATGCAATCCCTTGCTTCGCCTCAGCCTTCTCGCTCCGCCTGTGCGCAGTTTGCCTCTCAGGCCTCGCCTCCGTCTTACGCCTCTCTCTTCTCCTTCTCTCCTCTCTTGCCTGATTGTCGCTCTCATCCCCTCTGCATCCTCGGACGCAGCGAGTCTTCCTCTCGGAGGTCACTACTTGCATTCACGCGCATCTAAAGCGAGGATCAAGCCCGACGCATTTAGGCACCGCCGCCGGCCTTCTTGCTGTTCGCATCAAGGCAAAGGAGGGGGAGCGTCAGCAAGGACGCACAACAAAGTCGTCGAGCACGCTGCGGAAGGCCAAGACAGGCGCACAGCCAAGCCAGCGCCGATCGGGGCCATGTTGTGCCAGCGCTAAAGCCTCAGTTCGAGAACAACAAGTTCTATCGTCGTTGGGCGAGCACGTCTCTCCTCGCGCATGGAGAATGCAGACAGGAAATGCCGCAGCATTTGCTGCAAGCAGCTCCGTACGCAGAAAGAGAGAGAGGCCATCCCTCGGTAAGAGAAACAGATATTTGGTCATCCCCGGCTGCGACCAGCTTTCCCCTTGCCCCCATCGCGGCGCTTGCGCTAGCGCGCACGTACGGTTTGCCTCGAGGCCCGCCTTCGGCCGGCCTGCGGGCACTCGCACCAGCGCCTTTGTTGCCCGCTCCGCTCGGCCTCGGCGCTTTCGCGCGCTCCCTTCGCTGGGCTCGCATTGCACATGCTTGCCCCACGCCCATGCCTTTCCCTCAAGCCCCACACTCACATCTGGAAGCGCGCGGCGTAGAAGGGCAGGCCAAAGCCGACGCTGAGGAAGGTGGTGAGGCAGACGGCAATGGCCACCTTGTTCTTGGGGCCTTGGCCGAAGGGGAGCGACTGCGGGGGTAGAAGGAGGGGTCCCAGGAGGTCAGCACTGCGCGCCTGTAGGTGGGGGGCCATAGCTCGAGGAAAGGAGGGCCCACGAAAGTGGTGCACAGGCTCGGCTGCTGCTGAGAGGAGGAAGCGCCAGGGCACCAGCAGGCACCCGCCTGGCCCAAGCTCGAGGAGGCAGGGCTCAAGCAAGCCAAGCCGCACTCTCGCCTTGCCTTTCCCGGCCGCTGCTCTGGACCTCCTTGCGATCCTGGCCCCCCTCTCTCATGCAGCCGGCCCACGGGACAGCCACAACAAGCCAAAAACCACAACTCACCGTCTCGGCCGTGTTCTCGACGTGCAGCGCACGCGTGCCGCGCGGCGCCTGGGCGCGCATGGAGCGTGCGGCGAGTGCCGAGGAGCGCGAGAGGAGGGCGGAGACCATTGGTGCAGCGAGGCGAGTGCGAGTGGTGGGTTGAGGGATGGAGGGGAAGCTGCGCCCGCTGGCGCGAGGCTGAGGCGCGCGCGCCGCCGTGCGACCGCCGCCCGCCGCGCCGCGCCGCGCCCGCCGGCTTGAGTCGGGCGGGAGGCGTCACGTGAGAAAGCGCTCCCGCGCCGAGAGCTGTGCAGCACACACAGACTGCGCCCGCGCCATGCAGCAGCGCCCTTGCTCAAGGCCTGATGCACCCTGGCGCGGCGAGAGAGCAAGCAACGAACGATGGTGCTGCTGATTCCTGTTCTAGCCCACATCGCAGGTCTTGGTGCAGGTGGGGCGCAGGGCTGAGGCAGAGGCGGCAGCAGCAGCCCCCTCGGGCGGGCGTGCGCCCGACCGCACGGCGTGGGAGCAGCTCGCGGCGTGGAGCCGTGACATCATCTGGCCCTTGCCGCCGCGGCGCTGCCTCATCTCTCTCCCGGGCGCGGCGTGGCTTGAACGTGCAGCACGCTCTGGCACCACGCCACTCCTCCTCTCTCTCTCCGCCTTCTCATCCTCCGCTTCTTCACAGCGTCTCCTCGGCGCCCGCGCCCCTCTCCGCGCCTCTCTCTCTCTCCACACCTACCGCCTCGTGCCGCCCACGCGCCTCTCTCGCGTGCCGGGCGCAAGGATGTACATTCCTCTCCTCTCGCCTCTGCTGGCATGGCTGCGTGCCCTCCTCTTCTCGCGGCATCTCGAGATCTGCGTCGTCGGCCTCAATGCCGCGGGAAAGACGTCGCTCGTCAATGTGCTGGCGTGCGGGCAGTTTAGCTCAGAGATGATCCCCACGGTTGGTCAGTGCTGCTGGCCCCGCTGGAGGTGGATTGGAGAGAGAGAGAGAGGAGGAAAGGTCGAGTAGAGAAGGCACAGACGCGGCGAGATAGCTTTGCGCTGCACCTCTTGCCTGTCTTGGCAAGTGCTGCGTTCGAGCAGCGAGGCACTGCCCAGATCCTCATTCTTCGCCGCACCGCCACGTCTCTTTTCTCTCTGGCTGCCTGCAATGTGCTCATTTCCCGCACTCCTCCTGCGAACAGGCTTCAACATGCGCAAGGTGCAGGCTGGTAACACGACGATCAAGGTGTGGGACATTGGGTGCGTAGGACGTCGCGTTCTGGCCTCTGGGGGGGAAAGGGAGGGGGATCCGGGTCCTCACAATTGGTGCGGGAGGTGAAGTAGCCCTGGAGATCTGGGCCGTTGCCAAGCGACTAGCGACCAGCGCCCAATGGAAGCTGCTGCTCATGCTCGCCTCCCTCATCCCTTTCCTTTGCAGAGGCCAAGCGCGCTTCCGCAACATGTGGGAGCGCTACTGTCGCGGCGTCTCGGCAATCGTCTTCGTCGTCGATTCTTCGATCCCTCTTCCCTCCTCCAGCACCTCCTCTTCTGGCCCCTCCACCGGCGCCGGCAGTGCGCCAAGCGAAGGCAACGACTCGGCAGCGTGGGGTGTGGCGGCGGAGGAGCTGCACGCGCTAGTGTCGCGCCCCATGCTCGCGGGCGTGCCGCTGCTCGTGCTGGCGACGAAGAACGACGTGCAGGGCGCGGCGAGCGCCGAGGAGGTGATTCGTGTCATGTGAGTTTTTTGTAGGCTGCTTGAGATGCAAGGAAGGAAAGGCACTGCGGAAGAGGCAGAGGTAGAGTGGCGATGCAGGATGAGATTGCCTGGTGGAGAGGATTGGCTGTGCTGCTGTCCCATACGCAGAGCAGGCCAAGTTCTCTCGCCCTGTCCGCCACTTGACGAGGCGTCTCGCCAGGCGTTCATGTGCCGCTCTCCTCGCTGTCGCATTCTCGCCTGAGTCGATCCGCCCTCATGCATCTGCTGAACCCTTGCTTGGCTTTTTGCAAACCACACAGGCGGCTAGAGCAAATTGCGGCGCGCGAAGTCTCGTGCTACTCCATCTCCAGCAAGCGGCAGGTCAACATTGACGTGACGCTGCGCTGGCTGTGTGCACGCAGCCCTGCGGGGGCTCGGTAGCGCACACGGGAAAGGGAAAGGTCAAAGACGTGATGAGAAGGGGCAAGAGCTGGTCTGCAGGCTGGCCCGGGAGGACGAGAGGCAAGGGGACATAGTTGCTACCCAGAGGGAGCGAGGAGCCGCCGCCGCGCGGGAGGGAAGGGGGGGCAATGGATACCTGACCACCACTTCGTTGCGTCTGGTTCGATGAGAGCGACGGCGCGACCTGCCTTTCGAGCAGTGAAAGCGACTCGACTGGAAGGACGAAAGCCCGTGCTGCCCACGCAGCGGGGCCGACTCCCACCGCCCCCCAACTCCAGTCTCGATTCGCTCATTGCACGCGGTCTGCAAGCAAGCAGAAAAGCGTGCACGAGGGGGTGACATTTGCCCTTTTTACGCCTTCAGCGCCTCCTTTACGAAGCCTGCGACTCGCTTGCCATCCTCGGCCGGCAATCTCTCCTTCAGGATCTTCATCACCTCTCCCATCCTCTTGCCCTCTGACTGCTGCACTGCGCGCGCCACCTCTTGCTTCAGCTCCTCGTCTGCCAGCAGCTTCGGCAGGAGCGGCCTGAGCAGCTGCGCCTCGGCCTCCTCGGCCTCTGCCAGATCGATGCGCGGCGCAGGCGTCGCGGCGCGGTAGGTGGCGGCAGAGGTTATGCGCTGATCGTATGCGGAGAGAAGCAGGCGGGAGAGTGGCTGAGGAGAGGGGAGATGCTGCGATTGGTTGTATGCGCCAATGATTGACTGTGCCCCGCCCCAGAAAGGGAGAGGAGGAAGTTTCAGCCATTGCCGGCGAATGGGAACGCAGTGGCACAGGCTTGACAAAGCATCGTGCATGGCTGCTTCCTGCCAAAGGGCAAATGTCTCCTCCCGCAAGCCGCACGCATGCTCTCGGCCTCTCTCTCTCTCTCTCTTGCTCCGTACCTGCCGCGGCCCAGGCTGTGCGCTCTGGCGCCTCTTTCTTCCCCTCATTCTGCCCATCCAGGCGCCATTCTCTCTTTCCCGCCCTGCATCACTCACGCGCCATACATCGGCCTCGCCCTTGTTCCTGGCGCGCATCGCCTCCTTCATCTTGCCGCGAATGGCGAGCAGCAGTGGATCTTCCGGCTTGCTCTCTGCCGCCGCCGCGCTGCCGCTGCCGCTGCCTCGCGGCGCCGAGCTGCGCAGTGTGCGCACCCACGCAGGCGCAGCGCGTGCTGCGAGCGAGGAGAGGCGCAGCATGGACATGCTGGTGCAGGAGGGATGGATGTGGAGCGTCGAGAGGAGGCCGAAGTCGCGAGCCACCAGTCGAGTCGAGACATGCAGTGCGCCGCCGCTGCGGCACGTGCCGCTTCCCACGCTCGGCGGTGCTGCTGCTTCGCAATCACGGGCCGCGCGCCGCCTCCACATGGCAGAGCATGCCTTGCCTCCTCCTTCCTCCCCACCCTCACCTCCTCACACCCCTTCTCTCACCATGCAGGACCCCGCGCGCGAAATCACCGCCGTCGTCAAGGGCCTCATCGAGGCGCCCTCGGCCGCCGAGCAGCGCAAGGTCATGAGCTCCTACTTTGCCCCCGACGCCAGCTTTGAACACCCGCTCTGTGCCGTGCGCAGCGGCGCCAACGTGAGTCCGAGTTCGTGCTTGCTTGTGTGTGTGTGTGTGGCATGAGAGAGTCGAAGGAGAGCGGGTCCGGGAAAGAAAGGGCAGGGCAGGGAAACACGGCGCGTGTGGCGTCGAGTGTGCAGAGAGGCACGCTCCATCTTTTGGCGAGGGGCAAGGCGCTGAGCCAAAGCACGGACTCGAGCGCGCGCCTACCGAAGCGTGTGCGCAGCGCAGCCTTGGCTCCACGCTTGCCGTCGTGCACCCTTTTGCTGATGATCTGCTCTCTCTCTCTCTCACACACACACACACCTCCAGTCGCGCGATGGAGGCTTGCTGCCCATCTACCAATGGCTGCGCTGCATGTTCACGCCCAAGATCGACGTCAACTCCGTCGGTGAGTGTGTCGCGAGAGGTGCACATGGGGGGAGAACGTGGGCGAGAGGACAAGAAGTTGAAGGACAGTGGCACGGTAGGAGGAAGAAGGGGGCTGCATGAATGAAGCGCCAGGCGTAGAGGAGAGGCAGAGGCAGAGGAAGGTGGCGAGGGTGCAGCCGGCCCCCATGAAAACATCGTGCGCACTTTTCGTGCTCCGGCGCACAATGCCCAGCCACGAACGCGGCTCTGCCAGTCGCAGAAGAGAGAGCAGCAGCAGACATGCCAAGTGCAGCTGTGTAGAAGAGCTATGGCGAAGAGAGCTCTCCGCACTACGCCGCTGGAGAGAGCGAGATGGAGAGAAGAGAGAGAGAGAAGAGACGGCTCTCCGCTGTTGTTTCGTTGTGTGCCCCAGGCCATCGTCCTGTCCTGTCTCCCGCCATCCCTCTGCTTGACATGGCGCCCAAACGTTTTCTTCTCTTGGCTAATGCGCCCTGCCCCGCGTCACCGACGCAGCCTTCGACCGGGAGAACAACAAGCTGTGCGTATTGTGTGCATCTCCGGTTTCGCTGGCATCACATGGCACCGCCCGCCCAAAACTGCTTTTTTCCATCCATAGCTGACGTCTCGCGCGTCCCTGCTGCGCCCAACAGCTTCATTGATGCAGTGCAGACCCTGATTCCCTCCATCTCGGCACTCGCTAGCATTCGCGCACCTCCTTGCCGGTACGCCCTCACGTTTTTACCCCTCGCCGATGGCCCCCGTCCCAGCTGACACACATATGGCCAACCCCGATGCAGTCTCATCGTAGTGCTCTTCCTGCAACGTGGCGCTGACGGGAGATTCTACATCAAGCGGCAGGAGGACTACTATGACCCTACGGTGTACGTCGTCGTCCCCCCCCCCCCTCCTTCTCGCTTCTCCGCATGTGGGCTGACGCGAGCGTTGTGGGGTACACGCAGCATGCCGGCAGCGCTCGTGCCTGGAGGCAGTGCCGTCGTCGGCATCATCAAGCTTGGCGCGGGCTTCATGTGCTGGCTCCTAGCGGCGCTGGTGGGCCATCTGCTTGGCTGGGTGAGTTTCTCCAGTTGTGTGCGCTGAACGGCCCTTTGCGGCAAAGTGTTTCCTGCCCGGCTGTGCTAGCTCTGTCGCCCGCTGGGTGCCGCTGTGCGCGCTCTGTCAAATTCCATGCTGACCCTCACTCGGCCCTCTCTCTCTCTCTCCCCTGCGCAACAAGTGGAACCCGAATCGCTCTCCGGTTCGCAAGTCGGTGCGCGCACGCGCTTGATCGCCTTTATTTCTTCCCTGCTCCGCTCCCCCCTTCGTTTCAGCGCTCTCTCGCCATGCCTACCCGTCCGTGCCCATTCCACTTGTTTCTCTCTGCTGCAGCAAAAACTTCCAAGAGGGGCTGTAACAAGGGGGAGCCTTCGCCTCGTTCTCGCTCTGCAACTCAGACTGCGGAACTGTGCGGGGGGGCAGCAAAATCGAATGCGAGCCCCGTTTTTCTCTCTCTGCACCTGCCATCTGCCCTCGTCCGCAGAGTGAAGCGGCATCGTCTCGCTGTGGGAGGAGAAGCCAGACCGAGTGGAGGAGGGGAAAGTAGATGCTTTTGTTGCGCTCGAGATGTGTGTGTGTGCTTTTTCGTGACATGGCTTCGGTCTGTGTGAGCGAGTTCTGGACTTTCGCGTGTTGCATTGTGGGATCGGGAAAGCGGAGGTGTCATGGGAAGGATGGAGAGCGGGACCAAGACCTTCGACTAGAGGTGGAGAGAGCAGATGGGGAGCCCGTCGTCGGCGAGCCCTTCTATGCTTCCTGCACGTAAAAGGCCGGTGAAGAGAGAGAGAGAGAGAGAGGAGGAAGAGAGAGCTTGCTTGCCGGACCGAGGATGCACGGAGCGAAGAGCGTGTTGTTGATGGTACGTACGGCCCGCGGCCGATGCCGAGCGCGAGGCTTGGGGAGCTAGCCGAGCTGGACTTCCCCACGTAGCCCTATGCGCCCCGCCTGGCCCTCCCAGTCCCCCCTTTTGTTGCCCCCACGCGGCCTCCCCACCTGCACTCCCACAACTCCCCCCCGCGCGCGCGTAAGCCTGGTCCCACTTGCACACACACACTCAGTCCTCATTCTCGCCCGCCGCGCCGCTCTTCTCCTCGCGCTTCACCCAGTCGAGCCAGGAGCCGGAGTAGTTGCGAGCGCTGGTTTGTTGCGAGTGTGGGGGGGGGGGGGGGTCAGTCATGCTGCTCTCGACGCGGTTCGAATGCAGGGAGTGAGGTGGTTGTATGCGCTTTGCATGGCAACAAGCCGCATCTTCAGAGAGCATCGCCGCTGCTCGTCCCCTCTTCGCCGCCCGTCTCTTGTCCTTGCCTCGGCACACGCGCGTTTTGCTGGCCAACTCGGTCACAACTCACTTGACCCAGCCATTCTTCTTTGCCGTCTCCAATGCCGTCTGACTGCGCTTGCCGCTGCGGCAGTAGAAGATGAGCTTGTCGCCGAACTGCGGGCGGTCAAAGGCAAAGTCGCGGCGAAAGTCGGCGCCCTTCATGGGATTGAAGGCCTCGGCGAAGCGCGACAGCGGCACGTTGACGGCCGAAGGGATGATGCCCGAAGCCACCTCGTCGGGCTCGCGCACGTCGATGAGCGTAATGTCGGGCGGCGGCGCCTGCGTGAGCTTCTTGAGCTCGGAGTAGGAGATGGCGCCCTTGGACGCCCAGGCGGTGTCGGTGTTGGAGGCGGAGAAGCGAGCGGGAGTGCAGTGCAGGGCGCGCATGGGAGTGCTGGACATGCTGCGCACGGGCATGGCAGGCACGCCGCCGACGCGCAGAAGAGGCGCGCAGAGACGAGGCGCGCTGCCTGCGACGGCGGTGCGCAGGAGAGGAAGAGCACGCAAGGACATGGTTGGCGTCGTGCGTGCGTGGCAATGGGGTGGTGGTGGTGGAGAGGCCAAGCATGCGAAGCGCTGTGCGCGCGCCGGCGCGATGATGTGGAGCACGCGGCCATGCTTCGGTGCTTCGTGCGCGGTTATGCGATTCTGATTACAATTGCGGCGCATTTTGTATTCAGCTGCGCGCTGCCTGTGAGCCAGGCCAGTGCGCGCCATGCCTTCAGCCATGAGCCCTCTTTGCTTGTCCGCACCCCATCAAGACCATCAAGCGCCCTTTGCTTTGTTGCTTGCAAGCGCAGGCATCGGACATCGAACGGCTCGCTTCACGACGGAGCCGAGCAGTTCGCACGAATTGGTATTTGGCGGCGGGAAGAAGCAACGAAAAGGAATGCCGCCAACATGCCTGCTGCTGCAGTGCAGCCGTGCGAATCTGCTGCTGCGGCGAAGCAACAGGGCGGCGGCCCCTTTCCTCGACGCCACGGCCGGCGCGAGGCAGGTGGCTTTGCCGTCGACATCGACATCGACATCGACGGCGGCGGCGAGGCTCGCTCGCGTCTGTCGCTGCGTCTGCGGCAATCCGAATGCCACGGCTACGGCTGCTGCTCCGCCCTCGCGACTCCGACTCGCAGCGTCGGCATCGGCGCCGGCCGCGGTGCGACATTTGGGCACGTCTGCCTCTGTGGCACGCCTGCGCGCGCCCGCACAGGAAGACGGTGACTCGCAGCAAGCAGGAGGACAGGCAGTCAGCGAGACGCCGCACGAGATGGCGCAGCGCAAAGCGTGGCTCGAGCAGCTGCAGAAGCTGGGCTTGTCTCGCGGTACGTTTTCTCTCTTTGTGGCCTCATCTTTCTTCCTCTCTGCCTCTCTCGCCTGCTCTCTCTCTCCGCTGATCCCCCCCTCATCGCCTTTCCTCGCCTCGACGCTTTCGAACGGACTCCTTCGGCCTTTTCGTCTGCTTGCCCGCGCAAAAAACACACAAAAAACAAGAGATGGTGCAGTTCTCCTTCTCTCGCTCCTCGGGGCCCGGCGGACAGCACGTCAACAAAGTCTCGACGAAGGCGACGTTGCGCCTGCCTCTCTCTACGCTCCTCGCTGGCGCCGGCGCTGGCGAAGGCACCACGCTGCCGCCGCTGCCGAGCAGCGCACTGAGGATGCTCGTTGCGCGCTCGGTGAGTTTTTGGCGAAACCTGGCCATGGCTCGAGGAGGGCAGAGTAGTGGCAAACCTGCATACTAGACGCAAGAGAGAGAGAGAGAAGACTTGCGACTGAGAATTCTGCTCTTGTGGCTCACACATCGCATACTCTCACGCATAATTCCACACCACACAAAGCCGTACTATCTGCGAGCGTCGCATGCGCTCGGCCTCAGTTCGTCGCGGCAGCGCTCACAAGAGGCAAACGTGCTCGATGCGCTCTCCAAAGTAAGTGTTACGTTGTCCCTTTTCCTCTCTCTCTCCTCGTCCTGCCCTTGCTCGCCCCGCTGCCGGGCTCTTGCCGCGCCGCCCCGCCCGCGCTGATGAACTCGAACGCACGACGGCAACCAGATGCAGACGCATCTCACAGCGCTACTGTCCACTGGCATACGCGGCGAGCCGTCCGAGGCGCAGCAGGCGAAAGTGAGGCGCTTGCAGCGCATCGAGGAGGCGAGGAGGAAGGTGGGCAAGAGTAGGAGGAGCGAGGTTAAGGCTGGCAGGAGAGGAGGAGGCGGCGGGTGGGACTAGATGAACACTTACAAGGAATACGCAAAGGCAATGAGAGGATGGAAGGGGCCGGAGAGAAGTCAGGCCTGAGAGGCAGGCGCGAGCGAGCGTGCGAGGAGGCGAGGGCAGGGCGCGTGGGAACAACACGCACGGCGCAGGCGGGGCGGCTTGAGCGTCAACTCTGACTGCCCCCTGCGTGCCGCGGTGGTGGCCTTGCTTTCCCTCCATCACCCACGCCCTCTCGGACTTGCATCTTCTGGGCGCCCGCCTCAGCCATGCCTTCTCTCCCTCGTTTCCTGCAGCTCTTCCTGCTGGCCGCCCTCGTGCTGCTCGTGCCTTCTGCGCTCTACCTCTCCCGCCCGGCGCACGGCTCGCTCTACGACGCACAGCTGGCCGCCGTGGCGCCGGAGCGACAGGGACAAGGCAGTGGGCCACAGCCCCTGCCGCCACTGCCCCTCCTCACAGACGCACTGCAAGTGGCCACGCATGCGCCGCACACGCAGGAAGGTGTCATCATGAGCAAGATGGGCAATGCCACTGCAAAGTGAGTGCCCGCCCGGCCGCCCGCCCGCCGTGCGCGAGAGTAGGGGCGAGGAGTGGCTGGCGCAGTTGCCGGGAAGGAGACGGCGAGCTGGCGAAGGGCATGATCGGGCTAAGCACCGATGAAAGTCAACGAGGCACGATGGGCAAGGTGGCGAGCGCAATGAAGTCGAGACGGGGGGAAACAAGCCAGGCGGACAGCGGGGCATCGTGCCGACGGGCACGCTTGGGGCGTGTGCAACTAGAGAGAGAGAGAGGAGTGGGTGGAAAGGAAAGAATGGGTGGGGGGGGGGGGCAGCAAATCCGTGTGGAAAGGGGAGCGTCCGTGTGAGACTTGGCTTTGCGTGGTCTGCGCTTGGGCGCCCCCGGGAAAAGGGGCACACTCTGTGCTTTGTCTTGAGAGCGAGAGCAAAGCTTGGGTGAGGGCCGGGCAAGGGCGAGGTCACGCAGCAGTGGCGCGGGCGACCTCGATGGTGGGGGAGCGAGCGAGATGAAGGGAAAAAAGAGAGGCAACGAGAGGTTTGACATTTGTGTACATGGAAGCTGGGCGATCGACGGCTGAGTCCATAAGGGGGGTCTTTCGGTCGTAGGGCTATCACTACTCATTTTGCGGCCAGTCTCGCCTTCTTTCGGAGCACGTTGCAAAGCGGGGGGGGGACGCTCTTTAGTTGAGGCTTTGCGTTTCCTTGCGTCTACTACGGCCGAAGTACGAACGGCGAGCTCTTCTCGCTCGCGCGGAGGGGTCGATGTTGCCCAGGCCCTCTGGTCGCGCTATTCCAATGGGGGCCGCTGCCTCGCGCCCGCTGCAAGCACTTGCTCACTCTCTTCTCTCACTTTCAGGGCCGAGCTGGGCCGAGCCACGTGGCGCTTTCTGCACACCATGACCTTGCGGTTTCCCGAGTCTCCCACGCCTGCCGAACGCCAGGCGCTGGCCGACTTTATGCATCTCTTCGCGAGGCTCTACCCCTGCGGCGAATGTGCGGCGCACTTTCAGGCACTCCTCGTCGAGCTGCCGCCACAGACGAGCTCGAGAAAGACGGCGAGTTTGTGGCTGTGTACCGCGCACAATCGCGTCAATAGGCGATTGGGAAAGGAGGAGTTTCCGTGCGATAAGGTGCGTGTCTCTTCGTGCGCGCGCGGGGGGGGGGGGGGGGGGGGGGGGCGCAAGCTTTGCAACAGCACACGCACCCCCTGAGCTGAGAGCCGGCGCTGGACATGCTTTGCGCGTGGCGCCCGACGTGGAGTAGCGGGTTCTTTATCTTGCCCGCTACTTGCCCAGGGCGCGGACCGGTTGATGCCCGAGAGCGAGGGCACGCCTCGTTTGGCAGACCCCCACCTTGACCGGCTGGCGCCCCGTGATGCCTCCGGGCTCCGGGCTCCGGCCAGGACCAGACGTGGCACAACGTACCGAACAGCGCTTGATGCCTTGCTTGGCCAGTGCGTCTTTGGGGGGG